TTGTTGTCTTGTCAGTTGAAGGGTGAATTTTCTAAATAACCATATCGATAATATATTTCTGAAAGATAATATGGCGGCAAAAATCTTCAGTAAGTAGAATGTGACATAATTTTAGCATTCTTCAATAATTTTGGCTTAAAATATCTAAAATTGTTTTGGTGGATAAAATGGGCATAACGAAACCAATGGGCTTTTATAACTTTGCCTAGTCTTTTATGACATGTAATGTTTACTATTATTATTTTGGTGGACAAATTATCTTATTGTTTCCACTCGGATCACCAAGCCCACGTGACTGAGCCAACTTAAAGGCTTTATTAGTTTAAATTTAAAACTGTAATATTGTAAGACTTAGCATAAACATCAAAGAAATTAGGAGAATCACATGTAAAAAGAAAATAAAATTTAATGATACATACTAAATAAATGGTTAATTGATTAAACTCTTATAGCATATTGAAGAAAGATGGGTTGTAGTAAGATAATGTGTCCCACTACAAGACTTTTTGGCCAGCCAAAAAAACCCCGACGGACGAAAACCCTAGTCTCCAGCCGCCAAGCTTTGATTTTTCCGGTTTGCCCTCCCCGGCGGCTGGGCTTCTCGCCGGAGCTGTGGGAGGGTTTTAGATCTTTGTCTTGCTTCTTAGTTTTGTTTTTAACTAGCTTTCTCCGGTGATTCAAAGGTATTTGCAAAGGGGGATGTTTGTTTGGTGAAGAATCGGTGGATGGTTGGCGGCGGAGGTTTCGTGGCCTCCTTTCTCGTGTTCTTTGCTTCATCTCCCTCCTTTTCTTTGGATTTCTTGGCTTAGTTCTGTTGATTTTGGTGTTGTTGTGGCCTTGTCGTCATATTCCTCTTTGAAGAGATGATCGTTTGAAGGAGGGGAAGCCATCGTCGGTGAGGCTTGGTGGTGGTTAGTGTCTGATCCGTATGGTCTGCAGGTTGGCAATTTAGTGGCTCAGATCTGGTGGTGGTCCTGTGGCTGGTGGTTTCAAGGTGACGGACTCGTTTCGTTTCTTGTTCTGGTATTTTATTTCTCTCATCTCTCTCTTCTTTGGTTGGTGTTTCTCGACAAGGATTTGTTAGTAGTATGGTTGGTTGAGGGTAGAAGCCTTAGTTTCAAGTTTAGGGATGGCAATGTTGACTCCTAGTTCTGCCTCCTGTTACTTTCTGCCCGGTTATTGGGGTTATGAGTTTGTGAAGGTTTCGTTTTGTGGGTTCTTCATTTGGATGGTAGTCTCCTGCAAAGGCATCTACTAGCCCTCTTCTTTTTCCTTGTTTGGATTTAAGATTTGAGTTCAAGACGATGTGGTAGGCTCGGTCTCTATTCCTTCTCTTGCGTGGCGTAACCAGTTCTTAGGCTGTAGATGGTTTTGGCTGGGTCTACGAATGTCCGCGTGTAAGGTTTGTTGGCCCTCTTTGGCGTTTTCCCCTTCGGATCTCAAGGCTTCTCCTTGTCCCTTCTCCTGCTTGTCTTCTCTGGTTTCTGGTGTGGTAGTGATGGTTAGGATCTGTGCTCTGATCCTCTTTTTATCTGTGCTCGTTTCTGCTCGGGGTGTGGTTGTGTGAGCTTGGTTTTGTATCCTTCTCGGGCCTTTCATGTAAAGGCAATCTAATGATGGGTCCTCTTGTTGCTCCTGTTTGTAACCACTTTCCAGCGCCCAATATGTTCTATGGAAATGTTCGTCGGATTATTTTCGTGAAGAGTTTGCAGTTGTGTTGCTTGAGTCTTAGGTATTAGCCTTTCCCTGTACTTTAAGGTTTTCCTTCTTTTATGTCTGCCTTTTTTGGCCTTTGTCTCTGGGGGTTTCTATGTACCCGCCGGCTTAGTTTTCTGGGGGTTAGAGTCCCGCCGGCGTTAGTATTTCACCATGTATCCCAACTTTGTATTTCTCCCTTGGTTATATTTCATGAATTATTCAGACGAAAAAAAAAAAAAAGTAAGATAATGTGTGACCACTTATCAAATAAGACAGTCAGTCTATTTTTTTTTTTTTTTTTTTTTTTTTTTTTGTCAAAGAGACAGTCAGTCTATTCATTTTAAAATAATGTTCTATTTGGGTTGCTCTGGTTCGTTTTGGTTACTTAGTTTATCTTATGGATTCTGCAATAGCTTGAGGCTTGAGCTCACTTAAATGCATAATAGCCCTTTTCTTTATTAATTGCTTAATCGGAATAGTTCATGGCTAACCTAACATTTGAAGCTTTGGTTTAAACTTTAAAATGGTGGTTAATTTTAGATAATAAAATTGATGTATGGGTTTGTGGCCAGTTGGGCCTGGTCTTGTGACAGCCTTGGGTTTGTTTGTTCATTACTTTAACATTAATGTCTCAATTATATGTCTAAAACAATAAGATGTAAAGACTCATGATGGCAACTCAAAAAATGTGTTCCTCTCTTGTCCCATTCATCTAATATTATTAAATAAAATGCTAGAGATTTCTAACAATGTAACTTGAAATCATAATTTTTGGAAAGCAGCCGAGTTAGGGTGAATATCATTAATAATTTAGAAATGATAAGTACGTCCATGATTACTACCTCGGGATATCACCGACCCACATTTCGTTTGGCTTTTTCGTATATGCTTAGTTATAGTCTTTGTCAAGTTCAAGTGTTAAACATATCCTATTTGACTTGTTCCACGAGAATCTCTCTATTGTTTTGCCATTAGTGTTTCATATCTTAGTTGCAATCGCATATTCCTAGTAATTATATACTCCTATTTGGGTACGTAACAGCAAAACATGCGATGCAAAGACGACGTACGTGTGATAAGCTGGACCGACCACTCTCGCCATGAACCAATTAATTGTTTAAATTTATTATTTTTTTTCTGGTCAAACAACAATAATAATACAAAATCCACACAATTAGGACAAAATAAATCTACGCAATTATCAACTACCATTATAAAAGGAATCAAAAGAGAAAACAACTATGATTGGGAAAAGAACAACCACTTATTTTGTTGATGTCAACTGGTAAAGCAAGTAAAACGACAAAACACAAAAAGATAGTTGTTGTTTGATTGATCGTTGTCCTTCTAAGTTTGTCATTTTATGTTTTTCAATATTATTAGATGGATACTTGTGCATATGCAGTTTTGATTCAATGTACTTTTTTTTTGTTGTTGTAATAGATGAATCAGTATTTAATCATTTTGTTACTAGCATTTATTATTATTTAGTATTGACATTAACTTTGTTGGGTTTTTTTTCAGCGTTGTTCGTTTTTTTTCTGGATGTAATGGTTTTTCGTCATATTAATTAGATTGAATAGTGTTTTCGGGTATTTTAATCGTACGAGCAATTTCATTTGTGGGTTCTCACTTAAGTATCTATCCAAAAAAATATACTATTAAACTAGGAGAAATCCACACAAAAGTCCACCTTATAAATTATATATATATATAAATTATATATATACTAAGCATCAAACTAGTTTAGATCCAAAACTTGAATAAGGCACATGATTTTGGGAGCCTATAGGAATTATTAGAACGTGAATATTCATTAATTCATGCATGGTGTATTCAAAGAATTAAACATAAGAGAGACTAGGGTAAAACTACTTACCTTTAGATCCTTTCCATATATACTAAATAGTAAATACTGAAGTTGAATAAATAAAAAATAAAAAAATACTCAAGTTATGTTATATTTTCCAACAAAGAATTTCATGAATTGGCATTTAATAAGGTATATGTACCGGGAAGATCGGCCTTGTAGGTGGAACCAAATCCAGTATGGTCGAGGCAGTGGGTAGATGACGTCAAGTATTATATATAATGCGCAGTTGTACAAAATGGCAACTTGGCAAGGTATAATAATATGGATGAACGCTATATTCAGACAAATAAATACTTAAAAAAAAAAGAACTCTTTAAGTATTTCAATTTTGAACAAATTAAGGAAAATTTCGAAATAATGGTTTGTAGTAGCCCGGAGGGGAAACATTACCATTTTAGTCTAAACACTTCACAATATACTTGAAAACAAATTAGATTAAAAAAAAATATAAAGTCGAAACCTAACTCTGAGCCATAACCTATATAAACAGATTAACTGATCTTTCTTTTAACAAATTTCTGACTCTTGTGGTAACTCTATTGGATAATTGGACTCGTAAGTACAAATTGATCCACGACCATTACATTATACAAATGCTAATGCTATGACCATCTCCTTTATTGTATGACTTTTGGAGATAAAAAGAATCTTTTACAGATAAGAGTTTAGAGTAAAGTGAAAAGAAGTGTTTTTGGGTTGATTTCGATTCGATGATTAAAACAACACATGCCTTTTTATCTTTGCCTTCACGATAATCATAACTACACTCACCGTCCTCACCGATCAAAAGTCCTCGTGTGTTACGAAATTCATGTGGACCATTTTATCGCAAGTACGTATTATTCAGCAACTTATCCACAACGACACGTGTCGACCTTCTTACGTAGTTCTTCTGTATTTGATCGCCTTATTAGATTTGCTATAATACCTAATTTAATCATGCCATATGCAACAACTAACTAGCAAGGGTCCCAAAAATAGAAAGAAACACTACTACTCTATTTATTTTGATAATAAACAGACAAAGTCCGTTTAGTAGATTAATATGTTTTACATATAAAACAAATTAAAATTCTCCAAAAAACATTCATCAAATCCCTGTGGATCATTGGTGAGGTCGTGGAATTATGGCATCCTATCGTCGACAAATCTAAAACTAGAGTAACTTTTACTGTTACTTTTTAAATATGTCAAAGTAACCAATATCTTCTACGGAACTTATATCCAATTTGCATACTTTTACTCATACTATACAAAATACAAGCGGATATAAACAACAAAATAAGAAAACTACACTTAATAATCTATAGAAACTTCAAATTGAATTAAAAATATATCATAAACTATATAGCGCGCGGAATATTCCCTGGTAAAATAAAAAGATCACTACTCTATTGGCTATAAATACACACACAAACCCAACAAGGCTATTTCATTATTCAAAAACCAAACACAAATAACAAAATGAAAATGAAGTTCTGGTCACGACCAACGTTTCTTATAATTATTATCTATCTCATAACAATTCAACGAGTCAACTCATCACCACCTTCATTATCTGTACCGGAGCATTTTCTCCGATGTCTCGACACTCAGCCGTCCGACCACGGCAGTCCCAACTCCATAACCGCCGTGATCCCCACAAACTCATCTTTCTCAACAAATCTAATGAACGGCGTTAGAAACCTCCGGTTCGCTTCTGCCTCCACAAGAAAACCAGAAGCCATCGTCGCCGCCGTAACCGAAACCCACATTAGAGCAACAATCTCCTGCTGCAAACTCCTAAACCTCGAGCTAAGAATCCGTAGCGGTGGCCACGACTACGAAGGCTTCTCCTACACTTCTCCGGTACCATTCGTAATCTTAGACATGTACAACTTCAACAAAATCGATATCAACATGAAAGACGAAACCGTTTGGATCCAATCTGGAGCCTCACTAGGTCAGCTTTACTACAACATTGCAAGCAAAAGCAAAGTCCACGCTTTTCCCGCCGGAGTTTGTCCTAAAGTCGGCGCAGGAGGACATTTTAGCGGCGGAGGATTCGGTAACCTCATGAGAAAATACGGTTTATCGATTGATCATATAATCGACGCTCAAATCATGGACGCCAATGGTAAAGTCTACCGTAACCGTCAAGCTATGGGAGAAGACGTGTTTTGGGCTATTCGCGGCGGAGGCGGAGGAAGCTACGGCGTCATTCTTGCCTGGAAGATTAAGCTCGTTAGGGTTCCGGAGAAAGTCACAGTTTTTAAACTAGAACGAACGGTGAGAGAAGGTGCCGTTGATTTAGTTCACAAATGGCAAGAAGTAGCTCCGGTTATCGATAGAGATTTGTTTATCCGGTTAGAGATTAAACCGATAAACCGGAAAATCTCTAAAGGTAAGACGATCAAAGTCTCCTTCATAGGAATGTTTCTTGGTTTACCTGAGAGACTTCTTAACATAACAAAAGAGAGTTTCCCGGAGCTACATTTAACGAAATCAGATTGTATGGTCAAGAAATGGATCGATTCTACGGTTTTCTGGGCGAATTACCCCGAAAAAGCACCGATAGAGATACTTAACAAAAGAGTATCAACCAATGAATACTACTGGAAACGTACTTCAGATTTTGTTCAAACACCAATCTCAAAACAGGGTCTTGCAAAGATTTTTCAAACAATGATTGATCATTCGCCACTTCCACGACGAGTTTGGATGCAATGGAATGCATGGGGAGGGAAAATGGGGGAGATTGCGTCTGATGCGACACCGTTTGTGCATAGAGGTGGTAACATTTTCATGATTGAGCATTTCATGAATTGGTATAGACCTGGAGATGAGCTTGAAGAGAAGTTCTTGGCCATTGCAAGAAGTTTTAAAGAAGCTATGGCTCCGTTTGTTTCGAAGAATCCTAGAGAAGCTTTCTTTAATTACCGAGACGTTGATATCGGAATTACGACGCCGGGATATAATGCGACGTATGAAGGAGCTAAGGTTTATGGGGACAGTTATTTCAAAGGGAATTATTTGAGATTGGTTAAGATTAAAGCCCGGTTCGACCGGACTAATTTTTTCCGGTCTCAGCAAGGGATTCCGGTTCTTGCTTAGTTTGGTGATTGGTGAGTGTTTGATTTTATTGTATTGTTGTGGGGGAGGGAGTATTAAGTTATTGAAAGTTGAAATTTGGGATTCAATGAATCTATATATTGGGCAGTTGATAATTTTGTGTTGAATAATGGTTTATTTCAATCTCCAAGAGAAGTCATGTAATGAAATCTATAATAAAATGGAATTGTTTCTTGTGTTAACATGCAAATCTCTAGTGATGAGTTTAAATGGTATATGCGGACCACGGCCGGAAACACCAACAATATACACATTTTAAACAAAACCAATAGGTGTAACCATGTAAAATAGTGATTTATTAACGTTTATTTATTTAAGTTTATATTTTGGAGAAACTAGAAAGTGTATTGGCATTTGGGCCCTATACTTTGTCAAAGCCAATATGCCCCAAACCGTCAAAATTAAAAATAGCATGTATATATTTTATTGGTAAACCGTACGGTGTAGATTCTTGTATTAGTAAATGACTATTTCAGTATATGATTAATTTGTTGTTAGTAGTTTATTTGCAAAAATGACGAATGGCACAATCGTATATAAATGGGCTCATTTATCTTGTCTAGTTTTTTTGGGGTCAATATTACCACTAATTAGATATCTAACAAAGAGGACTAATATATATTGTATGAATCTATGTAACTTTTTTTTGAGGAAATAACATAGAATGCCTGTATGACAGATGAACAAAATCATGGGTCCATTGCAAAAAGTGTTTTTAAGAAATCTTGGCGCAGAGTCACAGATGAACACGTGATATGATTTACATATTAAAAGCTTGAACAGGACATGGTCGAGTTGTTTCCAATAATTGTAATGGGGCCTAGATTTCTTTCACAGTTTTTAACTATGATATCGACTTTTCGACTGGTCCGACTTTTTGTGATATGGTTAGTTACAATTGTTAGTTCAATAATTTACACGTGGGATAAAAGTTCCGAGACATTCTCACCACAATTTGAAGAAAAATCTCGATTCCAACCAATTAAATGACCAATATCACAAGTCAAATGTTTGTTTACAAGGAAAAAAAAAACACTTGCGAAGTTGCCATAGAAAAAGATAAAACACTTGAAGCCAAAATGTATATTTCATCTAACATACAAGTGGGTACTTGCATTTGTTCTTGTCCAACCTAGAACATATACAGTATCATATACTAGCTGATGGTGTTGTTGCGGCCTTACAGGGACAATTGACTGTTAAGTAAACTTTTAAATTTTGTTACAAATTATTTTAGATCATAATGGAAAAATAGATTTAATAATATATTTAAAAAGAGATAAAGTACATGTTTAACCAAAGTTGCAAAACAAATGAGATATAATTTTTTACATATTAAATGTTGTTTTTGATTTATACTTTTTTTTTATAAATAAAGTTTATATTCATAACGGGTCAAAGCCCAAAATAAGCCATCAGCTTTACAATCAGACAACATATACAAAATGGGGTACATCGGAAACCTAGCCGTCAAAGGAGGATGAGACCGGACCCTGGTGAAAATTCGGAGGCAGAGAGCACGAGCAGTAGCTCCGGCGAACACAATATTCACGGCATCGCGACAGTGTATTCAGATCGGAATCTTTGGCAGAAGTGTTCGGTTTCCGCCGCCAATCACTCTCTGACCCTGATGGACAAGTTTTTGATTTATACTTGTCCATCAATATATAGAGGATACCTATTACGAAGAAAAAAACATTATTAGAAATCATAATAGCGTATCACATATTACATAAGACCAAACCCAAGTTCATAATCCACACAACATCAAATTCAAGCACAAGAACATAACCACTGAACATTTGAAAGATAAGTACACAACATCAATTAAACTCAAGCACACCAATATAAACCATGAACATCAGAACATACGAACATAATTCTATAGGAACACGAGATAGGGATCATAGGTGGGTTCAGCCTCTTCCACATTGGAGGCTCTTATCTTTCGTTTTAGATAATGCAGCTTACATCCATCTGGAAGTGCATAGAATATGCCTCGTGAGATCTCATCTCTTGCAAGATGTTCTATAGATGCCCAATAAAGAGGACTCTTAACAACCATCCTCGCAACTTCCCCTACTCATCTTGCTTAACATTAAAAAAAAAAAAACTTCCCCTACTCGATAAACAACAGTGGCCTCAGTCGATTGCTGGGATCGGTAACTTTGAAGAAGTCTTTGATCACTTATATCAGGCAGAGGCAATACCGGTACCTTAAGGGTTATATGCCATACAAAATCTGCATGGTTTATCAAAAACGAAAGATATTATTAATTTATAAAAGCATCTAACCTATCATATCAAAGTTAATGTAATAGAGTTTGTATGTATGTCAAACATCCATAGGCCATAGCTCTACATATGGTTCCAGCCTATCATTTCAAATTCAAACATAGTACGCAAAGTCAAACACAGATCATCATTTAGGATAATAGAGCCCAACATTGGAATTGAAATCGGCCCGCTATAACCGATCCATGAAACTTAAGCATTCAACACATACCAGAGCTAGGTCTAAAGAGATGAAAGTGTAGGAGAAGCCATTGCTCTTTAGGTGAAAAGAATCGTATTTGGAGACGGGTTTCCACGTGAAAATCGGATTAAAGCCAATAGAAGCTGAAATTGTGAATGGCCAAAGGAGGTTGATTAGACAAAGGAAATTTCAAGAGATTTCTTGGGACCCAAGAGTATCAACTTCAAATAAGACCGCTTCCTCAGTTTGTTTCTTATGAGCTACACGCAGCAGCAAGTCAGCAACAAACGCATTTAGTGTTATGTCACATTTAAGGGTTTAAAGAGTTTCTCTTCTTCGCCCTCTGTTGTCACTTGTGTTGTTGTCTCATTCTTTGACTTCCCATCATTTTTTACTGATTTTCTATCGGAAGAAAGTAAAATGGGCTTCAAAGTGATTGTAAGGGGCTCTCTATATCTCATTTAACGGCCCATTTAGCTCATATTCCAGCTCGTTTTACCTTAGGTCACCTAAGTAAAGTTTACTAAGTTAGGTGGGTTAATAAACTTGGCGGCAAAGTCAAAGAATGAGGCACGTGGAACCACTAAACCAGCTTTACCCGCCAAAGTCGCCGTCTTTTACCAAGTCCACCAGATAAAAAAGGAAAATTTTTTAATTACCTTTCGATTCGTTGTAAAAAACGAAATTATTTATTTATAAAAAATGAAGGATTCAATAAATATAAGCTGTTACAAAAAAAAAAAAATGAAGGATTCGGAAGAAAAAAAACGAGAGAGGCTATTGGTTAAAAAATGTAAGGGCTTAGGCCCAAACCAGAAAAAATGGAGAGGATGCAGTTATTGAGTGAGATGAGTAACGGCAGGCTGAGTAAATATGGGCTAATTATTCAATTATTATTTTTAATTAATTGATACGCATTAATTCTAAAAATAGCCGCCAAATAACTTTAAAGTGACAGTTACTCTTAAATTTGTAGCTTAATTTTCAGTTTCTCATATATCGATAAAAACTCACGATTTAAAATGCTATGAATATATTTTTAGTTTTTAAAAATTAACATATAGTCATATATGTTAACATTAAAATAAATATCAATTTATTTTTCTTAAGTATAATTTTTTTTTATCAGCAACTTATTTTATTAACTTGATGTAATGTGATCCTCACTAGGATTTGTACAAGAAATCTTAAGTATAATTTTTATTCAGCTAATTTTGACACGTATTCTTACAAGATACACTTCTTCCTATTTAAACAAAAAAAAAAACAAATATTTGATTATTTTTATGTTGGCGAGGAAACTGATTCATAAGAATGTTTATTAAAGCTAGATATTATTAAAAAAAATATAGTATATTTTAATAAAATATATAAATTATGTCCTACTTTTTAGGAGGTGGTTACAAAAAAAAAATGTAAAACCCAAAGTAACTGCTCCTTTATCTTCGCTAAAACCCTAACCTCTCTCACTCCGTCTCTTTCTCTCTCATATATAGGCGTAAGAGACAGTTAACAACTTTGAAGTCTACTTGAAAGTTGAAACAAAAAGGACACGACATTATCTACATATCGTCTAAAATCAATCTCCAGGTCTTTCATTGATTCTCTCATATATCCTCTCCTGTCTTTACTTTTGTTTTTTTTTTAAATTTGTTTTTAGACGTCTAATATCCATAAGCTCGTTACTAGTAATTAAAGCTTAGTTATTAAGCTTATTAATCATCTGTTAAAATACTCCGTAACTCCTCTCCTGATTGCTTCACCTTCTTCTTTACTTTTTTTCTACAGGTTTCATCTCCTCAATCATGTCCATGGACTGCTTAAGCTACTTCTTTAACTACGATCCACCTGTCCAGCTCCAGGATTGCTTTATCCCCGAAATGGATATGATTATCCCTGAAACCGACAGTTTCTTCTTCGAATCTCAACCGCAACTGGAATTTCATCAGCCATTGTTTCAAGAAGAAGCTCCTTCACAGGCCCACTTTGACCCCTTTTGCGACCAGTTTCTTTCTCCCCAAGAAATCTTTCTCCCTAACCCTAAAACCGAACTCTTCAACGAAACACACGACCTCGATTTCTTACTCCCCACGCCAAAACGCCAGAAACTTATGAACTCGAGCTACCATTGTAACACTCACAATCATTTCCAGAGCCATAACCCGAATTTCTTTGACCCTTTCGGCGACATTGATTTCGTTCCAGAAGCTTCTACCTTCCCGGAGTTTCGAGTTCCGGATTTCTCTTTAGCGTTCAAGGTAGGCCGAGGAGATCAAGATGACACCAAGAAACCGACGCTTTCATCTCAGAGCATTGCGGCTCGAGAAAGGAGAAGAAGAATTGCGGAGAAGACTCACGAGCTCGGAAAACTCATCCCCGGTGGCCAGAAACTAAACACCGCCGAGATGTTTCAAGCCGCCGCTAAGTATGTCAAGTTCTTGCAGAGTCAAGTTGGGATTCTCCAACTGATGCAGACCACGAAGAAGGTAATAGCCAACCCCCAAATAAGAACCTTATTATCCAATTGAAACTCTAATGGCGTTTTCTCACAAGCTGGTTAATTTGCTTACGCAGGGTAGCTCTAATGTGCAAATGGAAACTCGGTTTTTGCTTGAATCGCAAGCAGTCCAGGAGAAGCTATCAACAGAGGAAGTGTGTTTGGTACCGTTTGAAATGGTTCAAGATCTAACAACTGAAGAAACCATTTGGAGAAACCCGAATATTTCTCGAGAGATCAACAAGTTACTGTCTAAAGATCTGTCTAACTAGTTTTAGTTTCAAGCCAGAAGTTCTCTATGCCTAAACTTGTGTCTGTTCTTGTTGTTGTTGATTTAGTGGCTAATTATCCTGGTTAATCTCCTCTTAACTGGGAACTAATACTTTGTCTGTATTAGTCTATGTATTAGCTTTAGTCTGACAATTTTCTTGTTAGTTAATGAATTAATGTATGTCCGCATGTTGAAGCTTTTTTTTACATTAAAGATATCTTTGTGTAAAATCAAGCTTTTTATCCATAATAATTTTGGGGCTTTATTGCTTTGTGGGTTTTACAAATTCAAAGCCCGAACAATCAGATTAAACAAACACTCCGGTTTGCCCGATCGGAAAGGGGCCCTTGATTTTTCGAATTTACGTTATCTTATTTGCTTAGAAAAATTAAACAAACAATAACAACTCTAGATTAAATTCTGGTTTAATTTCTTTTAAATCTAGTTAGTCACAGTTGCAATTGTAAAATTGTTTTTTTTGTTTGAATTAATTTTACATTCGATTCAAAAAAATCCCCAATAAATTTCATTTTAAAAAGTATGTTTGCTGTGTGAAAATAAAAATTTCTATTTTTTATAAAAATATATTACATGGATATTAGACTTTTGTTTGAGTTAAAATTGGACTATATATTTTCTATCAGTAACTTTTCTTCTGGTTTATATCTATTTTTATATAACTATAATTAACTTAAAAATATTTCTCTCTATAATTTACTTTAAATATATTTAATATTTGTTTTTTTTAATGTAATTCTTTTTTTTCATTTTTCTGATGATTTTTTTGATCATATATTTAAATGGCAATTAACATTTCGATAATTTTTACTATTTTGACACAAAATTGATAAGAATGGTTTACCAAACAATGCGCAAACCCGATAAACATTCAATGGTTACAAATAACTAATTCCATCCAAAACATTCTTTATATAGCAACAAATCCACACTATATATTAGATTATTAGTGTAAATGTTCAATGAAAAAAAAGAAGTAAAACAATTATCCAATAAAAAATGGTTATATCCAAAAAAACAATTATGCAATCATTCGCTCTTATAATTATTATATCTATCGTCATGAGCACAACAGAAGCAAAAACCATAGGCAATCCAGCTATGCGAGAAGATGAACCTAAAGGTTGTGCCCCTGGGTCCCCATCAGGTTGCAAAATGCAACCGGCTAATCCATATAAACCAGGTTGCGAAGCTAGTCAAAGATGCCGTGGTGGTTGATAGTATAAGATATTTTTTTACATAAATAAAAATAATAATGTTACACAAATAAGAGTGAATTTTCCAACTAATTTTGTAAACTATAAAATACAAAAAATTTGTAACTATTTTTATGAGAATAAAACTATTTTTATGTAGCTATGCCTAAATTTGTGTCTATTCTCGTTGTTTTGAGTTCTTAGTTAGTGTTTTGTCTTGTTGATTTTGTGGCTAATTATCCTGGTTAATCTCCTCTTAACTGGGAGCTTAATACTTTGTCTGTATTAGTCTATACATGTATTAGCTTTAGTCTGACATTTTTTTGTTACTTAATATATGTCTGCATGTTGAAGCTTTTACACTAAAGGAAATCATTGTGGAAAATCAAGTTTTACCCATACAAGTTTGGGGCTTTATTGCTTTGTGGGTTCTACAAATTCAAAGTCCGAAGAATCAGAAACAAATTCTCCAATTTGCCCGATCGGAAATGGGCCGTTGAGTGATCCATGTCTTAATTTTTGGGATTTCGAATTTAATATTTATATTTATCATGGTTTTAGTTACGGGACAAACAAACAGATTAGCTTAATATAATTGGAAGTATCATTTTAACTGAGATAATATTATTCGCTTCTAAAAATTGAGGTGAGTCAGTGAGTGGTAAGGATCGTGGGATCTTGGGGGAGATATAGTTGTACTCTGATTTTGATTCTCATTGTCTCTTAAAGTTTGTTAAATCTAAAAATATCCAAAAACGACTCACCTAATGAGTTAATGTACTATTCAAGTTTCAAACCAAGCAAAAAGAAAACTTCGGTTATTTCGAACATAACAAAGTTGTTTTAGGTGAAAAAAAACTTATGATTTTGTTTAAATAAAATTTGAAGACGAATACATAAAAGGTCTTTAACTTATACAACCAGTCTCAAACTAGAAAAAAGTACATAAAATTCAGAAATAGATGAGCGGGGTTCTTTTTTAAAAGTTTTTTTTGTGTGTGATGTATATGTTTAATGGAAGAATTTATCGTTACGGTCTCATAAAGAGAGTTCATTATTATTATTCTAAAGAATAAATGTTTAATCAATATTGTCATACATCAATCTTCTCCTACCACTTCTTTATTTCTACACCATAAATTTATTTTATACTACTTATTTAATTTGGAGGGATTATTAGCCAACCATCGTTATCACCAGCTTAGTAGGAATTAAGGTTATAACGAAGCTAGTCTAAAAAGTTTATCGATGGGACTTACCACCATATTTTTTTTTTTTTTTGGTGGACTTACCACCATATTTTATCATGCTATTACTAAAAATCAAATATACAGTATAATTAATAAATGTCCCACAGTTATACCCCAAATAAAAATAAAAGTAAACATTTTCATTAATCTAAAATAAAGGTGACGCCAAATAGTAGCATCCATAAGCCTATTTGCCCACCAAAAACCTCTCGTTCTCTATGTCCCATCGTGAGAGGATAAAAAATTAAAAACCATTGAAAAGTAAACCTTATGATAATTAAACGTGTAATATTCGACTGTTGTTTTTCTCCATCCCTCTCATCAATCAAACCTTTTCTTTAGAAAATTAAATAAAAATAAGTTGTGATGCACCTTTTCTTTCTATCAATCAAAGTCCGATGGATTTGACAAAACTTAAGGTCACTATTTACAAAATACTTTTGATCAAAAGTTGAGATCCCACACACTTTCGTAATCCCATATAATCAATTTTTGCAACAGTATGTAAAAATGGGAAAATTTAAACAAGTGGATTTTTCTTTCCCTATGGAATAAAGATAACATTGAAAATAGAAAAACTATATGTCAATAACATTAATTTTTCTATTCTGTAAAACTGTAACGCATGTAAGCAGCAAGGTCTGAGATACGATTCACGTTAAAAAAAATATGTATTGTACAATAGTTTAGACGGCTCTGTTTTGTTTTTTTTTTTTTTTTTTTTTTTGACATTTTTGGATCGACAAGATCCGATCCATAGCCAATCCCTACTACGCGGGGTAACGCGACTTAGTGGAGTCGAACTCCGGTGGGGAAGGCGGAGTCAAGTGGACTTAACCATTTGACTAAAGACACATGACGGCTCCGTTTAAAGGGGCAGATTTTTTTTTTGTTAACTTTCTCAAATAAATTATACAAACATCATATTCATAGTCATCACCAGTCAGAATGAGTAAAGACATTATTATATCAATGTGATGATAACTATTATTATGGGATTCTCATTTAATTCGGCCCGTAAGAAAAGCCATGAAACTAGGGCTTTCTTCCTGCCTTCCGAGATCATCCACATGCATGGTCAAAAGGAGAAAATTATCCCTCTTAACAAATAAGATAAATTATTATTACCATTCAATATTACCTACTTCTTATATCCATATATATGATCATAGTATTGAGCTACTAAGCTTGGACAGCTTTAATCGCAACGAGAATATCTACTTCTTGAATTTAAGTTTATTGTATCTAGTTAGAATTAAGGACTTGTTAAAATCATGCTTTGAATTTTAATTTGTCCATTACAATTTCAATATTAATTTTTGTCAACTTTGTAAAATAATGTAGTGTAAATAATTATTAACGAGGTTACCCTTCATCGGCTTCCAGGCAAATTTGGCTAAGGCTAATACCGTCATTTAACACAAACGAATTACATGAATAATTTTATATCTATGTATACATTAACAAGAATGTTTATAACGACCTTGAGGAGTCGTCGTCGTCAAAGAAATCACTAAAAACGTCCGGAATCGTCGTTTTGTTTTCCATGTTGCCTCCGCGGCTACTGTGAGAGAGCAACATAGTCAAAGAATCTCCCTCAAGCTCGTCGAGATCGGCGAAGAAATCCTCCGGCTGATGTTGAAACTCTCGCAACAACTCCGGTCTATATGTATCTTCAATGTCATTATAATCGAACTCCATATTTTCCTGACGCTCTTCCACGTTCTCCTCCTTAACTGCGGCGGCAGCATAAGGAGGAAGAGTGGAAGAGGAAGGCAAGTGGGAGTTATTTGGTTCGTTTTTGGTATTGTTGTCGAGGGAAACTCTGGATGAGGGAGACGTAGTTGCGGTTGAGTATTTGGAAGAAGGGTTTAAAGAGGAGGAGGAAGAGGAACGAGTGGAACCGGCGAGAGCGTTGCGTTGAGTAGGCCATGGATGGTTATGCTCGGAGGTGTAAGTAATGACTAACATGTTTGGGTCAGTGCGGCTACGTTCGACTTGTTTCCTAGCTGAACAACCTTTTGAGCTGCTACATCTGTAGTAACCCCTGAGAAACAAATAATTAATCCTAATTCAAGTAACTATCAAAGACTTACTTAACCATATTTTAGGTAAACATGTGTGACAAATAAGAAGTAACTGCCCATTTGATCACTTATACGCACAATTGATCAAGGAATAACAAACAAACCTTAATGATATCTTAGCTTTTCTGATGGAATATATATTATGATTATAAGATAAGTTTGCATCAAATGTCACAATAAGGCATATAAAAGGCTTAATGTGCACCGTAGAAAATTGAAGGAACTTTATACTTTATAGTTCCATGCTAATGATTGCACCTGCAATATTTGTTTGTGATGAAGGGAAAAGCATGGTTGTAGATCCTACTTAAATGTGAATTTTCTTTTCAATCGTTGATAAAGAAAAAACTACTTTTTCCTCTTACAAAAATTCACTTTTCCAGTAACATATACGTTTGTATTATAATATAGCAATTTTCAAGTTGTTAGAAAACATTCCTATTAAAAGAATATACTTATATTTTATATCTAAATATGATGTTTGTAATATGTTTAAACGGAGTCACTGACATAGGGTTATATATAAAAACATGGTATATATGTTTATGTGTACCTTGGATAAGGAGAACCTTTGATGGGTTTTTGACCGTACTTTCGCCAAGCCCATAGATCAGACGGAACAACTTCTCCACTGGACCGGCTATTCATAGCGGCTGGAGCCGGTATGCACACCACTTTCTTTGCCTGGCTCTTCCTGAATCAACCGTCAATATATTGACTAAGTATACGTTTAACTGTTGTAATGCAAAGCTAATTTTGTGATCAATGTTAGTGTGGGACATGATGAGTTCGGTTTTAGATATGGTGCATTGTCGATGTTCGTTTTTTTTAATGATGTTTACACTTCATACATAACCTACTGCGCATACCCTTTTCAAATTTGAAAAGATAAAGATGTATACAAACAAAATCATATAAAAGTAAAATAAGATTTAAAATGAAAAAAAAAAGGAAAATAAGAAGTTCAACGAAAGGAAAACGACAGAATTAAAATTGAACAACCGAAAAAGGACGAACATAAGAATTCAGAAATTTTCATAAAGGGTTGCATATACATACACAAAACGAAACCCTAGCGCTATTTCCAGTAAGTTTTTTTTTTTGTTTGGTTTCATTTCTTAATTTTCAAAAAGATAGAACGGCGAGTAACCTAATCAAGTGTTCAAATATGAAAATCTGAAAGAAAAAAAGGTAGTAGGTAATTCGTTAATACTATATAGTTAATAAATGAAAACTCTCTTCAGAGAAAAATAATTAATCACATGGTGTTATTATATTTTATCATGAACCTAACATTAAATGATCTCGTTTACTCAAGAAGGGAAAAATGATAATTAAATCACGTAGATCGAATTTTAATAAACTTACCTTCTCTTTATGCCGAGATTCCGAGGGGAAGAAGAGATCTGATGAATCTGTGAGGATGATGACGTGTTATTATTATCGACCAGTAAACAGTTTCTTGGACTGTTAGTGGTATCAACGTTGATCATCCCCCACGGCGAAGCTGCTGCGGCGGCGGAGGAGACGGCTATGGCAGGAGAATTACACGTGGAGGCATCGTGGATGATGTTACTTTGCGTGATTCTGATTCTTGGGAAGCCACTGCATTGACTCTTGATATGATCATCCTCAAAAACCTTTGGAAACATTGCAAAACTGCTGTTGCTTTTGTTATCTCCGGCGCCGGATAAGTAGCCGGAGTTTCCCGGGAGGTGGATGAGAGGGTCTGTCATGCTTACGAACGGGTCTCCGAAGGGATTTGTTAGACAGCTGGCAGAAGTAGCGGCGGAGGGGAAATCCACGTGGAGATCTGATGTTGGCGGCGGAGACAAGTTGCTCGGAAATGGACCTTCCGGTGGTCCAGGAGATGCTAACACGTGTCCTGATCCAATTCCTCGTACAACGTCTGTTAGATCTCCTTGGAAGTTGTCCATGTCTAGTAACTCAAAGACGCTGCACATAATATATATACCTATATATGATGCGTGTGTTTTTTTTTTTTTTTTTTTTTTTTTTTTTTTTTTTTTTTTTTTTATGATGCGTGTGTTTATATGTATATATGAGATTTATACACAGTGGAAGATTTACAAACTCCAAAAATAATAAAAAAAATTAGAAACAATGATTAGGAATCCGTGAGAGAAGTCTGATTATAATTCTCGATCGTTGATATATGTAGGATTATTTACTTGGGGGAAATTTGTGATTTTCTTGGGGAAGAAGAAGATGAATGGTTGATGAAACGAGAAAGAGACGCTGACTTTTCAGAATGAGAATATCTTCGACAACTTCTCCAAGTTAGAGAGAGAGGGAGATCAGATTATGTACTCGTTATATATAATGAACTGATTAATAAACAATTAAGTATATCTTAAGGAGGTGAAGTGATATAATTTTAAAATATAATTTCATGGATCGAGATATATACGGCCAAGTCTTATACTTTTTATCTATATTAGTATATCATTATAAATTTATAATGTGAAAGGGCATATAATGAGATGGTGCACTTGAGAGAAAGAAAAAAAAAACAAGTGATTGGGAAGTAAAGAGATGGGCAAAGAGCCGCATTTATCGGAGTACGTTTCATTTTTAATCCAATGTCATTGGGCCACGTTAACATTCTGAAATACATTTTGCTGTTGTCTTGAGTACCAAAAAATCTGTTTGTCTGTATGTATTTTTGTTTATTTATTCAAATTAGGTATACAAGTTTTTTTTTATTATATAAAAGTGAATCATATGAGAATTTCTTTTGTGTATTTTTTTTGTCCCCAACCATATATAATAGAGTACTGTATTATATATGTATTAATGGTTTATAATGATCTCATAATTTAATTTTCTTATTTATTTCGTTTATCTTTAATAGACTTGAGCTAGATATAACAAAAGAAGTTATCCGTTACTGATATTGAATATTGGCATTGTTCAAGTCAACTACCGTTGACTTGCATTTTGCTGGTCATTTCATAATTACAAGTGACTAGAAAAATAAGAAATAAAGCAGTTTTAATTAGTTCTTATATTGAAAAAATAAATAAAGAGAGAGAAGCAATTTAAGTGATTACTTATATGCCCCATAACTAACATTATTTTTAAAAATCTAATTGCAGAGGATTATGCTAACTAATCAAGAAGAAATCATTAGCTTGCATATAATTACACCGGGAAAGATGAAAGACACTGAGGAATTCGTTTCTGTCAGAGTCGTAAATGACAAAATGTAATTTAATATGACTACCTTAAAAATCTAATAAGGTATTATGAGAAAAAAATATAATAACGGAGTATAAATAAGACCGACCCCGTACGTGACAAATTTCCATGTTGATAAAAGTTAAATATAGTTTGGGAACTTTTGTGTGAATTTCGGCAAAAATTGAAATTAATTCTTGTTCAAATTTGTGCCAAAAGAATTTTAACATCATTTCTTAAAATTATTATTACGTTATTTGTTTTTTTTTTTCTATTTATAATTAGTTAGAATTTTTTTAACAAGTGTGTTATAATGAACGATATTGTTTGGGGATAGAACATTTTTCTTAACTCATCGTCTGCTTCACGGTTTTAGATTTGCAAAACAAATATAATTGTTTAGACATAATCAAACCAAACAATCTTATAAAACAAATATAATTGTTTACATCAAAAGACAGTTGATGTAATGTAAGTGGCCAGGACTGGTAGAATAACGACTCTTCAAAATATACGAACACATAATTTATAATTTATTCAAATCTGAGTTGGTTTAAAAAAAAAAACCATTCTCAGTTGGTGTATATATGGCTGTAGATTGATTTAATATTGGTGCCAACTAAGTATACGTTTGCAGTTATCTCATTCTAGATTTGCCATATTGTCGCCAACTATATATTTATATACTAATCTAATTTACATTTTCATATACTATTTACACCAAATTTCTTGAAAACATATTTGTCTATCACATCTATATGAATTTCCATGTATAGTACCGATTAAAAATAAACTGAAGAATGAGTAGTATCATGGGTAATAAATTCCTCACATGGTATTAGCATGTGTTTTTATGCATGATGGACTTAATTAATTAGTTTATTTATTTATAATCTAATTCATAATTATTCTTGGAATAAATGCCCATCCTAAATAATATTGTAACTCACCTACTTGGTTATTTTTTTGTTAGCTAGCTGGTTGACAACAAACATTTTTTGTGTTGATTAAATTAAATAAAAGAGTTTCCAAACTAGCTGCTTGAATATTATTGGTCAAATTAAAATAAGCCATTTCTTAACGGCTTGAGATATACTAATAAAGTACTATTTTGTACATAATATTTATATATATAATAAGTGCTAAGCTAAGCCCACGCATTTAATAATATAAGTCCCTCTCGATCAGGACATACATCATGTAAATGTGCAACAATGTACTAGTTTGTGGTAATTTTGATTGCTGTGTTAATAACAGATTCATCAAATCCATCAGTGTCACTACCATATTCAAATCTGCATGGTATATGTAGTTATAAAGAAATTTTAAATCTTTTACATTCATTCCGAATTCCGATAATAAGAAATGGTGTTCATATGATCTAATTTCTTTCACTCCTTAATTTTTGCCACCGCATTTAAACTAATCTTGATGTTCATATAATATTACCCAAAACAATTGTAAAACAATAACCACACCGGTCATGTAAGATGCTTCATAGAATATAAAATTTGCATGTTACAAAGAAAAGAATATGACGAGAAAAATAAGAACTTCATCATTGGCTATGGTTATATAGGTTGGTACAATGTTACCAATATATTTGGTGTTAAATAGAAACCTTAAAGTGGAAATTAACCACCCAAAAACTAAATTAAACATTTATTATTTTCTTAAAACGAACAAAAACACTATTGAAATGCTTAGATTTGGCATGTAAAAAAATGGTCGGCTTCATGACAAACACTTAGATCCACGTTCGTGCATTACAACCTCATCACTACTATATATTTTTTATCCCATATTTTTTTTTTTTTTTTTTTGATATGAATTTATCCCATATTATTTCTCATTTTTTTTCCTTATTTAACATTATCAAATTATATATCGATTCAGTTTGCGTGTATTGAACAGTTACAAAATCGACGTATTCATATTCACACAGATTTATGCAATATACGACAAATAAAACACAGATTCACTTTTCTTGGGAAATTTGGAGCTTGGAGGTTGGATCAAGTTTATAAGTGGACTGAAACTTGAAACCGTCTCCAACAACTCGAGATCTTAGTAAAAATAAACTGCACTTTATATACCACTGCTTCACTCGGTGATCTATATTTGGATGAAAATGATGATTTTATTCCAAAAAGTAAAAATAATTACGAAAGTTTTTCTTTTAAGTCTATAGTCACGTTTTTGCTATTTTATTCCTCTATATACTGTATATATATATCCTCTATGTTTTTATTTCTCAAAATAACATTTTTTTGTTTTTTAAATGGATGTCAAAAACATCTTTGTTCAACCTTTCTTTTATATGTAGACTGTAGTTCTGTTTTTTTTTTTTATATAAAGACTGTAGTTCTCTCACTTCCCATTTGGCTTCTTTAGATATTTTATCAAAATGAGATAAAGAAGAAAAAAAACCAATCACGACCCATATGATATGAAGCAGGCCTCGTCTCTAATGGCCACGCAGATTCATTTTAATATGAAACGACATGAATTAACTTAATACATTGTTTACTACAATAATTAGACCAGACGGTGCAAAAAGTAAAACAAAATAAGTCATGCCTCCCTCGTTCTACGGCGACGCATGTTGATTTCGATAATAATAATAATAGTGATGATATTGATATCTATTATCCAATAATATATATAATTAAGAGTTTATTGACAAAGAATGATAAACATAGAATTTGGATTGGTACTAACCACGAAACATGTGTTTTAGATTGGTAACGTATGTTTAGACACAATTAATATTTAAAAGAAGCATTTGAAACATATATTAATACTTTTATAAGTGAGCAGGCCTTTGGAATAGGGATTACAAATCGTGAAAAAAAAAAAAGACAATTAATATTTTTTTGCATGACTGAAGTAAGAACCAAATTAGAGGAGCTAATTCCAAGAAGATGCAGTTTACATTTAAAAGGTGTATGTAATTAAAGTCTGTGATGACCGTAAACACAGCTTATACTATTCTAATGCAGCTAAAACCATTACACAGAGAATTGCAAGATGTCACCTGTACAAATTGATTTGGCATTTAGACTGTAGAGGTTAATATTTTTTTGGGATAAACTATAGTACTGATTTATGTTATTGGGTTGTGTAGCACGAGGACTTCTTTGCACATGTGAAATGAAAATTGACTTTACGTAAAATCGACCATGCTCTTTAAGTGTTCCTCAAGTTCATACAAAAAAACAACAGTCATCCTCTTATAACTATATTATAACATGATAATTTAAATTTGAACTATGTTTATTTAGCTATATATAATAAATGTTAATTTATTGTATAAAATTTTAATTAGGAATAGCTCGTTAAACCAAATGTAGTACACTAATTCAACCATGTATGTCGTCTGATACGATTTCGAGTAGACGAGTAGTGTGATGATATGCTTAAGATAAAAATTCAACTTATTAATAAAAAAATTTGTTCCACGTTTCTGATTGAAAAACATAGACAGACAGACCAAAAAGCTCACCACACTAAACTAAATATAAAGCCCATGAGTCAAAGAACCTGCTTCGTTACTTTGCCGCACGAGGCCCAAATCAAATTTAGGGTGTTGATTGTACATTTCAAAATAACTTGGATTATTATGCATACATTTTGTAATTAAGGGGTTAAAATGTTATTAACCCGTTTGTTTTTAATTTCTCAGTTTTTATTTTATTTTTGTTCGTCTGGAATTAGACGCGAAACTGTGAGATAGCAATGGCAGGACCAGATCACCTATTCTATTAGGGAGCTTATCAAACGGCGATCAACAACAGCGAGATCGCTAACCTCTCGCCGGAAGACGCCGTGGAACGTGACTGCCTCGTCTTCCGATCTTACATCGCCCTCCGTAGGCCGTAGCTATCAGGTTTCTCTACTTAACTTCTCTCTTCATATCGATAATGTCTTCTTCTTTAGATTCGATTACGTTTTGTTTTGATATGTTCTTCGAATTTTTGTGTGTTTAAGCTTGTCATCAGTGAGATCGATGAATCAGCCGCTATTCCACTACAAGCAGTCAAAATCCTCGCTATGTATCTATCGAGTCCTCAAAATAAGGTAATTCGGATTGTGATTCGTGTTCCCAAACATTTGAATTTTGGTTGCAAAGAGATTCAAATCCTGATATGTAACGATTATTCTTGGTTCAGGAATCAACAATTTCAAGCTTGAAGGAATGGTTGGCAGATTAAACAATAGGAAACAATGCTACATTGCGATTGATTACTGGTATTATTTTCATGCATGAAGAAGATTATAATGAAGCTTTGAAGCATACTCATGCTGGAGGAACTATGGATCTGTAAGATTTTATTTGGTGGATTGAGTATATCCTGTGATGAGAGTGGTTCTTTCATTTTCATGTTCTTGGAATGCTCTCATTACTCCTGTGTTTCTAGGCATGCCTTGAATGTTCAGATATTCATTAAGATGTACAGAGCTGATTATGCTGAGAAGCAGCTTAGAGTGATGCAACAGATTGATGAAGACCACACTCTCACTCAACTTGCTAGCGCGTGGTTGAACCTGGCAGCGGTATAATCGAAATATAGAATGTGTTTTGGCTTATTCTATAAAGAGTTCTGTTTTTCCTCCTTATGCTAAGGCGTTCTATGATTTCAGGGGGGTTCAAAGATACCGGAAGCTTATCTCATTTTTCAGGATTTCTCTGACAAGTACCCGATGACATGCTTGATCTTGAATGGCAAAGCTGTTTGCTGTATGCAAATGGGTAACTTTGATGAAGCTGAAACGCTTCTGCTTGAAGCACTCAACCAGGTAACTACAAATTAAGCTGAAATGCCGCTGGTTGCTACATCAAGCCTCCATGATCCATCAATCAAACATACATTCTTGTCTACAAGCGTATATATGACTTGATGGATATTTTACCTCCGCTCTAATAGGGATTCCGGTGGATTGGCATTTGCCTCAAACCAAGCATGGCATAACAATAGAGTTGCGTCTCTATATTTGAATTCTTTGTCTCACATCTAATTATAAATTGTCCCTGTATTTCAATTGGTCTATTTATCATAACTCTTCGCTTTACATATAAAAAATAATATTGTATTAACTTATTTTCTAAAGGGTCGCATATATTACCAACTCTATTGTTTATTCTTATTTTCTAATAGTATTAAGTTTGTTTTTCATTCTTGAATAAATAATTAAAATATTAAATATTAATTGATTTAAATCCGAATGTAATAACCAACGTTATTATAGTATTTTAGAATTATTTAAGCGCTTTCAAATATTAAAATTTAATGTCAATAGCAACAATATGAGCCAAATTCTATGATTTTTTATGTAGTGTTATTCTCATTTTATAATTTTTTGAATGAATTATATATTTCTAACTTCAAAAAATATATATATATATATATATATATTTGAATCAAAATTTTAAAAATGTAAACTAAAAAAATGTTGTGTAAAAAATATATAATATAGTTCTTAAATATAAAATATTTTTTCAAAGATTATTATTTAAAAACAATTTTTTATTTTCCATTCAATTTGTGGGGGTATCGGACTATCGGTCCTAATATTTGTTAAGTAAAAGCCACATTTATTTCAATTTCTTATATCTCAGAAAAACTTAAACACGTCCTATCTATAGACAACGCTTCACATGATGTATGTTGGGCTTCCATTCCACATGTAATAGTAGATAGGAAAACAAAAAAAATAAATGATATTGAAACTGAGTTTTTAGCAATGGTGCAAGATAATCAAACCAAATTAAGTAGAGACAAAACAAAATCGGTTAAGGATCTATATAAACTCTTTCTTTTATTTCTCGGACACAACACAAAGGAGAAAATAAAACAACATACAAAATACGTGTTTGTCATACAAAGAGCAAGAGATCATCTCTGAATATAGTGATATAGATAGACTTGACAACATTTTTTCATCCGGCAACTTGATTAAGCAAAGACCACAGTGGAACGTTTAGCTTGGGCATAGTGAAAGTGAGGCACATCAGTGGTTTTTCAGAGTTGTCAAAAGCTTTTATGTGAATATTCAATTTCGCCTGCAGAAGTGTAAAACCAAAAGAAGCGAAAATATCGTCAAAGAGTCCAACCAACGGTAGTTTAATAGGAAAGAAGACAAAATACTTATTAATCAAAAACTAGTGTTAATAAAATAACACATGTTAAATTTATTAAATGGTAGTGGATTAGTGATTCTTATTTGTGGAGGATTAATTGACTTGTAAATTTAAGGTAAATACCAATGTAATTTCTTATAAACGTAAAATTATTTAACCATTTTTACTGGGTTAGTCAAAATGGTATTATACTTTACTTAGAACAACTGCTCGAAAATTCTCCAAATACAGTAGAATAAAATTAACTAACGGTGGAAAACGTTGCTCATAATAAGCATAAAAGTACATTTGATTCTGTGGTTTTCCTTGCTATCTCATTGAAACCCAACTATTCCTAATCTTTTTCTAACATATCCTTTTATTCGTTATATAAAAAAATGTACTCGGCTTACTTTATGTGATTATATTTCTGATGACATATTATGTGATCATATGTAGATGTTTATTTTGTGTAATTTAATAGTTACAAAAAATAAAAGAAAAAACTTACTGGTGCATCAGAAGGTAAAAATTTGTCAAGAGAAAGTACGAAGGCACCAGGTGCAACAGGGCAGTCCGTATGTGCACAGAGGTCTAACGTTTGACTGAAGATAGTAATAACGCCTATTTTAATTACCACATTCATGTATCCTCCCGTATTTAAAGTTTCACCTGTCCATACCAAAGATATTACCAAGAAAAAGATCGGAAACTAAACTAATTAAGAGTGAAAACTTGGATGAAAATAAGAAAATTGATGAAAGAATCAATTAGCTAGGTACTTGTAGAACCGGATATCTTTAAGCTTGTCTGAAGCTTGTCCTGCAATATCTCCACACTAGTGACTGTAACAGGATCCGAGTTATAACCTAAAACAGCCACAAAGATTAAGATCATAAGATCTTAGAGTGAAGAGTACAAGTTTCATCACAAGCAAACACGCACAAAAATCATTACTAGATTCTTATATATATATATATAGACAAAAATATAGAGTCGATACATAAAACATGAGAGATTGTGATAGATTCAGTTTTTGGTTTTATTTCTGGAGTCAACACTAGCTAGCTAGAGATAAATACTAGAGAATCCTCTAGCCTTCGAATCCTAAATCCAACCAATTATCGTCCTGTACTCATGTCTACCGATATTCTGTTCATATTGTTCCTACCTAGTCCACACCAAGTAACATAACCAATCTTCAAACATAAGCAATAAATAACCAAATTTTATGATCTCAAAAAGCAACTCAAGAACAAAGAACAGAGTTAGTAGCAAACCGCAGGTTTTAAAAGGGACGGTAGTGGCACGCAGAGTAGGTAGGAAGAAGAGTAGGCTGAGAAGAAGAATGAGATGAGCGTGGGAGATCGCCATGGATTAGCACTCAATGATCTTCAAAATGGTAAAATATTTTCTTGTTTGGTTTGACAGACAAGTTTGTAGTACTTCTTCTTATGCATCCGATCATAGTTGTATATATAATAACTTCCTAAATTAGTGGATCGGATCATTCTCTAACTATTACGAGTATTATTAATCTCCCACGTTACACGCGAGAATGTTAAAATATTAGTGCATGTGCCACTGGGATTGTCAGATCATTAACTAACCGCTTCATAAGCCAATTGCATTTCGTTTCGTTGACTAAAAAGTTATGGCTTAGACACGTACATCATTCTATAGTGGGACTAATAGATGAGAAAACTTTATTAAAATATCAAAACATTTAATTTCAACAAAGATACACAAATTATTATTTTTATTTATTTTAATATTTCGAGATCGTAAACCGTATATTTAACTGACAATATATACGACGTACGTTAATCGAATAATTTTTTTTTTACTTTTTTAAACTTTTGAAAATTAAAATTACATATTTAGAGATTATCTAGATTTAAAGATTTATCCAAAAAAATCTTTGAATTTATAGGTTAATTTTCCTAACTCAAATTAGAAACTAAAAAAGATGACGGACGGTGTTAAAAATGATAGAAAATCGTTGTTAAACTTTGTTAGTTGTTACAAGATATTCTAAAATGGATGCACGGTTTTAAATTTTGAATATGATAAAAAAAAAAAAAAATTTATATTTTTTTTGGATACGCAAAAAGTTTGTAACAATTCTGGATGGTAAATATATTCGTGTTTTAAAATAGAATTCGTTATTATACTAGTTTGTGATGGTTGCAAGATGTAAAGATCCAGAAACTCTTGCAAACCTCGTTGTGTGCAGTATTCATGTCGGGAAATCGTCTTCACGCTACCTAAGGTAAATTTTCATCATCTACACACATATAAGGCGTCTTTTGGCCCAAATCATTCCGTAGAATGGTGTCCTTATTTCTTATAAAAATATTAGTTAGTCTCATGTATTTTGCTCTATTTATATCTCCTATCCTTTTTGCAGTCAGTTGAAGCTTTCACACCCGAAACACGTACTTGTAAAACTGTGTATTATCAGCCAAAGATAACTTCGAGAGAGCAGTTCAATCGGTCGCCTAAAGACTGTTCCATGGTTCAGGATAAAAGACGTGCAAGATCGGTTTGCTTGACAGCATATTTTCATCGGGATGGTAAATCTACCGGAACAACCATACGGTCCTGTCTTTTCAAAAGCTTAATATATGAACCAAATTATACCATTGGATATGTTACAGTTACCATATCATTACTTCTAAAGTAACATTCACCTCTCCAACCGAAGCCTTGAGTGGATGCACGTCCACGGTCAATCTCACCATTTTATTGGGTTTAAATCCGTATATCCTCTCATGACAGGGATAGAACGGATTGGTTTAGCATTTAGACTTTAGAGAATTGCAAGATGTCACCCCTTTACAAATTGATTTAGCATCTAGACTTCAGAAGAAGCAATGGCAGCCAGCCATGGGAGCAGGACCAGATCACCTCTTCAACCTATGAAACAATTTATATTTGGGAGCTTATCAAACTACGATCAACAACAGCGAGATCGCTAACCTCTCGCCGGAAGACGCCGTGAAACGTGACTGCCTCGTCTTCCGATCTTACATCGCCCTCGGTAGCTATCAGGTTTATCTACTTAACTTCTTTAGATTCGATTACGTTTTGTTTTGATCTGTTCTTCGAATTTTGTGTGTTTAAGCTTGTCATCAGTGAGATCGATGAATCGGCGGCCGCTACTCCCATAGCCGGACCAACGAAAATTAGGGACTCCATACGGATTAAAAAAAAATAGTATCAAAGTTTCATTAGAATAAAAAAAAATCAGAGTAAAAATAACTAGTTTAAGCAAAACTTTTGATTGTTTTAGAATTTCAAAGAATTTTTCTTATTCGATTAAGGAAAAATAACTTACTTTTTTATTTATCATACGGTCATGTCTTTTCAAAATCTCAGTATATGAACCTGATTTTGCCATTGGATATGTTACAGTTACCATCTCACTACTTTTAATATAGAGTTCCACCTCTCGCTCTCTCAATTCTCTTTGTGATTTTTTGAACTTAACCCAATCTAGATCTTGTATCCAAACCGAAACCTTGAGTGGACGCAATGCACGTCCACGACCAATCTCACCATTTGATGAACCGATGGTTTGAATTCAAATTAGTAATACTATAAACAAAACAAAACCTTCTCACTTGGGAAGAAAACTTCAAAACTCCAACCACTGATTTCACTTCTACACCAAGAAGCAAAATATGTTTTCCCTTCAGGATTATTATAAACTTCATGACACTCTATCCCTGCAACTGCAATCCGTCCCAAAAGCTTGATATGTCACTTGGCGTAAGGAGAGCCATTGTATTGACCACAGGCCACAAGAGAGCCCCGAGCTTAGTGTGAAGGGGAGAGAGAGCATACGAGATTGGTTTCTTGATCTTAGCAGACGATTGTCTTCCTGCCAGGTCAATCCATAGCCATCCAATGCCGTTGGTTGCTACATCAAGCCTCTATGATCCATCAATGAAACATACATTCGACAAGCGTATGGCTTGATGGATATTTTACCTCCGCTCTAATAGGGATTTCGGTGGGGTATCGGTCCTAATATTTTTTAAGTAAAAGCCACATTTATTTCATTTTCTTAGATCTCAGAAAAACTTAAACACGTCCTATCTATAGACAACTCTTCACATGATGTATGTTGAGCTTCCTTTCCACATGTAATAGTAGATATAGATACTAGATAGGAAGACAAGAAAAATAAATGGCGTTGAAACATGAGTTTTTAGCACTGGTTCAAGATAATCAAACCAAATTAAATAGAGACAAAACAAAATCGGTTAAGGATCTATATAAACTCTTTCTTTTATTTCTCGGACACCACATAAAGGAGAAAAGAAAACAACATACAAAATACATGTTTGTCATACAAATAGCAAGAGATCATCTATGAATATAGTGATATAGATAGACTTGACAACATTTTTTCATCCGGCAACTTGATGAAGCAAAGACTGCAATGGAGCGTGCCCGGGTATAGTGAAAGTGAGGCACATTAGTGGTTCATCAGAGACGTCAAAAGCTTCTATGTGAACATTCATTTTCACCTGCAAAAGGGTAAAACCAAAAAGAAGCGAAAATATCGTCAAAGAGTCCAACCCAACAGTGGTTTGACAGGAAAGAAGACAAAATATTTAATCAAAAACTAGTGTTAATAAATTAACACGTGTTACATTTATTAAATGGTAGTGGATTAGTGATTATTATTTGTGGAGGATTAATTGACTTGTAAATTTAAGGTAAATAGATACAAATATAATTTCTTATAAACGTAAAATTATTTAATCATTATCACTGGGTTAGTCAAAATGGTAATATACTTTACTTAGAACAACTGCTCGAAAATTCTCCAAAAAGTGAGGTACATTTGATTCTGTGGTTTTCCTTGCTATCTCCTTCGAACCCAACCATTCCTAATATTTTTCTAATATATCGTTTTATTCGTTATATAAAAAAATGTACTCGGCATACTTTATGTGATTATATTAGTGATCACATATTATGTATATGCTTATTTTGTGTAATTTAATAGTCACGAAAAATGTAAGAAAAAACTTACGTCTTTTGAATAATGAGTTACCAATTTGTCAATAGGAAGTACGAAGGCACCAGGTGCAACAGGGCAGTCCATATGTTCACAGAGGTAGAACGTTTTTGCTAAGATTCTAAGAACGCCTATTTTAATATCCACATGCATGTATCCTCCCATATTTAAAGTTTCACCTGTCCATACCAAAGATATTACAAAGAAAAAGATCGGAAACTAAACTAATTAAGAGTGAAAACTTGGACGAAAATAAGATAATTGGTGAAAGAATGAATTCGCTAGGTACTTGTAGAACCGGATATCTTTAAGCTTGTATGAAACTTGTCCTGAAATATCTCCACACTAGTGACTGTAACAGGATCCAATTTACCACCTAAAACAGCCGCAAAGATTAAGATCATAAATCTTAGAGTGAAGAGTACAAGTTTCATTACAAGCAAACACGCACAAAAAATCATTACTAGCTAGATTCTTCTATATATATATATAGAATCGATACATAAAACATGAGCGATTGTGATAGATCCAGTTTTGGTTTTATTTCTGGAGTCAACACTAGCTAGCTAGAGATAAATACTAGAGAATCCTCCAGCCTTCGAATCCTAAATCCAACCAATTATCGTCCTGTCCACGATGCATCTACCGATAATCTTCAAACATTAGCAATAAATAACTAAAATTTATGGCAAGTTAATAGTATGAAACTTTCATCTCCTAATTCTATGATCTCAAAAAGCAACTCAAGAACAAAGAACAGAGTTAGTAGCAAACCGCAGTTTTCAAAAGGGACGGTAGTGGCACGCAGAGTAGGTAAGAAGAAGAGTAGGCTGAGAAGAAGAATGAGATGAGCGTGGGAGATCGCCATGGATTAACACTCAATGATCTTCAAAATGGTAAAATATTTTCTTGTTTGGTTTGACAGACAAGTTTGTAGTATTTCTTCATATGCATCCGATCATAGTTGTATATATAATAACTTCCTAAATTAGTGGATCGGATCATTCTCTAACTATTATTATTAATCTCCCACGTTACACGCGAGAATGTTAAAATATTAGTGCATGTGTCACTAGTATTTGTCAGATCATTAACTATACCGCTTCATAAGACAATTGTATTTCTTTTCGTTGACTAAAAAGTTATGGCTTAGACACGTACATAATTCTTTTTTTTTTTGGTGCGCGACACGTCGGGAAGTCATTATTCCAGAAACTCTTGCAAACCTTGTTGTGTGCAGTCTTCACGTCGGGGAGTCATTATTCCTTGTAAAACATTAGTTAGTGTCATTTGTTAAGTTCATTTGTATCTCCTATCCTTCTTGCAGCCAGCTGAACTTTAACACCCGGAACACGTACTTGTGAAGCGTGTGTCATCAGCTGAAGATAACTTCGAAAGAGCAGTTCAATCGGTCGCCTAAAAACTCTTCCATGGTTCAAGCTAAAAGACATGTGCAGGATCGGTTTGCTTTACCGCTTCTTTTCACCGGGTTGGTAAATCTAGCATAACAACCATACCGTCTTTGTCTTTTCAAAATCAGTATATGAACCAGATTTTGCCGTTGGATATGTTACAGTTATACCTCATTACTTAATAATACAGAATTCCACCTCTCGCACTCTCAATGCCGTTTGTGAGTTAGTTACTTTCAAACCTAACCGATCCAGATCGTGTAACCAAACAAAAGCCTTGAGTGGATTCACGTCCACTGCCAGTCTCACCATTTGATGAACTGAATCCAAATTAGAAATACCAAAACAAAACAAAAGCTTCTCACTTTTACACAAAGAAGCAACAACATGTCTTCCGTTCAGGATTTTGATAAACCCCAATCACAATAAAATATGTGATTGATATAGACTATATTTTATTAATCAGTAATCTCATATATAATCTCTATATATGGATATGAATACTATTTTCCTAATAATAAATCCATCATCTTCTACTACCTTCCTCACTACCATCTAGAATCAAGACTCTAATATCTAGCTATCATCTACCAATGAAGGAGTCCTTGAAGTGCAATCCTTACATACCAATGCATAAAGGTCAGTATGCAGAAACCAAGGAAAAAGATCCATAGCCATTGTGATGAAGCTTTTGCCATCTCCATGCTGTCTTTAAACTTTCTAGAAGATTTGTGTGCTTAGCTGTCCAATTCAGCTCTTCTCTGATCTTACTTGGGTCGCTGTAAACCTCGGCATAATCTCCTGCCCGTCTTTCTAAGTAATCGACTTTTATATCAACTCCAGTCGCCTTTTTGCATGCTTCCACAAACTCCTTCACCGAGCTACCTGCTTGCACAAGAATTAATACCACATTCTCCAAAATAAATTCACTTGACTTTCCTAAAGTCTTGGACAAAGATCTATTTTTATACCTTTCCCGGTACCAACATTAAAGATTCCAACTCTGCCGGGTTTCGCCTTTTCAAGAGCTTTAACATGAGCATCAACCAAGTCCGTGACATCAATGTAATCACGTACACAAGTCCCATCAACGGTCTTGTAGTCTATTCCTTTAATCTGCAGATAAAAACCAAAAAAACATCAACAGAGTTTCTATGTGATGATTACGCAGAAAAAAAGAGCGCGATAAATACCTGAAGCCCGGGAATGATGCCTCGTGCAGCGTCAAAGCAAGCACCAGAGATCCGTCCATGCTCTCTGAGCTCAGGTCTTGGAGCTTCACCTAGTCTGCCCTCAGGATCAGACCCAATCACATTGAAATATCTGTAAACCGAAAGATGAAACTCAACTTCAAGGCAAGAGAAAACAAACACAGAGGCCACACACATAACAGAATTAAGTAACAACCTCAGGATCATAACTGCCATATTAGAATTCTTGGAGAAATCTAAGATGATATCTTCTGCCATCTTCTTAGCTTTTCCATATGGATTGATTGGAACCTGAGGAGTTTCCTCTGTTATTGGCATCTTCTCAGGCTCTCCATAAGTAGCACATGTGCTTGAATATATCAAAGTCTTCACTTCGTGAGCAGCCATCGTCTCTAAAACTACCAATGTGTTCGATGTGATATTGTGATAATACCTGCAAATGACATAACACCAAGCTACTATATATTATTCACATCAATCTTATTTTCTTATAGTAAAGGTAAAATCTTTTTGAGAAGGAAAAAAATACTTACTTGAGAGGAAATTGTGTGCTTTCTCCAACATAAGCAACAGCCGCGAAATGCATCACAGCGTCAAATGCGTTTTCAGAAAATATTTTGTTAACCTGAAAGAATTTCTTATCAAGAAAACACAAAAAGCTTGCTATTTCTTGTTTGAGGTCTTATATCTAGAGGATCATACAGTTTTTGCATCTCCAAGATCAGCATAAATGAATTGAAGCCTTCCAGGTTCCGGAAACAGTTGTTGCAAAATCTTGATTGCACCGAGGTTCCCTCGAGATAGATTGTCCTGCCAAAACACAAAAAGATTTACTTTCTTTACTTAGATACAACACGAGAAGCATGAATCTATGTAAGGCAATGAAGATGTATACCACAATGGTGACACGGTATGAATCTTCTAGAAGACGTAAAGCTGCGTGTGACCCGATATACCCTGCACCACCAGTGACTAGAACATGTGTAATTCCTGGTTCATGTCGAGAAAACTGAAAGATCGAAAAAACATACAACCACTCAAAACATTACCACTTGAAAAATGTATCAAAAACATTATAAGAAGAAGTAATACCACGCTCGGGGTATTGAAGGTTGGGGATTGCTTGAGCAAAAGAATACACATTGCCGTAAGTGTCATGACCAAAAGAATCTTCCCCATGTAATTGTTGTTCTTCTTTGGGTCTGCAAAATCCAGTCCTACACTCCAAAAATCATCAACATGTGTGAACTTTTGAATCCAAGTAAGAAACGGAACAAAAGCTTCTGACTATGGAGCTACCAAACCCCCAGTAAACCTAAAATTTCTATCAACTTACCAACCACTGATGTCTACTTCTAAACAAGAAAGCAAAATAAGCTTCATACAAAAAAGAAAAGAAAAAAAAAACAGTAAAAAGTCAGTTTTATTATAAAAGTCTAAAAACTATTCGTCTGTGTAGTGTGTACCTTCAAAAGACATAGATCTGTTTTGCCTCCCGATTCTTGCTCTGCCCAAATTCAGCATTTTGATTCTGAAAGTACACGGCCTAGTTTAGTTTCAGCCTGAACATGAGGAAACAAAAGAGAAAGCTCAAGAAAGCCAAAATGTTGTAGAATCTGGACTTGACCAAGAAGCAGAAACGGAAGAACAAGAAAGCTTAAAGGCTATTCACAACAAAAACGCCATTATCAATCAGAGAGAGAGGTACCTGATAGAGAGAGATAAAGACTCAAACTTTCTGGTGGGTTCTCTTCTCAATTCCAAGTGGAGAAGGAGAGAACGACGTAGAAATGAGTAAAAGCAAAATTGAGCGGTCTTGACGGTGAAAGCGAGCGAAGGGAACACGAGACAAGAGAGAGAGAGAGAGAGAGAAAGAAGAGCTATAAAGTTGAATTCAATGGTTTACTTTACTGAGAATTTTAGAAGCAGCGAATGAGATTGCAACAAATATTATAAGGGACGCGGTGATTGGAACGAGGGAGCTCCGGCAGCTGTGCGTACCGACGAACTCTCTGCTGACATGTCGGCAAAAGTCTCTACGTGGCTTTCACTTTTTGGCCAAAACTTAACTACCTCTTGACCAACATAAACATATTCAATCATAATTTTAAAAACATTTTGTAAACTCTAATGTTTTTAGTTATAATATTTGTAAATATTAAAAGAAAAAAGTTCTAAGCATTGTTATTAATGATTTTTAGGTAGTTCAGATAATTTTGTGTAGTTAAAATAGAGATATAAATAATAGACCTTTTGTATTTAGAAAAAAAAAAATTGGCTAGAAACCATGTTGACTTCACATTACATTAGACAAGTTTGCAACTAAATCTTGTACAAGAAAAGCAACCGACAGTTCCATGCACATTGACTTCATTAGATCTCGGGACCATATATTCCTCAGTTCTATAGATTTAATTATCATATGTACACAATCACTATTAAACTATTTTCATATTTTAAACTTGAATTATAGTACAAGCAAGTTGCAAAGACGACCATAAGTCAGAAGACTAATAAACATGACCACCTGAACAAGCACGTATTAAAAATGTGAGAGAAAAATTCATTATGAAAATGCAAAAACTAAGTTTGAACTGAATATTGAAATTATCAGAGCCTAACTCTTTAAATCTGTTAAGGGACCGAAGTGGAGCAGGCCTAACGGGCTGGCAGCCTCTTAAGACATACTCTATGTTCAAATAAAAATGGATTGAAATGTAAATTGAAAAGAAAATGTACCAATCTGTTAAAATAACAAAACTATGTGTACCAAAACGTAAATACCAGAAACATCTTATATGGTCTGGGTCTGGTTCGCCAGTAAAATTATGACCGCAGACTGAAAAATGGCGGCATCATCATCTCATCTCTTCGCACTCCCTTCGCCAGCTTCTCCGATTCTCTGTAACATCTCTATCTCTCTATCTATTCCTTTTCGACATTGTTGATATTAATTATCCTCTTTCTTATCCGCATCGTGTCTGTTAGCTGCACCAAACAGGAATCGAGTTCGTGTTCTTGCGAAATCATGCCCGGACAATCAGAGCTTCGATTCGAACGATTTGGATTCTTCCTCGGAGACTACCCAAAAAGCCCAGGTTAATAATATAAGCTGGCCTTCTTAGAAGAGAAACATTCTTGTTGGTTCTGTGTCTTAAAGTCCGTATCTTTTTCTTATTCCAAGCAGTTGTATCAGCTGCAAAAGTTTCCAATTTATCGTTTTGAATCTCTGTTATTATTTGATTTGGTGACTACTAATAGCTTACCTTGAAATCAGCGAGTTGATTGGTCACATTCTCTAGTTAAGTAGCTACTTAATGCTAAAACAAAATTTCAAGTCTTAGTCTTTAGTTCGTCTGCTACAAATTGGTAAATCAACACTAGTATGTCTTTGTTACTCTTCACTGAGCTAGTTTTAGTTCACAATGTATAGCTATGTATGCCATTAGTTCTTAGTCTTAATTTCTGCTATCAATTTATAGTGAGGTGGTGGCTACTTTAAGTTGCTTGTATTCTTGGCTGCAGGGGGATCAGAAATCAGTGTCACGGAGACAGTGGATGACAGCATGTGTGTGCGCATCCACAGCTTTAATTAGCAATTCTTACACCTTTGTCTCTGTCCAAAGCGCAGCCGCTTTAGACAAGAAACCAGGAGGTTCATGTCGTAACTGCCAGGGCAGTGGTGCTGTTCTTTGTGAGTGACAATTCTTTTGTTTGATTTCATGTTTAAGTTTCTTTTCTGGGATTCTGAATTTCTGATATGCAAACATATCCTTAAACGTATATTCTCCTTGTGCTTCTTTACAATTTTTGTTTGGCTTAGACCTTAAGATTGAAGGATATAAGACCTAATTGTGACCTTTTAATAAGCATATGGAATTCTTGATAATAGATTTCGTGGACACTTTGCTATGTTAAAAGGTCATAATGATTTCTCTGTTTCCATCTGATGTGATGCACAATGCTGCATGAGCTTACTACTGATGCCCTTATGGTTTTAATCTTTCGGTTTTGTTGTGATATAGGTGATATGTGTGGTGGTACAGGAAAATGGAAAGCTCTCAACCGAAAACGTGCCAAAGATGTATACGAGTTTACGGAATGTCCAAACTGTTACGGTTTGTGTCTCTTTCCCAATATTTCTTTAGTTTACTTTGGTTTGGTTAACGCGTGAAATATCTGATTCATTTGGTGGCTCCTATTGCAACCAGGTCGGGGTAAGCTTGTTTGTCCCGTCTGTTTGGGTACAGGTTTACCAAACAACAAAGGCCTTCTTAGAAGGCCTGGTGCTCGTGAGCTACTCGAAAAGATGTACAATGGTCGGCTTCTTCCTGATTCATGAGAAGGTAGGTATAGGTCCTTTTTACTACATCTTCACATGGAGATTATTGGTAATTTGGTATGTTTACGAATTAAAAGCTTGGCGAGGACAAGCGTGTTCGTCTCTCTTATCTTTTCATCTCTTGAAATTGTTGCAGATTGTTACTGCAAATGTGCTTTTAAGCACAGAGCCAATAGACATAAGATGATAGAAGCGGATGAAAACTTACACATTGAGGATGCCTGGATAGCTATAGAAGAATGTAACGAATTCAACATGTTTTTGTAACGCTGCTAGGTTTGGGTTGTAAATTCTATAAACCTAAAACTTTCCTTCTTCCCCATACAGAGTAGACGATCAATTTCGACGACGATACACACTCAGTCACTTATGCATTTAGGCATATAGAATCACACACACTTGCTTATTCTCATTAGACCTCACTACATATAAATCTACTAAATCACACAACAATGCCTTGTAAAGCACTTCATATTTCCTAGAACCATATATTCCTTACATAAACATCATTTCATACTTAAAAACAGTCAATCTAGTTGGACTTATACAAGAACAAACCATTTTCGCTAGAGTTCGGCAAGCATAACAATAAATAGGATAGTGAAATGTGAATGTTATAAGAACAATATGTAAACATACAGCTGGTTTCGATATAATTAGACGAATTCAATGAGCTCTAACCAAACTGCATGAGAGACACATGTTCATGTGCATGCCTCTATATTTATTACTAGTATTTACCTAGTCAATTTTCATGTTTCTCTATTTGATTTTTTTCAACTAATTTTCATGTTAAACGTACCTATATTATATTGGAAAGTATGCAACAGCCAACATGCGATACACATGCATTTGTAGCTTTTAAATCAGTCTACTTATTTTCGAGTTCGGTACATTCGATGTTATACATATATTGGCACCAATTAATTGTGTTTGTAAATCAATAAGAAGTACGTTAGGTGTGAAAAAATAAATTAATGGAAATATAGGCCTATATATACGTACTAACACTAGTCACTAGACATCAAAAGCATATAAGCAAAAAAAAACCAAATTATGGCTCCTTCATCAGTCACCACTGTAGCCCTAACCCTAATCTTGATCTTCCACCTCACGCCGGAAACAACCGTCGCTCGTCGTCTCAGCGATCAGAAGCCAAGTGATGAAGTAGTCACCACCACTACCGACGAAGAGAACAACCTGCCGTTTCCACCGTTTCCACCGGGCTTGCCATTTGGCGGTGTTCCTCCGTTACCGTCACTATTTCCGCCGTTTGTACCTTCTCCGTTCCCTGGAAATATCCCACGTTTACCATTTCCGTTTCCGTTTCCGACATCACCTCCGGCGCCATCTCTTCCTGGCTTACCTGGCTTTACGTTTCCTCCCCTGCCGTTCCTCACGCCGCCACCTCTGTGAACGTATAGGTTAAGGCCGTTATAATATTAGTTAATTATCTTGTTGGAATAATCTCATGGTAATATCGATAATGATCATGTGTACTCGATGATATAATACTAGTTTTTTAATAAAGATGTGTCTTGAGTGTAGCACAATGTTGATCTAATAAATAAAGGCCGATTTGAGAATGTATACGTTGTATTTGAGAATGGCTTAAGTTGGATGAGTTGTTTTTAAAAGTTCATGGTAAGTCTAGTTAATATCATTTTTTTATATAGTTGATCATGGAATTTAGAAAGACTGGAAACGAATTTATCCAAACTTGAAGGAAAAGAGATTTTTAGATGGTAGGTTTTCTAAACTTTAGAAAATATATTGGGTCCTACTTTCCAAAAATTTCTTGCTTCTCTATTCTATTTTATTTTATTTTAACTGAATTGTATTTATTACTCAACAATCGAATTATTATTAACAAGAGTGGAAAAAAATCAAAGTGAAAACTTAGACAAAGGATTTGGAAAATGGTGTTTTGAAATTATGTAACATCATGCAACTTTGAAAGTCAAACATCATGCAACTTATAAGTGTTTTGGAAAATGGTGTCCCTCCTATTTTTTATGTTTAAACCATTTATTTCAACAAACAACATTAGGATACATATCTGTCATGATACTGCAGTTCATCTACGAACAACAAAAGTTACAATTTGGCCTGATGAGAGAAACAATATACTGAAAGAATTAATTCTAAGAAAAATCATCAAGGCAAGGAAAAATTGGTGAGTTCTATCCAACATTGTCTCTCCATCGCCTTCTTGACGAGTACTCCTCTTCAAGTTCAATTCAAATCAACCCCAAAAAGTTTTGTTTTGGTTAAGCTCAGGGAAGAATTTGACATGGAGCAAGCCGTCTCATTCTTATGGTTCCAATACTGCACTAGGTGATGGTTCGGGTCAAGAGCCTCAGTGGCCTGTAGATGAAGATGATAAGCTGTGTAAGAAAAAGATCATGGACCGGGGTATCAAACAAACTCGATTATTAAAATTACCTGAACTATAAACGGAGAGCGAAAACCGAACATTTTTAACCCGTCAATGCTTTCCAACATATGGACATCTTGTTCTTGGATGCTGCGTCTTATCATCTCTTCCTTAACTCTAAGCAACACCATTTCCCAGCATTTCTGAGGTGACACATAAGAGAAGCTCTCGTCTTTAGATTCTTCCAAAGTAACCTGAAATGATAAACAACAATGTAAGGCAAGTTTTAGATTTTCCAAGCGTAACACCAACTAATAAGAACCTTAAAAAGGCTTATTACCCTGAAGAGTGGACCCATAAGTCCTGCATCTAAAATCTCAGAGACGTAATAGCTCATTCTCATTGGATCTTGTATGTTATAAAATTTAACCCGACTCTTAAACCCTGCAAGAAACAAACAGTCACCAACTAAAGCTCTTTCGACACATGAATCAATTATATTCTTTAAGCTAAAAAAGGGTTTAGGGAGATGCACCTTTTGGAAATATAGCATCCTTGTTACACCAAAGCTTTCCGACGACCAAGGATCCAAGATTTATAGGTTCGACGACATAAGCAGCAAATTCCATAATGGATGCATCATCACATATCTCAGAAGCAGTATTACACTCACCATCCGATACCAAGTCAAGATTCAGATCAAAAGATTCTTCATGTAACTGCTTTTCCTTAACGACTTTGGAAGCCCAAGTTTTTAAATCATCTGATTCTCCTTCCAATGCTCTTATCAACGAGCTTAACTCATCTATGGTGTAACGAAGATAGATGAACCGGTCGTTCCCTTCACATGAACATATATCGTGTTTCGTGCAACCATATTCTTCGGAAGATGAGCAGTTGTTGCAGCCAGTAGCAGAGAGATGCAAGTCACTAAAGCAAGAGATGCATTCCATTTCACCTTTTGAATCAAAGTCTTTATCCATCTTTACCAAGCTGAAACCATTTCCAAGATCCTCAATTCTTCTTTCTTCTATCCGTAACCGCGCCTCCATTGCCTTAGTAAGAATACCGTCCTTCCCACAGAAACTCTTCCAGCTGAACCTTTTTGTATTATCTTCCCCAGAAGCTGAGAGGGACTTAACAGCTTCATAAGCTGCTCCAAGGAGAATTTTGTCATGAGACAGAGATGTTTTCCGGGTCTCTTGGCTATATATTTCCACAGCAATCTGTCCATGAGACAGCCAATCAATAGGAGCCACATTCACCGCTTCTGCACAGTTGAATCCGCTGTTGAATCCCGAATGATATGCTCTAGGGAATGTTAGAACATACTCCCCTGCATTCTGAACCGCACGATAAACAGGGACTCCCTCATCTTTCAAAATGCTTGGAGAAAACTGAGTAACCAGTCCATGAAGTAGATCAGGTTGTTCATCGAACAAATCTGGTAGATGTTTTCTCATCGCCTTCTCTAGCCCAGTTGCATGGCTTCCCGGAACTCCGTACCATACTTTTGGCTCGCCAAAGTGATGATAGTTCAGTGAGTATAGATGATTGTCCTCGACATGCTGTTACAATCAAACATTTTGGTGAGAATTAGGAAACAGAATTACAAAATGATTAGACAGTGAAAGTATATGTAAGCTTACCCAACAGAACGTTGAAAAGCACATGCCAACATACAGCCATGGCACGAGAACACCGGAAATATTGGAATCCTCGAAGGAGAGTAACGAGCCAGGGAGCCGCGCTAGGTTGTTCAAGTTCCAACCTGAAGCTATGTATGGCTCCATATCGCTTCTCCCGGTTTTCATGTCCCCTCTCTTGTAAAATCCACTTCCAAGTACTCTGTTCTCCAAGTCAGCGCCATATGATACCTGCAAGGGGACATCGAATGACAAAACTGCTGATACAAACAAAATCTGGTTTAACTGGCTAATAACGACCAGGAAAAAAGACATTTTATGTACCTCGACTTCATCTGTTGGTTGCTCAATGATCCTCCAGTACTCTCCTTCGATCTCCTCAACAGTTGGAGTCCATTCTGTATCTCCAGCATTGTCTTTTCTTCCAAAGTAATAGTCTTTGAAGTATCGAGCGTATTTCTCAAAGTCCTCAAGAGTGAAATCTGAACCAGAGTTGAAACCAAATGTCTCTTCTTCGGTCGTCTTGGGTGTGGAAACAGAACGAGATACAGAGCCATATCGTTTCTTGTAGGGGACGGTTCTTGAGTTTCTTCCACGTTTCCGTTTCCTTCCCTTAGGTTTCTTCTTCTTCTTCATGGGCTCTCTGTTCTGAAGCAGGTCAACAATCTGAATACGGGTTGGGAACTTTGTATCCTTCCATATACTTTTCTCTTTAAGCCGACAAGGAGGAGACCAATTCGATGGTGGCACGATTCGACAAATACCAAATGATTCAGCTAAGGGACGTATCTTTTCTATGTAAGCAAGTGTATCTTCAAACTCCTAAACACCAAAATGTACAATAAAAATGAAGAAAGAACAAAAACATCAACATAACAACTGAAAACAAGATGATGAACAATTAGTACCTCTGATGTAGGGTGGAATACTGGAGCTTCACCAATGTCTGGCCTCTTTGCATCAGCCGGATCCCATCTAGCAAGAACCTGCCATATGTTTTTAAATGGTTTATTTGTAAGCCTTTATGGACTACATCAGATTGATGATACCAAGTTTACGCCCCAAGAATCAGGTCGGTCTTACCTCCCGATGATGCGGACTACTAGGAGATTCTACATTAGTGTCCTTGTCCTGAAGAAACAAAAAAGGGAAAATGGTATGCTTGAGGAAAAAAGATCAAGAGAAAATTAAAGATTCAATCTGGGAAAATGAATCCAAATAACAAAATATTGCCTCGGAATCAACATTAGTAAATCAGCCAAGTAAGGAGTGTCATTTATGGCCAAATCATGATGCAATTAAAACCTAATTTACAATCTCAATATTTGCCACATCAAGTATGTAATCTCGAGTAAGATATGTAGCAGTAAGTAATACACGAAAGTGATAACCAAAACGAGGTGATTAATCGATGAATCATTCTTAAAACGAGGCGATTAATCGATAAATCCTTCTTAAAACTACGGGAGGCAATTAATCGTCGATGAATCCTTCTTAAAACTACGGGAGGCGATTAATCGTCGATGAATCATTCTTAGAACTAGGCGATTAACCGATGAATCATTCTTAACTACACGAGGCGATTAATCGATGCATCATCCTCGGAACTAGGCGATTTAATCGATCAATTCGATGAATCATTCTTTCGAACTATGCGAGAAACCTTAAAGCAAGATATATAAGAGAACACTAAAATCTAACCTCTTTGTTCTGAGCAGCACTGAAAGGCTCCATTGGATTGGAACCAATCACTCTCCAGTCCACAAAACCAAGGGACCGTAATAAGAACTGAGAAGACAAAAGATGTTAGTAACCCTAACCCTAATCCAACAAAATACCTAGGCTTAAGAGATACTCCACCTCAGAGATAAAGAGATAAGAAAACTAAGGATATCAAACCAATCACAACGACAGCTCAAAATCTTCTTATCCCTAATTGGCATAAAATTTTGATTAGGGAGTTAAAATATAAATTAAGTAGCCCAATTTGGAAATTTAATGTAGTAATGAATAATGAGAAGCAACACAGGAAAAAAGTTATCATCAATAAAATAAAAACAATTGAAATTAAGTATTTTACCTCAAACGATCGGTCGAGATTCAGAGATGGAAGAAACTTGTGCGGAAAGTGTCTCCAAATTATTAAATCTCCTGATTTATCGCAAAACTAATTATGAAAACTATATATTAAAAAACAAATCGGAGAAAGATAAAAAGTAATAAGAGACAGAGAAAGACAAAGGAAGACGATGGAAGCAAACTCTGTAGGAAGACGAGGAAGTTGGAGAACAACCGCTAAACTAAACGCACACTGTTTTGTTTTTAACAGAAACATATCAGCGGAAGCTCCTAGCCCACGGCACCGTACGATTCCTTCTAATTTTTGTCAATTACACGATTAACTCTCGACTTTATGTTATTTACAGTTTGTGGCATCATTTTTTTTTTTTTGCTTCTTTCGTCATCTTCAATACATTTCCGCGCATTTCCGTAGGTTTGCATCTCATTCAAATTTGCGGTTCAGTTCAATTGGAGTTTTTCGGTTCGGTTCGGTTCGGTTCAAGTTTGGTTTGAAATTTATAATAAAAATTAAAATAATATAAACAGTTTTAATTAATGTTCTCTAAAATGTTTTTTTTGTATATTAATTATATTTAGTGAAAATTATAATCTTTAAATTTCGGTTTAGCCGGTTTGATTTCTCAAAATTTGGGTTTGGTTAGGTTGTTTTTGGTTTATTCGGTATGACAATCAACTAGTACCCTATATACGCTCGAATCAAAGTATGGATCAATCTTCATTGTTTTTAAAATGTGTATCTGAATTGGATGTAACGAAATATAATCCAATGGAAAAAATAATATGAACTTGGTTCAAAAGCAAAAGGGTGAGTGATCAAAGACAGATTATCATGTATTTCTCGTTATTAAATTTTGTCTCTCCAAGATTTATCAGATACTTCTTTCCAAATCATATATCATATAAAGAACTTAAAAAGAGAACTTATTTGGCATCAACGGGCAAAAGCTTTGATTTTTAAGATGTTTCTTGATTCTTCAAGAAAAAAAGAAGAGTTATGTTACACTGGATCTTATTGCAACTGAACAGAGAAAATGCAAAATAAAGAGAAATAAAAACAACACATAAAGAAGGAACTTGAACCAATTCTATGGTGTTCAGAGTCTAAAATCAGATCAATGGTGATGGAGGTCACTGAAGTTTCTGAGATTTCTTGTTGGTTTCATTACCAAAACACTTTTTTGGACCAACCTTTGTTTTGTTCTTTTCCAAGTACATGTTTTGGTTGTCTTGGTGAATGGAAACTGGATTCATGACTGCATTGAGCTCACCACATGATGCTGCTATTAGTCCTGGATACAAGATTTGTAATTTGTTTCAAGTTTATGAACATCTTTATTACAAAAAAGTTTTGAGGTTTTGTTTAAAATCATGACAAAAACTCTGACCTAAGAACAGAGGAGATACTTTCCCGGGTCTCGACTTGTACTCGGGATGGAATTGAGCACCGATGAAAAAAGGGTGGCTTGGAACTTCAACAATCTCCGTGCGCTCGCCAGTTTCATCTTTTGCAGCGAAAGAGAGACCCGCCTGTTCAAGGCTTGCAACCATATCAGGATTCACCTGCAAGAAACCAGTTAGTAGTATCAAGAAATGGTCAAGCTTTAAGAAACCAAAATGTGTATTGAAACATTCGTACCTCATATCTATGGCGATGCCTTTCATCGACAAACTCTTTGTTCCCATATCTGTAAATAGAGTTTACATAAGTAATCTAGCATTGGCAGAGTGATTAGGATCAAAAGATGGTTTCTTACAGTCTTGCAGATTTGCTGTCCTTGACATGGAAATAGGCTCTTCTCGAGCCTAATCGCATTGTGCCTCCCATATGAGTTGTTGAGCCCTCAGGCATGAATACGATGCATGGATGTTTGGTTTCAGGGTCAAACTCTGTGCTATTTGCATCAGGCAAGCAGAGAAGGGAGCGTGCAAACTCGATGACAGCTATCTGCATCCCGAGACAGATACCGAGGAAAGGGATACTGTTTTCTCGGGCATATTTTGCTGCAAGAATCATCCCCTCTATTCCCCTATCACCAAACCCTCCAGGGAGAAGAACTCCATCTGCGTCCTGAAGAAGCAATATACTATTGTCATGAATCATCAGGCTTGTCAAAGATTGCCAAAAAAAAGTTTAAACAAACCTTGAGTAACTTCCAAGCAGCCTCGTATGCGCGTGAATTCTGCCCAAAGGAGACACAATTCTGTTTCAGAGTATTCAGGAAGAGGCAAATTAGCATGAATGTAATTAATCAGACTTGTTTACCTCTTTCTTGGTGGTCTTTTCGAGATCACAAGATGGAACCATATCAACTACAAGCTTTTTGCCAAAAGCCACAGAAGCATGGAGGAGCGCCTAAACAATAAGCAGGGTCATTTAACCAAACCTTAAGAATAATGTGCCATGAGAAAGTGATGTATAACTTTACCTTCAAGACAGAAAGATAGGCATCTGAGAGATCTGTATATTTCCCCACTATAGCGATTCTCACCTGTAAAACATTTACGTGGGGGTTAAGAAAGAGACATTGAGGCTACAAACTGTTCAATTCTTTTGGAGCTGAGACTCACCGGTACATTTAAACTGTCACTAATTTCTACCATTGAAGCCCATTTCTCTAAAGAAGGTTCTTTAGCAATACCAGAAAGATTCAGGACTTTTGAGATTGCTTCATGAGCCTTCTGTTCCTGTTTCAAGAGACGAAAACAAGTGTTACCTCTGATAATTTTTGTAAGTTCTCAGTAGTTAAAAACTCTTACCCTGAGCAACAAAGGAATGTGCCAGATGCTGTGAACATCATAGAGAGAGAAGATGTTCTGAATCTGAAAACAACAAGTGTGGAAGCTGATTAACCAGGTAAAAAATACAAGGGAAAACTCAACACAAGATGCATCATACCGGAACATAGCAAAACCGAGATAGCTTTGCTTTTACGTTTTCTTCAAGTACCTATCAACAAAGGAAAACACTTACATTAATGTAACAAGAGGAGATAGTCACCAAGATGAACAAGTAAAAAAAAAACCTCTGTGCTCCGACAAGCTATGATATTAGGTGTCAAACCCAAGCCTCTTAGATCTCTAATGCTGTGCTGTGTTGGTTTTGTTTTCTAAAATAAGATATTTATAACAAATGAAGTTTCTCAGGCACATATATATATCTTTCATTTCTGGAAATGTATAGACAAACCTGTTCACCAACAACACTGAGCACAGGCACGAGGGTGACATGGATCAGACAGAAATTCTCACGGCCTACACTGTATGATAATTGGCTAAGTGCGTCAGCAAAAGGCCTGGATTCATTATCTCCTGCAAACACAAAGATTTCTCTGTTTTATATACAGAAGAAGCAAGCAAATAAAATCGAAATTATCGGTGTAAATATTACCTATAGTTCCACCTAATTCAATGATGCAAACATCAGGAGGACCTTCTTTTCCATCTACAGGAATCATTGCAACTCTCTCCACCCATTCTCGGATTGTATCAGTGACGTGAGGAACAATCTAAATTCCATTACCAACCAAAACTTAAAACTCAAAGCTTATGATGACAAAATAGAAATTTACCTGAACAGTTTCCCCTAAGTAATCTCCTTTCCTCTCTTTCTCCATCACATACTGTGACAACAACAACAACAAATGAACTTTAGTTATGTACTTGTTGCAGATAAATCAAAAGATAAATATTTTGTGGTTACCTGCTGAATCTTCCCGTAAGTGATATTGTTATCTCGAGTTAATGTGACATCTAGAAACCTCTCGTAGTTTCCAAGATCAAGATCCACCTTTTTTTCGCAAATCCATCAAAAGCGTTTTTAAGTTTATAAATCCAAAATGCAGAAGAGCAGAGGCAAGTTAGTTTTGTTTTTACCTCACTACCATCGTCCAAGACAAACACTTCACCATGTTCGTAAGGAGATATGGTTCCAGCATCATAGTTCAGATAAGGATCTGGAGATTAAAAAAATTGCTTTAGATTGAGTGCTCCACAAGCAAACGATATCAACAATTTGAACTCAGTGATCAAAGAAAGATACCAATTTTGATACAAGTAACGCGAAGACCGCAAGATTGAAGAAGGACACCAACACTGCTTGCAGTGATTCCTTTCCCTAATCCACTCACAACACCTCCTGTTACAAGCACGTACTTCATCTTCGACTTTTATATCCTGAACAAACGTTAACCTGTTTACCTTCGTCATAACCTTTCAATGAAATCACTTATGCAGTATAATTCAGCATAGACGCAAAGCTAATTATCACCAACACATGAAAATAAAAACTCGACAACCAACAATTTATAATCCCTTAGTCAACGCAAAACACAAACCCCCTCTCAAACCTAATAGCAATTTCACAGAGACAGCAGAAGCATGTAAGTACCAGAAACAGCGATGGGAAACAAGAAACTGAGTGTAAGAGAGAGGGCTAAAGAGAAAGAAGGAAAACCAGAAATGAGAAAAGTGAGAAGCTTTGAAACAGAGGATCTCTGTTTATAGGTAAAATCTCTGCTTGCGTTAGTTTAATATTAGCGAGGAAAAAAACCAACATTTGGGTTTATCTTACCAAAATATGTCGAAACTGTTTTGTGGGCTTTGAGAGAAGAACAATGGTAGCATTATATAAGAGAATAGAAAACAGTGGGCAAGGCCCTTGGCTTTCAAAATCCATAGAAGAAAACAATTCTCCACCTAATTAATTTGTATTTTAAATATATACCTTTAAATTTAATATTATGAGACTGTAAAAACTAAATATCTAAGAACATAACTACTTTCTATGGTGATTAAGATTTTCTTAAGCCATATATATAGTCATTTGCATTAAACCATCTAAATATATTTTTTATGATGGTTAACTATATATACTAGAAAACAACCCACGCGTCGTATCTACGTATAAAGTTTATTAAAAATTTCTTAAGTCATATGGTCATTTGCATTAAACCATTAAAATATCTTTTTTTATGGTATTAGACCTTTTATGAAATATCTACAACATATATAATGATGGTGGATTTGAGAAGAATAGCCAACAAGACATGTGTTTAACATTTTTACCTTCATTTTTTAATTAAATATCTAGTTATCATTTTTGTCATCTTAAATTTCAAAAAACCAAAGAGAGAAACATAGCAAGTTATTAGAAACTTCGAGAAGTTTGTGCTAAAGATAGAAACTACGATAGTACAAACCTCTAGACCACTGCGGAAACTATTATGTTATGCCCCATCGTTTTGACACTTTCAGTCGCCCTTCGGAAACTCCGGATGTAAGCCTCAAGACGGATTGAGAACTACATTATTCGACCATGAATCTAGATTATGAGTACAATGATTGTGTGTAGATGAATGAGATCGGAAACAAATTTGAGTTGAAAAAGTTGAAAGAGTTGAACAAATGGTGAAAAAATAGATGAATGTTTTTTAACCTACTTTTATTCATCTAAATGTACAACCATATGCACCCATACTTGTTGGTGTCACTCAATTTCCATGTTTGGGCAAAGATTAATCTATGATGAAATAAGCATTGAGCTAAAAGCCCAAAACTAAACCTTATGCTCACTTTATAGCTAAGATTACTCATAGCCTATTGGTATTCATGAATAAACCGTCCCTTGATTTTCTCTTGCTTGTTTTTGTATCGTACAATTGTACATACCTTTCATATACTATCACTGTTTATTTTATTTCGAAATCTTCAAAACAAGTGAATTGGTTGTAAAATGTCGTTGGTTTGGAGTTTGGACACATTTGTGTTCGATATTGCAGTAGAATGAAGCATGTGATCAAACTCTTAAGAATAAAATTATCTGTTGTAGATCCACATACTATGCATTATTAGTTTTGAAATCCCTACATAATATTATCAAATTTTTAAAATTGATCGTTTTTTAATTATAAGTACAAATTATAAGTGCGAGGTTTAAGGTAATGAAAGCGAAGAAACGTTCAAATAAACCAAAGATCTCTCCGGCTCAAACTGAAGATCTTATTAGAAGATTTGTCAGATTTCTGCTCCAAGCAGTCTTTTTATATATCTCCTCTCTAGCTCAGATTTTTTTTCTTCTCAGATTGATTTTTTCCACATTCATTCTTTTTTACATTGTGCCAACATTTGAAGCAACATGCGCAATGGAACTGGAAAGTTTCTAATTTAGATTGGTGTTCACCAAACTCTTGTTCCTTGTTGATCAATAAGCACACAGAGAGAGAGATTCAAGCCTTCTTAGCTCTTTTAATTGAAGCTTTATTGATTGCATCAGAGATCTCTCTCCGTCTTTTCGCATTGTTCTTGTTGATCTCTCCAGTTCCGGTATTGTTATTGTTCTGAGCGTTTGTTCCTCCAGAGCCTTTGTTAGCTGCTTTCAATGCTTCTTGCACAAACACCTTCAGTCTCCACAATGTAACATCAGTCTGTTCACCAACAGAGAAAAAACCCCATTAAAGCCCGGAATTCTGATGCAAAAGCCACAGAGAAATAAAAGGAAGATTTTGGTGTTGACCTGAACATCGATGTCAAGCTCGACTTCTGGTGCTCCAGCCGGGAAACTCGGGTTGCTCTCTGAAACCATTTTTAACGCCTTAGACAGATCCTCAGGTGAGAGACGGCCTAGAGCTGCAGAAAGTCCTTTCTTTTCTTGAGTAGACAGTTTTCTGTCCATTTTCAAAATCAAACGAAAAACTTGGTTAACAACACCTTCACTAAGGGTAAAATGATTAAGAAAAGAGGTTTCTCAAACCTGCATCTCTGAACTACTGATTCCCGAAGTCTCTCCAGCTGCAGATCGATCTCATATAGCTAAAGATACGTGCAAAGGAAACTCATCAAACCAGAGCTACTATAATAAATGGCCTAAAATGAAACAGAGCAACAACTAAAAAACGGTGTTGCATTTGCTTACTTCGTTGCTTAAATCCCTAGCCATTTCCGCTTGTGCAGCCTCCAGAGTAAGCTGCTTATTTGCATGCTTCTCGGCTTCTTCGTCTGCCTGTTTCTTTTCCTGTTCATACCATAGCAGTTAACACATCACTGACATTACAAAGACGAATACTTGGAAACTGAACACTTGGTGTACCTCTTCAACAAGTTTAGGCATTATCAGGAGCCATTTCTCCTCAAATTTCTCCAGAAGAGATTCAGCCATCACATAAACATCTTCTTTTTCTTCATTGTATCTCATCGCGTTCTTGAAAACTAGTCTTACATCAGCATATATCTCCCGGACATTGTTATACTCCGAACTCTCCATTTTTTTTTTAATTGTTCCCAAGTCCATTGGCTTCTCTATAACCTGTTAAGTAATGAACAGAAGCTATAAACATTTTTCAAAATCGCTCATTTCAGTAAAAATTCCATGTAAACCTGGCCTTCAATTTTACCGTAAAATTAATTTGGCCCACAGTATATTAGCAACAGTTTGAATCTTTACCTTGTAATAATCATGAAGTCCAAGTCCTTTAACATCAACAGGCTCCAAGAACGGCCATGCCCATTTATGTTGAGCAATCTAAGAAGTATTAGAAGATGAAAGGTTTAGTTGCAGCAAACAATAAAAATTTGGTAAACTAAGGAAGCATTAAACAAAGTAATCCAAGATCCAGGCTTTCGATTTTCGTCATAATCTGAGAATAGTATCATAGAGACAAAGGGGACATTTTTTCATGCTTGCCTGACGAAACATTGTTGCAAATTGACGCATAAGGTCAGGGCTGGAAACATGTTTTCCCTTTGATTTTTCTTTCCCGGCCGAGTTACACTTCGAGTTGTTTGGTTGAGAAATAGCGACCTTTTTTCCACCCGAGTTACTCTTAGAAGTATTAGTTTGAGCTGCTCCATCTTTTGAAGAGTAAAAGTGCTCAACCTCCACAACTTTTTGCTCAAGCTGCACTCCAATATAGCGGTAAGAGATTTGAAAACAAGAAAGTAGCAGTGTCAAGTGAAAGCAATTGTCACCTGATTCACTCTATCAGTTATCTCATCTACGCAAGTCCCGAAATCCTGAAGCTCACTTTCTCCATTTCCATTAAAAACTGCAAGCTCTGTATTTTCGACATCGCAGTTTGGCACAAGCACAGGTTCTTCCTAAACAATGACAGCAACTAATCAAAAAGCTTCAACACAGCACAAACCTTCCATGCCTTAAAAGACCAAACTTTTTTGGGTTAACTAAACTTTAAAATCGAGCATAATCCAATCCTCAGAATTGCATCTTTCTACAATAATTGTAACTGAGAATTGAGTCTCTAAACCATTCTAGTTACTTATACGAGTTTAAATTGAACAAAGCTGGACACTTTCTGATAACCCTAAATCTAAAAAGTTGTGATTTGTCAACAAGAACAGCTACGGAATCAAAGGTAAGCCAAATTGTCAAAAACAAAGTATTAGGTATTGAATCAAGAAAAGAAAGAGATTGCAACTATAATCAGGAAGTAATAAATAAAGTTATGTACCTTGACATGTACAGACATTAGAGAAGAGTAGTGACTCACGAGAGCTTTTCGAAGGATCAGAAGAAAGACACAGGTCGGAGGAAGAAGACGGAAGAAGACGGAAGAGATATCAGCTAACGCGTTGCTCCGGTTTAGGGTTTAGAACGATTAGGCTTTTCAAAAAAAAAAAAAAACTTGCGTTTTTATCAATTTGGGCTTCTATGTTCGGCCCATTATTAATCAACCAAACAGTCCAATTACGCGGTTTAATTTTCAACAACCAGTTAAAATTTTCGGTTGCTGCATCTTTTTTTTTTTTCGGTTGCTGCATCTTCATTTTGAAAAAGTAATAATATATATATAGGAATTTGTTTACTATTAATAATGTAAAATTGACTTTTCTCCTAGTATTTTCATTTGGCTCTGAAAAAAAAAATTGAAATCATCTGAAATACGTAAAATAATGAATTTAAATATTTAATTTAATTTTTTCTTTGTACTTTAACTAGAAGTCTCTTTGACAGAAAAAAAAAAAAACTAGAAATACTTCCTTAAATCATACAAGACATGAAATATTTTCTATAACATAAATTTTCGAAAATATGTTCCTAGTTCATCAGTTGAATAACCTATAAAAAAATTATAGTTAAATATGTCTTATGGTATGTGTGGTTAAATTGCCTATAAATCTATATATATATATATATAAAAAAACAAGAATGTTTCATATCTTTGTCTATAATCTCTCCATGGTTCAAGAATCAGAATAAACGGTTAATATCACATGTGTGAGGCACAAATCATCTTTTCTCATCAAAGTGTGAGCTTGGCTTGGGATCAAGTTTCTAACCTCTTTACGTAACCTGCTCTCTACGAAACAAAATAACTTGATAATTATCTGGAAGAGCTACATGTATTGGGTCTACAAAATTATCTTTAGTACTAAAAAACGTTTCCGGCCACAATTATTTATCTTTGGTAGTCTTGGCATGGCAAATGCCATTCATGTATACTACAATAAATCTATATATAATAGCAATCTAATAAATACCATTTGCACATCTGAACGGTTGCGTCTTTTTATCGCAACCTTTCGTTTAAATCGGTTATTTTTTTACGGTTATTTTGGTTGCGTCTTTTTATCGTAATTTTCGTTTTAATCGGTTATTTTTTTACGGTTATGTCGTTTCCAATAAATACCATTTGTACATCTGAACGGTTGTGTCTTTTTATTGCAACCTTTCGTTTAAATATTTATGGTTGTTTTTCTTACAGTTATTTTTGTACGGTCATGTTGTTTTATTGAATTTCTTTTTACGTAAACCAATAAACTACATATAAAATTAGTTTATTTCATAGTTTACATATGGATATATTTTTAATTTTTAAACTAAAATATATATTTTACGGGTATGTTTTTTAGAAAATTGTAATCCGAATATCTTCTGCGGTTGCTTTTTTTTATTGTACCTCTTCATAAACAGTTGCAACCTTTTATTCGAATTATTGCAATATTTAGTTTATTTCACGAACAATTGCAACCTTTAGTTTATATCACAAATAGGGGTGTCAAAATGGTTAACCCAACTCAACTCAACTCATTACCCAATGAGTTTAGAGTTAAATGAGTTCATGGGTTGACTCAACTCATTTAAGCAAATGAGTTGAGTCAACCCATGAACTCATTTAATTTGATGGGTTAGAAGGTTAAATGGGTTGACCCATTGACCTATTAATATAATAAATAAATTAATAATTAAAATATAATAATAATAAGGGAAATTGTTAATAATGCCACTTTTTCAATGCCACTTTTCAAAAATACCCCTTTTTTAAAACCTTATAAAAAATGCTCTTAAAAATATAAGATTTACCCAAATATGTATATAATATTATTAAAACATACACAAACTACATTTCTATGTATCTAAAATCTTATAAATACTTTATAAATACCTTATAAATGCATTTTAAATACCTTTAAAATATCTTGTAAAACCTTTGAAAAACCTTAAAAATCCTTTAAAATAACTTGTAAAACTTTTAAAAACACCTTATAAAACCTTATAAATACTTGGATCGAGTCTTCAAGTAGTAGTTACAATCCATAAGTACCTTATAAACCTAATAAACCTTTATAAAAATTTCAGATTTAAAAAGGGGCATTTTTGAAAATGGACATCTAAAAGGGGCATTTTTGAAAAGGGGCATGAGAAAAAGGGTATTTTTGTTAATCTCCCTAATAATAATAATAATCATATCAACATCACTATTATTTGGCGGAAAAATCACGGATTTACGTTTTTGGCGGGAAAATTACACATTGTTGTTTTAGGGTTAAAAATTATAAATTTTTGGCGGGAAAATCACGGATTTACGTTTTTGGCGGGAAAATTACGGACTTATGTTTTTGGCGGGAAAATTACGGTTTTACGTTTTTGGCGGGAAAATTATGGATTTACGTTTTTGGCGGGAAAATTTTACATTTTCATTTTTGGTTAAAAATTATAAAAAATTTTGGCGGGAAAATCTCGGGTTTACGTTTTTGGCGGGAAAATTACGGATTTACGTTTTTGGCGGGAAAATTTTACATTTTCAGTTTTGGTTAAAAATTATAAAAAAATTTGGCGGGAAAATCACGGATTTACGTTTTTGGCGGGAAAATCTCGGGTTTACGTTTTTGGCGGGAAAATTTTACATTTTCATTTTTGGTTACAAATTATAAAAAATTTTGGCGGGAAAATCACGGATTTACGTTTTTGGCGGGAAAATTACGGGTTTACGTTTTTGGCGGGAAAATCATGGGTTTACGTTTTTGGCGGGAAAATTACATATTTTCGTTTTTTGTTAAAAATTATAAATTTTTTTGGCGGGAAAATCACGAATTTATATTTTGATTGGAAAATTGTGTATTCACATTTTTGGCGGGAAAATTAAAGACTATATTCAATCGGTTTAGAAGTTTTGGTTAGACTCAAATTGAAATCGGTTTAGAGATTTAAATTGGTTTGATTCAATTTAACAAAAATTGATAGGTCAAATGGGTAAACCATTGAAACCATTGACCCATTACAACCCAACTCATTTGATCCATCAACTCATTTGACTCAATAACTCATTTGATCCATCAACTCATTTGAGTCAAAATTTTCAACTCATTAGGGTTCATGGGTTGAGTTGAGTTTTGGTTGACCCATGAATCTTGACCCATTTTGACACCCCTAATCACAAACAATTGTAACCTTTGATTTATATATTTAGTTTATTTCACGAACGATTGCAACCTTTGATTTATATATTTTGTTTTGTATTTCACGAACAATTGCAACCTTTGGTTTATTTTACAAATTGCTATAACATCTAATTATCTACCATCGCGTCTCTCGGTATAATTTTCATAAATTAATATTTTCAATTTTTAATTACCAAAATGCATTTAAATGAGATTGTAATCGTTTAATTGAACCGTTGAAACATTTGGTTTATTTGACCAATCATTGCAATTTTTGGTTTTGTTTTACGAACCATTGTAATCTTTAGTTTATTTAACGAACTTGACGAACCGCTACAACTTTTGATATATCGCAACATTTCATTTATTTCTTTTTAAACTAAAAAAAAACATTTTACGTTATGTTTTTTGAGAAAGTTGCAATCCGAGTAAATGTTTTTTACGGTTGCATTTTTTTATCGTAATTTTTCATAAAATGATTGCAGCCGTCTAGTTGAACGATTGCAACATTTAGTTTATTTCACGAAAAATTGCAACTTTAAGTTTATTTTATAAATCGTTATAACATTTAATCATCCACCATCGTTATTATTAATTTTCGTTTGATATTTTTTTTAACGATTTTTGAAATATTTTCCCCCGCGACATCGCGGGGGTCCGGAGTCCTAGTAAGTTAAATAACATTCCATTTTAAAATACTTTTAAACATTTTATTTGATTGACTGACTTAAAATTTTGAAGACACGCATATTCATCGTTCATATGTAGTATAGATTCAACATCAAAGAACCTAACATGCAATGTTCCAACAAATAAAAATCTTATCTTATTAAGTCTCAAATCATTTTAGATTATTTTTTGTCAAGATTCTCAATTCATTTGATTATCTACACGTACCTAACACTGATAAGAAGCTTATGGTCAAAATGTGTGGACACACTGATTTAGTATATTCAAATATAACTATGTACCTTCTTCTTCAGACCGCCTCTGTATTGATATCCCAACATGTTAGTCACTACTTCTCCACGCCGACATAGACGTGCTTTCCACTTCTTCCCCCATTTATATATATTCAGAGAATTCTGACCCTAAAAATCAAACCTTTTCGTTCATTATCTTAAGTACATCTTCTTAAGATTTCTGAGTTTGTTATGTCTCCTCCAGCATTGATTGTGTTTGAAGATGGTTTAACCCAGAAATGGAGCAACGACGATTGGCAGGGTTTCAGCGTTTATCCCGGAGAAAACCCTAACCCTAATATTAATTTCTTGGTGAAGAAGGCGGCTCTGCAGAACCAGATGACCGTCTCTCGCCCATCAGTGAACGACGAAAGCTTCAGAATGGTCTTACCTCTTGCGATGTCTCCGCCAAGAGACAACGCTGTGCCTCTTCCTGTTCTTCCCGAGCCGATGATGAGACCACGGAAGAAGCTTAGCCACCAAGAATCAATGCTTTCTCTACGAAAATCTAGGTATCCAGAGAAAAACTTCTACCAAGAAGAAGAAAATTTCAAGTGCAATGCCTTCTGTTTATCCTTCCCTGGGTTTGGAAAAAAACTTGTGAGATCACCAAAAAGCGAGGATTCTATAAAGAAGAAAATGATCAAAGCGTCATCATTCTCAAATTCCACTGTCTCACTAAGTGCCTCGCTCGAGAAATTCGAATGTGGCTCATGGGCTTCAACGACAGCTCTAACCCGTGAAAACGGCAGATTGTATTTCGATCTACCGGTGGAGATGATCAAATGTGGAGGTGGAGATGTACAAGAACCAGTGAGTTCTGGTTTCTTCTTTGACAAGGAAACAGGAAGTCTAGCTTTGAGAAGCGTTCTAAAGAAAAGCAGTTCTCTGTCGGGAAGACAACTAAGGGATTCGGCGGAGACATCCCCGCAACGCCGTGTCAGATTCTCGACCACAACCTCGGATTCGTGCCCAGCTTCGCCGCGAACATGTATTACCCCAAGACTGTTGAAAGCTAGAGATGACTTCAATACATTCTTAGCAGCACAAAACGCGTGAAACACACACAAAACAAAAACAGAGCACTAAGACTTTGTAATAATATATGTTCGTATCTACGAATGATCGGTCTGTATATATCAATGGAGAGAGAAGTTTCATCTTCCGTTTAGATTTGAGTTTCCTTTACGTACCAAAATCGATGAAAGACATTATGAGCATTTGAAAAATATGATATTTTCACTTTTCCATGTTCAGATCTTTATCCTCTGCTTTGTTTTCCTCTGTTTTCCTCTGTTTTCTGCATAGTTCTCCATTTTTACGAATGGGAAAAAGTACCCAAATTTTTTCTTCATTTTTTTTACAGATTGGTACAAACAAAAACATATAGAATAAACGGTAAATACTAAACCTCGTACATTCTACAAATCCTATTCCAATTTGATGGAAGGAAAGTGAAAGGAGGCATATGTAGAGTATATCTTTACAAGAAAAAAACTTCAACGTCAAGCAAATAGATTCGGTTAGTGATTCACCTATAAAAAGCATAGATATGAATCTCGGACGCAGATCCAAAACGCAAACGCGCCAGTTAAACTTGAAAGCAAACAGAGGAACTGAAAAAAGAAAACGTGTTATAGATAAAGTGAAGTATTGTTAGCGTTTTGAACCCTTGGTATTATTAATTTCAGGTTCTTGAATCGACGAAAACGCGAACAACGTCTAGAATCTTGGCATGACAAATCGGGCATTTCCCGCCATTATATTGTAGTTCGTTTGCGCATCTCAGGCATGTACACATGTGCCCGCACCTGCAGAAACCAAACGCAATTGAAATATTGTAGGCGTTCATAAACCAAACCAAATCGAAATATTCAAAGAGAGGTGATTGATTTTCTTACCTGTATAAAAGTGTTTCAACTTGCGTTTCGTTACAAACGCAGCATTTGCGTTTCAAGGGATTTTCCCGCTGAACCGACTTTTGAAGGCTAGCGTTTACATCCAAACACGTTTTGACAGAGTCTCGTAGCTCAGTCATTTCTAGTTGGAGCTGTAAAATGTGTGATCTCAATTCGCCTATAATCTCCATCTCCTGAAACATTTTTATGAAATATAAATGCTAATCTCACCACAACTGATTGCGACATTTCAACAAGAAAAGAAGAGGCTCACATTGGAATTAAGATTGTGCGTTGGTGTGGAAGTAACTCCTGTGTCCTGAGAACTCCATGATCCTGCCGGAGACGGTGCAAATATTTGCGATGATGATTGGCTCAAGTCATCTCTGTCTTCATCTTTTTCTTCGCCTATGTCACATTTCTCTTCTTCTTCGCTTATGTCATATTTCTCTTCCTCTTTACATGGTTCTGGAATACGGTGAGCCGGATGTATCTGAACACGGGCCATTATGAGCTTATCGATCTTCTCTCGTAATCCGCTTTGGAGGAAATCCGAAACCGTTCTTCTGTATAATCCATAGAACCAATTTTAGGATTTTTTGAAAAATAAAAAAAGGGTTCTCTGATATTGTTTACCTCTCAAGAAGTCTGCATATATCGCCCTTGTCAGATTTAGTGTTCATCACTTCCAGATACCGAGATTTCCTCAGATCTTCCCAGTAAGTCCGAGGCCGAGATATTTCTGTAAACCAATCGTAGCTCATGTCTCCGTAATAAGACTGCTCATCCTCATACTCTTCTTGCTCTTCCCATCCACTTTGGAATGACGTTTCTTGTGTCTCAAGGAACGGTGTCTCTTGAGTCCTCTGCGTACCGCTTTCTACTTTGTTTGCTTCCTCGTTCCCTAGTATCCGCGGTTCTTGATGAGTTACGCTGGTGATAGGGCTAGTGTTATCCGATTTTCTTTTCAAAACTTCTGCTACTATGGCTTTGTTCAGCTGAAGGTAATTCATTTTTGTTTCGTTCTTGCGTAAGATTGCTTCCTCTATGTTGCGGTTTTGAGGGCATAATCGCTCTGTGGAAGGCGTATCTATAGTAAAAGTCATTTCTTTTGACCGCATGCTCTCTGTTTCTACGGTGTATTGTTGGCCCTTCTTTCGTTCGGCTTCAGAGGCAGCGTTTGCTGCGTTTTCCCGGAATTTTTCGCTGCATTACGATTTAAACATTAAGGAGAGGAGAAAAATAAGTTCAACTTGTAAAACGGGAGACAGAGGTTCTTGAGTATACCTTAGATGAAGAATTGTGGAACTAGGTTGGAAGCGATTTGAATCGCCTTTCGTGGTACCACGATGACGATCTTGAATCGCTAGGCCGCGTTTGAGACTCCTTAGCCGCAACATTGACTGTGCAACAAGGAATAGTGAAACTTGGTCGATTTTGTAATTTTGTAAAGCTCGTAGCTGTTTGTATAAATGATGTTAGAATGTTTGGGGCGTTTTCTCAAAATGTAAATACCTGGAGGCGACCACGTTGAGGAAACCTAGAAACTGCGTTGCGTCCAAGAAGCGTTTCCAATTCGCGGTGACGTTCTCGTTCCAAATGCACAAGCAGATCGGAGTAAGCTTGCCGTCCTCGGATTCGCGGCGAACAAGTAACCACCGGCAAACTGCTTTTCTCATGCGTCGGCGTTTTAACGATCGGTATGTCGGCGGCACCACCATTATTGCTTGCGGTTAGCTTCTGTTCGTTACTCAATCTCCGGATAATATCAGCGACGGTGGAGATTGAATTGAGAGTCTCAGATTCAATCTCCACCGTCAGATCATGATTTTTCGATTCGTTCTCTGATTCAGATTCTCCGTCGATGGATGGAGCCAAAATGTGGATTTCTTGAACGCTCGCTTCTGAGCTGATCTCTATAATTTGACCGTGGATCGGCGAGTTTCCACCGTTGGATCGGTTCATCCTCGCCTCCCATATCTGCACAAGAGAAGAAGCTCCTCCAACATTGTCGTTCACTTTTCTGGTACGTGGTTTCTCCGGCGATCCAAGACGGCTTTTGTTGTTCTTTTTTCGCTTGTTTCCGATCAAAGAATCAACTCTGTTCTGGGAACTCTCGTCGGAGATCGCAGGAGGAGCAGTTTTCACTTGAGCTTTCTTGAAAACAACGTCGTCATTGTGCCGTTGGTTGCGATCTCTAAGGATAGATCCGAAGCTAGGTCGTAACGAGGCCATTTTCTTTAAGCCAATTGACCTATTTGTCAACGAACACAAACACAAAGACCCATCTTTGATTTGGATCTTAGGAAATGATCAAAACCTTTCTCTCTTCAAAGGGAAAGAAAAAGAAAAAGTTGGTTTTTGATTACTGAAGACACTAAATTTTCTCGTTGTTTAAGCTAAAAACAGAGTAACGACGAGTGGTGTTAGACTCGAAAGACAAGGTAACCATGAAGAAACAGAATTTCAAGTGCAACAGTGTTTTGTTTTATCTATTTTTAGAAGGGTTTCTTTTAGAGAGAGACTAGTAAAAGAAAATTGCGAGTCATAGAGTTGTTTAGTGTTTATCCTCTACACTTGGAAACGTGTCGGGAAAAAGAAGGAATAAAAAACAGAGTGTAAAAAACAGGGGAAGACATATTCGGACGAAGACAAAGTATGTTGAGGGTCTCGAGGAAGCTTCTCTAAGGTTTTCCCTTTTTATACTATGGGAAATGCAGAAATTGTTCGTTTAAGACAATTTAAAAATAACTTTTTGAAAGATTTTATCGATGGAATTAATTAACGGGTCAATAAAGATCATTTAACTTTATTGGTTAGTAGTTATAGCTCCTAATTAGATGATTAATTAATGAAGATGAAGGTGTGACCGTGGAGGGTCCAACAGCAGCGGAGAGTCCAAAGGTGCCGTTGGGTGAATTAGCCGTTGGCAAGTAGGGGACCTTTGTACTTAATTTTCTAATTAGCTTTTAAAAGTTTATTGGTGATTAAAATAAAATTGTTAGCCATTTTTTGTAATTCTTTCTTTATATATTGATCTGATAATGAACAAAATATATATGGGTTTCTTACTGTTTTTGGTTTTAAAAGGAAGAAAATACCAAAGTTACCTAATCCATTACTCTAGCACTTTCTCTATTTGATCCTGCATGGTCGCACATGTTGGACAACGTGACACGACTGCAACCATGTCTTTATTTAATTTTCTGTTGAGTTTTTTTTTTTTTGTTAAAGGGTATGCAATTTATTAAAACATATGCCCAATGGGCTATTTCCGGATTAGGCCCATAGAAAATCCCTTACGGGCCCAGTCCATTACACCAACCAAACCAGGAAACCAAACCAAAATCGACCCGGGAACTAAACCAATCTAAACCAGCAGATAACCGATCTAAACCAGGGAACATAGAAACCCTAATCTTCTAATAGAAAACCTAATCGAAGCCGCCTTCCACAGAGCCGCGGAAACTCGCCGGAACAGGACCACCGGTGAGCCAGGAAGACGGAGGTCGAACGGAGAAGGCGACACAGGACCATCACCATCCCGCCACCGTAGAGCTGTGAAGAGAAGGAAGAAGAAACCGATCTAGATCCGTCGGGAAACCACAGCTCAGTCGAGAGAAAGATAAAGCAGTAGGGAGTAGAAGAGGACAACCATCGACGGTGGCATAGCTTTGCCTTACCGGCCGTAGACCTCCCCCGTCAAAGAGCCGGCCGTGACAAAACCTCCTGCGTCTCCAATCGTCCAGATCTAACCGCTGACCTTTCTCGTTCCTCGCCGAAAACCTCCATCTTCACTCTGCGTCGCCACACCGCCGGTAGAGCTCTTACCGGTGGCGTCTCGCAGAACCTTCTCCCCGCCACGAACCCCCTTGATTTGGTTCTGGTAACCTCGCCGGTAAGGAACAACAGACTACGGTTGAAGCGCCATGGACCATAGGTTCCTCATCGACGCCGGAATCGCCAGAGAAACTCAGATCTACGGTGCACGAGGTTGCGATCAGAAGATGAAGAAGAGAGAGGAGAGAGACGCGAGTAAACTCACGCGCTCTTTCTGTTGAGTTAGTTTGACCAAAACATTGAAGTGCCGCAAAACATGGTTGCGATCAACAATCTTCTTGGTTTCCTCCTCATTAATGACTAAATGAGTGACATGAGAGGAGAGTCAAACCAAACCAATCAATTAAACAATATTAATCAAACTAATTAAAATTATTCTTACAAAACAATCCATATTGCATAATTGTGAATGTCTGGGTGGAATATCGTTTTCGTAAACTGTTGATGGAAAATGCAATATCGGCGATGTTCTTAAGTCGTTTGTTGGTTATGGGAGACCTTTCCAAAAAGTAGTTTTGTCAACAAAAAAAAAAAGATTATTGAATATCAGTGAAGTATTTAAAAGGTTATGAAGCTCATGTCATAATATAATCATACAAGTATACAACTGGTTAAAATGATAATCTTGGATGAGTTATTTAGCATTTTTCTTGTGTAAAATCTCCATGTTTTAGGATTTAAGTAATTAATAAGGCATGTCCTAAGTAAGATATCTACTAGAAATGCATTCAATTTGTTCATGAGCGAGAAACTCATCCTTAAAAATATTTGTTAATGAACAAAATGATACATTTCAATACTGATATATGGACATCTACTACAACTACTAGCTATATGGTCATGACTGCACATTTTATAGATGAGAACTAGTGGTTGCATAAAAAAATGGTAGGTTTTATAAGTCTAATATCAGATCGTGAAGGGATACAGACATACAGTTGCAAGTCAATTTGCAAAATGCTTGTTCATTGGGGCACTTACCATAACTCTTGATAATGTTGATAGCTTGCGCACATATGGAAACGTGATTGTCAATGAATGCTTACGAAAGATGAGCGACCGTGTACTTAGCAATAGCATTAGATATTATATTATTATTGGCGGTAGAATTCTATTTTTTTTATGTTGCGTACAAACATGTGAGCGTTTGAACCAATGATTACATGAAGAAAAGTTGTATGATGCTAATTTTCATGAGAAAAATGGTTTCAATGAAAAGAAAAAATGCCTCTACCTTCAGCTATTGACTATATATACATAACAAATGGTAAAACTTTTGAAAAGAAATAAAAATGATTTAAACTTGAGTATTTTGAAAAAGATATTCAATGTGAGTTTGATGAAGAAAGTTAAGATTCCTAAAACTATAATACGTATGATATTTTCTCATGGTAAAGTTCAATATTTTATAGTTCTTCTTCTTCTGATGCTTTAAAACTAATTTGCATTTAGTATTCGAGGACACATACAATATTTTTGTCTTAGATAAGTTTCATAAGGTGACATCTTGATCATGATCAACCGATATAGCACGGTCTTCCTCGTCAAATTGTACTAGATCGACCATTTACGACACACTAAAGTAAAAATGCAAAAAAAAATCTCACTAGCCACAGTGATGTACATGTTACTGCATAGTTTGAATTTTGAAATATTGCAACAAAACTTTTCTGTTAACGATTCAGTAGATTATAAGTTGGTCGAAATAAATATATAATTTGCAGATACACAAAATTTTATTATAGAATTAGTCTATCAATTTTGATATTCCTGGTGATATATTCCGAACAAATTTTAGTTCAATCTTTTTAATTCGTGTCCAAACTAAACTATAAGCACACTGTTGTCATTCGGTAGAAGTTTGATCCTAGTTTCTCGCCTCTCTCTCCATCTCTCTTATGTAATTTACTTTTACCAAATTTAGGAGAGTATAATCGGGAAGACCAAAAAATCTTGACCAGTGACATGAAAAAAGTCCAAAATAGGAACATGACATCGTTAAATCTTGTCATGGACGAGACTCTTTGTCTTTTCTGACTAAATTTCCGTAATTTTGTTCTCTCATTTCTTTTTCTTCAATCTTCACCCTTTTCCTTTTTTCTTTTGCTAATTAATTTAGTAGAAGAAAAGAAAACTGTTCGTCAGCTTGTGTTTGTCTCCGACACCTCCAAATCAATTGATAGGATTCGTCGTCGAAACTCGACAGCTTTCAGTTTACCTAAAAATCCATTTTTCAACAATTTTTAAGTTTTTGCCGTGGGGGAAATTATAGAATTGAGTGTTTTATAGAATTGACGTCATATATTGTAACGTGTAACCCCTTTGATTTTTCAGTCTCCATCAATCCTCAAAGTTCACACCACAGACAAAGTAAAAATAAAAATTCGTACCATATTTGCTTTTTCTTTTATTTTCTTTCTTTACCTCTTTCCACGCATTAATACACAAAAACAAAAAACAAAACAAAACTGTATCCACAATATCTTTCGGTGTGTGTGTCTCTCTTACTAGCTCTCTTAGAGAAAAATATAAAAACTCATTTCTTGATCTTTCAAGAGCGCTCCTCAATTCGGAATAACCCTTAAGTGACATAAACCTTTTTTTATGTTGTCGCTTTTGTTGTGTTATTATTATATATAAGCTTTTTATCTTAGATCGGGTTGTTAACATGTGATGAGATCTCCTCACATCATCATTTCTCTTGTTCTCTTCTTCTTCCTTTCTCTAATCCTCCAAACCCATCAAAGAACCATTGATCAAACTCACCGGATTGGCTCCAATGTTCAACATGTCAGTGACATGGCGGTGACCTCACCGGGAGGTAAAAGAAGAGAGAGGTTTAGAGTTCGGCGGCCGATGACGATATGGCGGAAGGGGAAGATGCTCGGTGCCAGTGAACATGGAGTTCCAAGTGGTCCAAATCCCATCTCCAATAGGTAGAAATTTAAATTATAAAGCTTTGTTGTATGAATAGTTATCCTAGTATCATTCATAGTATATATATATCTCGCTTTGCTTCTGAGGGTACGTACAAAACCAACAACTGTTATGTTGTATGTTGAATTCAAAATTTGAAACTTCCATTTTGGCAGGTAAAACTTTTTTTATGGGGGTTAAATTAAAAAGTTATTATATATATATATATATATATATACTTATAATAGATAGAATATAATACCTTACCGTAAAATATAAGTTGAGACTAATTAATCAGATTTGTTATAAAAAAAGACTAATCAGAGTGTCCAAATTTTCACTTCACATGGTATTGTTTCAGTTTGTTCAGTGATTCAATCACTCGAAATGTTGTTAGAAACTAATTTTTGCTTCCCTAATTTTCTTTTCATCACTCATAAAATTAATTAATGAGAGTCTACCGTGTAAAAAACACGGTACCAATAAAACATCGAGATTATTTGACTGCATAATAAAATTTGACGTGAAATTTAAAACAACCTATATTTTGTAAATGAAGTATTTTCTTGGGTCAAAATTTTTAAATGAAGTGAATCTTTAGCAAAGAACTGTAGATATATATTGTGAAATAATAGCAATGAGAAACAATTGTAGGACAAAAATACGTCCAAGCTAGGTCATGGGGATCGATTCCCCGTTATTAGAAAAAACCAAACAACAAAAAAAAGTATAATTGATGTTTTATACACAGTAGTACAAAAAATATAGGGAACGTAAAGTCTACCTGTAGTGTTGCATTTAATAGTCACGAAGCATTCAGGGATGCATACAAATTAAACTGGTTGGATATAACTATAGTACTTGCATGGTGACTTAAATTCAGAGGTCCCCAAAATACAGGCACATGCATAGCGAACCTGCATTGATGTTTTGTGTCAACAAATTGGTAGTGATGATGATGATGATGACTAGTATTTAAGACTATACTTTTTGTTAAGATTATAGTATCTTATTGCTTGCTATTATAGTCACTTTAAGTGTCTAGAAATTTTGGATTTGGACTTAAAACCAAAGTTTTGGATCTTTCAATATATGTTACTTTGCAGATGATGTTGATTACGCTACCGTGTCCTTAAAAAACCAAAACGGGAAAAGAAAAAGATAAAAGAGACAAAATGAAATAAAAAGGAGAACCAGAAACGGCATAGTTTTGCGTGTAAAGGAGAGACAGATCTGGCATCCAAAGTTGCAAATTTGCAATTGAACCAACTAATTATATATAATATATTCCTTAAAGTCATCGATTATATACTCCTACTCCATAATCCATACTCCATAGTCCATACCATACATTTTAGTAGCCAAGTTTCAGCTTTTAAGGTATAAAAAAAGGCTCTTCCCTACATGCATTCATCTTTTTTCCCCCATTTGGTTTTAAATAACAAAAAGCAAAAGATCGATGGTACCAAAACTTTATTTATCTTAAAATATACTAGTGTTAACGTTTATAAATTATGGCCTTTTAGAAAAGATCTAATGGCTTTGTAAGCCATGAAAGCCCAATTTGTTATCTCTAGTGGGCCAATGAAACGAAAATATATCAACGTTTTCAGAATTTTATACTGAAAACCACACTAATTTAAACCCAAATTCGTAACCGAAAAAACCAAAATCGAATCTAAATGTGAAAAAAACAGAACAAAAACACTGGTTCGGGTCGGACTCGTCGTCGTCGTTCTTTCGACTTCAAAGGTAAGTGTTTTTTTTTTTTTATTTGCTTTGCATTGGGATTGAAATTTCTTATTCATGTTGCTTCTCTCATGGTTTGAATCTGAAAGTTCTTGTAATTATTTTCTCCAATTGATAGTGTAGATGCAAGTTGTGGATTCTACTTTTAGATGGAATTTTACAGAGATGATTAAATTTGTTATGATGATGATTGATGAGTATCGGTCATAGATTCTGTCCATCTTCACTCTATGCTTACGAATTTTTGTTGATGAACAACAAAATCAGAAACTTTGGACTTTAACATTAAGATGAAAATGTTATCTTTTTACTGTTTCAATAAGGCCCTATAAATAGGAGGCAAAAAACCTTTTATGTGAATTGCTGTTTCAACTTTGGTATCTTTATCTAGGTCAGAGTATGTGCAGATCAATGTATGTTGTTCTTGGTCTCCAGAATAATGTGTGGTTTTTTTTATCAATTTTAACTTCTTAACTTGTTTGAAAATGGACAGATTTGTGTCTGGCTTGCATCTTTAAACAGGTTAACAACTGGAGACAGGATGGAAAAATGGAACACAGATTCACCAGCGGGTTGTGTGCTCTGCAACAATGATTTAGAAACCCGGGACCATCTCTTCTTTCAATGCGACTACGGTTCAGAGATTTGGGCTGCTTTAGCAAAGAATATTTTCAAAACAAGGTACTCAACAGCTTGGCACTCTATCATCGATTATATCTCCAATATGCAGCAAAATAGAATAGAGAGCTTCTTGGCTCGTTACATCTTCCAAGCATCAGTATACGCAATCTGGCGTGAGCGGAATGGTAGACGACATGGGGAAGCTCATAACTCAGCAGGTCAACTAATCGGCTGGATCGACAAGCATACTCGGAACACACTCTCTTCCATCAAACTGTTGGGTGATGGTAGATACGACAAAGGATTGCAAAAGTGGTTTGAATCAAGACTTTAAATTCTTTTGAGTTTCAGATTTCACTTATGCTTTGATTTAAGATGAACGTTGCACGAGTTGTAAAAACGATATTTTTTCTTTGAATATAATTTAACATTACATTCAAAAAAAAGAAAATGGACAGATAAGTCAGTTGTTTCACGTACTCAATACTATTTTCAAGTGAATGATCAATATGTGATAAACAAATTGAAGATTGTTCTCTTTATTCTCCTAGATAGGGTAAGTTAGTCGTTTTCATGCTCTTTGCCAAGTGGGCATTTCTTTCTATATAATTCACTGTCTCTTGATTAGCCTTTGTGTTGTTGACAAGTATTCAATGTTCTTGTTTGACCCTGAATCATTTAGGTTTACTTCAGAAGATTTGATTTAGTTGGTGGTTTTTGCAAGTGATGCTGCTGAAAGTAATGTTGCTGTTCTGATTAGTTGAAGTTATCTGGTCAAGTTTTATTCGGAAATGACACCTGAAAAATTCATTGTTCATCTCATTTATTTGTCTTAAGAGACTAAGTTCATGTAATTGGTTACAACATGGTCAGCAAAGAGCTGATAATTTTATTATTTTTGGTATATAAGCAGGTAGATTATCTTGTAAGGTACTTCTTACCACCTTATGCTCAATTCACTACAACAATCTGCTATTAAATGTCTTTTGGACACTTTTTAGGTAGTGGTTTCCCACAGAGTAACTCATTTCCAATGTAAATGGATGGATCTTGAAACTTGAGTAGCTTAGGTATGCTCCCCTCCAGTTTATTGAACGAAAGATTCAGCCTTTGCAAAGAAGATATTGCTGCCAAGCTCTGAGGAATGGCTCCAGAAAACTTGTTTCTTGATAGATCAAGCGTCTCCAAGCGACCCAGTTCTGATATTTTCTCGGGAATGCTTCCTGTCATGTAGTTTTTGGATAAATTCAGGATTCGAAGATACAAGAGGCCCAATATTTCTCCTGGGATCTCTCCGCTTATGTTGTTTCCTGAAAGGTTTATGCTATTGACTATGTCTTCGTATTCACGAGCTCTTGTCACAATGAAGACTAGATTCTGGAACACATCATTGCTTGTACCTCGAGCAATGGCCGTGAGATTGCTGATGCACTTTGGAATCGGGCCTGAGATTTTGTTGCCAGAGAGGTCCAGAATGCGTAGATTCGGAACGCTGCAGAGATCATCTGGGATTTGACCAGTGAAGGAGTTACTTTGCAGACGAAGCATGAACAGAGAAGACAGCTTTCCTACCCATGAAGGAAGCTTCCCAGTCAGCTTGTTTCCTCCGAGATCAATGTTCGTAAGGCCAGAGCAATTCTGAAGACTCTCTGGGATTTTACCTTCCAACGCATTTTGGTTCAGAAGCAAGACACTGAGAGAAGGTAACATACCGAGAGACTCTGGTATTTCGCCTGATAAGTTATTCTCTGACACGTCAATTCCCCAAAGCATGAACTGACGGTGCCAGCATTTTGGAAAACTACCGGAGAAATGGTTCTTCCTTAGAGACAGAATTTGCAGTCCGGAGACTTCACATAGAGACGATGGGATGTTGCCTGTGAAGCTGTTGCGAAAGAGGTAGATTTTCTGCATTCCCGGCATCAAGACATCAATATTAAGTGGAAGAGAACCCGAGAAGTTGTTCTCATAAAGACGCAGCTCTGTCGCGTTTGTTGACCAGAGAGGAAAAGGGCCTTCAAAGTTGTTGGAGCTCAAATCAATGGTGTTTAACTTTGGGAACGCAAGCTTTTGAGGTAATCTACCTTTGATTCTGTTGTTTGCTAGAATCAGGTAACTTACTTCAGAAGAGATTCCTGCGAACCAGCTATCGGGTATTGTATCTTCAATTCCAGTGTTTCTGAGTGTAACAAAGTTGAGCTTGGTTTGTACTTGAAGCCACATTGGAAACGAAGGACCGATCCGGCAGTTCTCGATTTGGATCAACTCCAGTCTGAAAGGAGGAATCCAAGCAGATGGTAACTTGAAGACAAGAGATCTGTATGGTTCAGTTGTGAGACGGATGCTTTTCAAGCTTGTGAGATTCACGAAATGGGACTTTTGCAGAACACCTCCCCATGTATTTGCCATCAAGTTCAGATCCACAAGCTCCGCAAGCTGCCCCAAGCTTTCCGCGATTGTCCCGTTCATAGCATTGTAAGAAAGATCAAGTTTCTTCAGTGACGCCATGTTTCCTATCGAGGAAGGGAGCGAACCCGTGAAGGAATTCGATGATAGATCCAGAATCTGCAGATTCCTCAACGCTCCAAGCGACTCGGGCAATGTCCCGGCTAACTTGTTGGAACTGAGATCGAGAAAGACCAAGCTGTTGCCTTTGTTTCTGGAGAAGGCGTCTAGAAACCCATTGATTTGACCATTGAGTTCGTTTGCAGAAAGGTCAAGAAACTTCAGTCGAGGAAGGTCTCCAAGAACCGATGGAATCTCGCCCTGTAGTGCCAGATTATTTGACAGATCAAGTGTCTCTAGAAGCCCTAAGTTCTTGAACCCCGTAGGAATCGAACCCTGGAGAAAATCCCATCTGAGGAATAGCTTTCTGAGGTTGGTGAGACCAAATAGCCACTTGGGTATCGGCGAATTGAGAGAGTTTTCAGATAAATCAAGAACTTCAAGGAGCTTCAGATCCGCAGACGAAGATAATGAGGGAGGTAAGTTCTTGAGCTCACAGTTGAACAAACGCAACTCCTTTAGCGCCGAGACTCTGCTGAAATCCTGTAACCAGGTTTCACCCGCACCACTCAAATTCACATACCCCATGTTGAGGTACTTGAGAGAAGAAGACAGACCTGAAAGCCACCCGAGGTTGCTTGCGCGCAAAGAAAACGTACCAGAGTCACTAAACGACTCTGCATACAGATCAAGAGACTCCAGCTTCGACAAATTCCCAAGACTCGCAGGAATCTCGCCAGAAAACGATGAGGAAGAAAGATTCAAGTACCTTAGACTAACAATTTGGCCAATAAACTCGGGGATCTCCAGTCCATTGAAATCATTTGAACTCAAGTCCAGATAGCTCAAGAACTTGAGTTGAGTCAAAGACGGATGTAACTTCCCTCGCAAGGAACCTCTTTTATACTCATCGGAGCGAACATCTTGATTCGGGTTTCTGAGATCAATCTTGATGACGCGGCTGGTCCGAGCGTCGCAAAGAACACCGGGCCAGTTGCAGCAGTCAGGTCCAGACCAAGAAAAGAGTCTACTCGAAAGATCAGTTAGTGATGCTCTGAAGGTGAGAAGAGCTTGTCGCTCGGTGGATATGCATTTAGGATTAGCTGCAGATCCAAGATTAGGATTTTTGAGAAGTAAGATGAGAAACAAAGAGGAGATGAAAAAGCGTGGCCTGAGCTTGAACATAAGGTCCATACTTGAGCTATGTTTGTTTCATTCTTTTCTCAGACGTTTAGATATATATACACGTTCAAACGCAGACATATTAGACCAGCATTATATGTACATATGTATACAAAACTAAATATATGTATATAAATATACGTGTATATCTTTAACAAATACGAACACGGTTTATATAAATTAAAATACGAAAATGGAAACGTGTTATTTTGGCTGGTGCGCATAGAAGTGCAAATAGATATTTGAGCACCATTCACTCATCACATGGCTCGTGTGGTGGGGTTGAATTTGACGACCACTCGCTAATTTTTTCCTTTTTTTATTTTACACCGACCTTCAATTTTTATTATAATAGCAATTGGATTTTTTTTTTAAAAAATTGGGACTATGAATGGGCTTATGAGGCCCATTAATGGTGTCTCTATGGACTTTTAAAAAAGCACCAAATTGTATAATTTTAAATTTGCCTCGTTAATTATTGGTTCAAGAACAATAATCATGAGAAAACATTCGAAACAGTAGTTGCAGAGTCATGGTAGCTCCGCTGACTCTGCCAACTCGTCGTCTCTTCCGTATCCATTAAGGTTCATCTCAATTTTTCTCGAGAAGAAGAGACTCTGCAGTTTTCTTTTTTCGAGAAGAATGTCTACGAGCAATAAAGGAACCGTCTTGGCTCTGATTCTAGCGTTGACCATGGTGGTGGTCAACGGTGTTTCACCGAGATTCTTCGTGGAGAAGAGTAGCTTGACGGTCCTTAACTCTTGGAAAATGGGAGCTAAGCACGACGCGGCCATCGCAAACTTTGGCATTCCAAACTTCGGTGGTTTCATGATCGGCTCTGTCGTCTACGCAGGCCAAGGCGCTAAAGGATGCGACTCTTTCAACAAAACCTTCACTCCCAAGTCTCCTTATCCCACCATCCTCCTCATTGATCGTGGAGGTAAAATTCGATTCGTTTGAGGCTTTTGCTTCGATTATTTAGTAAGAACTTAAGCAATTTTGACTGCTTCATCAAGAATCTAATTGAAAGTGTGAAACTTTTTTTGTTAGTTTGGATGGTAAAAGATTTGAAGTTACTGTGAATCTGACTCTATTCAATGTTTGTTTTTAGTGTGTAACTTTGCTTTGAAGATATGGAATGGGCAACAATCCGGCGCAGCGGCTGTTCTTTTAGCAGATAACATTGTTGAGCCGTTGATAACAATGGATTCACCAGAGGAATCCCAAGATGAAGATCCTGATTTTATAGACAAAATCAAGATCCCATCGGCTTTGATCCTTCGCTCTTTCGGTGATAGCCTCAAGAATGCTCTTAAAAGAGGTGAGGAAGTAATCTTGAAGATAGACTGGAGTGAGTCTATACCAAACCCTGATGACAGAGTTGAGTATGAGCTATGGGCTAACACTAATGATGAATGTGGTGTACACTGCGATAAACAGATAGATTTCATAAAGAACTTTAAGGGAACGGCTCAGATTCTTGAAAAAGGTGGTTATACTTTGTTCAGACCTCATTACATTGCTTGGTTTTGTCCCAAAGAGATGCTGCTTAGCAAGCAGTGTAAGACTCAGTGTATAAACCAAGGGAGGTATTGTGCTCCTGACCCTAAGCAAGACTTTGAAGATGGATATAATGGGAAAGACGTCGTTTATGAGAATCTAAGACAGTTATGTGTTCATAAAGTAGCTAAGGAGAAGAACACTTCTTGGGTTTGGTGGGATTATGTGACAGATTTTAACATCAGGTGTTCTATGAAGGAGAAGAAATACAGCAGAGAATGCGCAGAGACTGTCGTGGAATCTCTCGGTAAAAAGGGCCTTTTGTTCTCCTAGAGATATCACAATCTGCTAGCAACTCTTTCTTTAACAGTTTCAGGGTCTTTTCTCAGGGTTGTCTCTTGAAAAGATCAAGAAATGCATTGGTGATCCTGATGCTGATGTAGAGAATGAAGTTCTAAAAGCCGAGCAAGCTTTTCAGGTTCGCAGTTTCTTCAAATTCACAATTCACCAAGCTGTTATTCTTTCTTTCATGACATTTTGAAGTACAGTTAGGCCAAGAGCATCGTGGGGTTGTTACAATCTTTCCAACATTGATGATCAACAATGCTCAATATCGCGGTAAGCTCTTCCTTCTCACCGATCATCACAAAGTTAGACGATTTTAGAATCTTTATCTGCTACATGCATGCTCAGGTAAACTGGAGAGAACTGCGGTGCTGAAGGCTATATGTTCAGGATTCAAGGAAAGAACCGAACCTTCAATATGTTTGAATGCAGGTCAAGTCACTTCCCTAGATAAAGATAGTCGTATTCTATGAAGAACATACTCTTAATTTCTTTTTGATCCATTCTAAAACAGATATAGAGACCAATGAATGTCTTATAGAAAATGGAGGATGTTGGCAAGACAAAAGATCGAATGTAACGGCTTGCAAGGTATATGGTGATAAGGAGCGTTATACCAATAATTTTATCAGTCTATATCTTCTCTTCTTTATAGATTATATGAATTTTGTTAGGACACATTTAGGGGAAGAGTATGTGAGTGCCCGGTTTTTAATGGTGTTCAATATAAAGGAAATGGGTATACCTCCTGCAAACGTATGTTTTTGAAACTTCTCTTTTTAATATATCTCATTGCACATTTTTTTTCAATGGTCTTCAAAAGTTTATTTTTCTTGTTCTTGATACAGCTTATGGACCTGCTAGATGTTCATCGAACAATGGAGGCTGCTGGTCTGAAACCAGAACGGGTCTAACTTTCTCTGCTTGTTCAGTTTAGTGACCGCTTCTTTTTCTTCCATTTTACTAAAGTTGGATACTTTTTCTTACCTTTTGTATTTATTTGATGTAGAACTCAGAGACATCAGGATGTCGTTGTCCTCTAGGCTTCCGTGGAGATGGTCTGAAATGTGAAGGTAAAAAAATTTCGACAATTAGTCATAGTAAAATCAGTTTCCTTGACATTGTCTCTGACCAATCTTTATTGCTTCATAACTAGACATCAATGAATGCAAAGAGAGGTCAGCTTGTCAATGTGATGACTGCAAATGCAAGAACAATTGGGGAGGATATGAATGCAAATGTTCTAACAATAGTATCTATATGAAAGAAGAAGACACTTGTATTGGTATGTTGAAAAAGATGTAAAACTTTTTTCAGATATTATTAGAAGGAAAATCTCAATGTTAACATGTGCAGAGAGAAGAAGTGGATCAAGAAGCAGATGGTTGTTCACAATTGTGGTTCTAACCGCCATCGCGGGTATTTCTTTAGGTGCTTATATATTCTACAAGTACCATCTTCAGGTAATGTCACTTTACTAGTAATTATATCTTATCCTATGCATCATCATTCATCAAACTCTAACTATCATTTTTATCGTTACATCAAAACTACAATGCAGTCTTACATGGATTCAGAGATCGTGTCCATTATGTCTCAGTACATACCACTCGATAGCCAAATCATTAACCAAGACTCTTAAGTAAATAAGAACTCTGCTTTGTCTTTTATGAAGATTGTTGAATCTTTGGTTGTATCATAGGGGGTCTTTTTGTAAAGAATCAAAATTTTGATGCGTTAATTTAATGTTTTGAAAGTTTTATGCAAAAAGAATAAATTATTGCTTTCATTGAGAGTTGAACTCAAGACCTCCCGCTTACTAAACGGGTGCTCTAACCAACTGAGCTATGAAAGCCTTTGGTTACGTTATTACCATATAAACTTGTTAACTAATATACTTCCAGGAGAAATCGATACAAGTATCATCGTCTGATCCTTCAAGTTCAAATCTTTTTTAGGGTTCATCATTATCGTCCTGGTAAGTCTTTGTTTTCTCAGTGATGCTACCTTAATGCCATTTGCGTTGTATATTTTTGGTCACTGTACCTGATTTAGTAACTAATTTGAGATAATTGGATGAGTTAGTGACTGATTTCAATTGGAAATTTCGAGTCCATATTAGCACTCTTGAGTTATTTTGTATTGCTCATGTGATAATTTTGATTGATTGATTGATTGAGAGGAAAGAAGGATTAAAAGAGTGAACTTTGGGTTTAGGTTGCAGAGGATTTCAAAAGTTGTTGATTTTAAACTCTAGAGGACGAGAATGAACTCAAAGATTGTGATCTATATCGGTTCATGGAGCCTGAGTGAACAATTCAATGTACTTTACTCTATTTTATGTTTGGATAAAGAGTCCTTGTGAAAAGCTTTTCTTTATGCATAGAGAAGATAAAAACTATACTTTTGCAGATTACAGAGATTCCAGAACGAAGCAGTTGATGAAGAAAGCTAGAAAGCAGAATAACACTAGAGTGGAACTGGAAGGAAGAGACCTTTTGAGAGGTTACATTTCTTCACTGCTTTCATAGTTATTAAGATCTTGGCACAATTTGCTGATGAGCCATGTCGAATGTTGCATGAAGACCAAGCAGGAAATAGTATAGTAACATGGCTAAAGTGCAAACCCCAAACCTTACAAAAGCCATAGCTCCCAAAGATCCCATCAGAAAGATGTTTGTTGCGATTGATAAGCATGGGATCCACGGTACTAACGGTACGCCCCACACGTTCGGTGTTCTTTGCTGAGGAACAAATAATACAATCCCCAAAGTTCCCAAGAACCAGAAAGGAACGGTTACTGTGTATCCGATCCATGATCCCTTGAGCTGCATTCCCCAGTAAGCCGAAGTCCCCATTGAAGAAGCAACAACGAATAAGAGACAAATGATGAGCTTAATGAGATGAACTCTTGGAGTAACTTGTCTCACGTAGTATCTCCTCACGAGTAGTGCGATAGGCATCATTGTGAAGATGAAGAGAGTACTTATCGATAAGAGGCTTGCCAAAACATCTAAACCCGAAAAGAAAGCGATGAGAGCACTTGGAATTGATACTAGGAGGTTAGCGTTTATCGGTGTTCCGGTTTTGGGATGGACAAGGGCAAATATAGGCGGAATCATGTGGGTCCGTGCAATGTGAGTTACATATCGCGCTTGTCCCAATGCTCCTACTAAAAGAACTGTTGTCATTCCTTTGAGAGCACCAAGCGCCACGAGGTACTTTCCCCATTTCATTCCAACACTCTGAAACGCTACCGAGTAAGCTGCGTTTGGATCTATATCTGTGTACTTCTGCATCATACTCAAGGACAATGCCATCAAGCAGTATATCACTGTTATTATCGACATTGAACCGAGTAACCCAATTGGTATGTCTCTCGATGGATTCTTGGTTTCTTCAGCCATTGTTGCTATGCTGTCAAATCCTCCATATGCAAAGTACACAACTGCAGCTGCTCGGAACACTCCCTCAGGTCCATAAGGCAAGAATGGAGTCAAATTTGATGTGTCGGCGTGGATAAAACCTGCAATTATCACAAAAAATATCACTAAAGTGTTGATAGCAGAAGCTATCCAGTTGAGCAATGAAGTCTTTCGGGTGCTGATCGATGCGATTGTAGTTGAAGCGGCTATAACCACAACAGCTATTGGATCCAAGAGATTAAAACCAGAACTGAGATCTGTTTTGATGCGTAGAGCGTTCGGGCTACGATTCAGAAGAGTTGCAAAATATGAAGTCCAGGCTCTAGCAACAGCTGCAGTCCCAACTATACTCTCAAGAAGTATATTCCCTGCAGTAATGAACGCCGCGAAATCCCCAAGTTCAATCCGTAAATAGGCGAAGGAACCACCAGCCACGGGGATTTCCACAGCGAATTCCGTGTAGCAGAAGACAGAGAGCATAGCAGAAAGACCTGAAACAACATAAGACAAGACAATAGCCGGTCCTGCTTGTTCATGAGCTTCTTGACCTGTCAAGACAAAGATTCCAGCTCCAATCACTGACCCGAATCCGAACCAGACTAAATCCCACCACGTCAAACACCGCTTCATCTCGTGCTCGCTCTGTTTCTTGAGCTCGAACCGCTCGTTCTCATCATCAGACCTACTAACCAACCTGTTCTTGAACCTGGAACATGTCTGAGACAAAGCAGCTCTGTAACTTCCAAAGCTCTGGAAAGATTCCTCAGGAAAGAAATCTCTTTTGCTCCATCTCCAGTACCCTCTCTCTTCACCTTCCATGCTCTCTTGCTTCGAGGCTCTTGTTAATGAAAGAGAGAGCTAAAGAGACACCATCTAATCTTGTTCCATTGTTTGACTAGTAGTAGAAGTTTCACAGTTTTTTTGTATTTTTGCAGCATCCCTTTCTTTCCAGTTGAAAAACTTTCCTCAAATTGCGTACTGTCCATTCAATAAATCTCCCCCACTTGTTAGAGTCACCTACACTGCTACACAACTCTCATTGTCTCTATTGGCGTCTTCTTATAGTAAACTTCAACCATGAAATACATAATTCAGTGCTTTTTTACACTTAGGGGGCTGTAAAATAATAAATTTGCAAATTAGACCTTCACAATCCTTATTTCTCAATTCGTCATAAATTGAACTTCAGTTTATATTAGAGAACTCAGGGTTTTAGATTTTCTCTCGTGAAATCGAATTTTGATCAGCGAGAGAGGAGATATGGGTGCTCAGAAGAAAGGCGGCGGCGCTAGGGTTTCGGAGGATGCGGTGGAACAGAGTCGTCAACGATTGCAAGCAATTCTTCTTGCCGATAGCTTCGCCACGAAATTTCGTCCCGTAACCCTAGAACGCCCAAAGGTACTATTGCCGATAGTTAATGTTCCGATGATTGATTACACATTGGCATGGCTCGAATCTGCTGGAATAGAGGAGGTTTTCGTCTTCTGTTGTGCTCATTCGATGCAGGTTATCGAATATCTGGAGAAATCTGAGTGGTACTCGCACCCAAACTTGCTTGTGAGAACAATCGAGTCGCACAAATCTATCAGTGCTGGAGATGCTTTACGTTACATGTATGAGCAACAAACAGAGACGTCTCAGATTCAAGGTGATTTCGTTCTTGTTAGTGGAGATACTGTGAGTAATATGCCACTAGCTGATTTGATTAAAGAACATAGAGAGAGGAAGAAGAAAGATGAGAAAGCTATCATGACTATGGTTATTAAGCAGTCTAAATCTTCTCCACTCACGCATCAGTCAAGATTAGGAACGGATCAGCTCTTCATTGCTGTAGATCCTTTGACAAAGCAGCTTCTTCATTACGAGGAAGATAAGGTTGATCATCCAAGTGGGTCCGTTTGTTTAGAGAAGTCATTGTTGGATACTAATCCTTCTGTTTTAGTATGCAATGATATGCAGGATTGCTACATTGACATATGTTCTCCTGAGGTGCTTAGTCTCTTTGAGGATAACTTTGATTATCAACATCTGCGTCGTCATTTTGTCAAAGGTGTGCTTGTTGATGATATCATGGGTTATAAAATTTTTACTCATGAGATTCACTCGAGCTATGCTGGTAGGATTGATAATTTCCGAAGCTATGACACTGTTAGCAAGGATATAATTCAGAGGTGGACATATCCTTATGTACCGGATATAAATTTCAGCGGAAATCGGCCTCTAAAGCTTGGGAGACAAGGGATATACCGGGCTTCTGATGTAGTTCAATCACGATCTGCTGATGTTGGAACTTCTACTGTCATTGGATACGGCACGAAAATTGGTAATGGGGATAAAATCTCGAACTCGGTTATTGGGAATGGATGCTCTATTGGATCAAATGTCGTGATAGAAGGCTCGTACATATGGAACAATGTTACGATTGAAGATGGGTGTGAAATAAGGAACGCTATTGTCTGTGATGGAGTGAAAATCAGAGCAGGAGCTGTTCTGCAGCCTGGTGTTGTTTTATCTTTCAATGTTGTAGTTGGGCGGGACTTTGTTGTGCCTGCATACTCAAAAGTTTCCCTACTTCAACAGCCAACGACAGAAGATAGCGATGAAGAGCTGGAATATGCTGATAGTAGCAGTGGGACTGCAGATCATTTGTCAGGCCTTAATTTGCAAATGGAGTCCAAAGCATCTGAGCTTGGTCCTGATGGAGCAGGTTACATATGGGAAGCATGTGAAGGGGCTCATGATGAGGAGTGGAAGCATTCTGTTGCACCAATCCCGAAGGATAAACTTTCTGAGATTACCCAGGCCATAGACGATGACGACACTGATGATGAAAGTGTTGTCCCGGCTTCTGGAGAGTTGAAATCTGATGCGGATAGTATAAACACTGATGTGAATGATCCCAATGATGACTATTATTACTTTGAGAAAGAGGTTGAAGGTACCGTCTTAAGGGCTGTTGAAGAGAATATCAAAGTGGACCTTGTAACTCTGGAGATTAACGGGCTCCGGTTGTCATACAACATGGAATCTGCAGATTGTGCTGGAGCAACATTCTACTCGATGATTAAACTGGCAGTTGATACTCCACACAACTCTGCTAGTGAGTTGTATAAAAACGCAGCGAGTATCATTACAAAATGGAAGGAACTTCTTGGGTTCTATGTAAAGAAAATTGATGAACAGATAGAAGTGATCATGAAATTTGAAGAGATGTGTCAGGAATCTCCCAAAGAGTTGGGGCCTTTGTTTACACAGATTCTGCATCTTCTATATGACAAAGACGTGTTGCAAGAAGATGCAGTCTTGAGATGGGCTGAAGAGAAAGCAGGCGCAGATGAAGCTGACAAAGTATATCTGAAACAATGTGAGACATTCATACAGTGGCTCAAAGAAGCATCTGAGGAGGAAGATGAAGATGATGAAGATGAAGAAGAAGATGACTGAATTGGTAAACCTGATTTCGATGGCTCTCAACTGGAAGTTCACTATGGCCTCACATTTTGATTGATCATTTACTTTTAAGATACTCTGTTTTTGCTGCATCGTCAATAATCTTTTTTTTTCCACTGCGTCTTCTGTTGCTTCATGAGATATTCTCTCATCCATCGAGTTTGCACAAGTATGCGTTTGACATATATTTTGAGTCTTGACTCTTGACTAAATCTCTTATTTATATTTTCCAATTAGTCCCTCTACTTTTTCTTATTACAAAAAATAGTATCACAAATTCACTAGATCCTCCCTTGTTCTTCCGCCGCGTTCTCTTCCTCTCGATTCGATCTTCCTCTTTGACGAATCGGTGCTTTCGCATCCCTCGGTCTAAGTTAGATTGATCGAGGTGACGTAAGAACCCTAATTTTGGATCCAAGAATCTGTAACCTCCCAATGGAGAAAAATCTCGCCGGAGACTCAATTCCGAGACCCAAATGGAGGAAAGTAGCTTACGGAGGAATGCAAATCGGATACGACGACAATTACACCGACGAATCGTTCCTCGAAGAAATGGTGATGAACGCAAACGTCGTGAGGCGTGATTTGCTCAAGGTGATGAAAGACTCTGTCTCAATCTCTCAATACCTCTGCATCGTTGCGCTTGTTGTCTTGGTTTGGGTTCACACTCTTGAATCATCTTTAGACGAGAACTCGCTTTTGCTTCTTGATCTCTCTCTCTTAGCATCAGGATTCTTAATTCTCCTCTTAACCGAAGAAAAAATGTTATCTTTGAGTCTCCTCTTGCGTTACCTCCTCAATATCTCCTTCTTCACCACGGGACTCTACATTTTAGCTCCGATTTACCAGACGCTCACGAGGTCTATCAGCTCAGATTCGATATGGGCAGTCACAGTTTCACTCCTCTTGCTTCATCTCTTCTTGCATGATTACTCTGGCTCCACCATTAGAGCTCCAGGAGCACTCAAAACTCCGAATCTAATCAGCTGCATATCTGTCAATGCTTCAATTGTTGCATCAGTCTTTGTTGCTTCACGTCTTCCTTCTAGGCTCCATGTTTTTGCTGTGATGCTCTTCTCACTCCAAGTCTTTCTCTTTGCGCCTCTTGTTACTTACTGCATCAAGAAATTCAACTTTGGGTTGCATCTTCTCTTCTCCTTTGCTTTAATGGGTTTGACGCTTTACTCTATTTATGCATTGCATAGACTCTTTTTCCTTGTCTTTCTTCTTCTTGTGCTTCTTGTCAATGTTGTGTGTCCTTATTGGCTCATTAGGATGCAAGAGTACAAGTTTGAGATCAATGGTCCTTGGGATGAGGCCAAGCTTTGTTTCGACATTACAGATTGATTACTACTTTTTGGATATTCATTAGACTTGCTTTTCTTTGACTTGTATAAATCTGATATGATCTTGAATTGTAGTGTATCTATGATAAGATTTTGTAGTGTTAAAACAAAGAATATAATCTTGCAATATAAAATATGTCGTCGCTAGAAAGTCAACTAAGTCAGGATGGCCGAGTGGTCTAAGGCGCCAGACTCAAGTTCTGGTCTTCGTAAGAGGGCGTGGGTTCAAATCCCACTTCTGACATTTATTTTATCTATTGTGTTCTTTTTTGGTCTTGAAAATTGTCATGTTCGAAAGGCAAATGATAGCAAAACAGATGTTGTTAACAAAAAACACACGCCAACAAAATTGCCTATCTACACTCGATCATCTGGCTGGAATCGTTCAAATGATATTCGGCGGGAATCCATCGGTGTCGAAAGATCCTTCGGCAGAGTCACCGCTTCTCCGCCACAGGAGGTGGACCATGCACAATCAGAGAAGGAATGTATCCGCCGATTATTGTTATGGTTATTCTGTTGGTATGAGAAGACACTCCTCTCGCTTCTGCTTCCGGCGCTTCTGCTTCTGTAACCGCGCCGCGAGCTCCTTGCATGAGGTAATGCCGCATGGTCCACCGTCTTCTTTGTCAGTTGCCTCTGGACTTCTTCTGGTAACCGAAGCGTAAACCGGTCTAAATTATCTAAAGGTTGAACCACAGAATGCCCGGTCGAATGCGATCTTGAGATTAATATCTGGGAGACTCGACATTGAGACAATCTCGTTGACCATGACCGAGACGGTCTGTTCCTATTGGTCCACGTCACACCATCAAACAAATGCGAGTTTGTAGATTCTACAGGATCCGGATCCGGATTCAAGTAGCTTCTCTCACCCGGTTGTAAGAAAAGATCCACACGACAGAGCGGACACGTGGAGTGATCAGAGAGCCAGACGCTTACACAATCAACGTGAAACACGTGGCAGCACTCAGGCATCAAACGCAGCGTTTCATGGTCTTCGAACTCACAGATACACACCGCACACTCGACTCCACCTATCCCGATCCTACGCTCCTTCACCTCCGAGTAGAGAAACGTCGGGAATGAGTTGATGATAGCCTCGTCGAGCCCACGCGCCGCCGTAATACTCGTACGGGATTCAACGTCGGAGTCAGTGAACAGGTTGATGGATTCTTGCGAGTAAAATTGGCGAGAGGTCCAGCGAAAGCAAATCGAAGCCAAGCCAACGATGAAGATCGCGAAGAGTATAAGAGTGATTACTAGGATGGCTAGGTCGCTTGCTTTTGTCTCGGTTCCAGGCTGCGCCATCGCCTCGCTTGATTCGTTCGCTACGGGAAGCAACAATCGGATTTTTCTCTCAAAACTAACCATACGATTTCATGAACGAAAGTTTGTTTTCTGGTTTAGATAAACTAAGCAATGTAATCACCCTCTTTCAATTCTTATAAGTTAAAAAAGAAGCATGGAAATTATCAAAAAAAATCTTATGGCTAGACCCTTTTTTAGTTTTTTATATCAAACATTAAAAAATCAACTAAGTTGACATGTAAAAACATAATTAGCTTGCCATAACCAAATTTAATTTGAAATAAAAAAATCTTCATATACAGATGTATAATGATAATACCTAATGCATTTGTTTGACCAGTTTGTTGGTTTCCATTAATATTCAGTAAAATGCCAAAATTTAATATTGACTGAAGGAAAGATTTTTCTACTTACAAAATGCACCACAATGCAATGGTGTCCCAAGCAACTCTTACCATATCTTGTATCGGTACAAATTCATTTACTATGGTTCTAGTCAACCCAACTGATGATATTCCTTGAAGTGCTTTACTGCCTAATAAGAAAGTCACCGTAATTATATTTTGATGATATTAATAGGCCACTCCACTCATCAAATGTGTAAACCCATCTGCTACATTTAAAAGATTCACAATCTCACACATACATTTTTCAAAACGAAATTTTTTGATAAAATAATTGTCATTTTTGTTGATCATGCTCCAAAAGTCAAAAAGCAAATAAGAGGCATAACAACGTTTAATCCCAATAACAAATTGTAAAAAAAATTATTTACACTCGATCATCTGGTCGGAGCCGTTCGAAAGATCGTTCACCAGCTTCAATCGATGTCGGAAGATTCTTCGGCGCATCACCGGAGAAAGTAGACCGCACGGAACCACTGCGAAAAGAGAATGAAAAAGACAGCGAATGCAGCCGTCGATTGTTACTATTACTCTTCCGTCCGTACGTAAAAACGCTTCTCTCGCTCCCGACGCTACCGCTTCTGTAACCGCTCCGTGAACTCCTCGCCTGAGGTAATAACGCCACGTGTCCCATCGTTCTCGATGTCTTCATCAATTGCCGTCTTACATCATCCGGTAACGTCAACGTAAACCGGTCTAGATTCCCAGCCGGTTGAACCAGCGAATGCCCGGTCGAGTGCGATCTCGGGAACAAAATTCCGGTTATACGCCAGCTGGATAAACCCGTTGACTTTGACCGAGGCGTTATGTTACTGTTGGTCCACGTCACACCATCCAGCAAATGCGCGTCCGAAGATTCCAAAACCATTCCTCTTTCAGGATCCGTACCCGACGAAATCGTACCCGGATCCGTACCCGAGTAGCTTTCAGTACTGTCGTCGTCACCCTGTTGGTTGAGAAGAAGATCCGCTCTACAGAGAGGACACGTGGAGTGTTCTGAGAGCCAGACGTCAACGCAGTCGACGTGAAACACGTGGCAACAAGGAGGCATCAAACGCAGCGTTTCGTCGTCTTCGAATTCACAGAGACAAACCGCACACTCCACACCACCTTTTCCGATCCTCACCGCCTTCACCTCCGAGAAAAGAAACGTCGGAAAAGATTCTATAGCCTCAGCTTCGAGCCCACGCGCCGTCGACCTCCTGATCCTCACCACGCGGGACTCCGCGTCCGCGTCGGTGGATCGGAAAACGGAAGAACGTGAGTAAAACCGCGCGTTGCTTCGACGACAGAAGATGGAACCGAAGACCATGAAGAAGATCACCAAAAACATAACCGTGATCACTACAACAATTGGATCGTTGGCTTTCGATTGTGTAGTTCCGGGCGGTGTGGTCTGACCGGATCCATACGGTACTGACTGGAGCAATAGCAAGAGGAGAAGGAAGAGAAGGTTGTGAGGGATCCAACGGCTGGAGTTTGTGTCGATGATCGCCATATGAAGATCATCGTATGAAAATGGAGGAGAAAAGGGTTTCGGTGTGAAAAATATAAGGTGGAAAGAGAGAGTCAACGTCTAGTTTGTGAAATCCACGTTTGCGTTACTGTGGATCATAGCCTTGCTTATTGTTTATTGATAATTTTATTAGTTAAAATGGAATTTTTATTTGATTTGATCTGTTCACACCTTTGACTTTGAAGAAGTCTAGTGTGTCTTTCTGTGCTTTTATAGCTAGGAAAGAACACCACTTGTTAGATGAAAACATTTCACTATACAATTAGTGGTAACAATCTCTTAGAATATCTAAGAGATTTTAACTAAACACTCCTAACAGTTATTTTAATACATTAATTAAGTGGTGATATATCTTATTTTAAAACTTTAAATCTTTTTATTAATGACTTAACAAAAGTTAATGGTTTACTTAAATCTTATCATTAAAGTTCCTGAAATAAATTTCTATTTTTAGTAAAAAAACTAATAACTGATACACCTTAAGTTGTAAGATTTATTAATGTAGAATCATCACAAGGTAGATTTTTTCCTTTTTTTCCTTCGAATCTTGCGACCACAAGTTAATTTTTTTTTTTTTCATAAATGTAAATGGTACATTATCAAAAATATGAAAAGGTTTGGCTAATACAAGAGTATAACCAGTGGTTCTTGAAATCTTGGCAAAAAGAATAAAAACAAGGAGACAAATCTGGGGAAATCACAAAAGTGAGATCATGATAACCAACACTGCATCAAGTTACGGAATCATTTCCAGTGGCATCTTGAAGAGATGATATTTCGAATGTCCTTATCAATAAGTAAGAAGATAGTGGCTGAAGAAATGACTTGTTGATTGTGGACGGTGTTATAGACCATCTTTAAAGGTATATCACCTTAGATAGATCTTAAAAATGGTTTTATTATTAAAATAAAAGCTATGAATTAAATGCAGAGAGATACTACACTAAAACAAACCAAAAAAGTTTACGTGGCACTAAGACTTGAGGAAGAACAGTTCTTGGGCAAAAACTTTTACTCACCTGTTCTTCTACTATTTACTTATTTCCTAATATTTTAATTCTAAGATCATTACAAAAGTTATTGCGTTGCATATGCTTCCAAAGATGGTATTTTTTAATCTTAAGTTAAAATTTTAAGTTAGCTATTTTTTAATCTTCTTTATATCGGAGGAAAAATTAAGGAGATATAAAGTATGTAATCCTCTTCACTTGTCAAGCCAAGAGTGAATGTGTTATTACTCATAGTTACTCAATAATCACTAACCAAAATTGACATCTCTATATAGAATAGGCATCGGAAGATAACCTCGGATAATTCATATATCATATAATCTCGAACCATATATGAATCCACATATAACGAGTATATCAGACCATACAGAAATCTAACAATTTATGGTGGTAGGAATCTAATAATTCTCGGATATCTAACCCAAAAAAAAAACATTTGACATCGTGACAACTATTTTTTTTTTTGCTAAACTGTAAATATCATATAAATGAAATGTGGGTATTACAACAAGCTAACCCAGGCTTTTGTAACCATGGCAAAAAAAGAATGGAAAAAACATGGCAACAAATGATTTTTGTGAAGATATAAACCGACACTTAACACATCCATAGAAACACTTAACGCATCCATAGAAGCATTAAGTTTCCAAAATACCGTCGATGTCGTCTAGCTGTGATCGTGTTTTTAATCAGTCTATCAATCTCGGTAAAAATCAGAGGAGAAGGGACAGAGTGAAGATTAAAGATCCTGTTGTTTCTCTCCCGCCAAACAATGTACATCGTGACAACTATAACTATCTATTATGCACATCGTTAAAAAACTAACAAGAACAAAAATACCATTAAAATCCAATCAACCTACGTAGATCACAATCATCATCGTGGACTTACAAACTTAAAATAATAATATAGGAAAACTTTTAAAAATTTTTATTAACTTGGGCAGGTTTCATCTAAACATTGACGAAACATGGAGTGTTCAATACACAAGATCCCAATCATTACTTGGAGGAGTCACTTCAAAACCAAAATACATTGACCCAAACTAATTACATTGGCCAATGGATATCAATATTAGTAATACATTATCCAAAATCTTTCGTCATCATCTGCTTAAGTATAGACGATGTCGTTTGTTGGTTAAAAACCAATCACATCCTTTATGTGGGGCTGATTTAGAAGTCATTGCCTTTTCGAGGGTCATTTTGCAAATTGCATTTCCCAAATTCTCTTAACCTTCTCCGACGACGGGAAGCGCATGAAATACCAAACATTTTGTACAATCGGATTTCGTAAAACCCTAATCCAGCGAAAGTGAGATCGTCAACTAACCGGGGAATATGAAGGGAAATTGGTCAATCGTCCGTCAGGTTCTTCACCGCCGGTTGTCCACTCTCCGGTCCTCGACACCATCGTCGCGATTATCCATTTCCGTCCGACCGCTTGTTCTGGCCTCAAACTCGACGTCATCGCTGATCGCTAGAAACTCGTTGTTTACGGCCTCCACCATTGGTCCATCCATCGATTTTAACTTCACCAACACTTCTCTTCTTCACCGGAGAAGCTTCGGTTCGGAAGCTGGAGGTAATTACTCAATTGGTTCTGCTGGTTCCTGTGTATTTGCGTAAATATCTGTGATTATTTGGAATTTGCATCTAGTATGATCTAGGTTGGAAAAGGAGATTGATCAGAGAAACAAGCTTGAGTTTATAGTGCTAGCGTTTTCTATGGGAATCAAATTACCATGCTCTAACTCTACCAAAAGCCATTTCAAGGAAAAAAATAATAGAAACTGGGAAGTTATCTGTGCACGTCAGTTCGAGAAATCTAAATTTTGCATATTTAAAAGAGTTTCTAACGTTTCTTTGCCAGAAATGAATCTAATTCTGCAATTTTGATGTTAGGTGAAAACGGTGTTGTTATAGTGAAATCAGAGGAAGAGTTCATCAATGCAATGAGCAAAGCTCAAGGTAAAATATTATGGGATGCGTTGTAACCACTTACTTCTTACTTCACACTAAGTGAATGTGCTTAGTATTGCTGCTTATGTTGCCTCTTGTTGTTTTATGTACTCAGATGAATCTTTACCGTCGATCTTCTATTTCACTGCCGTCTGGTGTGGACCATGTATGTTATTTCTTCTGAAAGTAAGTTTTGTTCTGTATAGATATTTTCTTCGTGAGTGGCCTTATTAGTTTGTGTTTCCTTCTACTTCAGGCAGGTTTATCTCTCCTGTAATCGTGGAGCTTAGTAAACAATATCCCGATGTAACTACGTATAAAGTCGACATTGATGAGGTATTTTAATTTTTTTGTGCTTTTGAAATCTATGCATATATGTCTATTTTCGTTGGGTTTCTGTGATTAGAACCTTTTACAGTGTTTTGAGCTTGAACCAAAGGCGATGATTAATTGGTGTTCTGTATAGATTCTGACTCGCCACCCTCTGTTTCAATGTTATATATATTTTTGTATGCGATAGAGTTGGCGAGTAAAATAGCTGAACCATACAAATAATATTCAAGCTTCTTTACTGCTCTTTGCGCAATCTTCTGTTCTCATGAATGTTTGCTTAGACCTTAATTAACAAAAATATCGATTCTGTAGGGTGGGATTTCGAACACTATCAGCAAGTTGAATATCACGGCTGTGGTGAGCTCTCATTACACCCTGTCTTTCCAACATAATCTACATTTTACAATCAGCAGGAATAACTCATGTTGAAACGACGATTTTTATGTCTCATGAACATATATGATGCAGCCAACACTGCATTTCTTCAAAGGAGGCTCGAAGAAAGGCGAGGTTGTGGGTGCAGATGTCACGAAACTGAAGAATCTCATGGAACAGCTCTACAAGTGAAGACCCAATCTTTTCTAGTAAAGAACGTGTGGAATAGTTGCAAGATAGTTTGAGACTGTCCAAAATCAATTCAAGGTGAAAACAAACCCTCGTTGTTCAGGATCGTAATTGCCCTTTTGTTTTGTTTGTTTTCTCCATTTCTTTTGGGCTTAGTTTCCGGAGATTTGTTTCTGTCCGTCGGCATAGTTTGAACTTTGAAGTGACAACTTCAAAAAAATATCTGGAAGTCATAACTTTTATCAAAATTTTGACAAAGCTGTCAAGCCCTTAGTTGACACTCGACACCCCATGACATTAAAAGTGTTGACTCCAGTGCTCTGTACCGGCTAAAACTGGGCCTATTTTGGACTCTTTTGCTGGCAAATTGCGCCATATGTAGTGGAGTAAATGTGTGAAAAACAGTGGAATCAACAGAACCACAATTTGATCAGAAAAGAAAAGAAAATTTTGGTTTTGTTTATCACTTTTAATTAGTGTATGAGATATTTGAGTGGATATGTGGAAAGCTACTTGCTTAATTTCAAGGAGTCCAAAAACCTACGGAGTCAAAGGGAGGGTTAGGCCAACAAATTGTCGGAGAGATTGAGACTGGAAGAAGGGTATTATGGTACTTTACGAATACTATTACGTTGATTAATTTTGATTCTTTGTCTTCTTCTTCGTCTCTCCCCTCGCGTTCTTTCGGTGCTATAAAACTAAACCAACAAATAGATTTATTTTGGAGTGAGATTTACGTTTGATAGACGACGACGATGAAGGAGCCAACGACGGAGATAGAGATTGAAGCTTCGGCTGTCACGACGATGCTGCATACTACTCCTCCTCCGACGGCGTCACCTCATCAGGCGTTAGTGGAGAGGCTCAAGGATTATGGACAGGAAGATGTTTTCGCTCTCTGGGATGAACTCTCACCGGAAGAGCGAGATCTCCTCCTCCGAGATATCGAGGTGAATCGGAGAATTACACAGTTCCAGAGTTTCATTTTTGTTTTTTCATCTTATATATACTTTGCATTCTCTAATTCAGCGAAATTAGCTGAAGATACTGCAAATAATGTGAATCGTTGTCTCGATTTATTATTTGGTTGGATTATTTAAGTTAGATGTGTTGTTTTCTTCCAGAATTTGGATCTTCCAAGGATAGATCGGATCATCAGATGCTCACTTCAGTCTCAAGGTTTATCTATTGACTTCTAGATATGCATTTAGAGTCTATCGACTTAAGTAATCGTTCATGGAGATTTAATCGAGTTCTGTTTTTTCACTTCATTAGGGTTACCAGTGGCTGCAATAGAACCGGTGCCGGAGAATTGTGTGTCTACGGTGGAGGAAAGAACAAAGGAAGACAGAGAAAAATGGTGGAGAATGGGATTGAAGGCTATCTACGAAGGGAAATTGGGTGTAGTTCTTTTATCTGGTGGACAGGTACTTTAATTATTGATGCAGTTTTGTTTTTTCATTTTCTTAGGGTATTGCGTTGCTTTGGGAACTAAACATATTGATCTGGCTCTGGTCCTTTTCTTGAATTAGTTCTATGTAGCTTACAAAAGATTGTTGAGTAGATGTTTAATGATTCTCGGATTATGGTTGGAATTGGGGGTTGATTGCTGAAATGATGTTGGAATAATGCGTGATACCTAACTCAAATAATGCATTTATAGATGTCTGTTACTTAAATAATTGCTAAGTCTGAAAAGTGCTTATTTTGATAAGTGTGGTCATAAAGGCTTAATATGAGTAATCATGACTACTTTAAAAATCTAACTCGTCGGTGCTTGCTTTTAGATAGTGACCACCTTATTATGAGAAAGAATGGTTATCACGTGACCTGAAAGATGCTTTATAGGATCTTGTAATCTTCTTTTCCCTTTTCACTTTGTCTTCATTTACTTCAGCATTTAATACCTTGAGAATATTTTTCTGTGGATATAAGTGGGAGATTGGCAGTGTTATCACCTGCAAGGCTGCAACTGTATGATAGAGTTAGTCAATTGAACAATATTAAGATGGGAATAACTACTTTCAAATCAGATATTGATTGCCTCTGGGATCCGTACTGTAGTGTTTGTTTGTATATTCTCTGAAAATATAACTCATGAGATTATCTGGTTACAAAAATAATTGCAGGGAACGAGACTTGGAAGTTCAGATCCAAAAGGGTGTTATAGTGAGTGGTTCTCATTTCAGTTCTGTTTTTGCTGAACATCTTCTATACATTCTTGCAAATTGCTATAGCAAGTTCAGATTCTCTTGTTTTAGTGAATGCAACATTCATTAACCTGATAACGTTTACTGTTACATGTATCTTTTGTTACCTTACCATAATAGTTTTATCGTCTCAGATATCGGACTGCCATCTGGGAAGTCACTTTTTCAGATTCAAGCTGAGAGGATCTTGTGTGTCCAAAGGCTTGCTGCTCAGGCAATGAGTGAGGGTAAAATTCTCAACTCCGCATTCTGTTTATCTGTACAACTATACCATTTTTTATACCTTGTTTCACATAACATTTTGCCTGCAGCAAGTCCCCGCCCAGTTACAATACACTGGTATATAATGACCAGTCCATTTACTCATGAACCAACTCAAAAATTCTTCGAGAGTCACAAGTATTTTGGCCTTGAGCCAGATCAGGTAAGAGGGTTCTAAGCTGTATTGTTTCCTGCATGTCTATTGTTTTCTTTCTTATGTGTATAGACCAATATACATCGGTTCTCTGTAGGTCACCTTTTTTCAACAAGGAACTCTACCTTGCATTTCAAAGGATGGCAAGTTTATCATGGAGACACCTTTCAGTGTATGTGTCTTCAAAGCAAGCTGAAATAAACTTAGCCTGGTTCTTGAGGTTTATAGTGAGTTACCTTTTACTCTTAAAACACTGGGCTTATGAGTTTCATTCTTTGTGACTAGCTAGCCAAGGCTCCGGATGGAAACGGGGGAGTTTATGCAGGTATTTCTTCTAATTGCTGATGCTCTAGTCATTGGAAATATACCTTCATCATTTTTTGATTCTGACCAGAACATTATATATGTTTATTCAGCTCTAAAATCTTCAAGGTTATTAGATGATATGGCTTCGAGGGGGATTAAGTATGTGGATTGCTATGGTGTTGACAATGTTCTGGTTAGCTCTCTCAGTTTCACGTCTTTATTCGAGTACTTCCTCAATTCTGCCCAACCATTAGAACAATAAACTAGAATACTGAAAGGCAGGTTCGAGTAGCTGACCCTACTTTTCTGGGATACTTCATCGACAAAGGTGCAGCTTCAGCTGCAAAAGTAGTGCGCAAGGTATATTTAGATACCTTTCTAATTAATTGGTTCCATAAACTATTCTAGATTCAGTTTTCATCTTACTGCAGTTAGTTTCTCCTGGGCCAAATCACAGTTAAGTTTTAAGCGAAAAGCTTGTTATGAAAACAGGCATATCCACAGGAAAAAGTTGGAGTATTTGTAAGGAGGGGAAAGGGTGGGCCTTTGACTGTAGTTGAGTACACAGAGCTTGACCAGTCAATGGCTTCTGCAACCAATCAACAAACAGGACGTCTTCAATTTTGCTGGAGTAATGTAAACAAAATCCTCCCTTTTACATGCTTTTGAAGTTAGACTAAGATCATTTTTCCAGTGTACTATTGCTATAGTTCAACTTTTATGCAACTTAGATTGGTTATTTCAAAATTCTGTAAAGACAATGAGTGTTTTTATGGAAGTGGCATGTGTTTAAGTTCATAATGTAAGTCGAAAACGATGTTTACCTTTCAGGTGTGCTTACACATGTTCACTCTGGATTTCCTTAACCAAGTTGCGAATGGGCTGGAAAAAGACAGCGTGTGAGATGCTTTTACTGAAATTATATCCTGCAATCTGAAAAATTTGACATATTCAATAACTGATATCAAATCTCTTGCAGTTACCATTTGGCGGAGAAGAAGATACCGTCTATAAATGGGGACACAGTGGGACTGAAACTAGAACAGTTCATATTCGATTGCTTTCCTTATGCTCCTTCGACTGCACTCTTTGAGGTATTTTTTTGTTATATTGTATAAAACACATTAAAACCGATATTTGCATGATTCAGTTAACTGTTAGCAAATCTTATTTTCTACTGTGGGTTTTTTTTTGTCTTTGCAGGTGTTGAGGGAGGAAGAGTTTGCACCGGTGAAGAACGCGAACGGGTCGAATTTCGACACACCGGAAAGCGCGAGACTGTTGGTTCTACGGCTGCACACACGTTGGGTCATAGCAGCTGGTGGATTTCTAACACATTCCGTTCCTTTATATGCGACTGGTAAAGAGCCCCATCCAACTCTTCTTTTCAGTTGATTTTTTACTTCTTTAACCTTGGTGTGGGTAAAATAACCGCGGCCCTAAACCAAATTAGATTGAAAATACCATAATTTAAAACCCAAGTAAATAGGGGAAAATAACGGCTATTAACAGTCATAGCTTAAATAGGTGTGGAAGTGTCACCGTTGTGCTCGTACGCTGGAGAAAATCTAGAAGCGATTTGTCGGGGAAGAACCTTTCACGCACCATGTGAGATCTCCCTCTAATCTTGCTTCTTTCTTATTCATTGTTGTAATTTGGCCATCTTCTTTGCTTTTTCTTTTGGCTTGTTTCTCCTTTTTTTGTTGGTGTTTGGTCTCTATATATGAACTGTAACTGGCGGAGGTGGTCAATAGTAGTCTCTTTTCAATGTGTTTCTCTTCATTATTGCAACAGTAGTGAAGGTCTTCAAAATTTTGATGTGTTACTCTTCATTATTTACCTGACATCTTGAAGTTAAAAAGGTATACAAATTTTGTCTTAAGAGTAATCTCGAATTTGGCAGGAAATGCATTATCAATTGACCCACCAAACATTCTTATATAACAAAGAACAGGGAACGAATGAGTTATCAGTACTAACTGGTATATATGGTAAAAGATCGAATCATACAAAAAATGGTAATCTATAAGGCTAAGACGTATCAGTTGCATTTTCTAAGCCAACTAACTACAAACAGAAAATCTCCGGCAAGCTGTGTCATATCATGTCCTTATCGAAAAATTGTTTAGTCCAACACCAAATGGCTTGAATAAATCAGTTCACCGATCTTATACCAAGGAGTCTGAATACATCTCCGGTATGCAGAAGGAATTCAAAGAACCAAGAACTCATCTTCTTCCGCTTCTGAAGTCATGTTCTTGTTCTTTCTCATTTTGTTGCGAAGATCGGATACTATCGAATCTAAGGCTTCAAACTGAGGATGTGACTTATCTCCAACAACAAAAAGATGCGTCTGATTCCCGATCTTAACCCAACTGCAACCCGGCTGTTTCTTCAACCCTTTCTCCTTCATCTTCATTCTCATCTCTGCAGCTTCTTCCCTTTTCCCGTTTGCCGCATATATATTAGACATCAATACATAAGTCCCAGCATCATCCGACCCTGTTTCTAATACCTTCTTCACCACCTCCTTAGCAATACTCACTTCACTGTGAACATTACAAGCGGATAAGATTGCTCCATAGAACGATCTTGATAGCCTAGAGTCATCACAGTTTATGAAATTTAAAACATCTTTCAATCTACCAGCACGACCGCAGAGATCCACAAGACACGTATAGTGCTCTTCTCGCAGAGGAAGTGACTCGTCTCTCACAAGCTCCTTAAAGAACTCCATTCCTTTCTCTACCAGTCCGGCGTGGCTGCAAGCAAATAGCAAGTTAAGATAGGTCACCTCACTAGGTTTGAACCCGTGTTTCCGCATCTGATCGTACATTTCAATTGCTTCCTTCCCATGCCCGTGGTGTGCATAAACCGCAATCATACTGTTCCATGATATCAAATCCCGTTGGCATACCAGTCCGTTATCGAACATCTTCCTAGCAGCAATCAGTTCACCAGATTTCGAGTACATGTTAATAAGCGCTGAAGTCACAACTTCGTTCTTTTGGTGGACCGACTTAGATATCAACTGGTGAATTTGCTGCCCTTCCACAAGCCCAGCCAAGTCACTACAGGCGCTTAAAATGCTCACATAAGTTCCTACGTTAGGCTTAACACAGCCATCCCTTAACATCTTTGCGAAAACTTTAAGCGCCTCTTCGTTTTCTTTATTCTCGACGTATCCTGTAATCATCGTGGTCCAGGAAATAACATTCTTTTCAGGCATCCGGTCGAATAAACCACATGCCCTGTTAATTTCCCTATTCCGTATAAATCCTGTGATCATCGTATTCCATGAAGCAAAGTCCCTCTCCGGCATCACTTGAAAGAGTTGGTCAGCTTCGTCTATCCTATTGTTATATGTATAACCTGTGATCATAGCATTCCAAGAAATGATATTTCTCTCAGGCATACAATCGAAAAGTCGTCTCGCTTCATCTACCTTACCGTTCTTTGCCAATCCATCGACTATAGCAGTCCATGAAATGACATCCCTTATAGGCATTCTTTCGAATAGATTCATGGCCTCATCTATCCTCCCACGCTGCACCAGCGCTTTAATCATTGAGTTCCAAGAAACAATGTTTCTCTCAGGCATTTCATCAAACATTTCCAGGGCTTTATCAATTCTCCCACTTTGAGCATACCCATCAATCATAGTATTCCAAGAAACTATATTTCTCTCAGGCATTTCCTGAAAAAGCATCTCAGCTACAGAAAGCTGCTTAGATCTCAAGTACCCACTAACCATGGCTGTCCAAGTCACAACATTTTTCCTAGAATCAACCCTATCAAACAATTCCCTAGCTTCTCTCAGATTCCCTAACTTAATATACCCAGTAATCACATCCGTCCATGTGACCACATCTCTCTCAGGCAATCCGTCGAACAGTTTGCGTGCTTCTGCAAGTTTACCTACTTTGCACAGCTTCCCAATCAGCCATTCGGGTCGTGGCACACGTGGTTTCGAGCTATATCCTTCCCTTCTGGGTCTTGAGCTGGAAGAGTAAATCGAACGTACGAGATTACGTAGTTGCACAGATCGTTCATTGTCTGAGATGGGAATTACTGATGATCTTCTGTAGTAACTTCTCAGGCGCGACAATGCGCGAGATTGCATTAGCTATATAAGATTGTAAAAGTGATCTTATAAGATTGTAGAAGAGAAAGACAAGTGTTGAAGCAACCAAGGAGTCCTTTCACAGAGATATCTGATATCGTTCGTCAAAAACAGAGTCTTTTTGCGTCTGTCGTGGTCATCAATGGCGTTTGTAAAAACATTGTATGGTAGGAAGAACGTTGATTTACAAAGTGACCCCTAATATTTATACCTTAATACAATGTGACCCCTTATATTTAAACTCTTGATATCAGTGAAAATAGAAGAATCGAACTCATGCATGGAAAAACAAGCTCATTTTGGTTTGATCCAAAGGTATGTCGTGTTTGGCACAAGACAAATCATATTTTGATCTTTAGTTTCCTATTTCCTTATTCATTTAAATTGTGTTGACCTTGGGTCGGGTGAAGTCAAAAAAGAAGAAGAAAAAAGAGTCAAGCATAAGGAGCTTGACCAAGAAGTGGTTCAAGCTCAGCCAATTGTTGCCTCAAGAAATTGTAGACAGACTCTGTAGAATCCGAAGCTATTCTAATCACAACTCCCTTTCCCTGCAATATTTACACCAACTTTGATTAGCCATTTACGCGGTCTCTTAAATTCTCACGGTTAATATTGGCTAGTTTTATGCAAAGCTATATGGTTTCTTGATTGGATGGATGAAATTAGATTGTAGGGTTTTAGAAAGTGGAAAGAGAGAATGATATTAACCTCAGGGCCGAAAGTGCTGCAGGAAGCTATAAACTCTGGTTTCATGAAGCGATTACGAGAGCTTGACTCAGACTTGTGTCTCCGAGAACATAAGATCTGTAATTGTTCCGACATCATATTTTTCACATTTTCTTGGACTTGCTTTTGGATTTCCTTCAGCTTTGCCCTTGATCCATTTTCAAACATATTTAGCAAAGATACAAATTGTCATAGAGAGTAATATCGACTAGAAAACAAGCTTTAGTTGTTTTGTAATCGTATACCCAAAAAGTATGACCATTGCTATGGCGTGATAGTCTTGCATCCGTTCGGCTATGCTTTGGATGCTCCTCTTCTCTAGTAGTACCTGCAATGAATTAACCATTACCAAAGGAAGGTCTAACATTGCGCATGAATGTTCTATCAATACTGCATACACGATCTGCAAGCGGGATTTACTTGGTTAAGGTATATCATTCTCAACAAATCCAAAAGTGGGTATGAACTAACTGTGTCAAGGAATAAAGGGTGATCATCTTCCAGGTAGACATTGTTGATGCTCTTATAAAACTCAAAATCCCATTTTTCGCCATTTGCATGACGCCCGCTTGTGATCCAATCCACAAGGACCAGATTAGAGTCTGAAAGCAATCTAAAAATCTGTTTCTGAAAGTACCGGGCAGTGGAGAAACAAGTCACTGGATCTGGTATCACAACCAAAAGAGCTTCACTCCCGATTCTCGCCTACTGCACACAACAATCCCAAAGATCAATCAGGAATAAGAATCCAAGAAAAGTGTCCTATTCTATGGCAATAACAATCTATTGTTCTAACATAAGCTCAAATATGTCAGCCAAATGATTCTAGCAGAAATGTGAAAGAAACATTACTTCCAATATTTGTTCAGAACACTTTGATCCTATTGCCTTGTACACCTATGTGAATTCACAAGATCCAATCTCAGAAAGTCAACCAAATAAGATGAAATTAGTGTCCAATTCAAAGAGAGAGAAAAGCCCTAAATTGATTTAACCTTAGTAGAAGACTGTGTTGTAATCACTGCAGTGCATCCATCACCTATAGTGAATTCACATAAAATCGAATCTCCCTACATAATTTGAACAAGAACTAGATTGATTCAAGCATCTCGATTGACAAATTCAGTAAGAAAGAGACAGAGAAAGAGGGAAATACAGAGACAATGCCGCCACCATAGGTGATACTGTAAATCCAGACAACGTCAGTTCCGGCAGGAGCTGCCTGAAAGTTCAGTGTCGCCGGAATTTTAACAGTTAAAGATTGAAAATTCGAAACTGTGAATAGAATCTCCGTATAGAGAGAGAGGGAGAGAGACCTTGCTAGGAAGTAAGAACTTGAGAGGATACTTAGAGAAGCAACTCGTAGCCGTAGATCTTCCTCCAACTTTCTCCACCACCACTTTCCCTGTCGCCATCTCTGATCTCTCTCTCTCCAGAGTCGTCATTAGTTTCTGGGTGTTGAGAAAGATGTGATTTTTAGGTGAAAAATGTCAAATTTATAAGTAGGAACAGCTCTCAGGTTCTAATCATACATAAACTCGAACGCAATTCAAATTAATGTTACACATTTTTATTTCCCACTCTTGTGTTTTGTTTGGACTTTGGTGGGTTTTCTTCTTCAGAAACTCTTGGATGTTATGAAGAGCAAAACTGGAGGGATGTGTCCTTAATGGCGGAAATGTCTAACGTTGGTGAAGAGCAGAGAGACTCCATACTTTTTGCAGCAATCAATGGCGTCTTGGTCTCTAATACTGCCTCCTGGTTCTGCTATCACTCCTATTCCCTTCTCGCATGCCTCTTCCACCGCATCTTTCCAAGCTGCCACACACAACGGCAAATTTCCAATTCAGATCGGCGAACATTTGTTAATTGACAGTCATTTTAGACAGAAGAATGGTTTCGGAGAGAAAAATATACCAAATGGGAAGAATGCGTCACTGGCCAAGGCAGCTCCTTTGGCTTCCTCGCCAGCTTTCTTGAAAGCTATTCTCAGACTCTCTACTCGGTTTGGCTGTCCGCTTCCCATCCCCAGCATACAATTGTTCTATGATCAAACCGAGGAATCAGAATAAGCTACTAGCAAATAAGTACAGAACGAGAAACAAAACAAAAAGAATCAGGGAGAAACATCCCAACCTTTGCTATCACAATGGCATTGCTCTTGACATGCTTAACGCAGAGCCAGGCAAATTTGGCATCCGCAAGTTCGCTTTCAGTCGGAGTTTTGTCTGACACACAATTGAAGCTGATGTCTTCTGGAGTTACATCGTCTGAGTCCTGAGCCAACCAGCCGCCACCAACCTGTCTGAGCGATAGTTTCCCTTGGTCATTCTTTTTAGCCTCAAGGATCCTCAAAGTTTTCGATTTCCCTTTGAGGACTTCAAGACCTTTAGCAGTATACTTTGGAGCTACCACGATTTCATAAAACATTCTAGTTTCCCCATCTGTTGGGCTCCTGAACTCTCGGATTTCCCTCGCAAGAACCTAGAGACAGTTACAGATCACTAAACAATTGAATAATGTATGGGTCAGCAGTAGTTTGATTTTTGATTACCTCGTCAACTTCAACATTGAAAGCTACGATGCCACCAAAGGCACTAACTGGGTCAGCTTTTACAGCTAGTCGGTAAGCCTCAAGAATATCATCACGAGAGGCCACACCACAAGGATTTGTATGCTTCACGACTACACATGTTGGGTTTTCAAATTCCGACACACAGTTCCACGCAGCATCAGCATCAAGATAGTTGTTGTATGACATTTCCTGCTCACAGTAAATAGAAAAGTCAAACATAGTAAGGCTTGAAAGCGAGGATAAAGGTATAGATGGCAATTTAAAACTATGACCATTTGCTATATAAATTCAACCTGAAAGAAAACGTAACATACTTTTATGCTGGATAAAAGTTTATTACCTTTCCATGGTGCTGAATCGCTGTTGCGATACCACCGGCATTCACTTCAGCAAGGCTCTTATCAACATAAAATGCAGCTTTTTGATGAGGATTTTCACCGTAACGAAGAGAGCTCTTAAGTTCAACCGGAACTGTAAAGCTGGGAGGGAACTTCTCTTCTGAGAAAACAGGAATAGCAATCAATGTAAGTTGCCAATTGCAATAACTAGTGTAAGGAAGATCACATAAAAACAACCACATACTTCCTTCAGTCTGCTTCCATAGCCATTCTGAAACCGCAGAATCATATGCAGCAACATGCTGAAAGGCCTTCCACGCAAGCTTTCTGCGGAATTGTTGGTCGCTCTTTCCTCCTTTGAGATACTCCAAAACAGCTTGATAATCCTCTGAATCGACAACAATGAGAACATCTTTGTGGTTCTGTGGAACAGAATAGAAAGTACATCTATAATCTTGAACTGAATGTAAAGAATCAGTCTCATATGCATATATATACGTATTTACCTTAGCAGCTGCTCTAATCATAGCAGGACCACCAATGTCAATGTTCTCAATCCCATCCTCAAAACTGATCCCACCTGGAGCAGTAACTTTATCATAGAACGGATACAAATTGACAACCACCACATCAAATGTACCTGTCATTGAATACCAAAAAAAAAACAGTTTAGCATGAAGGAGACACTATAGATGAAGATGACTTAATCTCAAGCTTAAACATAGAGGGTAAATCAAATGTCAAAAACAGACCAATCCCATGCTCATTAAGAGCTTCCATATGATGCTCCACATCTCTTCTAGCAAGAATACCACCGTGTATGTTTGGGTGCAAAGTTTTCACACGGCCATCAAGCTTTAAGAGAAGAAAAAACAGAGGCAGAGATAAGTTTAATAAACTAAACTCAACAAAACAGTGGTATAATCATAGAGAAAATCACAACTCAGTTTGACATCAGCCTAATGTTTGTCGAAATCTTTAAAATGTAAATATCAACAAGAACACAAGACCAAAACTTAAGCAAGAGCAGCGAGCTTAAGAGAAAATTAAAACTTGCCATTTCTGGAAAATGAGTAAGCTTCTCCACTTTGGTCACAGAGACTCCAGCATTCTCCAACGTAGAGGCAGTTCCTCCAGTAGAAACAATAGTGTATCTACACATATATCAATGAAAAAGGAATCATTCACATATAAGATAGAAACAAGACTAAAATTTTGTATAGTTGTAAGTAAGAGAGTTGTGAAGAACACATACCCCAATTCTTGCAGACCGTTGCCAAGAGAAGCCAAGTCCCTCTTGTCAGATAAAGATATCAAAGCTTGCTTCTTCCCTGATTCAATTAAACCCAGATTATTTGAAAAGCACAAAACGTAACTGAAATCGATCCTCTGAATTTGAAATTGCAGCAAAAAAGAAAAATTGTAAACCAGAGGAGCCTGAGGATTGTGGCTGATTCCTCTGAGCTGTCTGAGACTCCGCCATAGCTCGAACCGCAACGAAACTTGGACGCAGCGACGTACGATAGACCTGCTCATTGAAAATTCCACTGACATTAAAAAGTTTAGCAGAACGTGAAACAAAGACACGAAATAACACGTTTATAAAGAGAGGAGAACTCACAGGCTGAGCAAAACGAAAAGGCGCGACGGATTTCTTGCGAAAGTAGCCGTAAAGAATATCGCCGGAGCGAGCACTCACGGAGGTGGCGGTGGCGGCGGAACTGAGCATAGTAGTTTGATTTTGAAACAGTGTGTAGTGTTGAGCTCTGTTAGGTTTTGTGATTTTGCGGCTAATTTTGGAAATAAAATTAAAACAAAAATAAAAATAAAAAAAGGAAAATATCTAATTTATTATTGGCGTCAGGTGGAATTATGTCTTTATTATTATGGCCTTGACAGTTAGATTACACCTGGAATATTTGGAATAAGCTTTTTTTATTTCCCCAAAAATAAAATTAAACTGTTTTACACCAAAGTTTAAATTTTTTAGGAGGAACCAAAATTCTCTTCTAGTCTATAGTGTAAACTAATTAGTAAGGAATAAAACTTTATTGGATCAGATTGGTAAATATTACAAAAGACTATTCTATGGAGTATGATTTAAAAAAAATCAGAATATTAAATTTTCAATAATATAAGTAGATAACAATTATTTTATTGGTAGGCATAATATATAGTTCTAGAGAATATAATTTTATTTTTCGAATGTCAAAATTAGAAGAGAGATTAAGGAAGGACTTGGCTTCTTCTCCTACTCATCGATCGTCAAACCAAGGACGCTTCACAGTCTCTGGTGCCCCTTTTCTCGGTATAAACCTTTTGCTCCACTTCTCTCCTTCTTTGCTTACTCTCTTTGTTCTAGGTTTCTCCTGTTTTTGAATTTTGATCTTTATTGTTGAAATTCTCTGGATCCGATGTGTTTCCACCTGAATTTCGGGTAATGATACTCAGATCTTGCATTTTCTAGAGTTCCAGTGGTTTTGATGGTTGATCGGCTTGTGTTTTAGGTTGGGTCGAGGTTTTTAGCTCAGTTTTCGGTTCGAAATGACTCGTATTTGTTTCGTTTTTGAGGCAAGGACTCTAGTTATTTCGCGGAGTTGACTGGATTTTGGTTTTAGTTCTGTCTTTTGATCTGTTGATGTATACTTTGTCTAAGATACAATGGGTTTGCGAATAGTTTGGTGAAGTTGATCGATTTTAGTTTCAGCGATTCATGTTAGTTGATGGTGGTTTTGTAGATATAGGTTGATTTCACTTTGTGAACTGATTAGTTTTAACTTGTAGAGAGTAGTCATTTTAGCTATTTTCATGGTTTTCTGAGTTTTAGCTGTATGCTATTGTGGTTTTTTTGTTCCTAAGTATGTTTGAATGCTTTAGTAAAGTTATTCTTCTCCCATTTCAGGCACCTCAATGAGAGTTTGAGTTGTTCATGATAGAAGTGTCGTCCTGTTCTGCAGCCAAAACCTTAGATATTTACGAATGATGCTTATGCAAAGATTTGACTTGGGCCATGACCATGATATGTCGCCTACAAGCGTTTGTGAGGGAGCTGATGAACTAGATAGATAGACACCTTGAGAAAGAAAACATGGATCAAGCAAAGGGTTATGAACACATGCGGTATACTGCCCCTGACCCTAGAGATGAGGGGCTTGGCTCCATAAATCAAAGGTTTTCCCACGACTCTTCAACTAATATTAACAGTAATGTACGACCTCCAGATTATGGTATTTCAACCCCTACTCGGCCAGTGCTAAACTACTCAATACAGACCGGTGAAGAATTTGCTTTTGAGTTTATGAGAGATAGGGTAATTATGAAGCCGCAATTCATCCCAAATCTGTATGGTGAGCCCAGTGGTTTGCCTGTTTCTGTTAACTTAAGTGCTATGGGAATGGTTCATCCGATGTCAGAGAGTGGCTCTAACGCCACAGTGCTTAACACAGAAGAAAAACGTCAGACCTTTGAGCAAGAAAGGAAACCCCCTTCTAGAATTGAAGATAAGACCTATCATGAGCTGGTCCAGTCAGCCCCAGTTATCTCTTCGAGAAATGATACTGGTCAAAGGCGTCATAGTTTGGTTTCTTCTAGAGCTTCTGATAGCTCTTTGAACCATGCGAAGTTCTTGTGTAGTTTTGGTGGTAAAATTATTCCCCGCCCCAGAGATCAGAAACTTAGATATGTAGGTGGTGAAACGCGTATCATACGGATTAGCAAGACTATTTCTTTCCAAGAACTCATGCATAAAATGAAAGAAATATTTCCTGAAGCACGCACCATAAAATATCAGCTGCCAGGAGAGGATCTTGATGCCCTAGTCTCTGTATCTTCTGACGAGGATTTACAAAACATGATGGAAGAATGTATTGTGTTTGGTAATGGAGGATCTGAGAAGCCCAGGATGTTCTTGTTTTCAAGCAGTGATATAGAGGAGGCTCAGTTTGTTATGGAACATGCAGAGGGTGATTCTGAGGTTCAGTATGTTGTTGCTGTCAATGGGATGGATCTAAGTTCACGAAGAAGTTCCATTGGAACAAGTGCTCCTGGGAACAATTTGGATGAACTGCTTCATGGGAATTTTGATAAGAAGATCAATCGGGCTGTCACAGAACCAGCAGTGGCTTCGGTTGCTCCCTTAGCAGGTAATGAATCTTTACCAGCGAGCCAAACTTCTCAACCTGTAACAGGTTTTTCTACTGGAAACGAGCCATTTTCACAGCCTTATCTAGGACAGCAATTACCGTTCCCCGGACTTGGTAACCACCAAATTTACACATCAGGTCACATGGCAAGCATAGGCTATATAGATGAGAAGAGGTCTGCTCCTTTACATGTTCAACCACAACCTCATTATATCCCTTATCCTGTGAATCCTGAAACACCTCTTGAAAGCCTGGTGCCCCACTATCCACAAAAACCTGAGCAAGGAGTTTTGCGTGAGGAGCAGATCTTTCATGTGCAAGATCCAGAAGCTTCATCAAAAGAGGCCAAAATGAGACGAGATGACTCATTTCAGAAGGTAAATGATCCTGCTAATGTATCTACTGTCGAGAGCAATCTTTCAGCAAAAGAGCCAAAGATGAGGAGAGAATCCTCAACCCCAAGGGTCAATGAGTATTCTGTTTCTTCTATGCCTAGTGATTTAATAGTTCCAGATCACCTCCCGAAGGAAGAAGCTCCAATTGCCACACAAACATCCAGTTCAACACCAGATCCAAGTTCTTCCGCTGTTTTAGAGAAAAGTCTTAGAAAATCCCAGGACCATGTTGAGAATGATCTGTCAGCAAAGGAGCCAAAGATGAGAAAAGAACACTCCACCACAAGGGTCAATGAATATTCCGTTTCCTCTGTAGCTAGTGACTCTATGGTCTCAGATCACGCCCTCAAGGAAGAAGCTCCTAATTCCATGAAAATATCCAATTCAACACCAGATCCAAAATCCTTTGTTTATCCAGAAAAAAGTCTTAGAACATCCCAGGAGAAAACGGGTGCCTTGGATACAACAAGCGAAGGCATGAAAAAGAATCAGGACAATCAATTTTGTCTGCTTGGAGGATTCTCAGCATCTGGACATGGTACTTCATCTAATGTGAGCAATGTCGACCAGCCTGTGATTCATCAAAGAGTTTTTCATTCTGAGCGCACTCTACGAGATCCAACAGAAACTAACCGTTTGTCTAAATCTGATGATTCCCTTGCTTCTCAATTTGTAATGGCTCAAACAACATCAGATGCTTTCCTGCCTATCAGTGAATCATCTGAAACTTCTCATGAAGCAAATATTGAGTCCCAGAATGTTCATTCTACTGCACCAGTAAGACCAGCTCCTGAAAGCATCTGGACAGCCGAGGGTAGTATGTCACAGTCTGAAAAAAGAAACTTGGAAACTAACACCCCGGAGCATGTAAGTCAGACAGAGACTTCAGCAAAGGCTGTTCTACAAGGAAACAATGAGAAGGGGGATATAGTTGTTGATATAAATGATAGGTTTCCTCGTGAGTTTCTTGCTGATATATTGAAAACGAAAGAGTCTATGAACTTCCCTGGATTAGGGCCATTGCATGCCGATGGAGCTGGTGTGAGTTTGAATATTCAGAATAATGACCCTAAAACTTGGTCATATTTTCGAAATTTGGCGCAGGATGAGTTTGAGAGGAAGGATCTATCCCTTATGGATCAGGACCACCCTGGGTTTCCCACTTCCATGACTAACACCAACGGAGTTCCTATTGACTATAGCTACCCACCATTGCAGTCTGAGAAAGTTGCCTCAAGTCAGATAAATCCACAAATCCACTTTGATGGAAATATCCAGCCAGATGTGTCTACCATTACCATACCTGATCTGAACACAGTAGACACACAAGAAGATTACAGTCAGTCACAAATCAAGGGTGCTGAAAGCACGGATGCAACGCTGGTAAGCTTATTGTATTCAACCTTAATATGGAAAATCTAATAATTTCACCACTGGCAATGTCTCAACTGATATTTTACTAATTTCTATAAATTTGGATATGTAGAATGCTGGAGTTCCTCTTATTGACTTTATGGCTGCGGATAGTGGCATGAGGTCTCTGCAGGTATGCCTTTGTCAGCGTATGACTTAACATGTTTACAAGCTGTTGCATTTGCCCTCTCTTTTTTAACCAGATACATGCAACAATTGAGCCACCACCATTAGTGAACGGGACAGCATCACAAGATAGGGCCTGAATAAGTGTTCTAGTGATTTTAAAACCCTAAGTACTCTTAAGCAGTACAGACACTAAGTACCAGAAGGCCTTTTATATTCTGTCAACCAAGTTATGACTTTCCAATGCAACCTTTTAGCTGTCTTTCTGTTTTTGGTATTTGTCTGTTCTTGTTTAAAGGAATTTTGTAGACTAGGCATAATGTAGCCCCATTGGCAGGTGAAATCATTGGAACTTTAGAAATCTTTTGTCAATCTTGCTCCTGGTTTTCTCACTGATGGAGAGAAAAATAAAGCTATTGTATCCATTTTTTTCTGTTTCAGGTCATTAAAAATGACGACTTGGAAGAACTGAAGGAATTAGGTTCTGGTACCTTTGGAACTGTTTATCACGGAAAATGGAGGGGTACAGATGTTGCTATCAAGCGAATAAAAAGGAGCTGTTTTATCGGTCGTTCATCTGAACAAGAGAGATTGGTGAGCTTTCTCTCTGAAGGAGTTAAGGTGTTTGATTGTATAAGTACATTGTCCACTGCATGGGTCTCCCAAATTAAATTATTTGTATGCTTTAGGGTAACTAGAGTACTGCTAGAAGACACTACTACTATCTGACCCCACAAATGAGCTTTTAGTTGTCAATTTTTCTTTAAGGTAGATGCTTGTTATGAGCAAGAAGTTGGCATTCCCTGTAGAATCTTACTTTATTTCTCCTTCAGTGCAGAAACACGATTCTTACTTTCGAGAAAGTTGCATTAGTTTAATTGATTTTCAGTTTCACCAACCACTGCTTGAAAATTTCAGACCTCGGAGTTCTGGCATGAAGCAGAAATTCTTTCAAAGCTTCATCATCCAAATGTTATGGCATTTTACGGCGTAGTGAAAGATGGACCAGGAGGAACTTTAGCTACAGTGACAGAGTACATGGTCAATGGATCGCTCAGGCATGTTCTGCTCAGCAACAGGTAATTATTTAATACAGCTCGTCGGAATCCTTGCTTCCTCAAGATAGCTCTAGTTATACCAATTCAACTTTGGCAATTACAGGCACCTTGATCGACGTAAGCGACTTATCATTGCAATGGACGCAGCTTTTGGGATGGAATATTTGCACTCAAAGAGCATAGTGCATTTCGATTTGAAATGTGATAACTTGCTTGTCAACTTAAAGGATCCCGCCCGTCCCATATGCAAGGTGACTTTCTAGGACAGTTTGAGAATATAATGATGCAACATTTTCATTTTCTTTTGTTTATGTAACAAAGAGTTGATGCTTTATGCAGGTTGGTGATTTTGGTCTGTCAAAGATAAAAAGAAACACTTTGGTCACTGGCGGTGTAAGGGGAACCCTCCCTTGGATGGCTCCCGAGCTACTTAGTGGCAGCAGCAGCAAAGTTTCTGAAAAGGTATGAGTCCATAACATTCTTGTGCAAGTAAATGACTTCCAGTGCTCTCAAATTAGTTGTTGGCAATGGTAGATGAAAAAACAAATATAACCCCTTTTTGTACTTATTTAGTTTCAATGCCCTTTACATGATTTTGCAAGTAATGTCGCCATGGATACTTCATTTACACACAGGTTGATGTGTTCTCTTTCGGAATTGTCTTGTGGGAAATTCTTACCGGTGAGGAACCCTACGCCAATATGCATTATGGGGCAATAATCGGTAATATACTCTCTTTTCTCATTCGCTCTCAGATTCTTTTCTTACCAACAAGGTTGTGTACAACTAGGCTTGTCTCGGCAATGGTTTCAAAATTTGAACCCGGCCCTGTTTTTGAAACGGGATCATTTCTGATTTTCCAAATTTGAAACGGGCTCGTCCCTGATTTTCCCAAATTTGAATAGCAGACCGATATGTGGGCATACTTTTTAAAGCCTAGCTTAACCCACCATAACATCCCTATGTACATTCAGTTCTGACTTCACCATGCAGAAATGAAAATCAAGCTTATCTGTTTTGGTAGTCTGAATCTCTTACCATTTGTTACTTGTGTGACTAAAATTTGTAGGAGGCATAGTGAACAATACATTGAGACCAACCGTGCCAAACTACTGTGACCCAGAGTGGAGAATGCTGATGGAGCAGTGTTGGGCTCCTGACCCATTTGTTCGACCTGCCTTTCCGGAAATAGCCAGACGTCTCCGCACCATGTCCTCCTCTGCGGTCCACACAAAACCACACGCCATCAACCACCAAATCCACAAGTAATCTATCAATTTAATTGCTGGTACGTAAATCGTAAAAAAAAAAATGGTTTGTGTATAAAATATATCCTTGCTGCTTCTTTCGGATTTGAGTGCTACAGTTTCAAGGATTGGTGTTGATTTGTACAAGAAACTTTAAAAGCACATATTGTATAGCCATTTTCATTATAATTGAGTGTAAGTAAATTGGTTTTTGGTACAAAGACTTGGACCTTCTTTTCTGTACTCGGGGGTCTTTCTTTCAATAAAAAAAGATCAATCTAGTGTATATGTAAGATTTTCGTTTTAATAGCTGATAAAATAGTCCTTCCATTGTTTAATAACTTGGCAAACCCAACCTTTTTCTGCATGTGCACAAAAATTTTGATATAACTATACACCATCATAGACATCACAAACAAACGGAATATAAACAACACATGCATATACATATATATTTTTATACATAGAAAATCTGACCAACATTCAAAAGGCTCTCCTGAGGAACATTGTAGATAGCACTATGTTCTCTGCAAATCTTCCTAAGAAATGCATACACATAGTCAATCGCTATCTTCTTGTAGAACCTCGCTTCCCTCCTGGCTCGAACCACCGTGTTTCCCATTATGTGTACCACTCCTGCGTCCCTGCACCCGTTTATGAACTCCAGCTCGTCTACTCCACCGCTCATCTGGCTCGACGCTGTCACCGTGTTGCTCACCCGTTTCACTGGGGTTATTGACTCTATCGAGTCAAATGTATCAAACGTTGCCAGATTCTCGTTCTCATTCCCGTTCCCAAGTGTGTCTTTAAGCTGTTGCTGGCTTCCGCAGATGCTGTAGTCATCGGAATCCGAACAGCCTCCTTCCATCATCGATTCAAGGCGGACATACAAGAAGAGGCTCTCAAAGAGGCGTTTCTCAAAGTCATCATCTTTCTTGTGCAAGTCTCTGTATCCGTACCTGTTAACAATGGACGACCAAAATATAACAGTTAATAACTTAAGACAAGAGGTGTTCAATCAGGTTTTCGGTTAAACCTGGCACCCATAGTAATCACCCCGCGTAACACTGTTTCAGGTGGTTACCTTGCGACACAACGGAACATGTGGAAATTTTTTGGACCAATCCTTTTAACGAGGAACCGCTCTTCCTCGGGGACGGTGTAAACCGGGAGGTTCTTGACGCATACGAACACCACAACTGAGTGAATGGCTGGTAGGTTTGTGATGAAATGAGAAAAAATGTGAGGGACTCCACTGGCAAGTTCGGTGTAAACGAGGCCAACCCCAGGAACCCGAACAAGCCCAAGGCTAGGACCAAGTCCGAGGATCCAAGCCATTGAGACTCTACTGTGCATCTCAAACTCGTATCTCTTTAAAGTTCCGTAGTGCCATACCGACATGATGAGGAGAAAAGCTGCAGCGATTACGAGCGGTACCCAACCACCTTGGTCAATTTTGAAAAGCATGGCCGAAAAATAGGTGCATTCCACGACAAGTGAGAGGATGGTGAATATGAGAACCAGAACCCAATGGCAACGCCACACTAGGATCATGATCAGCGTCATAAGCAGTGTTGTCACGAGCATGACTATCACAACTGCGGTCCCATAAGCGTTTCCTATCTGACTCTGGTTCTTGAATCCAGCAGTGACAGCAATGCAAAGGATCATTAGAATCCAATTTATGTCAGGAACGTAAATCTGACCGAGGAATTTCCGGGAAGTATGCACCACTTTAACTCTTGGAAAGCAACCGTGGGCTAGAGCTTGCTTGACTAAGGAGAATGTCGCCGAGATCGTAGCTTGGCTCGCCACAATCGCTGCAGCGGTTGCAATAATGAACATTGGCCAATATACGCTTCCTGCAAGAACAAATATTTACATAAATCTTAACGTTTTCTACACAGATTGTATACGAAAGACGTACTTAATCGAAGAAGAAACCTGGAATGGAACGGTAAAACGCATCAGCCACATGATCCGGATACCTCCTAATGTAAGCAGCTTGTCCACTATAAGCCAAAAGGAGGCAAGGAAACACGATTACAGTAAACGCGATTTGCACAGCTGAGACCGGAAAATGCGATAGATCAGCGAAGAGTGCTTCGATTCCTGCCATTTTCATGGCCATGACAAGAAAAAAAAAAAGAACTATCAAGATCAAGAAAATAAGAATAGTTGAAGAGCAGAATCAACTAGATTTTTGGTTCTTACCTGTTATACTAAGCATAATACCTCCAAGAGAGGTCCAACGATCCCGACCTCCTCTTTTAAAATACCGATATATATAAACCGGGGAGAAAGCTTTCAAGACACTAGTGTCGTGTTTCCAGATATTGTAGATACCGATACTTGCGATAGAGAGAAACCAGAGAAAAACAATGGGCGCGAAAAGCCAACCAACCCGGTCTGTTCCATAATGCTGTACACTAAACAAGCTGACTAATATCACAACAGCGACAAAAACAACAACACCTGTAATAATAATCACAAACTTATATGAATATTAAGACACCACCATATGTTTCAGGATGAGAAGTTCAGCGCATGTAAAAATGGTAATACCATTGCTTATGTGAGGAAGGTTTACTCTTAGCCCACCAGCAGCTGAGAGAACTGCAAAAGCAAATGTTGACAAGTGAACATTTTCATTACTCTTACGGCCTAAATCACATACTTGAAAGGGAAGCGAACCGCATACCAGAAATGGCGGGAGTAAGGATACCATCGCCGATGACCATACATGTACCAACAAGAACTAAAATAAGAAGAGCGGTTTTTCTAGATGTCCGCTTTTCTAACCATCTTTTAGTCTTAGCAGCAAATGAATGCTCATGGAACGTAGTGCGGCTGTAAGTAGTAAGTTCTTCATCAGTACGGTGTTGGTTCTGAATTGTTTTCACTTTGGCATGTCTACAGAGTAATGAATACAGAGCAAAAGTCCCACCTACAAAAAACACAATCAAGTCAGCAAGTAGTAACACCATCAACAACCAAAATGATAGGCTTGTGAATTGGTTAGTTAATAATACCTTGACCATTATCATTTGCTTTACATACAACGAAAACATATTTGAGGAGAGGGATGAGTGTGAGTGAATAAATAATGAGAGATAGAGCTCCAATGATATCTTCTTGATCTTTGATCCCATGAGGAAATGTATTGTAGAAAACATAGAGAGGAGAAGTCCCTAAATCTCCATAAACAACACCGAGGCTCTGAAACGAAAGCTGCAGAAGCAGAAGAGCCGAGAATTTCTGCAAATGTTTAGCCAAATTAGTTATATATATGAATTCTGATCCAAACTAATACAAAGTGATCAGAAACAAGAAATGGAAATGAATCTGTAATAAAAATGAAACCTTTTCTCTGTACATGTTTCTAAGTCGACCAGCTTCTTCATCCATGGATTGATCAAGCTTCTGGTCCAAATCCCACATGCTACCTCTCTCATCATTCTCTTCTTCATCAATCTCACCATCCATTGTTGCTGCTTCTACTCTTGCCGCCATTTGAAACTACTTTTTGATTCTTACACATAAAACAACCTCCTCTCAAAGCCCAGATCTTTACACAAGTAAAACCTGAATTGGCTTGGAATCTTCACAAACAAGAAAGATTTTTCAAGAAAAATGAATTTTCCCAAAGAGGAATGTCGTAAGAGCTTGCATATACCAATTACAATAACTGCCAAAATTGAGAAAAGATGTCGAAATAGTAGCTAAGATCGTGTTTATTAACAACCAGCCAAAGATAATCAGGAACATGTAACGATCAAACAAGTATCAAATAAAGAATATGCCAAAATCAAAACTTCAACAGTAAACAAAAATCAATAAAGAAGAACACTTGAGAGAATTCTAAAAACCCCGACATTATTTCTATGGAGGATAAATAAACACAACGAACTGGGAAATTATGTCTTTATAAGAAACAGATTCTCACTGTTCCATTTGTGGGTCCTGTTCGATTCAGAACCATCGAATATAATAGTGAAATAAACAAAGATTATTGAATTTACCAGAAGAAAAAAAAAAGAGTTTCCTTTTTACAGAGTTATGGTTTCTCTGGGGAATTGAGAAAAGAAAAAGGAAGAAAACGCAGAGAGAGCTGCGTTTTGTCTTCTCTTTCTCTGCAACTGAAGTCTGAAGGAGGGTAAAGAAGAAGGCAAATTGATATAGAGAAAGAAAGAGAGACAAAGTACATATGATTCTGATTTTCTGACAGATATGAACGTGGAGAGTTTTTTTAATTAATTAAATACATATATATAAAGTGTAAAAATTCGTACTCCATTCATGTTTAAATTTTATTGGAGTTATCGAAGAAATTATATAACTAGTGTTCAGATTGAAAGTACAAATCCTTTTTACCCACTTAAACAGTACTCTGCATTTAATGGGAAAGTAAAACGTTTGGAATTAAATATTTTCCGAAAATTTATTAGTACTATAATAAATTTAGTGTGATGTCAAAAAAAGAAAAAAAAAAGAAGAAGAAGATAAATTTAGTGCTATTTCACTGGATGAATTTCACAATAAACAGTTGTAGAAGGTAGGCATGGAGCCACCACCATGTTCTGTCAGTGGGAATAAACAGTTGAGCAGATCTAAGAGATGATTCACCGGGAGCCACCACCATGTTCTGTCAAGGAACTCTGAAGTACCGTAGAAGGTAGGCATGGAGAAAAAGAGTTCGAGAGGAAAGCAAATTCGAAAAAGAAAAGCTAGAAGGATGAAAAGGTTACAAAGAGATCGAAAGAGATTGCAAATGAATCGAGAACGGGAAGAGAGTTCCCGACGCCGGCGAGCTAGAGCTCCACCGGCGCCGGCGAGCTAGAGCTCCACCGGCGCCGGAGAGAAATTCTCTATTGTTGACTAATGAAAAATCAAGGTATTAAATTTTTTTTTTTTTTTTTTTTTACAAGGTATTAAATTTGGAGCCATACCATACCCTCTTTTTTATAGTTTATATATTCACATCTCGATCTATATACCCAACATGTTTACAAATTTTCTTCTTAAATTTTTATTTGTGTCATCAATTTTTCATGCTCTGATTCTCTGAAGCATGTGTAATAATAGATTTCCAAGAAATATACGATTTAATTTTATTTATTCAAATATAATGGCATGTTCTTGAATAACTGAAACAGTTTTTTTTTTTTTAATTGGACCAACACAACTAAAATAGTCAATTCACAATGATTTTGAAATTTTGAGAAGGTGATTTGTTTTTCACCTATCTAACAAAAACAATAATTGTACACCATTTTCTGCTATTTTAATTAGGAAAATGTTTACTTCCTCAAAATTAATTAACTATCGCTTTTATTTAGTTTTATAGAGGTTTTTATTGGTAACTATATATATATATATTGTTTTGACAATTATCAATAACAAAGCAATGTTAAAAGCGTTATTTTTAGTCTTTTACAGCTTTTATGTACCATTCTATTTTACAGTTTTACATTATTCTGTCAAAACTTACCAGTTTAGCTTACATTTAAAAAATTTATACAATACCAGTAGGATTGAGAGTATCATTGAACATTAACTCAAATTTAAATTTTTACTGACCAAATAATTTTGCTACAATTTTACGTTTTAATGCTTTAGTTTAGCATTAATTGACTTTCAAACAAAATTTTCAGATTAGTGAATCTTTATTTTCAGTATCCAAACTTGTAAAATTCTTGCGTCTACGGACTTGTTTTTGTAGTTTTTTTTTTTCATTTTAATTTACTTATCTTTAAATTCTATATTAGATTATATCATGGTTTAATGTCCCGGTTTACTTTATCCTCGGGTTTACAATTGTATTCTTAGTTTAGGTGTCTGTATTTAAGCAACATTCATTGTTAATTTACAACTTAATGAAGCATAATTTTTAAAACAATGAAAAGGTTGTTAGATCTGAAATGGTATCAGAGCTTTTTTTTTTTTTTTTTTTTTTTTGGTAAAAGGTTAAATTTTATATCATTTTTTATTTTTGACAGAAATTACAGGGAACACTAGGAACTAGAAAAAAGCAGCCTACAGAAAATAAAAACAACAATCAGAGCTTTTCTTCAACGTCAAACTTGTTATTGTATCTGTATAATGTATATATATATAGTAATTTACCGGACATATTTTCGATTTAGTTAATGATATAGGATTTGATCCAAAAAAAAAAAAAGTTAATGATATTGGTTGGAAAAAAGGTTTTATGTATGCGAAAAGTTTGTTTTGACAATTATTTATTGTCGTTCAATTGCTTTGACCTTACGAGCGTTTACCTATAAAAAAGATTAAGAACGTTTTATAAATAAAAAAACACTAACCGAGTTAACTAAAGTAATTTATCTATGTTGGGTAACCCTGTCGATCGTGTCATGTGATCCCGCACTTACCCTTTTCGGCAACAATAATTAAATTTAGTAGACCCTAATACAGAAAATGATATTCAGAAGATTCACAACAAGATCAGTTGGATCCAAGATAATGGTTTATTAACAATGAAATAGAACTGATGAAGTTCATTATAATAGATTCAAGGGAACAAATATAATTGTTTCTGGACTGATTTTTTTAAATATATTATTACATTACAAAAGCCTCAAATTATTTAAACAAAGAGAGTCACAATGGAAACTTGTAGCCTGTTATAGAATATTTATATCTATATATTCTTTGTCATAGCATATATCAAGTAGTTCAACGATTCACGAAAAGGTCTCAATCAATTATTATTGAACCATTTATCAAACAAAATAAATTATATACAATTGGACTATGCGTAACGCTGAACCAAGTTTCCTTCAAGTCTACTTTGGTTGTACATGCATATGAGATTTTGTTTTTGTAACAATCTCCATCATGTTCATTTAAAAATAAAAATAATAATAATCTCCATCACATGGGTTTCGTTAAAGTCTTTAATTTGTAATTTATTTTTTGATAAATAAATACTCTCTTTTTTTATAAAATAATACTTGAGTCCAACTTTCAGATCTCTATTTCTTTTAGTCGATTCATTTTTAAGAAAAATATTTGTGTTATACATATATTACCTCACACGAATATTACACTACGTTGCATGCATCTCGCTTACACACTTGAATTCCGAAATAAAGTAATGGCGTGTTGACAATTCATAAATAGTCCAAAATTCACAAGGTGCAATTTTTAATCTGATGTAACTGGTTATTGCTAGATAATAGACTTTCAAATTAATCGAATATTATATCTCAAAATTACCAAAAAAATGATCATTTTGCCTTCATATAATAATTTTATGACCAAATATATGTGGCTATTATGCGATAGATGCCCCCACGTGGTTGTATGTTAAATATAAACAATCCGACAGCTGGTACGGATAACTAATGATGTATATGTGGTCCTAGCTCGTCCTAAACATACCGATCCAACTTTTTCATTTTAAGAGATTCAAATATTCACTAAACATTAAAATCATGCTAATCTAAGTGCTTATCAAAATTCGACATACCACAAAATTTATGGATGCCAAAGATCTACACAGAGATATACATATCCAAAAGAGTCAAGATGTAAAGGACATATGCAAATATGTTAAAGTTTTTTTTTTTTTTTTTTTTGAACAACTCAAATATGTTAAAGTTTAGATACTCAAATGTCATTACAAAATCTCTACTAGTTTTTTTTTTCTATCTACTCATGATATAAATTCAATCATTAGTAATAGTATAAGATTTATCTTCTTTATGGTATTAGAACTAAACATTTATTGAACTTATATATTTATTATCCAGAGGTGGTGGGCTAGTGGTTCTAGTCTGGTGGAAGAGTGGCCCTGTTGGTCTAGGCTAGGGATCGATTCTCTCCAAACGCAAAATTGCTAAGCTTTATCCTTTTGACCACATGGATATGGGCTCATTGTTTACGGCCTATTTGAAAACTTGGGGGGATCCTACCCATGGGACATCCTCTCCCCAGAGGATTTATCTTGAGTTATAAAAAAAAAAAAAAACTTATATATTTATTTTCCGGCCATCGATCAATCCAACTATGTTTATCTCTGGCTATTCGTGGCCAATGAATCAAAGATGATCTCATCTGAAAATGTCAATAAACGATCGGCCATCAATTCTAACATGATAAATGTGGTTTTAGCTATTGTAGAAAAAAAAAAAAAAAAAAACTCTTTTTGTGGTTATGAAGCCAACAACATTGATTGATTTTAAAATTTTCATATTATATATGAAATGGTAACATGCATGATAAATCTCTGCCACCAATAACAACCACGAACAGAATGATATATGTTATAAACCATGATTTCAACTATTATAAACGGCAAGATATATAAGCTCCTATATAGTGTTCTACTTGTGCGATTTCATTGTATGGACAACCTTGGGTGTCATGTGCGTCCATCCTCTCATTTCGTGTGTATAATCCCTATGTGAACATGTTATTAAGACTAGGGTTGGCAAATTTCGGTATTTGATGTGATTCGATCCAAAAAATTTAGATGTTCGATATGCTTTAAGCAACACAAATGGTAAAAATATAGTATATGTTTCTAACGAAACAAATCACAAATACTCACTTTAAAATTTTCTGATACTTCCTATTATTTGTAGGTTACATATATAGAGGGATGTTCTTTAGCATGTTCAAATAGAGCGGTCGCTCAAGGTTTTGGCTCAAACAAAAATCTTTAAATTTTGTATGACTATATATGCATATAAATTAGGAACTATAACTCTCACAAACTATTCTACCAAATTTAATATACCTTTAATAAAAAATTTGAACATATATTACAAATATTTGAGAATATATATCATAAATTTAGAATGGAAATTTACATTTGTACTATTTAATAAGTAGAAAATGTCAAGGAAAATAATGCATAGTAAAAACTAGATTTGAAAACTGTATAATACTTAATAAATATTATAAAAAAATAAGTACTAAAATTTAAGAGAATTAATTCGATTCAATTTGGCAGTATTAATAATTGGTGAATGCCAGAGCCACAACAAAGACCAATAATGTATAACAAGCAAGTATATTAGGTGTTCCCTTTTGTCTGAAAATGTGAACCAACCATACTTTGAAGAAGTTCTTGAAAAGAAGAATTTTCTTCCCCACATTTGTCTAAATTATGTTTGGTCCAAAAATGAATAGTATCCTAATTAAATTAAGAGACATAATAATTAATATGTAAAACTTATTTGTAAAGACGACAAAAATGAAACATACTATTTGTACAAAATTCATTTATTCATGTCGTGTATTTATTCGTACGTGTTTTCGTTTTCGCAGCTGCAACTAGTTTTGTTATCATATGTGATGTATGTGTGAGTGTGATGTGATGCGATAATGAAAATCACATCGGCTTTTAATAACACGTAGTGCGATCTTACTGGTGATGGATGACCCATGTGCCTGCAACGATGTCGCCCGCGGGGCATATCTAGAATAGAAACCAACATTGATACGCATAAATATATACATACATTATAAATATATCGAAGTCTATTTAGTTTACAAAAATATTTAGGTTTCCATATATTATATAGTTGCAGTTACACAAGTATGTGATAAGCTGGAGGATTACGATAATTATAACATATTTATATTAATGATGGTAATTCAGTTTTTACATGTGTTCGCCCTTGGCTCCATCAACATAGCCATTCCTAAAGTATAGCGAGTATATCGTAGATCTAGTTCGAACATTCTTAATCTGAGTGGTATACCGTTATTGTTTCAACATGGTTGTATTTTGAAATTTATAATCTTTCAAAAGTCAAAACCACCAAACTGCGGGAGATTTATTAAATTAAAAATAGAGATTATTATTTTGTCTCGGGTTTTCGGGTCGTTTGGGATCGGGTAATTTAAATTGGGAAGTTTATGATCTGTTTAAGAAGTGAATGAATTTATTTGAAAGCCGACATATAATCGAAATATGTTTCGGAAAAACCCGAAAACCCCTGAAAAATCATGTGTATATATTGTTTTGGATTATGGATATTTATTTGAGATTTTTCGGATATCCGATCTTATCAAAACCAAACCGAAATCCCAAAATAATTAATGTACGATCTGTTCGGATAGTTTTAGCTACTCAAAACCAAACCAGACCAGATTTTTTGGATTGGAGTTTTGGGTTTAATTAGGATTTTGTTCCCAGGCCTGTCTATGATCAACAAGGATATACCTCAAAAACTAAATAATTCTAGGTATAATCATTTATTGGATTTTGTGTATATAATGCAATCCAAATAAATAAATACCTTTTTTTTGGTAAACATGTGAAGATTTGTAAACCTAAAATATATCATCATAACTTCTATATCTCTTCGTCTTTGTTACAATTTGAATCAGAGAGAAAGAATCGAAAAGAAAGAACGAGATAGGAGGCGAGAGGTTGAGAAGAATATTCCTTGTGAAGCAAGCCTTTTGTTTTGTGAGTATCCGATCTTCCTCTTGTTTCTCTTGGTCATATATAGGGTTTGTTTAGGGTTTCGTTAGTTTCTTCAAACATCCGTTAACAAATAAATTGATTTGGATTTTTCACTCTTTCCAGGCGCTAGAGTCATCATGGCAATGCTTAAGCGCACGATTAGCATCGTAAGAACCGGAGGAGGTCTGAGTTATCGTTCACTTTCTTCCGGGAACCATGTCGACACATTAAGAATGGTTAAGGCTCTAGAGGCTATCAACGTACCCTCGACACAAGCGGAGGCATTAACCGGCGCCTTTACCGGTGGCTTGGAGTCGGTGATGGAGAAAGTGAAAGCTGACATCGCCAAATCCGAGGCAAATCTTCTTTTCCAAACTTTCGTTAATTAGTTAGCACTACTATATATTCTCACTATTACCACAGGAACATGATGGATCGATGTATAGATGTTTTCTTGTGTTGTGAACTTAATCATCTTTAGAAACTGTTAAGTTATCTTGTGTTGATGACAAGTATCTCAGAAGTAGAGATGTCTTTTTCACTTAAGGAATATATGCTAGAAGATCTGTTCTTTCCAACCTAATTAGTGTTCTTCATTGTATTTTTGTGTAGGAGTATCAATCAACTCGTGTTGCAGAAGAGGTTAGAAAACTGCGAGCCGATATTGATAAGATGCGAGCGGATATTGCTACATTGCAAGCCGAGCAGAGGTATTAAACTGACTCGCTTTTTAATTTTTGTTTTGTCCCATTTAAACTAAGACCTTTCATTTGAAACAGGTGTGATCATCATATCCAATTAGTACACAAAGTTGAGCAGGTATAGCTTTTTTTTTCCTCTATCCATTCATTTTACACATGTACTTCAGGTTAGTTACATTGGAACTAATATATGTTTTGGGTATTTCAGGGTTTTAATGAGTTGAAAGATGAGTTCGAAGAAACAAAATATGAGGTCCTGAAGTATGCTATAGGGACACTGGTCGCTGTATCAGCAGCTGAAGCTGTCATGATTTACTTGATGATAGTAGACACGTGATCGGATCTTTGGAAGGAATTGAAAAAGTTCTGAGCGACGAAAATCCACTGACTCAAACATATCCGCAACTAGACTGACTCGTAGACTTTTTTTGGTTTTGTGCTTTTTTCATTGACATTGGTTTTATGCTTTTGCAAAAGTAACTTTTCCTCTTCCATTATTAATAACTCGTATGCCTCCAGTGCCATCACCTTAGCCCAAAAGGAAGTCCATTTTTGAAAAATTGAACTTTGAGAAAAACTAGAATTTAAAATTGCTGGTAGTGACTTGTCTTGGCCTCAATACACGTCGTTCTGTACTCATCCTATAACATTACATTGATATACAAATTTCTGTCCCCAATGTTTGTTGTGTTACTGAAACTTGTCTGCAGTTCACATGCAAATCCAATACCAATCTTGTATAGAAAAGTGAAGGATTATTTGATTAAATTTTGGGTTTGTAAATCAAATGTTTTTTAACCTTTAACTTTGTCAAATATATAGAAAGAGGATGATTGACCAGTGACCAATCTTCAGAAGTTTACAAATAATATGATATTTTCTAAATATTCGCAGAACTAATTCAAGCTTTGTGTTGTGTTTCGCTTTTATGACATGTACAGTAGTAACAGAGTAAAAAAGAATGGCAGTTGGGTCCGTATAAAATGTAACACTATCAAGAACAATAAAACTAAAGAAATCTACAGAAGAAGAATGATTTCAAATATTTCTTCCTTATGAATCTGTCGCCATGCGTGTGCTCTCAGTTTCCTTACCGGAGAAGTTATGCCAAGGGAGGCGCATATCTGCTTGTGTGAGTCTCGGTGGTCACAAAGTTGAGAAGGAGAGAGTTCAAGCTCCTCCACAGTCCAAAAGGTCTCTCCCAAAAGACAAAGAGATTGTTTAAATGGAAGTGATACGACCAGTTTGGTTTGTGCATAGACATGAGCAGTTTGGTTCGGTCAAATTTCTTAGGACGAGGCGTCTGTCGCGGTTACTCATTAGTTTGATGAGTGGTAACTTCTGCGAGACTTGACGCCAGATTTCCTTCACTGCTCCATTTGGGTTGTCATAGTCAAAATACCGTCTTACCTGTGTGCATCGCATCATTCGGGTATGAGAATCGTCCCAAGATATATAAGAGAATCAAATTATTTGAAGAGGTTAGAGATTGATAAGAACAAGAAGGTACCGATTTCATTTCTCTCTGATATTCCAGTATCTTCTTGGTTTTTATTTTCCTCAGCATCTGAACCAGAAAACCGGGCTGCAAAGCTGCATTGGCCTCAACAAAAATCGAAAATTTTCTATAATCTATCACATCTTCGAAAGGTAACTCGATGTTATCGCTAACAATCACGGGCACACACAAACTGACAATGGAGTCAAAGAGTCTGCAGGCAGATGGAGTGTCACCCGCAGGATTTAAACAAAACTTTGAAGTATGCATTCCTTTCGTAGCAGCTCGTCGGTTCTCTCTGGATTGAGTTCCATGTTTTATTGTTACATCATCTTCCTTTTCAAGAACTTGGAAAAGCAAATCACGAACTTTTCCACCCTGAAGACAAACAAAGAAGCAGTCAGATAGAAATCAATACTATCTTTTTCAAGAAAGACAGAACTTTGAGCTACCAAAACTGTATAATTTGCCAATAATAGTAGCATTACACAAGGGATTATATATTATCCTTCAACACATTTCTGTATAGTTGCAATTAATAATAGCATTAACACTAGCTGACCAAAACACCTAAAACCTTAAAAGCTACAGAATTGGAACATTTTGAGCTCTAATTATTCACATTTCCAAGAACAATTTGCAAAGGTAAAAGCGACTTACATCTTTGCGATATCGATTTCCCATGAAGAAGAGTAATGTGTTGCGATCCTGCACTCCAATTTCTCCATTGAAGAGATTGACTCTATGAGAGTAAGGTATTACCACATCCTTGACGAACGATCCTTGATCAGGCCTCAACCGCCCGAAATCCGCCACGAGCAGCACCGCATTCTTGACCCGGTCCAAGATCCGATACAACGCATTCGGATCGCCGGCGGGTATCACGTGATCTCTCCCACCATTCCTCCTCCACCACTCTTGACCTTCAAGCCACTCCATCAACCCTTCCTGCATCTTCTCATCGCTGTAACCGGATCCAGGTTCAACGGGTCGACCCGCATTCACAATTAAGCTGAGGGAAGAGAACACCGGGACGTAGAAGAGATCAGCGTCGTCAGGATCCAAGACACGGACAATCGGAGACCCTGATCGATCCACTTCGGGTCGATTAAGATCCGAGAAAAGATACCACTCGTGCATATGCTGATGACCCGGATACTTAAGCGTAGTGACGTCATCGACGGGCTTCTTGATTCCGCCGCGAGCGATTGAGTGCTGCTCGATTAAACCGTAAGTGAATCTCTTGGGGAGATTGTACATGTAAACCCTAACCCTAGGCTGAATCGGAGAACCTCCTTCATCATCGTCTTCACGGATTAGCTGGCGAGGGAGATCGGATGAGGAAGGGAGGGAACGACTGACGGAAGCGTTGAGAATTACATAGATGGCGATGACGGAGACGACGGCGATTGCTGCTCGTTTGAGGAGGGAAGATTTACGCGCCATGGTTAGGGTTTTCAGGTGAGAGATTGAACAACTTAGCTCACTAATGAAGATGACTGTTGTTGTTAATTTGGGCTCGGTACCATTTGGTGCACCTTTTCCCCAACAGATATTCTTTTTTCTTTTTTTTTCCCCAACAGATATTCTAATTTTCGCATAATTGTTTTAATTTATACAGTAATTGTCTTAAGAATTTGTTCAATCTTTGATTATAAATGATATTGATTTACTTACATAACGGAATTATGAAATAACCAAGATAAAGATACGCATAATAGGTTTTCTGTGAATTACAACTTTAATGATCCAAGACATAACAAGTCTCTTGCGAGGGATTTGTACAAATCTAATCTCTCTACATGATTGTCTTTTTTTCTTTTCGGGAAAAAGAAACAAAATTGTCTCTTTTGTAGAATGTGGTAGTGTTGTGTACTTTAGTTATGCTGCTTATATGAGATGGGACCAGATCTTGAGACAGCAAACCTGGGAAGTGGACTAGGACCTGTGCTGTTTGATCCTGACCCTCCTTTATGGCTCGAGCTGTAATCCAATGGTCCAGAACGACGAGAACTCCCCCTTTGTTTGTTGTTGTTGTTGTTCTCATTGCTCCTTGAGTTTCCAGTTTCGGGTTCGTTGTAGTGTTCCTGACCGTAGAGTGAAGATGATGAGCCTTTGAAGTACCCTGAATCGGGGGCAGCTGCGGAGCTACTGCCGCTACCACTACCACGCTGGGGAGTGGTGGAGTTTTTCATGGAGGGAGAAGCGTGGATGAGTGATACGGATGGAGAGTGGTACGGGGATGCTGTTGAGAGCGGTGTGGACGGTGTGTTGGAGTAGTATTGGGTGTAGATTGACCTGAGGATGGTGTACGGAACATGTGATTCGAGGGAGCTTCTTGGGAGGTATGGTGAGATCTCACAGAGTTGGTCCAGGAAGATAAGCTTAGCCACAAGATGAGATCTGCGGAACAAAAAGGATAATATGATGATGAAGTGGATAAAAATGAGGGATAGAATTGAAAAAAAAAAAAAAACGAGTTTCTTTTACCTGTTGGCTTCACTCCATGAATCTAGCACGATCGATGCAGCGAATTTTACAAAGAGTAACATTGCAGATTTAATGCTTGCTTCAGCAGTTACACGGGGTTGAAACTCTGAGTCTAGATTTTCACTAGAGTGATGACCATTGGAGAGGGACTGATGCTGCTGCTGGTATTCACGCTGTAACCTAACGTACTCACTTCCTGCAATGACAGCGCTAATACACCGAGCCAAGCAATGGATGTTATTGCTGAATCCGCCAGTCTCGATGTTGAAGCCAGTAGTGTTCCAGGCGTTTGAGGTCATGAAAGAGGCAAAAAAGTAAGGTAACAAACTCCATGAGTTGTCATTTGCACCTCCTACCTCTTCGAGGATTAATCTAACCCATTCAGAGTCGTGATCTCCTGCTACGCCAACGCCATTTGCCACGCCTTTGATCCTTCTGATTTCTTTCTTTTCAGGGATTTCTTCAGGTATATGCTCAACGATGCCAGAGATCATCGAGTGTATCAAGGATGCATTGTCTTCAAGAACAGCACCAGAGGCTTCGGCGAGGAGCTCATCAAAAGCCAACGCTTGACCAGCTTCAATACAAAATCCTATTACGGTATCCAAATCCACTATCTGCCTAACAGATGCGTCTCTCTCTACTCTGTCACCAGAATGCATACTTGCAGCAGCTGTCTCAATCAATTCCCGGTTTGATCTCAGAGATGTTTCTATGCAGTTTACCAGGGCAGCTGTATGTACTTTCATCATCCTATCCAGCCGGTCTACTCCATAGCCGCCGAAGATACGAACAAACGCCTGTAATTCCTTGAGGTCGGTGACTGACTCTGCAAAATACCCTCCAACTGGTCTAGTGCTTTTGAAGTATTTGTGCCTTGGAGCGAAGAGGATTCCTGCGCCAGACACATCCTTGATGATATTGTCCATGTACCAGTTGCACACAACTTCAACTGCAGATCCAGTGTTTTGCTGTTGTTCACCAGGCTTTTCGAATGTATGCAAAGACGACACAGGTCCTGAAAAGGCTTCTGTGAGTAAAATTTCTCTGATGCCTTGGGTTAGGTCCATGCTAACGTGCTGCTCTGCCAAGTGAACTATGCTCATATGCCGCCTGATAAGAGATTCCAAGACAGAAGGCCGCTGAAGATCATTATCGGTTTGTAGTGCAGTAAGAAATCTTCTCTTGAAATTCCCAAGGATGCATTCTCTCATGTACTGCAAGTATCCAATCGGCGGGATAAGGTCAAAAAGGTTAAAAGCTTAACAAGACCAGACGATGAGAGAAATTCATGGGCTCTTTCCATAAGATAATTCATAGGACACTGAAGAAACATGCAACCTTTCCAAATAGGATTCGAGCAGATATTCTAAAAGAATTCAGTCATCTATATGTGTTTCTACCGAAAGAAAATTCTATATTTGAAATCTAGTAGACTCACCTCTCTTAGCACAAATACGTGGTTTATAACACAGATAGGCTCCATGTCGTTCAGAATTGAACACAAATTAGTCAACCTTTGGATTGCAGCTTCCAACCTGCCATCACGAGGAGATACTTTAAATAAATAGTATCTAAGGAGCACTGATTTCATGAATACAAGAAAAAAACTTGAGGCCAGACTTAGGCGCTCACATCTTAATAGACTTATTATTCTCAGGATAGCTCTCATGGCCGGGCAAAGTAAACCCGCCTACAACCCTGGGGGATTTCACTGAAGAGGCAGAAATTCTTGATGCATTATTCAGATACGCTGCAGCTTGTTCTGCAAGAAGCTGTGAAAGGTCAACACATCAGTTTGAGGACAGTAGTCAAGTAGAAGATTGCTTTTGTTATAATATTGATTTTGGGTAGGATATCTGACCTGAGATTCTAGAGCGCCAAACCCGCCTTCTGAATCAAGAATATTTATTAGGCCCTCCAGTCCCCCCATTATTGATTCAATAAGAGACTCGACGTAAAGCACTGCATCTCGCCCGAATTTGGTAACCTGTATAGAAAGACAAGAACAGGACCTTTCCGGTTTATAGATGGTTTCACTGATTTAGAAAGGTGAGACATGACGGGATAGACAATGAGAATTTGTGGTTCAGCAAAAAGAGAAACATTATATTGCTTTGTTTAAATAAAAAAAAGATGACATACTAAAGATTTGAAATCCAAAAGTAGCTTATAGAATCAATAACTTTATTTGCCATAGCACATATGCAAACCTGATACCAGAGTCAATTCAATTTTACAACCACTTTCGTTGTTTATTGTCATATTGAGAGTAATATGGTGCTCGTTGGGTGGTCTTAACACTACAAGAATCTCATGATCCAGACATGTACTACGGAAAGAGTGCAAAAAGCACTGAGATTAAATTATGGATTTACCTCCTCAGGAATTATTAGTGAAGCACATTCCGGGAAACTACTAGCCACACTGAGCCATGCACAACAATGCTGAGGACGTCCTTCTGGTCCAAACATTGTATTTCTGAAAACCTTTTACAAGTCAAATGTCAGATTACGCATAAGATGACATGTGAAAATAGTGTACAGTGAACAACAACAGGAAGTATACAGTTGTGAGGTGTTGATGATAGAAATATAATTTCTTCAGACTTCCATGCTTTGATAATTGAGACTCTAACTCATCAACACATCTGCATTAATGAAATTCCGCAGGATATTAGTTTTGCTGTTTCTCTAGCTAGAAGTTAACCAAGTAATGGTAATATAAGGCCCGGAACAGTACCTGGACCAGTTATATGCAGCATTTCCTTCCGATAGCAAGCCCTCCTTCCCAGTAGAGACAGTGGCTTTTTCCAGATGCCTGATGTTTATCGATGATCGAGAAGAAGTGACAATCATTAAAATGGACAACCAATCTTTCCGGAAATCCTGTATAACAGAGGCGCTGAGCATTAGAAAACAGATTGGAAGACTACACAAATTAAATGTGTTGGGACCAGGCTACAACTAAGATTTGAAGACAGGCCAAATCGGAAACATATGGAAACATGAGTGAATTTACATCTAGGGTGTATTGATTATATCTGTGAAAGAAAAATGTAAGTGCATCATCTGACTTAAAAATAAATGGATATAGTCATCTTACAGATAGGTCACATGTGATTGCAGAAACATTTTCTCCCTGCGCTTTGGGTATATTTTCGAGATGTTGCACAATACGCTGAAAAAGGCCTTTCAAGGTAGGATCAAGGTCCAGAGCCACAATTCCAGGAGTACCCATCAAGTAACGAATCCTTCCAGCAGATGAAGAAAGGTATGATAGTGCATAACCTCGAGCAGCTGCATTTCAAATAACAAACACCATTAAGGTTACCAAATTTTGAGCATCGGTACTGATCAGTGGGCTCTTCTCATGGTCTCAGTGAGCTGCAACAGGTCCAACACCAGCGTTTCAAGCTCCTGTACTTAGAACCAATGTTCGAGGATGTGATATCACAAAATGACAAACCTGAGATGTACTTGCGCACTAAACAGCAGAGACGGTCCATTCCATCGAGCAGGAAGCCAATGGTAGGATCATTTGGATCCTAAGAAATAAGGAATGATATATCAGCAATAATAACCAAGTCAAAGTAACAATTTTGAGAGGCTTTCAAAGTTCAAGCAATCAACTTACTATGTCAACTGGTATCACTCGAGCAGCTTTGGATCGTGAGGATGCAATACCAGCATGTTGAAAATACCAGAGAACCTCAGACTGGGCCAAAGCCAATGCAGAGAATACCATCTAAGAAAAGAAAAGTAAATAAATCAATCATTGGGAAAGTTTAGGGAAGGGAAGAACTCTTATGAGTATAATACTGGATAGGAGGCTCCAATCTATGCAGAGCATCAATGATACATATCGTTTGTAAAACTTTTCTTTTGACACTTTTGGTAAAACTTTTTTTTCTCAAACAAATCAATAGCTTGTGTCCTTTTCTCTTCGTTCTATACTCAATGACTTATCTTGGAAAATAGAAAAGCAATTTCTTAAACCTCTTCATTCGACACTTTTCGTAAGTGTAAGTCATTCTTCCTATGAAAGCTGAAATAAACCAATAACACTAGCCCACTATCGTGTATTAAATTTACAGCCCCCTGTTCTAAATGCAAGCATGCTATAGCAAGCTTTTGAAACAATCACTGACAGACGCTAAACCTTAAACCCTTATATGAATCAGACTAAACCTATACCTGAATGTTTGGAGCCAGCAAACTTGGTTGATCAGTGAAAAATAAAACCATCCGCCCTATTTCCTGCTTCAGTAATATTCTCCTTTCTCGGTGTATGGTATCACATAATTGCAATGCTTGCTCATGCACCTCACTGAAAGCAGCGACCAAACAAAAGTAAATCTATAAATTCAAGAGATATAATCTCTGCAAAATCACAAAATATCTCCAGTATCATATGAGGACTACAAAGTACAGAACTAATATAATTTGGAGTTACCTGATCATTTTCTCAACTTGTTTTGCTACACTGTATTCTAGATCAGCTTCCTTTTGTTTAGTCCGACCAGACTTTGCCATCTTCTTTGATTCTAACACACGGGGTAAAACATACAACTGGTAGTCTTCGTGCAACAGAATGTACTGCATGGTCATGTTAATAGAGTCAGCTGATGCAAAACAAATTCCAATACAAATCTCTTTGTCGTTGACCAGTTGATATGAACTCACCTCATCCCGGAATAACGTCACGACTAAGTTTTCCTTTAGCACAACCTGAAACGCAACAGGACAGTAAAACATTTATTAAAGACAGCACAAATTACACGCAATCTTGATTTGTTTTGTACATCAAAAACCTAACTCCATTACTAATATTTATTTAAATAAACAGACATAACATTTTACAAACAAAGGCAGAGAGAGGCAGAAAATTTCTGATCTGTAAAACAAATTTATATTAACTATTATTGACCAGATAAGAAAGTTTTCATTTTTCAAGATAGAATTCTTGGAGGAAATACTTCTTTATCAAGATCACAATCAAGAACAGAAGGAAAAACAGATTCATACCAGGGCGATATCAATGCTAGTAACACGAAGAAGCTCGTCCGGGCAAACGAGATATCCAAGAAGCACCCATTCTCGGTACGAAGTAACATTCGCAAGATCTTGCGCTCTCTGTAGGAAGCAAGAGTGTAATAATCTAATATTAGCACTATACATAAAAAAAAAGAGTTCTAAGGGAAATACTACAGCATCCTACTAATTCCAAGAATCTTAAGTTTTTATGTTGATAATTATCTAGCCATTCATACCATGGGATGAGCAGAATTTGTAAGTATATCTGGGAATCTAGGATGATATGGGCTTAAAAATCCCTCATTTCTCAACTTCCTCGTATCTGCAGATAGAAAAATACTGGGTCCTACAGCCTCCAGGACCTAGGAAAATGGTAACATTGTTAGTACTGCTGTATCAATTGCAGTATTAGCTCGTAGTATACCCATGATTTGAATATAATATTAACCTCTCCAATTCTTGGGCTGACAAAATTCAAATCTTCTTGCAAGCCTTTTAATGGGGGATCATAAGAGTCTATGAATTGCACCAAGCTGGATGCAAGACGAAGAGTGTTAATTTATGCCTATTGATTATAGACAAAATAAAAATGACACTACAAGGAAAAGAAGATTCCATACCGGTGATAAAAGTCACAGTCTCGATCATTTCTTGATAGCGCATGCAGAAGGTTGTACACTTGCAGCAACATTTTCCTAGGAATCTACTTTGATAGAATAAACACTCTTACACATTGATAATCAAAGAAGTGTATGCGTCATCTGACATGTGTAATCAATCCAAATAAACAGAGAACTAAGAAAAAGAATAAGCTCAGTATACCTTCTCTGCGAAAAGGTTGACTCGGACAAATGCACAAAAGAGATCCATGAATGCATGCAGAATAAGTGAGTTCTGATGAGGCTGCAAAAAAACTGAACTATGTTATGAGCTAATCATGAATACTCAACAATTTTATCCTCATCCTCACAGACAAATTTTTGACAAGTAAAAAATAACTTAAATGTACCAAAAAATTTCATGACCTCCACCTAAGGTACGAGTTCAAAAGAAAGCTCAAAGTTTCAAGCAAGAGCAAGTAAATACTTTCTGCAGATGAGGGACTTTGACTCACCAGTAAGGTAATTACAGTGCTGCTTAGGTCCAATATAAGCCGCAGTGCCTGTTCTCGAAATGCCATCAAGTCGAGCAGCAGCTGATTCAAGAAAAGAGAAATGCATGCTGAGAGGAATATGAAGGCACCCCATATTGAAATTCTACACACGAACTAAGAAAAGAAGGCTAGCAAATAACCACTCGTTACCATTTTAAAAGTAAAAACATTCTATAATGAACAAAGAAAACTTATAGAAGATTGACTATATAGCAGGTAGGAGTTCCGAGATGCTTCACGAAACTCGAGCAACAAGTTTCAGAACAACAGAACATAAACCCAACAACATATTACATATTACCTGTATCCATGGCTCTAAGCTCTGTAAGTGAAGTTCAGCACCATCGTGCAAGCTATCCAGTGAAAACTTGTCAATCTGCATAAGTATTGCAAAAATTAATCCTTTTTTTCATATACCTTGTTACCATCACAGCAACAAAGCATACACTAAGCCTAATGAAAAAGGAAGTCATGACTTACACGTTCAAGTTGCAATTTGCTAAAATGCTCAGGGAACTTTTTAGAGAGCAAAGTGCATATCCGTGGATGGTTAGGGAAGACACCCGCTTTCCAAAATGCTTCAGAGAAAACATGGCCAACAGGATCAGGGTACTCCAAGATTTGATTCAGTCTATACATTTTAGCCATGAGACCCTCTGCAACCTCAATCATTTGAACTACCCATTGTATGTTCAAAGCCTTTGTGGAACCACCAGAACTCTGAAGATTTCCATCAATTTGCTTTGAGCTCCTAGAAGACACTGATGCAGCCATTTCAGGTCCCAAGTACTCAGTCCATCTGGAAGGACCTTCCCATTCCCTCGATCTAACAGAAGTCGGGGACATTGATTCATCTTGAGATGGATAATATTGACGGGATTTCGCCATTAATGATCTATCCAGTAAAAGAATCTCTGCAATAAGGAAAATTCTATGTCAGAAACACAATTCACTTAGCTCTGCTCTTGCATTTCTCTTCCAAACCACAGTAATTCTCAACAACGCCTCCGTCAACGAAAAAATGCAGGAAAATTGAAGTAGCGATGAGTGAGGATTGATTTCTCAGCAACCAAAAAAGGAGCTATATATCAAAAACCCAGGTCAAGCAAAGTTACCTGAGGAAGCTCCAAAGGCTGAAAGTCAATTAGAGCAAAAATGGCTCAGTAAGATCGGAGCTTCGTCTGAGAGTTCAGATCTGAATTTCTGCTAGCTACTCCGGAGACGATGACGACGAAGAGGAAGAGGTAGAGGAGAGAGAGAGAGAGAGAGGGAGCGTCGGGCTCAATCGGAGTGTGAGCCGAGGAATAAGAGTTGCTAAATGCGGGGGGTCTCTCATTTAAGACAAAATTAGTCAGTAGAAATTAGAATTTCTTTCGTTTTCCAAATAAATGGAAGTTTTTCTACTCTTTTTTATCACTTTTTTGCTCAAGCACATTTTTTTACCTTTAAATCTGGAAAATATTTAACTTACTGATTAAACAATCTTTCTTTCATTTTTGGTGCAAAATTGAAAAACAAAAGTAGAAGAAATTATGAGCAATTGAACAGCTGAAAGTATTTTTCCATTTTTTGAAATTGTTTATAAATTTTAATTTTGATTTTTTCCCAAAATTACATCTTTGGATTATAGTTTAAGTTACTAATCATCCCCCCAAACTATTGTGATTTTAGCATAACAAAACAATAAGGTTTTTGTCATATACATAAATACATTAACAAAAGGTAAATTCAAATCTACGAAATCTATTTAAATAATTATAATATCTTAAATAGAAAACAGTATTTGGTGTATTATGTAGTACTACTACTTTTAGTATTTTAAAAGGAAATTCTGTTAGTAAAAGAACAAACGCTCTAGTTGGGTGGTTGAAATATAAGTTTTCAAAGCTTTGACAAAATGAAGACAAGTCCCTTAACCGGTAATTTTAATACTTTAATAATAATTACCGGTTAATTAACAAAAAGATCAGTATTACTAGTGTACTTGTAATTATCATTACCTCTCTACATACATTAGCTTTTAGGTGTAATAATTGTCAATTATTTTAGAATTACTGTGTGAAAATGTATGATTCAACTAATAAATTAATGTTTCTGACGTTTTTGATGATGTCACCCTGGCTAATCAGCATATACCGGTCCGGTTCAGTGCTACCCAATTGAGAAAATTCATTTAAAAAGTTGGGTTCATTACTCATTTGGATGGAAAATTTGGCTGAGGAAAAAAAAATGATGGAAAATTTGGCTCAGATTCGGATGAATGAATCTAGGTTCGGTTTATTTGATTTTTATGCATATTAGTGGAAAACATGACACAAGAAAATTTGCTTAAAGAAAGTAATATATAATAGAAATACAATACTAAAAAATAAATTCTGCATATATTATAATAAGTAGGGTTGACAACGCATGAATATTGTATTACAAGGCACATCTTTGTAACTTTGTTGGACAATTGTGGCTAAACAAGCTTGGCCTTCACAATAAGCAACAATGATTCCAAAATCTTTTCCACACTGTGCAAATATCATTGCATTCATAGATTTTGTTTCCTTTCACACTATCTTTTGAGGTCTTTATGAACCAGAAAATAACAAAAACTGGTTTCACACGGTTGCTACAATATCCGCACTTATATTCTTTGTTCGCATGAATCTTCCATAAGATTCTTCTTGGTAGTCGGATTCTTGGATCCCAATTTCTTCATCTCAGCAATAATTTCCTGAACTCCAAATTAGTTCAATGGTCTAAACTCTAAAAGTATAGTGTCCAGACCTACGGAGGTAAGGCCCATTTGAAGAGAAGCATTCTTCTTGTCAACGTGTTATACCAATCCGGAGGGATTGGATTGGTTATACCAATCCGGAGTAAAAATTTCTACAAATAGATGGATGTTACCAACATAGTAACGTTTGAATTTGGTCTCTCCAAAGGAGTTGGAGCTTGCTATGCACTAGTTCGACCTGCTAGAAAGAGGACTAATTTACATGTTATGGTCTACGGTCCACGAAGATGTACGAACTTCGGCCCGAAACTTCGCAGTTAAGAAAAAAAAAAGGCATAACTCCATGAAAGATCCAATCAATGTTATCCCAAAGCTTATTATTTTCTACCATTATTCAAACAATTTAATTTAAAAAAAAAAAAAAAAACATAAAAAGAAAGAAGGAGAACAAGAGATAGGAATTTTCGGTCCAATGGACAAAGATGGAGAATCACGTTTTGATCCTCGACTGAGAAAACAACAATCTGTGTTGCAGTCTAAACGACGAGAAGGGTCTGGAAAACATAAAAAAGCTCAGTGTTTGGCGTCTTCTTCTTCGCAGAACTTAGAGTACTTGTCTGAATCCATCAGCTTCTCTGCTTCGCCTGCATCACTCAGCTCAACCTTTATGATCCATCCTTGTTCATACGGGCTAGAGTTCACCTGTGAATTTCAAAAAAAAAAAAAAACTCAGCACGAGACCACGAAATCAAGAAACTCCAAGTTAACAATATCATATAAGCAAGCTATCGATGAATCAAATCTATATTGTTTACCCGTGAATCAAGATTCTCAAAGATTAAGACTTTCACATAAGCTAAAAGCCTAAAACTTTCCAAGACTTCAATGAGGAAGCAAGGAATGTCACCCATGAAAAGAATTTGATCTATACCCTCAAATAAAGATGACACTTACATGATTGCAAAGAATGTTATCCGAGGAATGAAACACCCGCAAAACTAAGATTTCAGATTCAATTATGGCAATGGAGTTATTTTGATTGCGGTCCAATAGAGATTTTTTGGTTTAACACATGAGTCAATGGAAATATGATTTTGAGATGAGGACTCACCAATCCAGGGGACTCGGTCAGCTCCTCATTGACTTCAACCACCGTACCCGAGACTGGAGAATTGATATCGCTAGTCGCTTTCACACTCTCGACCGCTCCAAAACTCTTCCCTTGTGACACTGAATGTCCCACATCAGGTAACTCCACATAGACCACATCTCCTAAATGGTCCTGGGCGTGATCCGTTATACCAAAGGTTGCTTTATTCCCATCAATCTTCACCCATTCATGTGAATCAGCATATTTCAAATCCTTCAAAACCACTATAACACACATGCCAACAACAACAACAAAAAATAGAATTATCAATAAGGTTAAATGACGAAATAATCAACATTCTAAAAACAAAGTTCTTGAAGATCTTTTTTTCTCTGGAAACAACATGTTTCAGGCCGACAATAAAACCATTCATTTATCAGGCAGATTTTCAAAATCTTACCCAAAACTACTTCAAGTATAAAAACTTGAGAGAAAATGCATATACCATGAACATATCACTCAAGTTTCTTAGCAATTGAAAGAAGATTATCATTATTAACAGAGACTCGAGAAATCAAATGCAATATTCTGAGATTTGATACGAAAAGGAGAATAGAAGCTATTAGCGATATTCCAAAACAATCAATCCAGCAAAAATCAAACGCTCTAATCCGATCAGATGTCAAGAACAAACCAGAAACCAATAAGTTCAAAAAGAACAATTTCAGATCAAAAAGACAGAACAATCAGAGATAGAAACGGAAGAGATCAAAGTAAGAGGAAGGAGATTGAGATTCACCGGAAGAAAACCCTCGTTGAGAAACGGAGATCCTTAGATGAGAAGCAACCCTAGAAGCCCACAAGAGTCTACAAGCCATTTTTTCGAGATCTCGCACAGATACACAACAACAGTGAGAGACAAAGAGAGTGCACTCACCGAACGGCTTATTATTATATTCTTACGACAAAAGGGTTTGGTGGATTTGCTTTTTTTGCTTATAAAAAATATCACTTTCTCAAATCATTTGCTCGTAGAACAATTTCGCATCACCTACCCCACTAAAGCAACATTGTGGCTTATGACATTAGACCATATATTATAACACTGTTTAATACATATATTAGGATTCTGATCATAAAAATCCAAACTTTATTAAGAAGGCAAACTGAAAAATGCTAAGTTTTTCAGTTTGCAGTTAAAGATTTAGCCATTAGGTTTGGGACAAGAGAACTCACAGACACACCCTTATGCATTGTTCTAAGCACTGAAGTTACTTGTTCCACTTGATCTTCACTAGAACAAGCAGAAAGAAGGACCTTAGCTGTTCCTCCATCTGGTGCACAACCTGAATCAATCATCTCTTCAAAAATCTCTAGACATTTCACATACAGTTTCTTCCTTGAGTAAGCACCGATCCTTGAGGTCCATGTCACAACGTCTGGTTTGAAATTCCTCTCCTTGAGCTCGACGAAAAGCTCTTCAATTCTTTCCAAGAACCCGGCTTTACCGTAGATATTGATCAAAATGTTGTATGTGCTTATGTCCGCAGTGCAAGGACCGTTCTCCATCTCAGCTAGAATCTTTTCCATCTTGGTGAACTGCCCTAACCGGCCGTATAAGTTGAGCATGCTGTTTAGGACAAATGTGTCTGGTTCTACTCCGTTTTCGCTCATTTCTTTCACAATGGCTTCACATTTTGTTACGTCTCTGGCTCTAGAGTAAGCTGATAGAAGCAGCATGTGGGATTTCATTGTCGGTGATATGCCTAGCCTCTTCATTTCTTCAAACACAGCTTCTGCATCTGGTTCTCACATATATCAAAAGAGAGAATGTATGTAGCCAATGTTATACAACAGAAAATTCATATTTTAAAACTTAAACGAAGAAAGTGAGGTTTTTACTCAGTTCTGGTTACGGTTTGTTCAAATCCGGATAAAATGAAACAGTTCAGCTAAACCACATTGGACATCCCTGGCTAGATAAGCTTTTTGTTACCTGAGTGAAGACCTGCTCTGCCATATGCATCGACCATGATATTGTAGGAAGCTCTGTCTGGTTCACATCCCATATGTTGCATTAGAGAGAAAATCTCAGCAGCACCATAAGGATAACCTGCACGACTGTCTCCGGATTTTGAGGATGTTACAATTCAGCTTTTATGGATTTCTTGGCATCATTCCTCTATGGGAGGGTTAGGGTAATCACCTATATGCCTCCATGAGAGCGTTATAGACATAGACATCAGGTTCAAGCCCATCTTCTTGAAGCTGTTCAAATATTTCTTCAGCTTTCTCGCAAAGACCTTCTCTAGCAAATGCATTCACGAGCGCTGTGTATGTGCAGATGTTCGGTTTACATTGGTGACTTCTCATTTCACAAAACAATTTCCAGGACATGTATGATTTACTTGCCTGCAAGAAAAACCAATGACATGAACATCAAATCTCTCAAAAGTCAAACCTCAATATATTCATATCAATAAACTTGGACTAAACCTTTCCGTATAAATTTATCATCAAGTTGTAAGTTTCAGTGGTTGGTTTGCATCGATCATGCTTCATCCTCTGGAAAACATCGATTGCTTGTTCGGTGTTTCCTTTCCTCTTCATTAACCCCTCAATATAGGCATTGTATACAGTAACACCTATGGAAAAACAATGTTAATTAGATCGAAAACTAGAATATCTTTATCTGGAGTCTCTCAAAACAAAGAAAATGTTCATTACAAGAATGACTGAACACTATGAGCCAATGTTGTGTAAAACCGATGAAAATAAAAGCTTAGGAGATGCAGAGACATACTTGGAGAAACATGATGATTTTGCATCTCAATTAAAACAGCTTCAGCTTTCTCTATGAGCCCGGCCATACAGTATGCCTTTATAAGAAGAGCGTATGTGTCTTCCGTAGGCACGCAGCGGGATTCAAGAAGTTGTACATAGAGTGATTCCGCCTCCTTGTACCGGAACTTCTGTCCATAAGCATCTATAAGCAAATTGAAGCAGATTACATCAGGCTGAAAGGAGCCCCTCCTTAAAATCCACTCACACACCTAAGACAAGAATTTAGCTTCAGACAATTAAGAACTTCAGGAAACATAGCACTGTAACAATGATAAGTCCTTGTGCTAGTCTAGTCTAGCTCTGACAGCGCAGTAATAATAGTTGACAAAAATGAAACTGTTGCAAGAAAGCTAACCAGGATAATGGAATCCCATTTCTTATTCAAACGAAGTTGCACAGAAACATTGATTAGATCATCCCATGAGGCATGTGTAGAAGGAAGAGCTCCAAGGACATCAGCTACTTTGTCAGGATCAGTTTCTTTCTGAATAAAACTCAGAATCTTCTGAGCAATGGGACTCAGAACAGGAAAGATCCCATCGACAAACCCGGATCCATATTTCCATCCTCGCCCTCTCAACGAGCCACCTATATGAAAAACCAAAACATTCATAACTCCAAATCTGTTTCATAAGAAAGTTTCTTAATTTGAGTCTTACATCGCTTCCTGGAGAGTTTCTTCCTACTAAATCTTTTTAATTTCCCACGTTCATCTATGACAAACCCCTCTTGCTTATAGCTTTTAACAGTAACACCATTGAAATTAGCGAGTCCAAAACCCAAATATCTCTGGAAGCCACTGGAATCAATGAATAAGCAATTCAAAGCGTTTCCAGCTATCAACCTGTCAATCAAAAACCCAATTTCATGGAACTGTTACTCAGAACACTAAGTACCAAGCAAGCAATTCTCAAAATGTTTCACCAGAAACCATAACAAACGTCAGCAGGAAGTGAACTAAAAATGACACAGATAATCAATTAAATACAAAAAGGTAACGGTTGATGTCCAAAGTTTTAGACTTTACGAAAATCCGCTTACTAACAAAATCCATCAGAGTTGAAGCAATTATGCAGATGGGTAGTCTGAATTACTCATTTTCTAAAACCGCTTAAAAGGACATATGGTTCTTACATGACCGGAGAGATTCCCAGTCTTGTCCTTGTTGAGGAGATAAATGGAGAGGATGGATAGATAACACAAGGAGAGTATCCGTTAAGCTCAAGGCCTCTGGCTTCATTTGTCCTCTTGCCTTTTTTCGTTATTTGGAAAATAAAAAAGGTACATTTTTTTTCTGTGTTTCAAAACAATTATTGTGATTTGTAAATGATGAGCCAATAAATTAGAGGGTTAATTGTGTCGAACAATACAATCCTGTTTTCTAAATAGTTTTGATCATTCAAAATGTTACTTATCCCCACTAGATTGTTATGTTTGTTATGCAATAACCATATGTGTTTCGTTTGATGACTTCTCAAATGAATTTGTTCAAGAACATGTCAAGCAAAAACCTTAAGTATCTAATTGTGTAGTGGTAGTACCGTTTTTAGCAAAACTTGTGAGGAATTGTAAGTCTGTTAAAAGTCAAAATTTTTAATATGGAATTATTTGTTATTTTTGTTTGCACTCAAAATTCTTCCATTAGAATTTGGAAAATTTTCATAAAAACCATTAACTATCTGCTTGTTACTTCTAAAATACACAAACTTTTGGAGTTTCCACATTGACCCCCAAAAAAATCTTTTTACTCATTTTTAATTATCAAAATTTGAACCATATACTGTATACTTTTTTTTACAACCTATACGAAACGGACGTTAAATATTAACGGTGATTGAAAATTAACCATGGTTAAAAGTTAACCACCCACGTGATTAGACTTTACTTGATGATTAGATATCTTACTCGACAGCCTTTCATTTCTAACCCTTCAAAAACAATGAAAACCCCTTTATTGAAAAAAATCCTCAATATTATCACCAACTCCTAATCGATTATGAGCGAAGCCGACATCGTATAGGAGAATCAGAAGCTTAAATTTCATCGTTCTCAATAGAAATCTGACTTGATTTCAGCGAAACCAAACAAGATAAGGTACGATTTTTTGCCATCTATTATCGATTCTGAATAAAAGATGCAAATTGTTTAATGTGCTCTCGATTGTGCATATTGTTGAGTTTCTCTATTGGATTGTGTTGTCCTAGAGTTTTCTTTTGACTATCCTTATCCAATTTTGATTAGAAAACATTCATTTGTTTTACTTCCGGCGGTGAACCCTAAACCGCAGATCGATCTAGAGCATATATTTTGATCAATCAAAGAAAACATCGAAACAGATTGACAAAACCATAATTCAGACTAATGTCACACACTACAGATTGATTAGTAGTTAGATGTTTTCTGTGCAATTTGGTAGATTGTAGGTTTGTTCTAGGAGATTTTTTTTCTCTATTCATGTGGTGAAACATAGTCAACACTTCACTGTTTTTTTCTTCTTTCTTTCTTCTGTAAAAACTTGGGTTATTTATGTAATTTGACGAAAAAGTTGTGGGTTTGGCCGTTTGGGGACCTACCAACAAGAATTGTAGATTTTAGTATTCGGAAAATCAGGAATATTTATATAAAGAGAACCCATACGAAAACAGAAATAACCCACTCTCCCCTCGATCTTTGCGTTTAATATCTCTCGCTATCTTCCGATCTTCGCCCCCATCGCCGTTTCGTTTTCCGGTAATACTCAAAAAAAAATATATATAAATAAAACCCTAATCGCAATTCTCTCATCCTAGTTTCCGATCGCTAGTGCTTCTTTCTCTTCTCCTTGGTGAAATTCAATAGATATCTTCGTTTCTTACTATTTTTTCTCGTTTATGTTTTGGGTTTTGGTAGTAAGTCGAATTTTAAACCAGGAAACTCCAAGCCGTGATTTTTCTACAGGTCTGATTGGTTCTTTCTGCATTGCTTTTTTTTTTTTTTAATTCTCCTTTAATGTTCATGGCTACTGTTTAATTATCTGTTAAAATATGCTTGAGAAAGAGAGAGTTACGTCACTGTTTTGGTTAATGTGTGAATTGCGTCACTAATTTCTTCATGTTTGCTTACTTGTTGACTTGTTCTATGAGTTCTTTTGATTTTGGATTCTGGGGTTTTACTGTTTACACTATGCAATTTTTGCTTTATCAAACTTTTTTTAGAAGTTTTTTTTTCTTCATTAGATTATTCAGTTATGTTTGTTTGTGTTCTTTGGTCATGAAAGGATTTATCAAGTTTCCACCTTTTTTTTTTCAAAAAGTGATTGTGCTATTTGTTATTCATAATTTCCAAATGAATTGCTCTCTCTGTCAAAATTTGATGCCCTGTTTATTGTGTTGATCAATCTACTGTTTTTGGCTCCACAAGTCTCTTGATTTTCTAGTGTATCTTCTCAGTTCAACAAATGAAGGAAAGTTAGTTCTGTTGTTATTTTAGTTTTCTGTAACAGCCATGCCAAAAAGGATGAAGCATATGGAGAAATTTAATGGTGCTTCTGGAGAAGATCCAGAGTATGGTGCAATTTTCATGTCCAATAACTCAACCAGGAAGGAATGCCTTAGCCGAGGGCTTTTCGGTTTGCCAATTGGGCTAGCCGGATTTGTTAAACAGGTTAAAGCGGGAATGATGCTGTTTTTGTTTGAATTCGAGAAGAGAGAGCTACATGGTGTGTTTCAGGCTTGCTCTGATGGTGCAATAAACATCGAGCCGAATGCATTCCAATCTTCTGGGAAACAGTTTCCTGCTCAGGTACTTGCATTCACTTTTCCTCCTTGAGTTTTTGTTTTTACTAAGTTTGTGTGTCTAACATTTTTGCTTGCCTTTTTCTTAGGTCAAGTTTACTGAGAAGTGGCGTTGTAGGCCACTTTGTGAAAGTGAGTTTGCTAATGCTATCCATGAAAATTACTTCACATCAAAAAAGTTCAAATTTGGACTCTCCAAGGTTCAGGTGTGTGCTTAATTTTCTTAGTTTAATTTACAGTCTCCAATCGTTCTTGTTTGGTCTAATATTATGCGGGTTAATTTACTTTCTTATGTGGTCTGACACTTCTCCGTTTGAAAATGTTATGTATAGGTTCAAAGGCTATTGAAGTTGTTTAGCTTGAAGAAGGTAGAGAGATCACGGCTGAGAGAAACTGCAGCTCCGAAACCATCAAGAAAATCTGAAAATACAGTTGGTGATCGTGGCTTTGGGAATCGCTGTGTAGGAGAAATGGATGGAGATGTTGACCGTGAGTTTCCCTTCAGGGTTACATCTGCAGGAGATCATCGTGGTCGTAGGTTAACAGAGAATTATGGTTGTGGGGAGGAATCTAAATGGAATAGTGGCCTAGAGTATGATCCAACTAAAGGGAATGAGTACTCCAGACTAGTTGATCCCAAACTGCATGGGTTGAATGATAGATTAGGATGTGAGGTTAGCATGAATAATAATAGCTTTGGCACAAATGCTTTAACTAAGAATTCGTATAATTCTCTAGTTAACGATCGAAGAGTCCCGAAGAACTTAAGACACACTGCAAATGGCTGGTTAGAAAATGAGTACCATGAAAAAGATGGTATCGCACAGGCAAGTTCGTGGTCTAACAACAAGGAACGCCTTAATTTTGAGGCAGATCCAATGGTTCCTGCTCAAAGCTCAGTATCTCCAGACTTACCATATGGCACAAACACAGGATACTATGACCCTTATCAGCCAAGCATCATGGGAGATACAACAATGACAAGCTCTAGGCATGGTCTTGGTGCACCTAATGTTGATTTAATAGGCTCAGCTTCCTATACAGCCAACTCAAATTGTGGTTTGGGAGAAGATATTATACCTGTTGGTGATTATGTCAGTGACGCCTTGCCCTCTGAGACAGTCCAACCATTCCCTGATGAGCATAATGCTACACGCATGAGCACTAGTAGTCTGGACTCGGGTTTCTATATTCCAATGCCTATTGAACATCATAAATACCTAATAAACACCGGCATGTTTGGAGTTGCTCGTGGTGAATCTGAATCTGAATCTGATTCCAGAAATGGTCATTTGCGTCATTCTCAGTTTCCTGGTCTCTCAACGTCTGCAGGGGACACTGAGAACATGAGGCAGTTTGAAAGGCCGCTGTACTCAGACCGCAACATCTTCCCTTCATTTGTTTATCCTTCATCATCAAGGGGTTTGTCTCCTAAGGACAGACTCAACAATGAACTTCAAACATATCAACACCAAGAAGAATCTAGAGGTCATGTTTCTTATAAAAACGATATGGTGGTTCGGGGTTCCAGCATTTACCCTTCTTTTACTAATCCTTCAACATCAGGGGATGGAGGGGATAGAGCTGATTTGTATCTAAAGAACAGAGCCAATAACGAAGTTCAAGCTTATCAACGGCAGAAAGAATTTGGCGGTGATGCTTTTGACTCTAACAATAGGGTGACTGAAATGAAAGATCGTGTTAAACCTGCTGAACCTGAAGGAAACAAGACCAGAGAGAGTGTCTTCAATAGGCTGGGTGGGCGTTCAAAAGAACGTGTTTCTGAAAAGGATATGTCTCCGGACACTGAATCAGTCGACGAGGTAATGGCCTTTTTAAACAACCGTCACAAAGATTGGATGGAGCAAAAAAGAGCTAATACGAGTAATTCTGAGGATTTTGGAAAACCGAAGAAGAAAAAGGAAAAGATACATACAGCAGAGGTACTTGACAATGATTTGATGCTTCCTTTGACTGAGACTACTCCAGATGATCTGTTGGATTGTGAAGGAAGTATGGAACATACTGTTCAAAAGCTACCATTCATTGATTTTAAGCGCCGTAGCAAAGCTCAAAGAAGCCTTGGTAATCCAACTCAAGAACATTCAGCTTCTCCGAGCAAGAAAAGGAAGCTGCTGAGACCAAAACTCGTTGAAGATGACTCGGAAAAGGATAGAGGCCACAAAGCCGGTCCTGTTAAAATTGTCTTGGCCTCGGCAAAAGATAGAGGAAACAATGATCCGATTGTAAAATTCTTGGCCTCAAAGTCAGCTACTGAAGTTCCAGTCCATGACTTCCTTGGACGAAATGAAGGTGACTCGCAAAAGGATAGAGGTAAGAATGATAATCCTATTGAAAATGTATTGGCCTCACAGTCAGCTACTGAAGTCCCCGTCCATGACTTCCTTGGACGTAATGAAGGTGACTCGCAAAAGGAGAGGGGTAAGAATGATAATCCTATTGAAAATGTCTTGGCCTCACAGTCAGCTACTGAAGTCCCCGTCCATGACTTCCTTGGACGTGATGAAGGTGACTCGCAAAAGGAAAGAGGTAAGAATGATAATCCTATTGAAAATTTATTGGTCTCGCAGTCAGCTACTGAAGTCCACGTCCATGACTTCTTTGGACGTGATGAAGATGACTTGGAAAAGGATAGAGGAAAAAATGACGATCCTGTTGAAAATTTCTTGGCCTCAGAGTTTGCTTCTGAAGTCCCCTTCCATGACTTCCTTGGATGTGATGATCGATAAACACTCAAATGGAGTTGGAAACTCTTTTGGAAAGAACAATGCCTCTTCAATAGAAGGTGAGAGTGTTCTCTAGTTGTTGTGTCTTTTTGGTCGAGTAAGTGTCTTCTTTATCATGTTGACTGTTTTACTATCATAGAACGATGCCTACATGTTTTGGCATAACAGCCGTTTTGAGGTAATTGTGGAGTTTTATGCTGATGTCAAAGCATGCGTTTGGTTCAGAAACTTTTTCAAGTGAATCGTGACAGCTAATAATACCTAGATTTTGTAGTCTTATACTGTCAAATGCAAAGAGTCGAGTCGACTAGGTAAGGAAAAGATAAACCATATACAGGTTTGTTTCCTCAACCTTCAAGCTCAAGGCTTTGGTGAAAGTGGTAACAACTAACAAACATGATTGTCTCTAATTCATAGCGTTTGGTCCAAAGCATCTGTTCTTATTAAGATCCCAAACCCATTGAATCAGATACTTTCTGCCTTTAACGCCCTTCACATTATACACATTCCTCCACCTATCCTTATACACACTTCCCATATACCCTCCTCCTCCTCCTGACCCATACACTCCCAAACATAAATCCGCTATCTCGGTGGGTGCCGTCGCATCCTCTCCTCCATACCATCCGTTCAACATCGGGTTACTGGACACTTCCGCCAGCTCATGAGCTATCACGCTAATCATCCCATCGATTCCCACCTCTCCGTTTGGCGGTTTCATCTTCTCTCTGGCTACAAACCCGCTTCCCGGAAATGGCTTAGGTTGTGCAAATGGGTAGGCACACATCTCTGGACACTGTTTCCTACTGTTCCCGACCCAAACGTATGGTACGGTTGCACCAACAACGCTTGGGAAAGAGAAGTAATGAAACCCGCAAATCGCTCTGCAGAACTCTTGCATCTCTACATCATCCGAGGTCAAGACTAAGTACAAGCCGTTTACTGCGTTCAGCGGTAACTTGGAAGTCACGGCAGTTCTGATCACAGACTGAACAGAGAAGCGAGTGAGGTGAGATCCATGAGAGTACGTTGAGTCGTGGAACTCTCCGGACAAGACAAGAGTGTCGGTGATGTTGGAACCTGTCTGGTCTCTGTATAGCCTCACTGTCTTCCACCAGTTGGATACTGACGGGTACTGAGCCGGTGTCGGTGAAGAGATAGAGTAGATAAAGTCTCGGATTATAGATTGGTGAGTTGGGTTCCATCGGCCGTACCAGATGATGTAAAGACTCGTCACCGGCGAGGTTATGACCGGACCCATGTGGTATTGAAGGTCGACTAAATCGGAGGAGCCTTCATAGTTCTTGCTCTCATCGAAGAACTGTCCATTAGATGTGAGAGAGTGTGAGAGGAAGAAGAAGAAGATGATGAGAGACATCATCTTGTTGGTTTTATGATTTACTTGAACGTTGGAGATCTTATTATAGGAAGTGGAGTTTTTAACTTTTTTATTACTAGTTCTTTTTTTGGTAAAGTAAATTTCAATTGGCAATCTTTCTATTTCAAGTTTTAACTACCCACCAAAAACAAAGTTTTAACCAACTGAAAATTGTGAAGGTAATCCATAAACTGTACAATTTGCATCAAAATGACATAAAGAAATGTAAATAGTTCTAAAAAGTTGAAGAGATTAAAATAGAAATGCAATATTTTTGTTTATTTCATAAGGTAGTTCTGATTTATGTACATGTAATTATATGTTTTCACAGAAGATGTCGGTTAAGTACAAACTTTTGAGCTTGATTGGTGGCACTGTTAGAGGCCACTTGACCAAAAAGCATGTTTACCTCTAATGATTTCTTGTCAAAATATATTCGTGAAAGCTGATGAAAAGTAGTAAAAGTGTAAAATCATAATTGCATAAAATTTTATAAGACCCAATTTCGAAAAGTTAGAGAAGTTTCTCATATTAACCTAGAAAATTGAGTTAAGCATTGACATAAAATACTATATAAAAATTTTGTTCTGTTGGTCGTTTGGCAATCCCTTTCTTTTTGTCTGTAATTTTTACCATTGACTATTTCAATAATTGCACTCATCGGTAGTCACTTTTCTTAGCGTCAGTGGAAAGTTGTCACACATTGAGCTGCTTCTAGCCTTCTATTAAGGTTTGGTTCTTTAGTTTTTGAAAAGACAACTTTTCTCCCTATGGTTAGATTCACTCCTTTTGCTTTTAACTTTAACTAGGGCGAAACCCGCGCTCCGCCGCGGGATATATATTTTTAATGTATGTTTGTTAAGTGATATATATATATATATATACGTATTTTAAGCTTCGAATATTAGCTGAATTTACATTTCAATATGAATTTTATAACTTTTTGTTTCATAAAAACCATTGTATAATATTAATTTTCATCAATAATGATTCAAACAAAAGTGTAGTCTCTATAGAAATATATAAATAAATATATAAGCAGCATTTTATATAAGAAATATGTGGATCTTAATGGTTCAAGAACTAATCCCATGTCTAATTTTACAATCTCAAAATCACAGCAAAAGTTATGATTCCACAATAATAAACAAAAGCACCACTTCGCCAAACCCACCATCCATACAACGTTACTATGTTATTACATTATTGGTTTGGGATTAAATTAACTTACGTCTCTTGGTGTAGTTGGTTTAACTCTCGGTTCAGTGCAAAAATCCAACTAAGCAACTTGGTTGTCTTCAGTGCGTTTACCAATCACTTCTTCTTCTTCATCACCCTCTTCCAAACGCTCTTCACCATCCATATCTACAATTTTCTCTACCCCTTCTTCTACTGCAACTACACCTTCATGAGAAGTAACTTCTTCCTCTTCTTGGCATTCCTTTGTTGACAAAAGTGTCAGAGAGAAGAGATTTTAGAAGATTAAAAAAAAAAACTCTTAGGTGCCTACACTCTATCAAAATGATGCTCAAATCCTGTATTTAGCTTATAGTAAAGAAATTGGGGAGACTATACGGCGAGGCAACCACAATTCCACGGTGGAAAGATCGGTCGCCAGCGGTGGAGTTATTCTCGGAGGCTTAGCGACTAAGTTTTTAGAATCCAAGGGTTTTTACATGTTTTTGTGTTGTAAGACCATCATCAACGATGGTCTCTTAGTATAGCTCTTATGATTTGTTTTAATATTAATTTTGAAAAATTTATACTTAAAAGGTTGTGTAATGGTTTTAAATTTTTTGTGTGTTCAATGGTAAACTCTTAAGTTGTGGTTCTTAGAGAAAAAAAAATGATTAATTTAAAAAATAAATAAAGTATAGAGATTTGTTTTGTGAAATATGAACTATAGAGATTTCTTAGATGATTAGTGTTTTTTGGCAAAAATACGATTTTATATTCCAACGATTTGTATATTTAGTAAAAAATTGATTTTAGATTCCAACGATTTTACTACTTGATCATTTAAAAAAACGATTTACTTACACATGAATATTTGCTCATGTTTTCCTTTTGAGAGTGGATCCAATATATCATAGCATTATCATATATTTTGAACAAAAAGATAAGAATATCATCGTACCATCGTATAAGAATATCAAAGGAAGAGATATACGAAAAGGCATAGTTGAAACACTAATAAGAGGATTTGAATCATTACCACACCAGGATTCACTCTACCACTTTTAATGCAGCAACCAAGAGAAGAGATCTGACTACAGCAAGATTCAACTATCAAACACTTAATGATACAAATCAACCGATTGCTTCAGACGCTTGACTGACTTAAGAGATCCCAATATCTTCTCATTGACTTGGGAGACGCTTGTATCCATTGAAGAATAACACCCATGGTCTGAAACAGTTGGTTCGATCTTTGTGGTGTGCAGCCTCTGGTGGTTACCAACTTCAGCCAAGACCTCATTTAAACTACAAGTAGCAACTACAGAGGCAAGACTTGAAAGTTGATCTTCTTGTAATCCCTGAAGCCTCTCAAGCATCATATCCATAAGCTTCTCCCTGCTAAACTTTCCAAAGGACTGCCACCTCTTGACTTAGAGCTGTCTCATTTTGAAATATGAAGTCTCCTCACATTCAGCCACTTCTGCAAGAGCTTCCCAATCTGCAACAAAATCAAGGTCATTTAAACATACACACATACAACAATCGCATGATAAGGTTAATGCATCCTTTGAGTTACAACATGAAACATACCATTATCTGAAAAATCATGAGCAGCTTAATTATTGCTAGGTACGTTTGTGGAATCCTTTGTTTTCCCTTTATAGATCAATGAAAGCGATCAATAACAGCATAAAAACGCTAAATCAGATAGATAGAATGGGCACTATAGATGAACAACCATTAGCGGGTGAGACATTTGGGTCAGACTTGTGTCCATTGGAAGCAATACTTTGATTCTCTACATCGCCGAAATCTCTGCAATCATAATCCACAAATGAACCCAAAAATCGATGAAGCATATACAATCTCCGTCATTAAATCTCCGCAACACATTTCTCATATCTCTCCCAATTTTTTTGATCAAACAAAACATTTAGTAGTACCTTGAAGAAGCACGATCACAATCCAACGCTCGTTGCTTAATGAGAGAAGAACGAGTTCGAAGCTCATCGGATTTTAGGGAAAGTCCCTGAGAAGAGTAGAGATCCGCCAATTGCGTAAGAGCGGCTGCTAATTGCAACCCAAACTTTGTTCTCTCGCCGGAGGAGGAAGAACCCAATCGTGACTGAAGATTGGTCTCCAAAGACTCGAGAAACGAGATCGCCGCCGGCTGCTACGAGATCTTCCACGCGCTCGCTCCAATTTGGTCTCACTTATTCTTCCTTCTTCGTTTGATTCCAGCAAAAGAGAAAGACAAAGAAGCGTGATTTTTTTTTTCTTTTGCTAAAAGGAGGCTCTTCTAATTAAACCATATTATTTATTTTATTTTATTTTATTAAGATTAAATGCTAAGAGGCCTCTAAAACCCTGGAGTTGCTCTAAGTGGGCTATTATTTTGGTTGGGCCTAGACCAATGTTTATTTTAAAATTTGATCAGAAAAAATGATGTGGAAAAATAAAATGATATTATTGGAAGACAGAACTGAGCTGTATTATTTGAAATGTTCTGATTGGGTATCGATTTTAACTGAGGTGTCACCTCCAGAACACTTCAAAAAGCTGAGGTGTCAGCACTGGAGAGACTTCTGCTGTTTTTATTGTATTGATTCGTGAGTCAAAAACGCTAAACCATTACCCGGTTTACTGTCCCATTTGGGTATTAGTGATTACCTTTAAATTTCATAAAACTTAAGCTTATACAATTTTGCTACAGAACTTGGTCCCGATAGGTCTTTCGTCCGCAAAGAATAATAATACTATGCACAATTACGACGTAAAATTTCGGGGATTTACTCAAATCGCCATCAAACCAAACTAAACCGGGAACTGGTAAAAGAGATCAATTTCCTGGTTCAGCTAAAAAAAACTTTGGCTTCTTTAGTTTGGGCTCACCTAGATGCAACGATACGTTAACCTCTTCTTCGGAACTGTTCTTTAAAGCCATGAGATTATCCAATTTGGGTTTCTCTTGCCCTTTAATGGCGGAAGAAGACTCGTTAACCGATATAGGAGCAATGAAGATATGTTCCTCTACTTCAGGTGTTGGTTTGATTGCTTCTTCTATATGAAACTCAGGCGGAATAAATGGCTCAAAGCTCTCATCTTGTTTCTCTTCTGATGGAACCGGGTCCGGCGGGGATGATTGGCTAACCGTTGAATCAACGGCTGTAACCGAAGTGTTTCTTTGTTCTCGTGCTGCTGCTGCAAGTGTACAAAGTCAAAAGAACATGGCATTAAGACTTGGGAACCATTTTAATAAAAGCTAGGAGAAGAGTTGTAAACCTTCAAGCTCATGGTTTGATGTGATGAGATCAAGCTCCAAGAGATCCAAAAGGCGACCAAGATCAACTCCGCTTGTCCAGTTCTCGGGTTCTTGACCAGCTATGAGTTTAAGTCTTCCGCGGTTGGCTGTCCCTCCCCAAATGATCCCAACTGGTCTTGGCTTCTGACCATTTGGACCCGTTAAGAGTATTAGGCTTCCACTGTCACCTTCAAGGTCAAAAGTTTGCTGGTTTTCGCCAATGACCAGAAAATCCGTGAGGAAACAGATCCCTTTCTCGTCGTTGTATTCCAAAGCATAAGCCATTATGGTTCCGGTGGTATATCCAGAGCTTCTTCCAACTTTGACAACTTGTTTCCCAATAAGGCTTTCAATTGGGGATTGCAAGTCTATAACGTGTACATTTCCGATCTCACCAATGCCCTTTATCACGGTAGTTACATTGCTCGTGTTGAAATCTTCTGCAAAAGGAATAAAGGCACCGTCCGCTCTTACAAATGTTTCTGCATTGGGATAGATATGAAAGATGACATCTATAGTCAGTATGAAACAAGAGTGTCCCCATATATGCCGGTTCCTGAACAGAGAGATGCAGAGATTTGCAGTGAAGTTATAACTGAAGTACCTGGATTTGTGCCAGCAAATATGCCGTACCACTGATCATCTGTGATAAACGATGTTGCTCTCTCAACTGAACCGAGGTAGACACCCGGTCCAAGGCTTGGAGGTAAAGGATGAAACATTTTCTGGCTTGGATAATCCAAATCAACTGCGACATGCCGATTGGTAAGAAAACCAACCTGATGGTTACCTGTTCTGCTTTTCACTATGGCTCCCAAGGTTCCATACGTTTCTTGGCTTGCAACCTACACAACATGAAACAAAACTGAGACTTTACGCTTATGGTTTGCAGAATATGGAAAAAAAAGGTATGTACCTGAGAACCAGAACCAATGCAGGGATCACTTCCTCTTAAGCCATCTACAAGTTCATTATAAACTTGTTCCTTTGGTGTTGCAGCAGGAGCACCGTAATACTGGAATTCCACAACATCAACATCGCACCATACCCCTCCAGGGCCCTATAATGAAACGAACACAACGCTTATCATCCATATATGCTCCCATAAAATTTCTGAAAGGCTGTGTGTAGAATGGAATAGAATACAAGATAAATCCACCTCAAGGGCAGAAGGAAGGCACTGCATTGGATTTAGCCATTGCCTATGGACTTTCCTAGCAACAAAGACAAGTATTGCTGGAACATTCGTTAGAACACCACGGCTGATCCGAAACCCAACAGCAGTACCAAGGCTGAAGCGGCGCAGGATTTTACTATGAAACGCTCTGATGGTCATGAGCTCAAGCAAAGTAGTGGCTTGTTGTCCTGATGGCAACCTGCCAACAGTTTCTGGTAAAACCCCTTTCTGGAGATTGCCAAAGTAGTTAGCTCGGTCTTCAACAGCATCGTTAAGCCTGCTGAGAGTAGGCCACGAGAAGTAAGGGGCATTGCTCTCTGCATGTTGGATGTTGAGTGTGAATGGCTGAAGAGGCGATGGAGTTGAAGATGATGGAAGACTCAAGTGATTGCAGTGATGATTTCTCTCCAAATCCAAAGCAGAATCCTCCGATTCAGAAGAAGCTGCTGCTTGGATGAATCTTTGACCCCAAGCTCCCAAAGTCATCTCCTTTTACAATGCTACTTATTAAAGATAACACCACCGAACCTTTTCAGCTCTGTCACAACGCAAAACAGGAGATACAACAGAATTCAGCTTCCTAAATTACAACACTTGAACTCAAGATACAAACTTAAAAATGGTAACTTTATGCAGATTACAAGCAATCAAACGAACCAATAAGAGAAAAATCATCCCAAACTGCGTTTACGAACCCTATAAGTGGACTAACCCATGGAATTACCTTAGAAAGTTTCAAATACAATCGAAAAACAAGATAACACGCAACGCCTCAAAAGGAACTATAGGAAGAAGAAACCTAAACAAACCCAGAATCTAACATCATGTAAGAAGCCTAAAGAAATCAACTTTGACATAATCCAGCGAAGATTCTCGAAGGCGCGAAACTCACCGACAGGAGAATTCGTCGGAGTAGCTGCGAGAACCTCATTGAGCTAAGACGGAGAATTAGCAGGTTTGAAAGAGAAGTAGCTGCATTTAGAGAGCAGGAGAAAGAGAGAAAGTGAGGATTGCAGAGAAAAATGGAGGAAGAAGAAGACCGGAGAGAGAGCAATAGCAGCTGCATAATAATAATAATAATCTGGAGTTACTGTTGATGGTGGTTGTGAATACAGTACAGCGAGAATTATCTTCCTTTTTTTTGTTTTGTCGACGCATGAATTAATTATCTTATTATAATGTCAACCAATACATATCTTTTTTTTTATCAAATACAAATCTCTTTATAATTATTTTTCTTCTACTACTTTATAAGTTCTTTTTGCTTTTATGTTATGTTATTATATTTATATCTTTTGAGATTTTAATTAGAGAAATTTTAGTGAGAAAATTTGGGAAAGGACAAGAATAAAGATGTTTTTATTAGTTATATGATAAATTGCTAAATTAATATAATAAGGTACAAAAAGAAATTAGAATGAAAATGCATCAGATCATTATTTATTTAAATTTTTCTGTTCAGACTTTCGTTGTTTTTTTTTTATATTGTTTCTAAAACTACATCGAAAAGTTTGATTTTCTATCCTTTCATCGTCTTATTTGTCTACTTGAATCATGCAAAAAGTATCTGATAGTATTTTTTTTTTGCCATTGAATCGAATCTTTGCATTCATTTATCAACAAATCCTTGAGAATATCAATCTCAAATTGGAGTATTGTTACCACTTTATATGCATTCAGAGTAGTCAAAACAGTTTATTCTTACCACCTTATGTATTTGAAAACTTTTTAAATTATCAATATGACTAAAAAGATCTTTGAAATATTCTCAAAGATTATCTTTACTATAAATATTACTTGACTGTATTAAATGTATGATATTCTCAAAGATTATTTTCCAATAAAACCTTATTCATTAAAACCCTAGATCATGAAATACTGCATCAAATATACTTAACATTGTTTTTTTCCTTGCTGGAGATCATTATTTAGAACCTTCTAAAAAATAGGAATATGAAGATCTTTAGAATATTCTCAAATATTACCCTTTCCAATAAATATTACTAAAAAACCACCAAATCTCTAAATTTATGATAATCTCAAAGATTATATTTCCAAAAAAAAAACATTACTAGAGATCCACTAAAACCCTAGATCATCAGCAATATCAATTTTTCTTGATAAACTTTTGGAGAAGTTAGAGAGCAAGAGATGCATGCTGGGATCATAAGAGTTAGGTGAGTGCCTTTATTTAAGAAATGAATTCTTTAAAAATACAATAAAAATTGATATTTTATTGTTATGTTTTGCAGCAAAATGCCAAATTAACCCCAATTTGAGTAGGCGACTCACACATATCTCCCGCTCCGGCCAATCGACTCGTCGTCATCTCCGCCATTATCAGTATTCCTTGCAAGCTTTTTCCTGGTAAATCTTTGTACCCTTCTTCTTCTGTATTTCTTTTTGTTGTTGCTTGGAGACTCGAAATTGGTCTTACCTATCGCTTCCATCTCTCGATTTATTATGTGGAAAGTTGATAATTTCGAGATTTGGGGTCTGTTTCTGTAAAATGTGGAAAAAGGGAATGAACTATATCTTATGATTCATGGATTAATGGGTTTTGATTCACTCTAAGTTTTGAGAATTCTCTGTATCTATCTGGTTTTGAAGATCTGCATGTCTTCTTTTAGTGTTTAGTTGTGATGATTAACTTAGATCATCATAACATGTGCATTGCCAAAGGATATTCATTTAATTGATTGGAATCTTTTTTTAAATCAATATGCTTGTTGTAAGTTGTAACTGCTAGGATGGTGTTTTTAGTTCATATTCTTGTATTACATTGAGTAGGAATTGGACAACATGGTACATTCAGAGTCATCAAAACTCATTTCGTTGCGCGGTGGTAGTGGTCCTTTTTCTAAGGATGAACTGGCAACAAATGGTAGTTATACTGATCCTATGGGGCGGAGGAAGTCCAAGCGGTTTAAGGTTGCAGCGGAAAGTGAGTTTTCACCTGATTGTGGATCGGGTTCCATGCGGCTCAGATCGAGAAATATACAGAAGGAGCTCCAAATTGAGACTTGCGAGAACAGGAATGCTTCTGAAGTTGAGGTTGAGTTGATTCCTGGAGAAAAAGTGGCAGATCGAGATGGCTTTAAATCCGTTGATTGTAATGACATGTTGGCTGGAGTAACCGAAGGAGCTGAATCTCTTCGAGTTAATATGCAAGAACCAATGGAAGATAGGAATCTGCCTGATAACACAAGTGAGCGAAATATGGTGGAGGTCCATCCTCCAAGCATAAGCCTGCCAGAAGAAGATGTGATGGGGTCTGTTTGCAGGAAAAGTATCACTGGGACAAAGGAGCTTCGCGGAAGAACGATTTCTGTAGTGAGAGACTTATCTCCAAATATGGGGAGCAAGTTTTCAAAAAGTGGAAAGACCACTAAAGGTTCTATATCGATGGAAGAGGAAAACTTGGTTCTGGAGAAGTCAGATTCTGGAGACCATTTGGGTCAATCTCTTTCTAAAAGCATATCACCAGAGGTTTTGGAACTTGATAAATCAAATGTTACTGTTCCAAAACCAATTGAGGCTGCTGTTAGGATAATTACAAACAAAGGGGTTGCAATGCATCCACCCTTGAAGCCTTCCGAGAAGACGAATGGAGATTATGGTGAAGGATCTATGAGGAAGAATAATGAGAGGGTTGCCCCGGATAAAAAGAGATTAGCTCGTAATCCTCGGTTACCAAATGGTGGGCTTCCTAGTGGCTCAAGCAGTGGGGAAAGTGCTCGGTACAAAGTTAAGGAAACTCTGCGTCTTTTCCATGAAACTTGTAAAAAAATTATGCAGGAGGAAGAAGCAAGGCCTAGGAAAAGAGATGGTAGCAAGTTCAGAGTGGATAACGAGGCTTCGAAAATTCTCAAGGGTAAAGGGAAAAATCTTAACAGTGGTACTCAGATTATTGGAACCGTGCCTGGTGTTGAGGTTGGTGATGAATTTCAATATAGAATGGAGATGAACTTTCTTGGTATACATAGACCAAGTCAAAGTGGTATCGATTATATGAAAGATGACGGCGAGGAACTAGTTGCCACGAGTATTGTATCCTCTGGAGGTTATGATGACGTGGTTGATAACTCGGATGTCTTGATCTACACGGGTCAAGGCGGAAATGTGGGGAAAAAGGGAAACAAAAATAATGAACCCAAAGACCAACAGCTTGTAACGGGAAACCTTGCGTTGAAAAACAGTATACACAAAAAGAACCCTGTGCGGGTCATAAGAGGCATTAAAAATACGACATTACAATCATCAGCTGTTGCAAAGAATTATGTTTACGATGGATTGTATATGGTGGAAGAGTACTGGGATGAAACTGGGTCTCACGGTAAGCTCGTCTTCAAGTTCAAACTGCGGCGTATTCCTGGACAACCCGAGCTTCCCTGGAAAGTGGTTGAGAAATCGAAGAAATCCGAGTTCCGGGACGGTCTTTGCAATGTTGATATCTCAGAAGGGAAAGAGACATTACCCATATGCGCTGTGAACAATATAGACGATGAGAAACCAGCTCCGTTTATCTACACGGTTAAAATGATATATCCGGATTGGTGCCGGCCAATTCCTCCAAAGAGCTGTGGTTGCACAAAACGCTGCTCCGAATCAAAAAAGTGTGCCTGCGTTGTGAAAAACGGTGGAGAGATACCGTACAATTATGATGGAGCCATTGTTAGTATAAAGCCCCTGGTCTATGAGTGTGGCCCACACTGCAATTGCCCACCTTCTTGCTACATGAGAGTCTCACAGCACGGGATCAAGATCAAGCTGGAGATCTTCAAAACGGAGTCAAGAGGATGGGGAGTGAGATCGCTGGAATCTATTCCTATCGGAAGCTTTATCTGTGAGTACGCAGGAGAGCTTCTAGAGGATAAACAAGCAGAAAGACTTACCGGGAAAGATGAGTATCTCTTTGAACTCGGGGAGGAGGAGGATCAGTTCACCATAGACGCAGCACGGAAAGGGAACATAGGGAGGTTTATAAACCATAGCTGCTCACCGAATCTGTACGCACAGGACGTATTGTACGACCATGAGGACACAAGAATACCTCACATTATGTTCTTTGCACTGGACCATATACCTCCACTTGAGGAACTCTCATACGACTACAATTATAAGATCGATCAGGTAACCGATTCTAATGGTAATATCAAGAAGAAAATTTGCTACTGTGGTTCCGCTGAGTGTAGTGGTAGGCTCTACTAAGTAAGCTGTTGTTACCCCTTGTATTCTTCTTCATTTTCCCGCTTGATGTTTAGTTCTGTATGAATAAGCAAACTAGCTTTGGCGAAAATTACAATACAGTGTGACATAATTGGTGTCAATTAGTGGTGTGATGTTTTAGCTGCATTGTTTCATTCTTATGTTATTCACTAAACCTCACCATAATCCAAGTCTTTCATAGTTATTTTTCATACACTTTGTTATGGTATTGCAACTATTGTTTGTGTGTGTGTGTGTGTTTTCCTTGCATCTACAAGATCTGTTACTTATGACACCTGAAACCACAGAATCCTCAAAATTACATGACCTCACTATCTGTCTGAACCAAATTCCAAATTGTTCATGCTGATGTTGTCTTAGTGATTGCTAAGCACCAAAGAAGTAGCTAGCTCTTTTGTTTGTTTGTCCCAATCTCAATCTCTGATATGGTTTGATTTGAAATTGGGAAAAGAAAGACATTATTGTTACTATTACTTAATTTATAGCAATGGGATCCACTATGTTACAATTCATTATCCTCTATTCCAAAACTATTTATTCCACATTGTTTTTTAGCTTTTAAAGTACATAATGGTTTTGAGGATCCATAAAGATTACTCTCGAATTAGGATAAAGATAACAATTGTGTACATAGATAGGATCATGATGTGTATAGTATGGGTGGCCATGAAATCTTTGGACAACAAATGTGAAAAAGCTACAACTTATCCCTTCATTGAGATATTATTAGGGATTAGACTGCTTTGGCCTCATGGTAGTCTCTAATTTTCCATGACCATCTTATCGTTATATCATCCATATCTCAAGATTTTGACTAGCTGTTAAATCATTTTCAAGTGGCTTTTTACTAGTTTAGGCTTTTTTTTACTATTGAGATTAAGGGTTTTTGCAAGTACAGTACATTAAAAAAATTAAAAATTGACCTTCTTAAATTGTCTTTTTCTGAAACTAGTCTTGCTCAATCTCAAACCACTTCTTTAAAAACAATTGATGTGTGTTTGTTTTTGATGAAATGCTTTACAAAATTCCAAGCGGGTTCACTGGATTTTATGTTCTGGAAGTTAGCTCCAAATTATATAATTATAACTCACTAAACTAATCATACAAACAATTATTGGTTGTTAATTAACAACCAAACCACCAAATAAATTAAATTAAATAGAGAAAAATAAATACCCCATATAATAAAACACCATTACTTTATAATCACCTGAAGTTTTTGCAATTAGATTGAAAGCGAACAAAATATTTTGGAGTCTTAGAGAATAAACTCTCTTATAACCAGAGAGATTTGCTTAATCATTAATTAAAAATTGTCATCAAGGATTGGGTCAACAAGTGGCAAATGGATGGCACTTTCGTAAATAAGTGAAACTCAGAGGTGTTTATTGTGTTCTCACGTGGGTCTCTTGCCTTAGTTCAAAAGTTCAAAATTGAGCTCTTTCTTCTTCTTCTTCTTCGCGAAAACTTGAAAGCAGTTTTAGGAACAAAAACCAGAGGCTTTGATTTGAAAAAACCCTAATTTTCAAGAACCCTAAATTCCCCACCATTTCTTCTCAAATCCTCTTTCCAAGTTCCATACTTTTTATGTAAATGCATCTGAAGAAATCTACTGTAACAGAACGACGATTAATCGGGAAAGACGATTCCGATCCAAACCATATCCCTAATCCGATTCACCATCATCATCATCATCATCAGAACCCGAATAAAAATCGAACCGCCATTGATAAAGGCTCTGCCTTCACTGTGTACAATCATCCCCAAGGTCAGAGTCATCATCACACGGTTGATATCCCAATCTCGACTCCGCACAAAAGGTCAAATTTCTCTGCCGGTGTTGACCATTTCCGACGAAGAAACGCACGGGCACGATTGGGATCGATTTCTTCATTTTTCCCATCAAATCTTTTGTCTTTTCTTTCTTCGTATCGTCCCGTGATTGCTCGGTTCTTGAGGAAGCTTCTACGTTATACCCTTCGAGCCCGTTTGATTTGTTTCCATCTTCGTTTCTTGCTTCTTCTCGCTGTCCCTCCTTTATACATCTTCTTCCTTGTAATCAATCTTCGTATCTTTCTTCGTCTAATCTTTGCGATTATCGCTCTTTCCTTCATCCTCTCGATCTCTCTCAAATTCGCTCTTCCTCACTTACCGTCAATCCGTCTTTTTGTCGCACGCTTGCTGACCTTTATCCCTGCCAGATTCTCTTCCTCTCAGCCGAGCACTACTAACCAAGTGATTTGGTCCATTGGGTCGAAGCCAGTTGCGGAGAATAAGACCAATTCAGGATCTTGGGTTCAGAAGTTTGGCACTAATGATGTGTATGAAGGAGAGTTTCATAGAGGAAAGTGTTCAGGAAGTGGAGTTTATTACTATTCTATGAAAGGCAAATACGAAGGAGAGTGGATTGATGGGAAATATGATGGTTATGGAGTAGAAACATGGGCTAAAGGAAGTAGGTATCGAGGTCAATATAGGTTAGGGCTAAGACATGGAATTGGAGTCTATACATTTTATACAGGAGATGTGTATGCTGGTGAGTGGTCTAATGGCCAGTGCCATGGTTGTGGTGTATATACATCTGAGGATGGAAGTAGATACGATGGAGAGTTCAAGTGGGGTGTCAAACATGGCCTTGGTAGTTACCATTTCAGGTCCGCATTATTACTTTTTACTCTGCATAGTCTTTTGAGTTTCTGGAATATGGTTGTGCTTTGACCTGTAATGTTTGTGCATTAGGTTCCTGTATATGTTGCTCGTCTGAGTGTGTTTGCGATCTTGAGTTCCGTTGTTTTTGAAGGGTAGCGTAGTTTTCTCTCCCTTTTATTGGGGCCTTTCGTTCACCTTTGGATCGATTGTGAATCTGGGGGATCTCTGAAATGCTTTCAATTTCGATTTCTGACATTTGATGGATAACACATAATAGGGTTGTGTCACCTGCTTGTCGTGGTTATCTTCACACTTTAAACAAGTCAAATTTCAGGCTAATTTGGTTACTGACTTACTGTCATTAGCATTGGTCTTAAACAACTGCATGAAGCACTGCCTGGTCAAGTGTGCATTAGCTGTATCATGACTTTAAAACTACATTTAATTTGGGAGTTATGCTGCTGTTGCAGAAATGGCGATGCATATGCTGGGGAGTATTTTGCTGACAAGATGCATGGTTTTGGAGTGTATCACTTCGCGAATGGGCATAAGTATGAAGGAGCTTGGCACGAAGGAAGAAGACAAGGGCTCGGTATGTACACTTTCAGGAATGGGGACACACAAGCCGGTCATTGGGAAGACGGTGTACTCAGTTGTCCTACAGAGCAGACTATCCGTCCTGGATCATCTTTTACCATCAGCCATTCCAAAGTTGTTGATGCTGTTGAGGTAAGTTAACTACCAGTTTTTATCTTTAGTGCTGCAAACATCATATTTGCATTGAAGTAAACTTGTTCTCTCTTTGGCATTCAGCAAGCAAGGAAAGCAGCTGAGAAAGCACATGAAGTTGTGAAAGTGGAAGAGAGGATCAAGAGAGCGGTGATGGCTGCAAATAGAGCAGCGAATGCGGCTAGAGTAGCAGCTGTGAAGGCTGTCCAATCCCAAACCTTTCACAGGAATGGTGGTGATCTTGAAACCAAATGTTAAGCATAGGTTAGAAGAGATCTCCGTAAACAGATTTTCTTGCTCTGTTATAAGCAAAGCTAGTTTTAAACTGTAGATAATAAACTAGGAGAGATCTTTGTAAATCAAAAACAAAATTGGGTCTGCTTCATAGAATGCAACTGACATGTAGCCAAAAATCCCCATCTTGATTAAAGAATTAGCTAATATAACAAAAGATGGAGAAATCTTGAATCTGGTCTTAAAAATTGTGTATTGAGTAGAAGAATCTGCTCAGAGAGCTCTCAGTTTGCTCTCTGAGCCTCCGGATGGTACTCCTGACAGTCACAGCACTAGCCGTATTCATAGTGTAGGCACCTCCAGCCTTAAGTTTGCCACAATCCTTGCATCCCAAAAATTTCCAACAGCCTTCCTCTTAACAGCATACTTGCCACAGAACTCGCAGAAGTATTTGCTGTGCTGACTCACTTCCATCTTCTTTATTTGCTTCCTAAGACTGGCACCATATATGGTCCCTTTTCAGACAAAATATCAGCAGATTCAGAGACAATGTATAATAAATAAATGATTCTAATTGAATGAAAGACTGAAAGTTTTGTATCGTTTTCGAAGTAATTATATGATGTGCTCTTTATTTTAATTTCCTTCAAAGTCAATTTATCAAAATTAATTTAATGAAAAAGTATGGACCGTTAGATCTGAGGAGGTGACCAATCGGACGTCCCAAGTTATATGAGTTCTACTTCTAACACTGACAAACGACGTCGTGGCGGGTCCCACTGGTTTGCGGTAACGCAGTTTTTCAAAATCTCTCATTTTCGTCCCTTCGAGCCCAAATCAATGGCAAAAAAATACTACAGCTTTTAGAAATCCCCAAGAACAAAAAAATCCAAAAAAACAAATGTCCGAGAGAAATTAGGGAAAAAAAAAATCTTCGTGTAGGGAGAGAGCTCGTGCTCGAGATTCTGATTCTGTCTCTTTTGAACATCCACATTGTTCTTAGATCTGAAAAAACAAGAAAAACTCACGGGCTTGGTTATTACGATTTGCTCGGCGATTTTGACATCACGATTTCGATTGTTTTTGTTGGAGGTGATTCGATTCCGGATCCATACGGATCTAATCTCGGCGAGTCGATTCGTGGTCGACATTTTCAAAAGCTGTCGCGTGGATCTGAAGAAGAGACATTGTCGTCTTTGTATTGAATTTTTCTGGGAATTTGTAGAAGAATGGATCCAATATCGGCGGTTAGCGAAGAGCTGGCTGAGATCGAAGGTCAAATCAATGACATCTTCCGTGCTTTATCGTGAGAATAAATCTCTTTAGCTTCTTTTTCTCCATTTGGGATTTGTGTGTATATAATAATGTATTGAGATTTGGATTCTACAGAAATGGATTCCAGAAGCTGGAGAAGATCAAAGATGCTAATAGGCAGAGTCGGCAGCTGGAAGAACTCACTGACAAAATGCGTGACTGTAAGAGGTAAACATTGATTGAATCTGGTGTTTGATTATTTGATGATGATGATGATGATGATGATGATGATGATGCCTTGTTCTTCTTCTTTGCAGCCTTATTAAAGATTTCGATAGGGAAATCAAAAGCTTGGAAAGCGGTAATGATGCCAACACTAACCGCATGTTGAACGATAGACGACAATCTATGGTTAAGGAACTCAACTCATATGTTGCTCTTAAGAAGAAGTAGGTGACATTTTCCTAATTGCTCAATTGATGTTCATATTTTATGGTTAATGATGAAAATGAGGATGGTTGTACAGATACTCATCTAACCTAGCAAGCAATAACAAGCGAGTCGATCTTTTCGATGGACCTGGAGAAGAACACATGGAAGAGAATGTCTTATTAGCTTCAAGTACGTCTTTAAATCTCGTATTTTGCAACCAACCAACAATGAGATAATATTTATTGCACTTTTGTTATATGATTACATACACCTACCTAGAGTATTTACTGGAATCTAAATCACTCTCAGACATGTCCAATCAAGAGCTAATGGATAAAGGAAACTCAATGATGGATGACACAGATCAAGCCATTGAGAGGGGGAAAAAGGTCTGTTTTCAGATTATATGAATATATCATTGCCTTCTCGAAATTTCTGTCTAATGTTCTTGGAGCTGTGATGTGCAATCTGATAACTTGTGTCCATTTTCCCATCTTCACAAAATCAAAACCTCACTGCATTTTTTGTGGCTTTGATAACAGATTGTTCAAGAGACTATAAATGTGGGAACAGATACTTCAGCAGCTCTCAAGGCTCAGGTTTGTAGTTAGCCCACACTTGTTTGTTTCCAAAACAGTCCTGCTTCTACCTGAATTTCATTTTTTCCAAGATTGTGTGTGAATTCTGAGAATTATTAAGATAGTTTCCTTTTTCCTTGTTCAGACCGAGCAAATGAGTAGAGTTGTCAATGAGCTCGATTCTATTCATTTCTCACTCAAGAAAGCCTCCAAGCTGGTCAAGGAAATTGGTAGGCAGGTTAGTCTCGGAAATCTCTTTATTTCTTCTTTATATCATTCTTAGTTATCTGCAGCTCCTTCTTGTTACTTACTTTCTTCTGCCCTTTTTCTCTCAGGTTGCCACTGACAAATGTATTATGGCATTTCTTTTCCTTATCGTTATTGGTGTCATAGCAATCATCATCGTCAAGGTACATCTCAACTCCTTTCAAATTTAAATGTGCAGACACACACTTGGGTACTTGTTTCAGTTAAATACTTTTCTCTGTTCATCATTATGTTTTCATGGATATTATGAGGTAAAAGGTTTTGCCTTTTCTGGAAACCATGTTGATTGAAGAACCTTATACAAAGCACAAATACACACAAGTTTTTTTCTCCAGTTATTCAACTATGGAATGTATAAAGTTGTCTCTTCTGTGATTGTTAATTTGATCTCTCTTCTATATTCATCTGCACTATATTTCCTTCCATATGCTATTTGCGCTGTTACTGTGTTCACATTCTCATACTTGTATTTTCTTCTTTTTTCTCTTTTGTATAGATTGTGAACCCAAACAACAAAGACATCCGAGACATACCTGGCCTAGCTCCACCAGCCATGAACCGACGTTTGCTCTGGAACCATTACTGAAAAAAAATCTCATTTTCACACCCATTCAAAATACTGGTACGTCGAACATTTTTTTGTCCCATACACTTCTTGGTCCTCCCCTAAGCCCATGTTGTTGTAGATGAAACCGCCTCACTTGAGAAATTAACCAGTTTCTATTCACATGGCTCTTGGCTGCTGTGCCTTTGAGCAGTCACAGGAATCAAATTCCCTTTCGTTAAAAGTCCCAGAATCAAAACCATCTATTTTTAGCTCATGTGTTTGTATAAGGATGACTCTTTTGTGTTATATCATATGTACGTGTATTTCTAAAACGTCGTCTCTGTTTCATGTTCTGGTAATAAAAACTTGTTCCTCTGTTTCACTGGATTATGTTGAAAGTTGTAACTGAGTTGTATCATATTCGATATTAGTATGACTTCACTTTCACTATTAACAAATCATTGTTTCATGTAACAATGTTGTTTAGAATTTACAATAAGAAAATAAATCTAGCTCAAGGAGGAAATTTGGATGATTACATAAATTGCAAACAATTAGTAAATACAAATATTAAACTAAATAACCCACGTAATAACGAGTCGTCGTAATCTAGTTTATCTAGAAACGCAACGGATCGATAATCAAGGCAAATAATTCGGAGCTAATGAGTTAAGCTATAGTTAGTTTGACTAACCACGGTTATGGTTAAGACTTAAGCAGAGTGGGGCTTATTAGTGGCTTAATCAAATAATATTAAAACCTTTATCTATCTATCTCTCTCTCCTTCACAACAAGCAACAGAGATTCAGAGACAAGAAAATGAGAGAAAGCGAAGGAAAACGCGACAAAACTCAAATGAATTTGCGTTTCGACGAAGGAGGAGGCAGCGTTTGGCAGAGATGCTCAAGACACGAAGGCCGTTTTGTCTGCGTTGGTGGTGTTTGTCCTTACTGCCTCCACGAACGTCTCTCCTCTCTCTGTCCCGATTGTCGATCTACCATGTTCGTGTACTCCACGCGCCTCCGTGTCTTCTGGTGGAGGAGATGACGTTCCGTTCGCCGGTATCGGGTCAGTTGGCCGCGTTGCCAACTTGATTGAAAGCGAACCGGCGTTTCGGAGATCGACATCGGTTCCGTATTTCTGGTCTTCTAAACCGGAAACGATATTAGAAACTGAGTCGGATCTCAAACCGGGCCGTGGACGCTGGCTCTGGAGACTGTTCAGAGGAAACAGAGAAGAGACGAAAATAAAAGCTGCTACGGTTATGAAGAAGTCGAAATCCGTTGCCGGAGAAGAGCTATTTTCGCCGGCGCCGGTTGCAAGCAAAGGAAATGGTTGGTACTTTCCAAGTCCGATTAAGGTTTTCAGACAATCAAGAGTCTCCAAAATGATTTTTCAACAAAGATCTCCATTGTACAGAGGTTAAATTTTAGGTTTTCTAGTATGTGTGTGTTTTTTTTTTCTTTTGTTATACGAAAACGTTGATTAATATTTCTTTTCATAATGAAAATGCAGATCTTATACATAAAAATCGGATATTCTTGATAAATTTGTTGAAGTTTGGGTTCATTTCCAGTTACCAATGTGTTAATTAAGAATTCAAGATATTATTTCGTATAAATTGAGGTTATATCGTTGGTCACAAATTTGTCGAATGATTTTTTGATTTTTGACTACATATGTCTTTCAAAAGGGTTAGATAGAATTGTTTTTAAATGATACTTTTTTTCCCCAAGTTTATTTTGCTGGCTACCGTTTAGCATCATGCTCTTTACAGTTATGGTTCAGCCTCATAATTTTCTGATAGAAAACTAACTATTTATTGTTTTTCAGAAACTTTTATATCCCAATTAATGTATCACTAATTGAGAGAAATTTAGAACACACATATTTGAGAGATATACTCCTAGTGATGTTTTAAACAACAAAGTACAAAATCTCAATTATCGAGAAGTAAAAAAAGGTTAATGGCTTTTAAAATATAATGTTTAGAAGAAAATGGGAAGAGGTAACATGGTAACATGTGCATGGAAGCCCTACCAAACAAACACGTGAGTGAACTGAAGCCGTCTCCATATCTTAAAGAAGAAGGTGAAAATAGGGAAACGTGAGGGAGTGTCAAGGAGATAGAGAACAGAGCCGACAAAGAGTGGCGACAAACCTACGCACACGGTTGCACCTTCTCTCTATTGTCATCATCACCATTCACCACCCTTTAACTTCTCCACTTAAAAAAAAAAATCCCTCAACCTTTTGATTATTCTTCATAAATCAAAACCCCAATATGATAGTTTAATCAACCTTTTTCTTTTGGTCTCTTGGACATAAACTTTTATGGATATTTTACTGTGTTGCCCACCCCCATACTAACTCATGTGTTTGGTGTTCCTAATTCTGACAATCAATATCCATTTAAAAACAATGACAAAACAAAACAAATCACTAGAGATTGGATCTTTTACATTGAGAAATATATTTCTCGGCAACAAAAAAAAATCAAGTTGCTTTTATCTATTATCTATATAAGCTCTTCGGATAGGAGATTTGACAAAATAATTAGTAGTATTTCTACCAATGGCACTAAACTAGTGACTTGCTTCTGTTTTTTTCCTTTTTACTATAATCAGCTTAAGAAAATAACTATCTCTTAAAAGTTTGAAGCAGAAAACGAATTTTCGGAATTTGTATCTCTCTTGATGTTGCCCTCTTGCTTATAAGGATAGAAGTTTATAAATTCAATTTTATAATTGCTTTATAATATGAAATAATAATCCATCTTTTTTTATAATAATAATCCATGTTTTTTTATAATATTAATCTATCTTAATATGTAACACTAAATGACGTCAAAACCATTAACCATATACAAAAAGGTTAATTACGGAGGAAAAACAATTTACCTCTCGTATTGGAGTAAATGTAAAATTGGGTCGTTGGGTTAACTAACTACCTCTCGTTACCGTTACACATCAAAACGCGCGAGAGAGAGTTAAAAAGGTTATAGTAGTCAATTCACATACCAACCTCACCTTACGGCTGGATCTTAAGCAACCTCATTTATAAACCCCTCGATTTCTTGCGTTAATTTCGAACTTTTAATCTCTTTCTTTTTTTCTTCTCCTCTCGATTTCAAAATTTTCACATCTCCGGAAATTTTATTTTTCTGGAGAAATATTGTTTCATCCCTACAATGGCGTCTGAGAATCTGAATGATAAGATCTCTGTTTTTAAGAAGCTCAAAGCCAAATCCGATAATAAGGTAATGTTAAACGCATATTCATAGATCCGATTAAGATCTACAAGTTCGACGATCAGATCTGGGATTTATCTTTGACGGTTTTGAATCATTTTTGCAGATTTGTTTTGATTGCAATGCGAAGAATCCAACATGGGCTTCCGTTACTTATGGGATCTTTCTCTGTATCGATTGTTCTGCTGTTCATCGGAGTCTTGGCGTCCACATTAGCTTCGTCAGGTGATCGATTGATTGATTTTCATATTCAGATTCTAAATTTCTTTTGATCGCAATGTGATTGAAATCTGTTAGGTTTGAAGTGAATTGCATCGAGGGTTTAGAGAATCTAGGTTGATTGTCATTTTTTTCTTTAGGTCAACCAATTTAGATTCATGGAGCCCTGAGCAATTGAAAATGATGATATATGGAGGAAACAACAGGGCACACGTCTTTTTCAAGCAGTACGGATGGAGCGATGGAGGTAAAACCGAGGCTAAGTATACTTCAAGAGCTGCTGATTTGTATAAACAGATTCTTGCTAAAGAAGTTGCTAAAAGCAAGGCCGAGGAAGTATTGGATTTGCCTCCATCTCCTCCTGTTTCATCAACGCAAGTGCCCAATGGGCTCTCCAGCATCAAAACCAGTGAAGCTCTTAAAGAGAGTAATACGCTAAAGCAGCAAGAAAAGTCTGAAGTTGTTCCCGTCTCACCAAGAGTTTCTCGCAGCGTTAAGAAACCTCTTGGTGCTAAGAGGACAGGCAAAACTGGAGGACTTGGCGCCCGGAAGCTAACTACTAAGGTCAGTAACGTTCTTTACTCTTTATAGAATTTGTTGAGAGATCTCTCAAAAGAACTTTTTGATTACTTGCAGTCGAGCGAGACTCTTTATGATCAAAAGCCAGAGGAATCTATTGTTATACAAGCGACTTCCCCAGCATCAGCTAAATCAGCCAGGTCATCGTTTTCCTCTCGCTTTGATTATGCGGACAGTGTTCAAAACAGAGAAGATTACATGAGCCCTCAAGTGGTTGGTCATGTAGCTCCACCAAAATCATCAGGCTTCTTTGAGGAAGAGTTGGAGATGAACGGAGGCAGGTATCAGAAGAAACCAATCACAAGTTCCTCAAAAGTGCAAGTGAGTTTCACTCTTTTGTACTAAAAATTTGAGTAGATTCTTTTTGTACTCACCTTCCCTAGCATCTACCAGATTCAAGAAACAGATGAAGCACGGAAGAAATTCACAAACGCGAAATCAATCTCCTCTGCTCAGTATTTCGGAAGTGACAACAACTCGGCTGACCTTGAAGCCAAAAGTACATTGAAGAAGTTCTCCGTACGTTTCCTACTTGCCTTAACAAATTGATACTTGTGTTTTATGTTGCCTTAACTTACATTTTTTAAAAACAGGGTTCATCAGCAATCTCTAGTGCTGATTTGTTTGGAGACAGTGATGGAGATTTCCCTCTTGATCTCACCGCGGGTGATCTTCTCAACCGCCTATCTCTCCAGGTCTCATTTCAATACTTGTCATGCATGCTCTCTTTTTTTATGCAAATAACAACAGATTTTGTCATCATTTAGACGTCGTATAAATGTGTTAGGCTCAACAAGACATGTCATCATTGAAGAACATGGCAGAGGAGACAAAGAAGAAGCTTGGCTCTGTTGCTTCCAGCTTATGGGTTTGAAATGTTCATATATAATTCTCTAAAGTCCATTCAACTTTTTTTATTTTATATTTTCTTATACTCTAATTTCCATTTACAAAATCAGTTATCCTATTCTTTTACCAGGGAAACTCTGTTTTTGAGTTATCAATATTTTGTATAATTGAGATTATTTTTTGTTACTTTGTAAAAATTGTCAAATAAAAAATATGTTGTGTGCATTTCGATGTTTATTGTCTTAGATGCATCCGACTTTACTCATATAAGACTTAACATCGTATAAACCATCCCAAACTATCTTCCGCATTTCGAGATACACAGTGACCATATCCCTTGACAATTTTCATCTTCACCATATTAAATGTTTGTGAACTTTGTTAGGTATGGAAATTTGACGTTTTTGTAAGGAACTCTAGAAAGTCAAAAAGATTTTTTGTAAGGAACTTAAGACAGTGACCATAGTTGATACCTTCCATAAAGAGAAACAAGCTAAAATATGTGTTGTGGAGTGGAGCCATGTTTGAAGAGGGATTCTCTGAAGGAACCTAAGTCCAAAAACTTGAGCATCATGATAAATTTTAAAACCTACTAATCTGCAATAGTTAGAAAACAAAGACACATATCATATACATCTTCTTTTGTTTTGGTAATCTAGGATTGTAATCTGCTACTTTTGTAAACATTTCTCCTCCTAGTTGGGCAACCAACCAAGGAACTTTTTAATAAATGTGTGGTTGACAAAAAAAAAAAATCTAGGATTGTAATCTTACATTAGCCCCCAAAATGATGAGTTGTCCTAAAATAGAATAACCTTACAAAAACATCTATTATAAGAACTTTTTTTTAATCCACCGAACGATCAAACACTAAAAATAAGCAAACTGCCACCCAAAAAGGTCCTATTTGTTTTACAAAAAAAGAGGAAGCTCTTAGTTTTTTATCCCCTAATTCCTCAACAACAAAACAATCAAAACCCATTAATATAGGTTTTCATTAGGTACTCAAAGTCTGATTTCTTGTCAATCAAACAACCAGAGAACCCTAAAAGGAACATCACCAAAAGATTGTCATTTGAGATTTGAGCTCTCTTTGTGATACCACAACCTGCATTTTGAGGTGTCCCCTTTTCTAATCAATTTAAGCAAATCAAAACTCAGAAGATAACAACCTTTAAAACATCTCTCATTTTCGATTCGGTTTCCGTAAGAAACAGAAAACAATGAGCCTGAACTGCCTCGCTTGCCACATCTTGCAAAGAACAGACTCGGACAGAGAAATAGGAAGCCTTAAAGATTCAAACTTCAAAGAAAATTTCGCAACTTCAAGGTATGACAAGATGGTAAGGAACAGATCATCGCTGCCAGTAGTAAGACGGGTCAATAAGGGTCATCGCAGGCTTTACAGTGCGGAGATCATGGTCTATGGGGAACTGGACGAGCCCAAGCTGGTCAGAAGCAGTGGGATCAGAAGGGATTGGAGCTTTGAGGATCTAAAGAAACATAAAGATCAGCTAAGAATTGAAGAGACAATAAAGGAATAAGACAGATCATCCTTTTGCTAGGTTTCTTCTAATGTTCTTGTTCTTGACCTGTTAACCTGTTCTGTTGTTTTTGATAAGTTTACGGATTTTCTGTGATCCGACATGATTAAATCTGTGAAAGTTCATATATATGAATTCATTTTCCTAATGAAGATTCTATAAGAGCTGAAGTTTCTATCCCGATTCCATGAGATGAAGGAACCACATGATTCACCTTCTTTTCTTTTCTTTTTTTTGGTTTTAATGTGAAGATGATTCACCTTCTTCAGATAGAGTTTGCCCTTAGATGTATAAACTCTTGAAAAAGGTTCAATTGAATCATAACCATAAAGTTCTGCTTCTGGCTCTCAAGTCTCAGCCGTTTCCTCTCCCATATACGAGCGTTGCCTTTCTTGTTGTTTCATGCACAAAACATGAGACGAATGCTGCCTCATGAACCGTCTCTGTTCTCATCCATGCACAAAAGTATATAGATGTTTTAGCACTAAGCCACTAACACTCAACACTGAAAGTAACAAAACACATATTTTCTGTAAGGAACGTTTAGCTTCTTCATCAGTTTCAATACCATAAAGGGTAATGCATTCAAGTAAGAACCAATAGAATACTTAACATATAAGATTGAAAAACCTAAAACCAATAGATACATAAACACAAGTGATAAGAACAGAGCACATAAAGCTCTAATCCTCTTTACACAACAAGGATCACGTAGGATGATTTATTTACGATCTTTGTATATAGCTAGGCTTATGCTATCCATTATAATTCCGTTACAAGGACTCCTATGCACGTATCAACAATAAACAGAGATATTAATATTAAATATGATTCATTCAGTAATTGGGGTGGTGGCGCAGTTGGCTAGCGCGTAGGTCTCATAGCTATTGAGTGATCCTGAGGTCGAGAGTTCGAGCCTCTCTCACCCCATTCATTTTTAATTATAACATGTCTTTTTATAGCTTTGTGTTTTTAGTTCAGATATAAAAAAAAATGATTTTACAAATTGTGCAAAGATAATTTTGATGGTACCAGTTAGAAAAACAAAAGTTTTTTCATCACCAAAAGAAATATATAAAATCATTTTCTTTTTCTCTAATTTTGTTGTTGTTGAAATATGTAAATATTAGTATAGTTTTATTGTTAATATTGATCATACCAAATCCAAAATAAATTCAATAAATTGAAAATAAAAATAAAAGGATATTTTTTTTAAATAGATAAGATTAACGCAGATATTATTGGATAAAATTATCGCAAATTTCTGTTGTTGATACAGTTGTCTTTCAATTTTGCGTGCGATCTTATCTTAAAAGAAATTGAATACCTAACCCTTAATCCAACGGTGATTAGGGTAAAAGGCTAAAAGGCATTGCTCTACTATAAATAGGAAAGCATGATACGCACGAGAGATCTAAAACTTACATCGATTATTTTTTGTCAACTAACAAAGTTTATAGATTGATTGTATTTCGATTTTTGTTATCTAATCAACAAAGAGATTATTTTTCTCTAAATTTCTTGTTTTTTTGTAGGTTCTACCAAGTCAAATACTTTTTCCAAATTATAAACACCGTTTATCAAATTTTGTGTGTGACTAAGGGTGGACACGTAGCAGATATCATGGATTTTGGTGGTATTCGTGATCCGTTTCGTCCGGACCACACTTTAATATATGTATCTGTTTTGCAACTAATCAGATATTCAATGTTCGAATATCGAGATTTTCATCGAGAAATCTAATCCATTCTGTAAGAGTTTTTTATTTTATTTTTAAACATAAAAAAAAAAAGTTACCTGAAAATAGCTATATTACATTAAAAATCTATAAAAAGAAATTTTGTTTAACTTTTATTTTAAAATTAATTTGATGAATAGAAATTCATAAAAGTTATATATGTAATTATCTATACATATATATATGCCGGAGTTAAATGGATATCCGTCTCTTAAAATTTTATTATTTATGATTTTTTATTTTTTAAAAGATACTAATTTTTACTATTTGTTTTGTTTCGTTTTGTTTTGTAAAGTTATTGATATTGAAATATTTCATATGTGTGTGTGAATCTAACATATAGTTTAACAAGTGAATCTAACATATAGTTTAACGAAGCATATGTGTGAAAAATATTTTTTCTAAGTATTTTTATAATAAGTAATTTTATTGTAATTCTAAAAAATATTATTACTTTGAAGAAGAAAAGAAAGATATGGTTTCCTCAATATAGTACTTTTTATCAGAAGATTATTTCTTTTTAAAAAGATGTATATATAGATATCTTTCTAAAAGAGGAGTTTTCTAGAAATGCTCTATTAGCATGTAAAAACAATATTTCTATTTTTCTTATGTATTGTGCTTGTCCTTCCTATTATATATACTAATCTTTCCATTTTCCATTGAAATTTTCTTATTACAAACTTAAATAACAGCTGGGCAAATGTATGTAAGAGACGAGTGTGTGATGATACGAACACGTCAGCTCCACATCACTCCAGACTGGCAAAAACACGAATTAAATATAAATAAGAAAAAGACACAAACAAAAAAAATGTGGAATCTAGTTTCGTCTCATTTCTTCTTCGTTGACACAATTAGGGTTCACTTCAATTCTCTTCTCTGGATCGTATTACTTGGGGAAATTTAAAGATCTGGCTCTTTTGGGTTAGCTCGGATCCAAATTCTCAGGTGAAAGACCTGAACTTTTGCTCCATCTTAATCGTTTTTTCTTCTTCTTGGGCTGGTCTGGTGGATATACAGAGAATTGATAGTGTTTGAATTGTAATTCTCGGAGTATTTTGCTTTAGTGTTTGATCGAGTTTCTGAGCTTAGTATCGTGGGTTTTTGAGTTCAGGGGAGGATACAGTAGCTTAAGAACTGAGGATCTAGTTTCTTAGGCTTGGCACTTTCAGCTGAATTTTGATTCGTTTCTGGACTCATTAGTTTGGTAATGATTAGTTTTAGTTTCTTTGGTGGATATTTGTTGGATTAGGTAACTACTAGACAGAGGGATTAGCTACCAGAGATTTGGGTTTTAGCTGATTAGTGTTGGTTGGTTTTTGGATTGGTAGTGAGGTTTTTACAATAGCATAGTATTGGATTATTGTGGAGATGGATAGGCCTAGACAAAATGATCATTTGGGTGTGAATAAGATTGGGAGAAATATCAGAAAGAGTCCTCTGCATCAACCGACTTTCGCTGCCAATGCTAGCAACGTTGCCGGGGCAAGGCCTCAGACACAGCCTCAGGTTTATAACATAAGCAAGAACGACTTTAGAAGTATTGTTCAGCAGCTAACGGGTTCTCCATCACGTGAATGCCTTCCTCGGCCTCCTCAAAACAACCCGCCAAAGCCTCAGAATACACGGTTGCAGCGGATCAGACCATCCCCCTTAACGCAGATTAACCGGCCTGGGGTTCCTCTCCCTACCATGGCTCCTCCACAATCTCATCCTCAGTTATATAGACAGCATCCACCCCAACCGCCTTTCCCACAAAGCACACAACAACCAATGATGGGTCACAGGGACCAGTTTTGGTCTAATACAGCTGAGTCTCCCGTCTCAGAGTATATGCGTTATCTTCAAAGTTCACTTGGAGATTCAGGACCCAATGGTAACCAAATGCAGCCAGGTCATGAGCAGCGGCCCTATATCCCAGGTCATGAGCAGCGGCCATATATCCCAGGTCATGAGCAGCAGCCATATATCCCAGGTCTTGAGCAGCGGCCATATATGCCAGGTCATGAGCAGCGGCCATATATCCCAGGTCATGAGCATCGATCATATATGCCAGCTCAGTCTCAGCCTCAACCTCAACCTCAGCAACATATGATGCCTGGATCGCAACCTCGAATGAATATGCAAGGCCCTCTTCAATCTAACCAGTATCTACCACCACCCGGGTTAGTTCCTAGCCCAGTGCCTCGTAATCTTCCTTCCCCTCGGTTCAATGCTCCTGTACCTGTCACGCCTACTCAGCCCTCTCCCATGTTCAATCAGATGTATGGTGGATTTGCTTCTCCTCGATATAACGGTTTTGGACCACTGCAGTCACCTACATCCCAATTTCTTCTACCATCTCCTACCGGTTACCCGAATATGTTCTCTCCGAGATCACCTTACCCATTGCTGTCACCAGGAGTTCAGTATCCTCAACCACTTACCCCAAACTTCTCATTTTCACAAATTGCTCAACAAGGAAGTCATGGACCCGGTGCAGGTGCAGGTGCAGGTCCAGGTCAAGGTCCTCCTCAGCCTCCTCCTTCGCCAGGGCTCATGTTCCCGTTATCTCCATCTGGGTTCTTCCCCACCCCAAGTCCAAGATGGAGTGATTACTAGGTGCTCTCTTTTCTCTGTATCCGATTCATTGAATTAAGTAAATCGCAGTATGGTTATTCAAGTCTCCTTAGGTTAGTCTGTACTTTGAAAGAAGCTTAAAACTTCAGAGCCTACAGTGGAATAGACGCAGCAGAATAGATGCGTAAAACACTAAAGGAGCTTTTAGAAGCAAGGAAGATTTATAGGGTTTTTTTTTTCTGTGGGATTTTTATAGGGACGATGATGATTACCTTTGTTTTTGTTTATCACAAAATTAGTTTTATCTTTGCGTAATTTGTACACAGATTACAGATGAACTCAGTCAATTTATATGATTTTTGGGTGTTTTCAAAGCAAGTGTCTCTCTACTTTTTTACTAAGAACAAAAATCAATAACATATTACTAATTCGTTTCTTCGATAGAAAGATTGACAAGTCAATAAAAATTTAGATAATAATTAACAATAGATGCAGAAACAATTGGTACATTGATATAACCCAAAAAGATCAACTCATTGAACTACAAAAGGTGGTACAAAAAACAGACCGAAATTTTCGCGAAGGATTATGACACATGGCATCAAAGAAATGATCAATGAATACATAATCTTATGAAAATGCAGAACCGTGTGTGTTGATCCAATTACCTAGGAGATTAGAGCTAGAATTTTTGTAAATAATATATATATATATATATATATATATATAATGATAATCATTGGAAAAATTAGAAAGTCTCATTTTTTTCTGTAACTTATTTATTAGAACAATTTATTGGCAATTTGTATGTTGACCTTGACATCCATACAAATTTCATGGTGAAAAAAAAAACCGGACCGACGGTATAATCCATGGGGTAGGTAGGGAAACGAGTGAACCGAACCAGGGGTAGGTGAAGAAGTGACCTATCCGACATGAACCAAACACGGTCGGGTCGGATCCTTACACTAACTATCTCTACTGACCCGACTGAAACAATTCCGAAAGAACTGCGCCTTTTAATAGTAAAAAAAAAAGGTTTCATACCCTAGACCACGACTTCAAACCCTAGACAACGACTTCCAGTATCGGTGATCCAACGGAAGAGAATGAAGAGAAGAAGACGACCAGAGAAGGAGATTCTTCCTGTGGATGTGGTGACGGAGGAGATCCTTACGAAACTGCCTGTTAAATCCCTTATGAGATTCAAGTGCGTCTCAAAACTTTGGTCATCGGTCATCAACTCACGATACTTCAGCAACCGTTTACGCACGGTCCCATCCCGACCGCGCCCTCGACTTTACATGTGTTTGCGGGATCTCACTGACTACCAAAACTCTGTAATGCTATCATTGGCGCCAGACACTACGTCTTCTTGCTTTGTAGTTGACCACGATCTGACCATCCCACGGCTGGGAGGCTACTTCTTGCAATATCTTCCTGGCTTCATATGTTACAACTTTCTGGGAAAGCCACGGATTTATAACCCTACCACCAGACTACTTGTCACCTTACCCGCCGCCATGAAATCCAACAACATCATGCCTATTCCCCCTCCTCCTCCAGGAGAAAGTATCAAAATCGTAGCTTACTATTTCGGACACGACCACGTTATCGACCAGTACAAAGTGCTCTGCTCAACTGGTGTCAGATTGAGAAATTTTCAAGAAGTAAGGTCAGAGCATCGGGTCTTTGTCGGAAAAGCTGGAGGAAGAGGTTCCTGGAAAAAGGCGGCTCCAACGTCTCCAGCGGACTTTCTTCCTCACATTCCACTCAAAGGAGGAGTGTGTATCGATGGGGTTATATATTACATGGGTTGGACTGATTCGTATAATTCTGTGCTTGTCAGTTTCCACATTAGATCCGGAGACTTCAAAATGATCCAAGTACCTCGCAGGGACGGAGATGAGCTGCCTGGACGGGTCAAGAATGTGAGTCTTATAGAGTATGGTGGCAAAGCAACTATCATTGACCAGACCAATCTTAGAGAAAAGGGTAGGCTGGATTTATGGGCCGTGGAAGATGCCGGGAACAATAAATGGTCGAGGAGGACTCTGGTTTTGCAGCCTTCTCAGCTGCATTTAGTCAATAACAACATTATATTCAATGTCAAAGGTACAACTCAAAATGGAAAGGTTTTCTTGATACCACAGGATTTGTTTTCTCCCTTTCACATTCTCTGGTATGATCTTCAAAGCAATGACATGAGAAAGATCGAAATCAATGGTGTACCGGATCACTGGTTTAGCAAGGACAAGTTGAAAGTTAAAGTGATGTTGATGGATCAGAGTGAGAGTCTCATGTACTTCCAGGCTTGAATAAATCATTCCTTTCTACACCTAATGCATGTTTTGTGAGTGTTTGGACTAAACAGCTTAATGTTTTTTCGTTTTTCTTGCATCCTCAGAATCTATATATAGATATAGATCGCATATACAGTGTTTACCAATCCCTAATTAATAAACTAGTAAAGAAAAATTTGGGGTATTGCTTTGTGTGTTGTTACAGCTTTATTGATCGTCAAGACCAGTCTCTGGCTCTATGCATGGGAAACCCCTAACGGCAAGTTATCTCCCGGTTCAATGGTGTTTCCGATGATCGTAGAAACCGTTAAGTTCTCCAAACCTTACAGATTTGATGACATCCCTCCACTTGTCAAGAAAAGAATGTCATAGTTGGTCGGTCGTCTCATTTCTCTTCTTTCTTCTCTGAGTGCTTCGGGTTCTTTGTTCCGGACGAGTATCCTCGGCTCTAAGACGATTGTTTGGACAGACCCAGAAGTGAACTTTGAGATTTTTAGATAAAAGAACAAGTGTTTCATCATGAGATATATATATATCCAGAAGCTGTTGTCAGAAACGATGGGAAAGATAACTTGTTCTTCAAGCAAGGCACAAGGACTTCCACAGGTACATGCGACGGATTGCTCTGCGACTGCTCGGTCCACAAATTAAATCGACCTAGAAACACAGGAGCATCTCACATCTGACACCCGATCCCATGGCATCTTTAGACGTCAAAGATACTATTGGAAGGTTATATATATAATATAGTGTGTAATGTTATCATTGGCTCCTGACACTACGTCATCTTACTTTGTAGTTGACCACAATCTGACCATCCCACGGCTGGGAGGCTACATCTTGCAATATCTACCTGGTTTCATATGTTACAACTTTCTGGGAAAGCCGCGGATTTATAACCCTACCACCAGACTACTTGTCACCTTACCTGCCGCCATCAAATCCAGCATCATACCTCCTCCTCCAGGAGAAAGTACCAAAGTCGTTGCTTACTATTTTGGACATGACCACGTGAGATAAGACCAGAGCATCGGGTCTTTGTCCGAAAAGCTGGAGGAAGAGGTTCCTGGAAAAAGGCGGTTCCAACGTCTCCAGCAGACTTTCGTCCTCACAGTCAATTTATAAAACTTTTTGGGGTGTTTTCAAAGCAAGTATCACTGTACTAAAATCTAAGAATAAATCGTTTCATTAAAAGAAAGATTGACCAGTGACAAATTAGTAAAAATAAAATTTATTTGGATAATAACAATAGCTGCAGAAACAATTGATACATTCGATATCACCAAAACACCATCATATACATTATTCGGTAAAGAGTCTAGCACAGTAAAGAAAAACAAGCATCGGAGTTCAAAGGGAAAGTACTGCTCTAGCGTAGAGTCTGAGAATAAGAGTCAACGCATGTTCTCTCTCCGTCGGACATTTCTGGTTCGGTCATGGTACCTTGGTTTATCTGATCCTCTTTGAGTCGTTAACTCTACCATCCTCCTCTGTCTTTCTGGTGGACGCGGAACTACTTCTCCATTCACAAACAACTCAGCTGCAATTGCAAAAACATTCAGCAAAAAGTTTATGAGCTAAGCTGATATAATCAACCAAATTTACATGTACATGAACAAGAGCAGCACTTAGCAAGTTCAATCTTTCATACATATTAACAGTGCATCATCAAAGAAAATGTTTTGCCTGAAAATGCAGTTAAGTTTCAGTGTTTACTAAGAGTGATGCTTCTCCAAGAGATCAACTCACTGAATGCAAACAAGTTCTTGATGATTATGACAAAGAACATCAAGAAATGATCAATGAATACATAACATCAAAAACAATGTTGATTGATACAGTCTTACCTCCGTAATCTTTGAACTCTGGATCAACATAAGAGTCCGGAAGCACGAATAGAACACCAGGAAGTCCTGAAACTCACAAAAGACAAATTCCATCAATTAGAATCACATCATCTGATTCAAAAGTACCATACACAACCAGTGAATGACAAACTTGTGTTACAAAAAGATACCTTCGAGTTTGTTTGATGTCTCCTCATCAATCTCACAGCCAAACCCAAAATACCTCTCGCATGAAACATTGTAAATCTTCTTTTTAGCTTCTTCCTCACTGTTAAACCAAACAAAAATCAAATTCAGTATGTTACAGTAAAGTAGCTGAGGAATAATACCAACGAACAACGACAAAGACTCACCTGCCAACAATTTTAGCTAAGGTTTGAACATAGCAATCAATCATTTGCTGTTTCTGCGCATTTTCGCCGCCGGGCTTGTCCATGACGATAAGCCAATGCTCGTAATCGCAACCAGGAAATAGCGGCGCCATTTCAGTGGGTGGTCGATCGCTGAAGTTCGATCCAGATTTAAGCGGCGAATATGAGCCACCGGACCTATCCATCCGGGTCCGGATCGTCGTGAAACGGGTCAAAACTGGGATATATCCAATGGCGTGGAAGATCGTCGGTGAGGATCGACGAGAGATGAGATGAGAAGGGATCTGAGAAGGAGAGGCGGCGGCATTGGAGGTGGAAAAGAAACGCTTAGCGACGCGTGAGGCGGTGGAGCGGGTTAGAGTTTTCGCCATTGAGACTGGTGTGGTTCCCGGCGATGACAAGACTAGGGTTTAGGTATACGATTGAAGAAGACGAAAGAGGGTAAAATAAATTGGGCTTGTAGTTTGTTATTAATGGGCCTTATCATCTCTAAATATGAGGCTCATCTGAATGAGAGAGAACACAATTCGTCTAGTATCTGTCTATATCATTGAGACCAGAACGTTGATGGTTATAGGATTTCTTTTGAGTTATGCACGGAAGCTTCGTCGAAGGTCCGCTTCCCGCTTCGGAATCTTAATCGGAATCGGAAGCTTTCGGAAGCTTTTGGAATCTCGCTTCCATAGCGCTTCCAAAAAATCCACTTTGGAAGCTCGTTGGAAGCTTACGATTCCATTTTGGAAGCTTGCGATTCCATTTTAAAAAATTTGATAGTCACATATTAATAAGAAACATGAATTATTTTTTTTAGTATTTTTTACAATTAAAGAAAAAATCAAAACTAATTTTGCAATTTAGAATTTTTGCATACTAATTTTCGCATATTATTTTCAAAAGATCATGCTTAACAAAATAACCACGACATGAATTATTTATTTGGTAAATGTTGGAATGATTAATTGAATTAAATAAACTTCGAAAAACTTGAATTTGATGATGTCCTTAACAATAAAACGGAATTTGAAACCATTTTATTGGATGGAATTAAGAAAATAAGAATGAAGATAGTGATCTATATTTTTTGACTTTGAACTATTTTATTTTTATTTATTGTAAAAATAAACTATTTGGTTTTTATTCGTAGTTGAAGTACTTTAAATTTATGTATTAGATTTGTGTGGTTATTTAAATGTTTTAAAATTATATAATGCTTAATATTTTATTATATATGTTTATATATATATATATATATATATTAATTTCTATATACGCTTCCAACACGTACCCACTTCCTAAAATTTCGAAAAAATCGCTTCCACGTTTCCAAACGCTTCGCTTCCACGTATCCGCTTCTGATTCCATGCAACCTAGTGTTTCACCTTCTCTTGTAAAAGTTTTGGTTTTGGTAATGGTCAATTTTTATTATTTACAGAATTTTCATTAAGAAAATATAAATAGTTTAGATGATTTTATTCTTATTTGAAATTTGTTACAATTTGGTTGGTATTACATAACTCATTAAAACATCAAATACCACATTTTCCACCTGGTCCTCCAAACGAAAAAGCTTTTCCGGTGAATTTGGTATAACCCCAATATGACACCCTAAAGCAACTATTGGAATCAGCATAAAGTCTTACTTTCCTATCATCAATATAATCTGCTTTATAGTCCGAGTTTATAATCCCTATGTTTTTAAAATGTGCCGTCTTTTTGAAGTCTGGAATGGGAAAATGTCCATTACCCATTGGAGGACTAAATCCGTCGGGAGATAAATAAGTGTTCCCTCCATATCTTATTAGAGAAGCTCCATTACTTAAGTGCTGAAATAACTCTTTTGGCCAATAACCAATTATTTCGTTAGACATTTTCAGTCCCCAATTTCCGCTGAATCCATCCTAATACATACAGAAAAATGAAAATTATATATTTTAACAAATATCCAAAAGGTCAAAACAATTGTGTGATATGATAAGTTCATCTAAACAATATATATATATAAATCTTTTTCATAAAAAAACAGAGAACGAGAAATTAACCTGGAAAATTTGCAATTTAAACGTAAGACTTGTTTGACCATAGACAGATGATCCCCCAAATCCCTTTCCAAGTGTAGGATTTCGACTTACAACCACAAAGCCAGGGCATTGCATATTATAGCACCCTGTTTTTTGGTAACCATCTCCCTACGTATAATAATATATTTACATAAATAAAATAGTGAAAGATCATCCAATTGTTTTGATCTTTTATTTCTTAAAACTAAGCTAATAAATGTTTTTATGTGAATAAGAGTAACTAAAAATCACTCACAGTCCAATAGATTGTAAATCTCGTGACACTATCACCGTATAATCTTGGATGCACCTAAAATTAAAAAATATTAACATATAGTTAAGTATTTGTGTAAAAACGTATTTACAGAATACATAATCTCTAGCAAGTAATTGATAGTATTGACTTACTGCCCAACCAGCTTGTATACTATTGAGTTGAGCTCGAGGTCCATTCTCTAACCATATTTGACTTTTACTGTATTGATTATTTTGCAATTTAAGATCATGAACACTTATTTCAGCTTCAGTTCCCCGATAGATACTTCCATCTAACGTGGTCTCAATTGTTGCAAACTGTAAATTTCATCAATATCGTTTAATTTTCATCGATAATATATATATACACGGATAACAATCGGAAATTTGGTCTTCTCTTTTAGTTTGCATATATAATGAATATATTATCAGAATGTCTTAATAATCAAATGAGATTTTGTGACTCTTTGCAAAAATAAAATTTAGAGGAAGACATACATGTTGACCAGAATACTCGGCTGTATTCAGATGAACGCTTTGAGATTCATTTCCTTGTCTTAAAATTGGAACTGTTCCTTTTGGACAATGCTCTTTGGTTTTATATTTGTTGCTTCTTTCAATATTTCCATCTAGGCTGAATGTTTCCTATGTTATATCACAAGTAATAAAGGAAAAATAAGATTCATCAGTATTGATGTTTCTAGAAGTCCTAGTTTCATATTTGATTGACCACATATAGTTTATTCACGTTTTATAAATTTATAAACTAAAACTGACTTATTCATCCAAAGTTTTCTTAGGAAAACTTATCCTTAACTATAATGAAATTATTGTATAAATAGAATAAATTAAATCCTTGTAAATTTAAAATATACTTATTATAATAATAAAAAAAATTAAACTCTATTTTTTATAAAATGAATAGAATATCCGAGATTTGATTCGATATGAGAAATTTAGATATTTTATTATGGACTGAATCGAATCAGATCTTGAATATTTTGTCCAATGATATATGTTACATTACCTGAATCTTGTGATTTTTTAACAATGGATGTTTGAAAGCCGGTTGTTTGTATATCTCAACACAATCAAAATCCTGTCAAATTTGTTGAACACAAAAATTAAAGAGTAATTCTATAAATAAAAATGAAAAATCTTTAGAGGATAGAACAAATAAACATAAGATAGGGTCTCACATCAATGTTTCCCTGTGCACCTTGTGTAAACAGCAGATATACACATAGACCTAACGCTAGATGTAATGCCATTGATAAGTTATTTTTAGTTTCTCCAATTATATCTCTGATACTTCTCAGTATAAATAAACCAATTCTAGTCAAAGACTATTTAAACTATTTATATTCATATATTAGCTGTATTTTAAATGTTTTACCAAAAATAACATGCAAATATTTTTTTGGTCAACGTTCAAGTGCATATAAAGGGAAACATGGCTAAATGGCTTTTAGTATCCCTTATATAAAAATAACATACCAAACTTTTCAAAGATTATCAATATACATCTTTACGTACCTTTGAATAAAGAGATTGCTAGCTAAATAACTTAAAAATAGCCAAAATAGTCAAAATAATCCACCAAAAATAACATATTTAAATATCTTTTGCCACATTATTTATTTACTTCTTTTGCCACTAGTTATTAAAGATAATGATTTAGTTTAAAAATATTAATAAAAGTGCTAATTTTATTGTATTCGATATATATATTCAAAAAGAAAATGAAAGCGTTAAAAAGAAATTGTCTTTATTGTGATTTTTTTTTTTTTGGATTTCATCTTTATAATTTATTAAAATTATAGTTTATGAGATGGCGGTTACCCCCGTTGGGAACAGATTCAAATTCCGCCAATGTTATCTCCACGTGTTTGATAATGATTGGTTGCAGAGATATGCTTCCTCTAAACCAGATATCCTCCTAACCGTACGATAAAAATCGGCGTCGTCGTTAGACTTACTTACGGAATCGGTAAGTAGATTTTACATTTTACGGTTACAGTTTGCTCTTAATTCAAAATCCAGGAGCTTAATTTACCAAATAATTCTGTTTTTCACTCCTCTAATATGTGAAACTTGAAATTTAACCTTTTTGTGTCATTAGTAATTTTTGTGTGGATCAAAAGTTAAAATATATGATTGGATCATTAGGAATATATGGAGCAATGGTTGTAGCAGGAAGATTCATATGTTCAGTGACTGCAATTGATTCATCTGGTGGATTTGATCCTTCTCTTGATGCACTACTTGCTGGACTTGGCTATGCAACACCACCAATCATAGCTCTTCTCTCCGTTCTCGATGTAACCAAATATAACCTCTTAATCATCTTTGGTTGAAATAATTTAGATGATTTTATTCTTATTTGAAATTTGATACAATTGAGTTGGTATATATAATTCATCAAATCATCAAACACCACAATTTCCTCCTGGTCCTCCAAACGAAAAAGCTACTCCGGTGGATTTGGTATAACCCCAATATGTCACCCTAAAACATCTATAGGAATCAGCATAACGTCTTATTTTCCTATCTTCAACATAAACTCTTTTGTATTCTGAGTTTATAATCACGACATTATTAAAATGTGCTGTCTTTTTGAAGTCTGCAACTGGATAATATCCATTACCCATTGGGGGACTCAATCCGTCGGGAGATAAATAAGTGTTTCCTCCATATCTCACTAGAGAAGCTCCATTATTTAAGTGTGGAAATAACTCTTTGGGCCAATAACCAATTACTTCATTAAACATTTTAAGTCCCCAATTTCCGCTGAAACCATCCTAATACATAGAAAACAAAAAAAATGTATTAAATACTTCAATAAGTATCCAAAAGATCTAAACAGTTGTGTGATCTGATAAGTTAATCTAAAACTAACTATATAATTTTTTTTCGTAAAAATGATAAAAAGAATTTACCTGAAAAACTTGTAATTTAAACGTAAGGCTTAATTGACCATAGACAGATGTTCCCCAAAATCCCCTTCCAAGTCTTGGATTTCGACTTACAACCACAAAGCCAGGGCATTGCGTATTGTAGCAACCAGTTTTCTGATAACCATCTCCCTACATATAATAATATTTGTTACATAAATAAAATAGTGAAAGCCATCCGGTTGTTTTGACTTTTTTTTTTTTACGCTAAGCTAATTAATTATGAGAATAAGAATAACTAAAAATTACTCACAGTCCAATATATTGTAAATCGTGTGACACTATCACCGTACAATCTTGGATGGACCTAAAATAGAAAAACATAAACATAATTAAGTATGTATGTAAAAAACATATGTATGGAATGGAGAATCTTTAGCAAGTAATTGATATTATTGACTTACTGCCCAACCAGCTTGTATACTATTGAGTTGATCTGGAGGTCCATTCTCTAACCATATTTGACTTTTACTGTATTGATTATTTTGCAATTTTAAATCATGAATACTTATATCAGCTTCTGCTCCCCGATATATACTTCCATCTAACATGGTCTCAATTGTTGCGAACTGTAAATTTTATCAATATGTTAGTATAATTTTCATCTATAATATATATTTTGCATGGATAACAATCATATATTTTTATTTTCTCTATTAGTTTACATATAACGAATATATTATTAGTCCCCTGTCTTAATAGCTAAATGAGATTTTGTAACTCCTTTCAAAAACAAAAATGAGAAGAAGACATACATGTTGACCAGAATATTCGGCTGTATTCAAATGAACGCTCTTGGATTCATTTCTTTGTCTTAAAATTGCAACGGTTCCTATTGGACAATGCTCTTTTGTATTATATTTGTTGCTTCTTTCAATAATTCCATCCACGCTGAATGTTTCCTACATTGTATCACAAGTAACACAGGGAAAATCAGATTCGTCAGTATTGATGTTTCCGGAAGTCTTAGTTTCATATTTGATTGACCACAACTATTTTATTCATATTTTATAAATTTATAAACTAAAATTAACATATTCATCCAAAAGTTTCTTAGGAATACTCATCCTTGACTATAATACAATTATTGTAAAAATAGAACAAACTGAATCTTCATAAAATTTAATATTTACTTATTGTAATATAAAATTCAAAATCGTTTTATAAAATAAATAGAATATGCGAGATCTGATTCGATATGAAAAATCTATATAATTCTATTTTGGACTAGATCGAATTAGATTTCAAATCTCGAATAGCTTACCGAATGTTATATGCTAAGTTACCTGGATCTTGTGATCTTTCAACAATGGATGTTGGAAAGCCGGTTGTTTGTATATTTCAATACAATCAAAATCCTGTAAAATTGGTTGAACACACAAATTAGAAAAAAATCTTAAAATAAAATGAAACTTTTTAGAGGATAGAACAAACAAACATAACCTACGGACTCACATCAATGTTTCCCAGTGAACCTTGTATAAACAGCAGATAAACACATAGACCTAACGCTAGATGTAATGCCATTGATAAGTTATTTTTAGTTTCTCCAATTATATCGATGATTCTTTTCAGTATAAATAAACCAATTCGAGTCAATGCCCTATTAAAACCATTTCCATTCATATACTCGTAATTTTATTGTTTTACCAAAAATAACATATGCATATATAGTTTGGTCAACGTTCAAGTGTATATATAGGGAAATAGGAATAAATTGGCTTTTAGTATCCCTTATATAAAAAGAACATACCAAAATTTTCAAAGATTTTCAAAATACATTTTTTTACGTACCTTTAAATAAAGAGATTGCTAAAATACTTAAAAATAGCCAAAACAGTCAAAATAATCCACCAAAATTTATAAAAATGAATAATTATTTTTTATTTAAATATATTTGTCACATTATTTATTGATTTCCTGTGCCACTTATTATTAAGATAATGATTTAGATTAAAATATGAAAAGTGTTAATTTTATTGTATTCGATATATATATATTCAAAAAGAAAATCAAAGCGTTAAAAAGAAATTGATTAAAACAAAGGTAATCTGTTCAAAAGAAATTGATATTCAACATAAATGAAAGCAATTGTCTTTATTGTGATTTTTTTCCCTGGATTCACCTTTTTAATTTATTAAGATTATAGTCATTTTATTATCTGAAGGCATTAAAATAATAAAAAGTTTATGCGATGGCAGTTACCCCCGTTGGGAACAGATTCTTCTGATCCCGCCAATGTTATCTCCACGTGTCAAATAATGATTGGTTGCAGAGATATGCTTCATCTAAACCAGATATCCTCCTAACCGTACGATAAAAATCCAACGGACCAGAAAAGACCTTATCTCTCCAATTTTAGATTTTGTATAAATTCAAAGAACCCAAAATTAACAAAGCACACGCACATAGCAGAGCAAATGAAGAAGACGAAGCACACTGAGAATTCACCGGCCAGAGATCACGACTAAGTACTCTAGTTTTCCGATTACCTCGAACAACCATAAATGGAGCTTCCGTTACTCTCGTATGCTAGCTCCGCGTCGTTTTCGCGGTCAGGCTTATGCTCTTCTTCTTCTTCTTCTTCCTCCTCAACAAGTATATGTGAGTTTCCGGAGAGAAGACGGAGCTTGAGGATGAGATTCAATGGTGTAGAAAGGTCACGAAGCGTTATAGCTTCCGCTGAACGGAGCAGCGAAGGGATCGAGAAGACAGACGGCGGAGGAGGAGGAGGAGGAGCAGGCAGATTCGCTGGTACTGCCATGGAGGTGACAACACTTGATCGTGGATTCGCTAACTCTACCACCGTTGATTTTCCGATCTGGGACAAAATTGGCGCCGTCGTTAGACTTACTTACGGAATCGGTGAGTAGATTTACATTTTCACGTATAAATTTCCTCTTAATTTACAAAAAAAAATCTGTTTTTCACTCCTGTATTATGTGAAACTTGAAATTTAACCTTATGGTGTCATTAGTAATTTTTGTGTGGATCAAAAGTTAAAATGTGTGATTGGATCATTAGGAATATATGGAGCAATGGCTGTAGCAGGAAGATTCATATGTTCAGTGACTGGAATTGATTCATCTGGTGGATTTGATCCTTCTCTTGATGCACTTCTCGCTGGACTTGGCTATGCAACACCACCAATCATGGCTCTTCTCTTCATTCTAGATGTAACCAATATAACCTCTTAATCATCTTTTGATTCTTGTTATGTTGTTGGACTTGGTTTTAAATGAATTATCTTTGTTTGATTTCAGGATGAAGTTGTGAAGCTATCACCGCACGCTCGGGCCATTAGAGATGTGGAAGATGAGGAGCTCAGAAGCTTTTTCTTTGGAATGTCCCCATGGCAGGTGATCATCTTAGCTTTTTCTTTGTTTTTCAAACCTATCATTATTGAATCTTGGTTTTGAGGTTTTAGTTATATTTTCTCCAGTTTATACTCATTGTCGCGGCTAGTTCAATAGGAGAAGAGCTCTTTTACCGTGTTGCTGTACAGGTTTGGTTTCATTGAACTTGGCCAAGTTTTGAATCATTGACCACTTTGATTGAGTTATTACTTATTGAACTCTGGTAATTCTCATAGGGTGCTCTGTCTGATATATTCTTGAAAGGAACACAGTTGATGACAGATTCTAGAGGCATGGCATCTCTGGTAAGTTTAATTTCCCCTTCACATTTTTCCAGTGTTAAGATTCTCCCATTTCTTCTCATAGACTTTATATATTGTTTGTTTGTTGTGTTACCTCTAGACCGGAGTGTTTCCTCCATTTGTCCCATTTGCTCAAGCCTTTGCAGCTGTAATCACTGCCACTCTCACAGGCTCTCTCTACTTTCTTGCTGCTTCTCCAAAGGGTTAGGATTTGATCTGTTAATTGTCTAGTTTCTTAGTTGATTATGTTCCATTCTGATTCTCGTTTTTGTTTTCAGACCCGACTTACATTGTTGCCCCGGTTTTAAGGTCACGCCGAGATGATTTTAAGAAGCTTTTGTCAGGTACTCATTCTCTTCTTGTTTTGATCATATTGTTTTGGGAAAGAATGTGAAAGGTAACTATAGAATAGCTTGGAGAACAGGGAAATATTAACCGGTTGGTACAAAAAAAACCGGTTCGATCATCTGCTGCTTATGAAATCTTCTTTGTCATTGCTTTGTGCAGCTTGGTACGAGAAGAGACAGATGAAGAAGATTTACTCTCCCCTACTCGAAGGACTCTTAGCCCTCTATCTCGGTATTGAATGGGTTCAGGTAAAATCTCGGTTTGGTTAGTATGCAATAATTAGGATTCCACTTGCTAGATACAAAAAAATCTACACTAACACTTTGATAGAGAACTTTATATACCCCTGCCTATAATTTCTGGTTAATCCTTTGTTGAAAAAACAAACTAGTGGTAACTTATAGGCTGATTATGTTTAATTTCTCGTTATCTTTTTCAAATTTTCAGACCGATAATATTTTAGCACCGATGATGACGCATGGTATATACTCGGCAGTCATATTAGGACATGGGCTGTGGAAAATTCATGATCACCGGAGAAGATTACGCCGGAGAATCGAACGCATTAGATCGGAGGCTACCGATAAGTTGATTTGAATCAACTCTAGATGGTTAATTGGTTGGGGGTGGATTTGTGTGTATTTTTTTGGTATGGGGTCGTATAGTAATTAGGGAAATTAGCTAGGACCTCTTCCAATTAATTAGAGAGCTGTATACAGTAGAAAATTACATATATACGTACATATATAATATCCCTATACGGCTATACAGTATAATAATTTAAGAAGTAACATTTCTTTTCTTTTTTTTTGCAACCTTCTGTGATTATATTGATCCAAGTATCCAACCAACATATACAAAAGTTTGAGCATTATTGGCGAGAGACGAGATTACATGCTTTTGTAGTTTTGTGACGAGAGATACGTAACAAGATCCAGTAGTGCAGTAGCAATGCATTTACAATAGTTTCCATTGGGCTTTGTGCTCTGCAATTCCTTGTATTGGGCCTTCATTTTCATTTGCTAGTATCCAAACTAAATTTGAACTTAACGGTTGATCAAAAAAAAAAAAAAAAAACTTACTAATATAAGACCAAAATTTATTTGAAACTTAAAATATAAATATATTTGATTTAAATTTGAATACAAACAGAAACCAAAATCATACCAAATCATCCATGTTAAACCATTTATAAACTGAAAATTTTGAATTCAAATCTAAATTGCACATCATGTACTCTACAACCATAATACATGTGTATCACTATATGACGCGAAACATCATCTAGTTTTTTTTTTTTTTTGGAATAACCGTGGGTCTCCCAAAGGCTTCCTAGGCCCAAGGACTAATCCCACGAAGCTGGCAATTCCCCTATGTAAACCTGCCAGTGGCCGTGCCTCGAACCCTGGTGACGGAAGTCACAGCTGTGACCCCTTTACCACTAGGCCACAAGGCCCGGTTGAAACATCTTCTAGTTACATGTAATACAAAAGTTTGAAACATTGTTTTCAAAAAACTTTCTAGATATGAAAATGGATCGACATCCGAAAAAACCAATGGAGAGCTTGCATGTGTTGTTAAACTTTATTTTCAGAATTCGGATCGATTACTAGTATCTAAAATATTATGGTGGTATTCGAAATATAGAGTTTGGCCACCCAAAAAAAAAAGAGAGTAGTTGGCAAGGGAAATTAAAATAACAGTAAGGTGATGAGTTCGGTTGCTCTTGCAAAAAAACCTTTTATTTATAAAATACACTAATTAGTGAGTATAATTCGAAATATTACGAATGGTGAAATATATTATCCGTTCGAGTATAAAATAAGTTTCGGTAAAATATATGATACAGACGGAACTAATCAATAATTTGGAATCCGAATTCCTAAGATTGGTCCAAGACTCTAATCAAGTAATAAACCAATAATGAAAGGAAGAAGGATAAATTATGTCTTCTTTTTTTGGGTCAACTTAATATGTCTTCTTAATAATTCAAAACTAATCTTTAACAGAGAATATTTAAAATAAAATAAAAAGCTAAGCTTAATTAATTTTCAGAAAACGACAAATGAAGGCTAGTAGTCGGTAGAATCATGTGGAGGAGCAAACCTTATTGTATTGGTCTATTAATTTAATCTTTCACGTCCAGATTATATCATTAACTTAAATTATTCTAAACACCAACTTTGCACGTAACGAACATAAACAAACAAAAGATTGTTTATCTTTCGTTCTAAATTTATTATAATTTTCTTGTAGAATATAGTACTTATTTTTAAAAATTATTTGTTTTACAATATCATCATTTAATTTTCTTATATTCATTTGCTATGTGTATTTTTACATATCAACAAGTTATTTTCTTAGTGAAAAAATAATGAAAGTAAATTTTTAACTTTTAACCCTAATCATCATCACTGTTTTCAGAACACAAAACGAAGTCTTCACTTTGTACTCAAAAACATCTAATAAAGGAAAACCATTAGGGATTTCAAATACACAAAAAAATAAAAAAATTGTACATACCTCTGATTCTTATGAATCAAAATAATGTAGGGAACAATAGTCTATATAACGTACGGTTTATCAAAAAAAACGATAATCGTCTATCTATATCAAATTCAAAGACCAACGAGAATATCTTGTTATATTGTCTGTTTGATCTTTAAGAAACACATCAGTTTTAGTATACATAATTATATATTTACAAAATCTACAGCTTGGAGTTATATATACATAAAATGAGGAGAAGATTCCAAAAATGTTGGTATGATAAGATGCTAGCGTCCGTGGAGTTTATTAATCTAATGACTATTCACATTTACGGTCTTATTCTAAAATTTTCTTAATATCATCAGAATCTATATATATATAGAAATAAACGCATATTTTGGTAAGATAAAGTATTTAATGGTCTCAAACCTGCTGCAAACATATACATATACACGCGAATAATTAATTAACAGAAACAGCATGAAGGTAATTAAGGATATAATTACTTTACATATACTTTCGATCGTGTCCAACTAATTTAAATGCAATAGGTTTATCATAGATTAAGAAATTATTTTAATCTACCAAATTTTGAGTTTGAGTCTTTGACTGTGATGTTACTTTTAAATAATAAAAATAGATTTCTCCTTACAAATATTATTAACAGGTAGTTTTTTTTAGAAAACTCTATATATTTTTGTCGAAGTCATTAAACTATATATAAGAAAGAGTATATATATTTCCTGTGTATATGCATGTGGATATCAATCCGTAATATTCTTATACTACTTGTCAAGATTATTGATCACCTTTTACATGACACACTTAAGTCACTACCTAGTGTGTTTATCTCAAATTTTATCTACATTTCAATCCAAAACAATAACAAGAAGAACAAAATAAACATTTGGTCAGATGACACACTTGCACCTTTGCTTAAAGTTCGGTGGCCATCTCATATTCTCATCTGTATACAGACAATATTTTAATAACACACTAATTATTTATTCTGATCGGCATGTATACTATAATTATACTGTCTGTCGTAAGACCAAACAAAGCACTTACAGACTGTACAATCAAATAAAGATGATTTTAAAAAAATAAACTTTAAAAGTCCAATGCAATTAGGATTAGCGATTGGTGGATTTATATATGATTATATAACTAGTTGATCATTTTTAAATATAAGTAAGAGTGTAATTAATAATTAATGGACGGCTTCTCGATTTATTATTAAAATGGCTCCGCCGATCAATCGATAGCACAAGAAGCCGTCACAGGTTGTCCGCCGTTGTGAGTCTATCCCTTTCCATATAATTCATTTTTCATAAATAATCGTCTTATTGCTTTGTGCCTTCATCATTTATTTAATTTATTGCTATTATTTAGGAAGTTATATAGTTTAAAATTTGAAACAATATTCTTTTATCTCCTTTGTTAAAATTATAGTATTTAGTATTTACACCTTTTGTTCATTATGATAGTTGGTTGCAACTGGAACTCGAAGTCTTAGGTGTTCACTATAAATAAATAAATTTGCTAAAGAAGAAACGAAGCAATTAGTTGTTAGTACTGTTAACATTCTGTCTGTTCTGTGGTCTTTACGTCTTTTAATTTGGTCGTTAAGTAGGTTTTCTTATTTGGAGAAATTTAGAGATTTGTCAATTGGTTTTAAAATCATCACGAGTTATTTTTCAATGCTTTATTTTTATTTGCACCGTTATTTTCTATTTCCACTCCCCAGTTAACTACTATGAAAATTAATTAAAAACACTTAACTATATAATATCGTAATCACATTGAAAAAAAAAGCTTCCAAAAATTCAAATATAGTAGTCAACGTGACATTATAGATGAACAGAACCAACTTAGTTTATATGGTTTTACGTTTTTATTTGAACATTCGAACAACTTTAACCGAATAAATAACAGTTTGGTCTTTCAATCATGACGGTTTAGTCGCTTTTGAAAAATTGGGAGCTGATTCGGATTAAGTTGGTGTGAGTTGCAAAAGATGTGCCCTAGTCATCGTTTGAACTATTATAACCTAAGAACCATAGTCGTTATAGACTTGCTCTTGTTCGTGTGAGCTTCTTTGATTTTTTTGATAAAGGATATTATCGTGTGAGCTTCTTAATAGAGTTTCTTCGTTTTCCTTGAGTTTTCATGTAAATACAATTTTGAGCGCTATGTAACAAAATTGAGTTCTTGGTAAATCTTGCGGATAAGAGTTCCGCCGAAATTCAATCCGTAAAATATTGGAAAAAACATGTAAAATTGTGTTTAAACGACAAATTGTGCAATTCAATCTAGGAACAACTGGATAAACCAAGTTTAAAACAAACAAACAAACAAAAAACCAACTGAATAAACCATACAATATGATATCATAATTAGTTCTGAAAATTTAAGGGGCATGTTTGTTGGAAAAAAAAAGCTTAAGTTAAATCGAAAAAACCAAACCTATTTCTTTCAGTCTCTATTTCTTTTCATGTATTTGTTTAGGTTTTAACAAAGAAGCCTGAATAAATAAACATTGATGAAAGAAAGCAAAGCTCATCAGAGCGTGGACCAACGCGCCACTGCGCATCCGTCACTTGACCGCGTGGATCTCCGCGTTTTCTTCCCGTTTGTTTAATGTTTCTCCTCTTTAATTATTGTAATTAATTAGTAAATAGAATAGACAACATCAAGTTGTTAAGTTGTTAACCATAGTTAATCGTTGACAAAGAAAAAGAAAAACCATAGTTAATTGGTCAACTTGGTTAACCAATTATAGTTTACGATTTTGAGTTTTTATTTTGTCTTCTAGTTTACAATTGAGCCAACTTCATCCACATTGTATTTGATGCTGCAAAATAATATATGACCAATTAGTAAAATACTAATATTTCCTACGAGTTACAATAAGGACATAAAATTTGAATGATAAATGCCGCTAGCAAAATACTACGCATTCATAAGCTAACGAAGATAACTAGATTTTGTGTTTGCAAACCAATTACATAGAATTAGTTGATTTGAAGAGTAGAATGATTTATTAGATTTGTTGATGACGGATGCTATAATTTTTTAAAAAATATTGACTAGGACATAGATGATAGATCCAAATGAGTCACTGAATATAGGGTAGGTTCAAAACCATGTCTCATGAATGTTGGTATAGAAGATTTTTAGGATCGATCAAACGTCGTAGACTAAATATTTTGACACAAAAAAGTATAGCGCATTTGATCTATTGATATGTGTTACAACGTTAACATCATATCTCATCTTCCAAGAACTGGGACTCCACCAACTATCTGGTCGGGTAACCCAATACTTAAATCTTTCAATACTCTCTTCGTTTTGTGGAAGTAGATCTTGAAAAAAGGTAAAAAGAATCACCAGTTGCTTCATATCACAAACGTCGCCTTTGGATTATTGAGTTTAATTTTTGAAATAGAATTTTACACTCACCAGCCTTATTACATTATTTAGGACTATCTCAAGATCTTTTGGTTGGAGTACTTTCGGCAAATATCTTTGTTTTTATTATTGAATGTAAAATTTATTTAATCTTAAAAAACAACGTTTTTAAATTTCGGCAAATACACCATTGGTGTTCTATAGGTATTCTTAGTTAATATTTTCGTTGTCTAAATCTTAGTTATCTGCATATGTTTCTAGTAGTTTTGTAGAAGCTAAATAACTAAATAACCATTTTAGTCTAACGGTACTGGTTCTATAGAATGTCCTGATTTTTACTAAGAAATATCCAGGTTAAAATATTTAAGACATTGTACAAAAAAAAAAAAGATTATCCGTTTATAAAATCAAATGCAAGATAAATAAAAACAAATTATTTCCACATTCTTGGGATCTCGATATTGTGTCGTCCATTGCTTTATTCTGTGAGAAGACATAAAACAATGGTAGCTTCTTTGATAATATATACAATCTTCAACGAAATCTAGAACCGCAATAACGTCTTTATACATACTCGACAATATTATAAAACTTATGAGTAACTTCATCTCGAATTTGACATTAAATAAACACACATAGAATAAAACCTTATAATAATAATTGTCTCTTGGGGCCATTGGGTCTAGAGAGAAGACTTGGTCTTCTTCCTCCTCTTTCTCTACTTCATACATATTTCATTTTCTCAGGTTTCTATATATTTTCTTCTCTACTTTTTATAATTTATCCGCTTGTCTGATATCTCCTACATTAAATCTAAACCTAAATCAGTAGAATCTCTAATCCCGTTTTTAATATACTTTTCTTTTTCATCAATTTTTTTTTTTTCTTTTTGTGTTTGGTGTTGGCATGGCTGGTCTCGATCTAGGCACAACTTCTCGCTACGTCCACAACGTCGATGGTGGTGGCGGCGGCCAGTTCACCACCGACAACCACCACGAAGATGACGGTGGCGCTGGAGGAAACCATCATCACCATCATAATAACCACAATCACCATCAAGGTTTAGATTTAATAGCTTCTAATGATAACTCTGGACTAGGCGGCGGTGGAGGTGGAGGAAGCGGTGACCTCGTCATGCGTCGGCCACGTGGCCGTCCAGCTGGATCGAAGAACAAACCGAAGCCGCCGGTGATCGTCACGCGCGAGAGCGCAAACACTCTTAGGGCTCACATTCTTGAAGTCGGAAGTGGCTGCGACGTTTTCGAGTGTATCTCCACTTACGCTCGCCGGAGACAACGCGGGATTTGCGTTTTGTCCGGCACGGGAACCGTCACTAACGTCAGCATCCGTCAGCCTACGGCGGCCGGAGCTGTTGTGACTCTGCGCGGAACTTTTGAGATTCTTTCCCTCTCCGGATCTTTTCTCCCGCCGCCTGCTCCTCCAGGGGCGACTAGCTTGACCATATTCCTCGCTGGAGCTCAGGGACAGGTCGTCGGAGGTAACGTAGTTGGTGAGTTGATGGCGGCAGGGCCGGTAATGGTCATGGCGGCGTCTTTTACAAACGTGGCTTACGAAAGGTTGCCTTTGGACGAGCATGAGGAGCACTTGCAGGTTCAAAGTGGCGGCGGCGGAGGCGGAGGGAATATGTACTCGGAAGCAACTGGCGGTGGCGGAGGATTGCCGTTCTTTAATTTGCCGATGAGTATGCCTCAGATGGGAGTTGAAAGTTGGCCGGGGAATCACGCCGGCGCCGGTAGGGCTCCGTTTTAGCAAATGTTTAAGAAACTTTAATTGATTATTTTCCACTTTTTGTTTTCCTCGGAATTTTTATGAAATTATGATTTAAGAAAGAAAACAATATTGTTCATGTATTGACCCTCTTAGTACATGGTTTCTTCTATTTGGTTAATTCACTAGCTCATAAGAATTGTTTGGTTTAGGAAAAAAAAAAGAATGGTTTGGTTGTTGTTATCAAATTTACCCACATATAAAGCTTCTAGTTCTCTTAAACTTCGAGCAAATTAAAAAAAAAAGTATATAATTTCTTCCGTAATATTGCTCGCTAGGGTTTTTCCAAACACATACATGGCTGAATAAATTTTCTCTTTTTCAAATTTTGAGGTCACCAACATGTTATATAAATCAATAAATGACGGTAAATGTAGTAAACGACAAAAAAAAGATTAAAGTAATAGCGGCATAAAACAAAGGAAAAGTGCAAGTGGAGTGCTAATTAAGAAATTAAATTAGATAATTTGACCAAGTCATTTCCAATCATGCCCTTAATTGCACAACCCATTTGATGCTAAGCTGTCATGCACACACGCAATAATCTAAAGTAAAGTAGCCGAAATTAGTGTTCATCACAAAACAATTAGTATTGATTAACTAACAATCATTACTTTATTTCTGTCGCATAGTACTATAATATTGCCTATACCTTGGAGTAACTAAATATCAATATACGACAATTTTGGTTCATCAGTTAAATCTTACCCGGTTATGGATTCTAAAATTTCAACTATGAACTTGCCTATCGTGGTAAATAATAATGAAAATGCAATCCAAAATGTTATACAAAAATACTAATCAAAAACCACACATAGACAACATTAGAGATGTATACTGCTGATTTTGTAAAGGGTGTGACGTAGTATACAATTTAGTTATAATATACTGTAGTTATTTTATTTTTTGTCAACAATATATTTAATTATCCAAGTATTAAAGTGTTAATAAAAATAAGTATTTTAACTGTGGGTAATGAAGAGACAACCATGATTTTGACCAAGTACCACGGATCATTTTTCTATCTTCATTGGATTTTGTATCTAACTTTTTACAAAAATATTAATATTATTAAGAACATGATCATGTTCTATAAGAAGCTAATCAAAGTTTCTTTATATAAAGTCCGTAAAGGTGCAAAAGATTACTTGCTAATTATAGTTTGATATACATAATGATTAATAAATAGTAAAACATTAATGAAACTATCACATCCGAATGTTTGACTGCCAATTTTTTTGGTTTACTTAAATATTGTAATGCTTATTGGTTATATCTTTTTAACTAGAATAGCTCGATTGCCAGAGTACCACTTAACCAATCTACCAAAGTGTATTTTAAGTTTGTTTAAACTTCATTACTTTGATAAGTAAACAAAATTATAGTTTTGACCCTTTTGTTTTTTTCAGTAGTTGAAACAAAACTTTAAAATTACAAAGAGAAGAATCTTTGTTGGTTTTATTTATTAAATTTCAAAACTAGTTAAGGGCCAGATCAAAGGCCCACGTATGTAGCATACATAATACTTTAGATAAAAACTAGTGCGCCTTCTCGTGATCTAGCCCAATTATATCTAGCCGACGATTACTCGCAATAAAAAAAAGAGTTTTATGAATGGCTCATATCTTCTTCACTAAAAACACACTGTTATTCCACGTTAATCGATTTTTATCCCCTACCAATCTTGAGCATAGAAATCAATGATCTCGACAACATCCAAATCCGAAAACGTAGAGGCATCGTTCCGAAGAAGCCACAGCAAGTGCTCAAACAAGATCGAGTCGACATGATCAAGCCACACCACTCTACCAGTCCGGTTTAACCGGTTCTTGGCATGATCCTTAGCTGAACCTATCAAGACTCTAAAAGGGTACTCTTCGAGTACATACGGTTCGACCATGAACTCCTTCTTCTCCTTCCCTACCACCACCCTTATGACTGGATCTTCCATATTTTCGATGAGATTCCGGTATGCAAACCGCCGTGAGTCGGCTGAGGAGAGACGACGGAGTTTCATTACAGGCGAAATCAAACAACCCATTTGAGAGAAGAAGAATCAGAGTTGTTATAGGGATAGATAATTCAAGAAAGAAAAAAACAGAGTTTATATATAAACACCAAAGAAACGAAGAATACGAACACAAATGAATTGTTTTAGATTAAACGCGGTTTATTTATGTAAAAACCGTGTAAAAGCTTACGAGTGACAGATTTTTCACACCAAGATTTGCTACGTGGCGAACTATGGTTGGTTATGTAGTTGCGATGTTATATGTCTAGAGTTCGATGGCCGACCCACCGGCTAAACTGTCTTTCTCCGTCCACTTGTTTTTAGACAGAGAACGATTTCACATGATAGTATATGATAAGTTTCCAGCTATATACCATTGTACCAAGAAAAATATATTTTCTAACTAACTTCTAGACATCTACGCAAACTTTGCATTTATATCGTTATATATAAGTTTGTTAAAGTATGGCTAACGAATATTGATTTTATGAATGGGAAAAAACCCGAAAAAACCGCCATCTATTTTTTTTTTTGCCGTTTAATACCTGTGTTTTTAAATTTGGAATAAAAATACCTAATTTAATTTCGATTGCCTTTTAAAACTATCATTTTTAAAAACTTGGTAATTTCGAACCCGAGACTTAACAGTCGTTACCGGACGTAACGGAATTATTTAACGGTGTTAAATTTTAACCCCACGTGTATGTATAAATATATACCATCTGCTCACTACATATTACGAGAATATCAATGTGGCCTGGTGGTAGCGTCTGTTGTTTTATAAGCCAAGAGACCCGGGTTCGAATCTCAAACTTTGTGGTCGCACTAAGACTAATTTTTTTTTTTTTTTTCTGCAGGAAACCCTAGGGCGACCAGCAGCCGCCGCCCCCAAAACTTCGTCATTCTTTTTCTTCTTCCTCGAAATTTCAAATTTTGAATCTAGGGTTCGTCTTTTTCGTTATCAAGAACACACTTCATTACTTCTTCATAAATGGAAACTCAATGATGAACCAATTAAACTCGTGGACAAAGCTGGCTTTGGATTCTTCCGCAAAATTGGTCCATTGAATCTAAACAATTCACTAATCTCTGCATTTGTTGGGCGTTAAAGAAGAAAAAACCAATAAATTTAACTTTTCTTTAGGTGAACGGAGTTATCAACAGAGGAGGCGACGGCGAGGACCATGGAGCTTTGCGTTAAAGAGGTAGGAGGAAGAAGAAAGAGAAGAAAAAAAAAAAAAAAAAAATTAGCCTTAGGGCGACCACGATTGAGATTCGATCCCTGGTCTCGTGGCTTACAAAACAACACATGCTACCATCAGGCCACATTGACATTCTCGTAATATGTAGCGAGCAGTTGATATATATTTATATAAACACGTGGGGTTAAAAGTTAACGCTGTTAAATAATTCCGTTACGTCCGGTAACGACTGTTAAGTCTCGGGTTCGAAATTACCAAGTTTTAAAAAATGATAGTTTTAAAAGGCAATCGAAATTAAATTAGGTATTTTTATTCCAAATTTAAAAACACAGGTATTAAACGGCCAAAAAAAAAATAGATGGCGGTTTTTTCGGGTTTTTTCCCTTTTATGAATTGACAAATGACAAACCGTTTCATATCTACAAAACCATTGTAAAAATCAAACATATAACTCATAATTATATTGTTATATATCAGCGAGATATTTAAATAACTTTTATATGTTTCGGTTTGCATATACTGTATGTTGTATCTATAGTGCAACCAAATTTTGGATTAATTTTAATATATTTTATATGTTACAACTTACAAGTGACTAATAAATTAAAACTATTTGACTTGTTTTTTGTTTTGTTTGGATATTATCTCTTTTATTTCTGATCCTTCCCTTTCACTAATTTCAGAAACTAGTATTATCGATATTCGATGTATACTGTCTCATTTAGTATCACAATTAAGTTATTCCGTCGTATAATGCTTCCGCCTCCACTACCTTATACAAGCACAAGTTATTTAACTACGTTTATTAATTTCTGCAAGATTACATTATTGTTTATGCATAAAATATCAAAAGAAACTAACCAAGAAAATTTCAAGACTGCTGATCTTATATTAGACAAAAAACGTACATATTATATTATTAAACAAGACGGCTAATCTTAATATAGCTATAGAGCTAGTTTTAGATTTGTCCCGGCGGGTAATTAGCTCCGCTGGCTCGGGTAGGGTAGGTGGAGTGACCGGGAAGATGGTGGCCGTGAACCTGAGCGTCCGCAGCATGCTCAGCCTTGGATTGATGGAGATCAGCCTTGGCCTGCGCCTCCTTAGACTTCTCTCGCTCTTGGGCCAACTTCTTCTCTTTTTTGGTCCTCGCCATCGTCTTCTCTGCATGACCTTGAGCCTTTGCGCCGCCGATGTGGAGCTTCTCCTTGGCCGTACTGGCCATGTCACTGATCTTTTCCTTCGCCGACTGCATCTTCTTTCTTCTTCTTCTTCTTCTTCTTCTTATCAAACTATAAACTTATTTTCCTTTCACTTTGTTTTATGTCTTATATGCTCTCCGATCTAATTTAACGACTACTGGGTTATCACCACGTGTAATACGTAGAAACGTGTCACAAGCTACGAATATGTACGTGGGTTACGCACATGCAAATGCAATCTACACGAACACGACAATAGTTTCTTGATTTTGCATTATCTTACGAATATCTCTCCTTAACTAACACTTATATCTCACAAAATCAAATGTCCAATTTTCATTTTGTTAATCATGTATGAATACACATTTTTATGTACATACATACAAACATATGATTTAATTAAACCTTTATAGAAAAAAGATTGAATCGTGAGAGACGAAAACAAAATAAGGTTTAAGTTTTATATTTGTGATTTTGGATAGATAGAGAGATACTACAGTTATTTGTGTCGATCAATTACGAAGGAGATATATTAATTGGATGTGGTTTTCCAGTTGATTGCAACTTTAATCTTAGATCAAATAGACAAAAAGATTTGATCTAAAAGAAAATCGACAAAAATCTATATAAACAAAAAAAGAAAATCAAAACAAAGCGAGAAGAGCCGGAGACAAGAAAAATAAGTTTGAAGGTCAACATTTCTGGTCAAATAGATGATGTATGTACTATCTCTGCTTTTGCTGACACTGAACTTGACTACTCTGTTTTTTTTTTTTTTTTTTGATAAATTTCTATTATCAGGAAAAACAAAGAACAAAAATTAGTACTTTCTTTTGCAATTAAACCCCAACTTTTGAAATTTCAGTATCTGCAAACTCTGATAACTAGCGAGAGAGTAGAGAGTGTGTGGAGAGAGACTAGGAATTTGAAGGAAAAAAAGCTTGAATCAGAAGATTTCCAGCGAGAAAGATGGCTAGAAACAGTGACTATGATATGTGCAAAGAAGAACGGAAGAGAGAGAGCTTCTTCAAGGTTCTACAAAGAGTTGATTTTTCTTCCGAAAACATGGTAAAATCTCTTCTTTAACTCTTCATGTTCTTAAATTATGTAATTTCTTGTTACTTTTAGTTTTGAAAGGTTGAAACTTTGGTTCTCTGTAACAATGGGTCTTGTCTTAAAGGTTGAATCTTGTTAGTTGTCTTTGTAAGGTTTCGTTAACAGTCTTTATGGGTTCCAGAACATGGTTTTGTTGCTTGTATCAGTTCTCTGTCTGAATGTGAGGATATGTGCTTTATTGTCAACTTTGTTTGTTTTGGATGAGATCTGTTTCTGGCTTTTTTCCAACGTCTTGGTGTGTTTGTCATTTATGTGTAATGGGACTAGTTTCATGGTGAGACTGATACTTTGGACTCAATTACTTGATGGAATGTCTAAAAGGTTCACTGATTTTTTCACTGTAATTGAAGAAACAGTCTTGTTGGCTATGTTCTTCTTCTTCTTATATTTTCTCTTCCTCTTATTTGCATAACCAAAAAGAGAGCACTTCCTTACGACTTTGTGAGAAGCTTCTCCAACAATGAGCTCTCCGGTAAGATGACGATAAAAGCGCGATGGGGAAGTTCTTGGGAAGTAGAAATCTGCAAAAACCCCAGATTCTATTTCATGGAGAAATCCGGATGGGTGAAGTTTGTGAGGGACAATGCCTTGGGAGACAATGAGTTTCTTACCTTCACTCACAAAGGAGGGATGCGTTTTACAGTGAACATCTTCAAGCAAGATGGCAAGGAGATGCTCCAGCCTCCACAATCCATGGCCTTCATGGCTTCTTCTAGTAAGATTTGCTATTCTGATTATGAAGTAGTGAACTTGATAAAGACATTAGTTGTTTCTTTACTTTTGATGATGAAACAGGGCGCACTAAAACAGAACAAGGAATATCTAATCTTGCCACGACAATAACAGCTGAATCTAATGGAGGAGAAAACTACAGAAGGAAGCTCAACTTTGAGAAGAAGAAAGCTGCGGAATCCCAAAATTCCAAGAGGACCGAGAAAGTCTTTAGTGTCCGAAGAGATTCTGCAGGTGCCTCTTCATCTTCTGTTGCAGAATTCACCATCTTCATCAAGAGATCATACCTTATCTTCATGGTAAGATGAGACTAACGAAGAAACACTTTATTGTGCTTTGTTTTGTGAATCAAAACATTATTCTGATTTTCCAGAGGATCCCGAAATCTGTTCAAAGTATTCATATGCCGGAGCAGAGAACGATTTTCAAGATACATCACCCAAATATGAAGAAGTCATGGAATGTGGTTTACTTGGTGGGAGATAGAGACGCAAACTTCTCTGGTGGATGGAAACGTTTGGCTCAAGAGTATCCTGTAGCAGTTGGAGACACTTGCAAGTTTTCATTCATCAAACAACACGAGCTGATTCTCTTTGTCTCAAAACCCTAAGAGGAGAGACTCACTAGTGATGATGATGGATGTGACGGTGTCTTGGAGAACAAGCAACTGAGAAAAAGACTGTTTATCAGTGGTCTTGAGTTTTTATGTGTTGTCTTAACTTTTAGTTTTATGTTATGACTTAGTTCGGTTTAAGTTCAGAATGTCTATGGGGTGGATATATGTAGCTTGATATGTTTGGACCAATTTTAATATGTTGTTTCCGTTTGGCTTTACTTTGCTCTCTCTCTACTCTTAATTATATTCAAGAACCACACATCTGTTGGAATTCGATTGTGGCAGATGTATAACAACTGTTCATCATCAGAGAATTCAGAGCTATATTATAAATTAAGTTTCTGGAAAAAATGAACCAATCGAGTTTCTCAGAAATATTTGCGTCTCAAACAACCATGTTACCTTGGTCCAAATTTCCTGTTTTGGTCTCTCTTCTTCTAAAGCCAACAACACCAACCAACAAACAACTGTATAAGGATTAACAGTGAAGCACTATTTGAATATTTTAACTCTTTCAGAGACCTAACATCAAAAGTCTGATATTGATGTTATGTTACAGGAAAGAGATAATTACACATTTGAACAAGCCAAGAGAACTGTTTGGATATAAATACCAAATGGTGACTTAAGTCAGACTAATCATGTAAAACACTGGTGGGTTTGAATATGAAACGCCATGGCTTTTGTTATGTAACTTGCATATTTTACAAAGAAAAAAGCTTTTCGAGAGTTACTCTTTGCTGGAATCAGCATCAGAGTTTCCATATACAGCAGCAAAGTAGTAGCTCACAGTCTTAGGTGTTACGCCAGGGAATCTGTGGGAGCTATCCGGTTGTAAATCGATCTTAACGAATGGCCATTGCATTGCCTGTGCGGCTGCACACTCTTCCCATCCGTCCCCGATCGCACAGAATCTGAATTTTGGGTGGTTGAAACGCTCCTTGATCCATTTGAAACATTGGAGCTTCCCCACATCTATTGAACTGTACACTGAAGAAAGGCAAAAAGAGTTAAATGATGTAGTTTGCTTCCACATAGAAATGCAAATGCATGAAGGAGCTTGCAGAGTAGCAAGATATCAGAAGCTAAGATATCCCATTGAAGGAGATGTCTCCGAGCTTACCATTTTCATGTCTTAGGAATGTATCTAGCCGGAAAAGCAGGCACTTCACGAGGCTCGGTATGAGGGCCCCGGAAGTCACTAGAATATGTATATCCTGAGAGCTTTGATCGGTTGCACTTGTTCCATCACTGGACTCTTCTTTCACACATGAACACTGCTCCAAGAAAGCCCTTGCTGCAATTGAGACAAAACCATAATGAGCAGTGGACGTGATAAAGAAAATAACCACAAGAAGCAGACAGTTCGACATTTACCCGAAGAAAGCCACCGTTCTGTGTATTCATCAGTCACATTATACAACTCATCCAACACATTCATCGATTCACTGTCAAGGAATGGACACAAACCCTGCAATTATAAAGAGATGAGATATATACTTGAGCAACAAATAACATATAAAATGTATCAGTACCTTTTCGTATTTGTGTGCAACAGCTCGATGCCTGTACGCAAGTTTCCTCTTGTTCAAGTCATCAGTAGGAGTACTAAAGTCGTCTTGTTTGAAGTCATACAGAGAAAGATCCTTTCCATCATCGTACTGTCTCAAAGAATCAAGAAATGGCTCATTGCATTCCTCAATCTGCAAAAACACAAGACTAATGTTATGTAGGTGACAAAGTTAACGAGGGCATCTCATCATTCCCGTTCTGAACCTATCGTTAAGAAAAGACTTACTTGCTCGTAGAAGAAAAAATCGTCACAGATCTTAAGTATGTGTTTCTCCCACATCCTCCCAATCTCTACACCTCTTTTAACATCTTTGGAGCCACTAAAAGACTCAGCATAAGTCCCATTTAACAGAGATCTAAGTAAGATAAGAGTCTCGTCCATGTCCCATACATATACATTCACTGGTCCACCATCAGAAACCAAAGTTCCGAGCTTTTGTGATGTATTGTCATTCATAATCTGTTGTATTCCTTCATCAAATGACAAAAAGCATTCAGAAGGAGCCACAAAATTGCGAATCGATGAGAACTAACTAATTCACGGCACCTACATTGGCTACTAATTCACTGATGAAAGAATCAGGGGCCAGTGGATTGAAATAAGTTTCATGGCGGAAACAAAACCAATAAAATTCCCAAAAGAGCAAACTTTACAACAAACCCATGACTAATTTCACTAAACAAAACCTAAGAAACTTCGATTAACGATTCTAGGTTAAATTAATTAAACAAAAATTAGAACTTTCAGAACAAACGAGGATCGATGACAGATAAAACAAAGTTCAATTTTTTTTTTAAAACCATACCTGCCGATAAGATGAGCAAAGATAGAGCTCCGGAGCTAAGTGACGACGATGCTTCAAAGATCACAGACGAAGGAAGTAAACGGCGAGCGAAACGGCGTCGTTTGATATCATTTAGCTCCTGGCCCAATTAAAGGCCCATTATGTTCGACAGTCACAAACACACACCACCAGAAACTGAAGAAAGCTTTTTTTTTTCTTCTTGCATGACCCTCTCTTCGCTTCTCTTCTCTTCTCTACCGAAGTTTGATTATTCAATCTCAGCTGAGAAATACAGCAATCGCCGATCAGTAAGTTCTTCTAAACTTATCTATGTTGTTTGAAATCTGTAAGATTCATCCATCATTTTTCCGTCTTCATTAAAACCCATTTCTCCTGATCCTACTTTGGTTTGTGTTTCATTTGGGGGATTCAATGATCTTCACTTTTTCAATCTCTGTGGAATTTTTCTTTTCCTTCAGATTCTCGTATATACATAGACGTGCCTTAAGTCTGATGGGTTGTACTGTGAGGGAGAAGCATGTTAGGCCTAACCGGAAGACCCGATCCGTGAAACCCGAATTCGATCCGTGTTGTTTGCTCGACAGGACCGCTCTATCGAAATCGATTGTCGAATCGAGTCTAAAGCATCTTGTTTATCATCCGGGTCTTCTTGATTCGTGTCCAGAGTCTAACCCTAGTGGCAATTTTGAGGATAATGGTTGGGGTTACTGTACGGAGGAGCAATTAGAGGATATTTTGTTGAAACATTTGGAGTATTTATATAACGAAGCGATTTCGAAGCTTGTGGCATCGGGTTATGATGAGGATGTTGCGTTGAGAGCTGTTCTTAGTAATGGGTATTGTTATGGTGGAATGGATGTTATGACGAATATTCTGCATAATTCTTTGGCTTATCTTAAGAGTAGTACTGGTGAAGGTAGTAATGTGAACAATGAGGATCAATCAGAGACTGTTTTTACGGATTTGAGACAGTTGGAAGAGTATTCACTTGCGGGTATGGTTTATTTGCTGCAGCAAGTTAAACCTAATTTGAGTAAAGGTGATGCAATGTGGTGTTTGCTAATGAGTGAGCTTCATGTTGGGAGGGCGAGTACTATGGATATACCGAGTTCTGGAAAAGGGGATAGTAGTAATGTAGGGGTTGGTGGTAGTAGTACTGTAAATGGTGTTGGTGGTGCTATTGCACCAGCATTGTGTAGATTCCATGGAGGTTGGGGTTTTGGTAATGGGAAAGGACCCAAGTTTTCAGGTAATGGGGTTTCTTTGTGTAGCGAAGAGTTAACATTGCAGAGAGAGATTGATTGTCCGAGGAGATTTAATCTTTCACCGTCAATGAAGTCTTTGTTGAGAGAGAATGTTGCAGCTTTTGTTGCTGGGTATCGTGCTAGTATGGAGCAAAAGAAGCAGATGCAAGTGCAGTCTGAAACTAGTAGTAATAGCTTGTCTTGCGCAGCTGCTGCTACACGTTCAGAGACGTGTGAGCAGCCACGTAACTCGGTGAGTGAAGAAAGTGTCAGTTCAGTGCTGGAGAAATTCCGGGATCTGAACCTTGATGACAATGTTGATTCGGCACCTGAGGAGCTTAAGGATGATGCTTTAATAGGACTACTTCATCAGGTTCAGGATCTCAAAAAGCAATTGAAGGAGAGGAAAGACTGGGCTCAGAAGAAGGCAATACAAGCTGCCCAAAAGGTCAGCGATGAACTGGCCGAGCTTAAATCGTTGAGGAGTGAGAGAGAAGAAATCCAACAGTTGAAAAAGGGGAAACAAACTCGTGAGGACTCAACCTTGAAAAAATTATCAGAGATGGAAAATGCTCTTAGAAAAGCTAGCGGTCAAGTTGACAAGGCAAATGCGATAGTAAGGGCACTTGAAAACGAAAGTGCAGAAATCCGGGCGGAAATGGAAGCTTCCAAATTAAGTGCATCAGAATCTCTCACGGCATGCATGGAGGCATCGAAGAAAGAGAAAAAATGCTTGAAGAAACTTGTGGCGTGGGAGAAGCAGAAAATGAAGTTGCAGGACGAGATTACAGCTGAGAAAGAGAAGATTAAGGCACTCAATAGGGCTTTAGCTCAGATCACGCAGGAAGAAAAAGAATATGAGGTACCAAGAAATGCATTATCTTCGTTTACACACCGAGAATCTTCGGGATCTTCACAATTTTTGAGACTATGACCTGTGGAAGTCCATTTAGTTAGGATTTAAGATAATGTACCCTTCTTTTTGAATGCGCGGTCTAATTACCCTGACAAATTCAGTGTTGAAATCTGTTCCAAGGAATTACTACACCTGTTAATACTTTTCACGGGACAGGTCTTTCTCTCTATGCTGCTAGATGGATCATATTTGCATAGAGAGGTTGTCTATTTTTGGGAACTTGTAATGTTCTTTTCATTTCGTTAATATGTATTTGCAGGCGAAATGGAGACAGGAACAGAAAGGTAAGGAGCAAGCTATGGCTCAAGTGGAAGAAGAGCAGCGCTTGAAGGAAGCAACCGAGGCTAGCAACAAGAGAAAGGTGGAAAGCCTGCGGTTAAAGATTGAAATAGACTTTCAGAGACACAAAGATGATCTCCAAAGACTGGAACAAGAGCTGTCTCGGCTCAACAAAGCCTCTTCAACTGACTCAAGCCTCCAATCCAATAACAGCTCTCACACAAAGGGGAAATCAGACAAGTCGAAGGGAGAAGCAATGTCTAAGCTGCTTGAAGAGCTTGATAGGCTTGATGGATCATATGAGAAGGAAGCAAACTATGACCGGGAATGTCTGATCTGCATGAAAGATGAGGTTTCGGTTGTGTTTCTTCCTTGTGCTCACCAAGTGGTCTGTGCGAGCTGCAGCGATAGCTTAATGGGCGGTGGCAAAGCGACATGTCCTTGTTGCAGAGCTCCGGTTCAGCAGAGAATCCGTGTATTTGGAGCGAGTTCTTAGTAAAAAAAGATTATCTGGGGTTCAAAGATTAATCATAGCACAACTTGTCAGGTATAAATACTTTTTTGTTTGTTTGTTTGTTTATGGCTCCGTCTCTCTGCTTCATATTGTCTCTTATCTTCAATCTGAGGGTTTTGGACTATTTGCATCTTTACATTGTTTTGAGTTGTTGCCTGGTTTATGATCTTCCCAGGATTCACAATGTAAGTAAATAAAAAATTCTACCTTCTCAACCAACCTTGAGACGTCGTCGATTTTAACTCAACGAACCATTTTGTCTCCATTTCTGACTTGATACATATGAATATGTTTTCCTTACCATGATGAACCTATCACAATAGCTTATAAAATGTTTCATTATTAGCCATTTAGCCTCTAACTTGTGGCAAAAATAATTACGCTTTACAAATACCAACAAGTGTCATTTGTTATCACAATTGCTTTCAGTTAAAATATTTTGGGTGGCAATTTTGTCTAGAAGAATTTTGGAAAGAAATCTCTTAATATTTCAATAACCTTGGACCAAACCGGTTTAGACCGGTACAGACCAATTATAATCACGGAAATTCAAATCTATATATTAAAAATAAAATACGCTTCAGCGTTACGTATAAATAGAGGTTGGTACATTAAACGGCGAAAAAAACATTCGACGTAGAATCCGGCTTCGGAGACTTGAGTCGCCGCCGGTAAATACTCTTCCATACATTCCGCCGTCCGATTCCTCTTACTTGGCGTCTTGTGTTAAGCTTCATAACCTATCATCATCCTCCTTCTCCAGCTCTTCGAGTTTCAGAAAACCTAGATCTCAAAGTGTTTATCCCTAATCTTTTAGGGTTTCTACCTTGTTCGATCATTCTGAACATTATTTGTCTTCTCTCGGAATTCAATTCCTAAGGGTTTTCTCCTTTTTAGTCAGTGAGATTTATGTACACTCACTAACTCTGTATCTTTGAAACAAGTGATTTTGAAATTTATGGTGTTGATTTCGTGGTGTTGGTTTATGATTGTAGTACAGTGAGAATGGGGAGCAATGATTTGAACACCTGGGTTTCGGACAAGTTGATGGTTCTGCTAGGCTTTTCACAAACTGCTGTCGTGCAGTATCTAATTGCAATGGGTAATCTTGGTGTTTCGTTTTCGATCATCAAAGCAAAATCAAGCAATTTTTAGCTATGATTGTAGTTGACAAAGCGAGTTTTTTTTTTTTTTTTTTCTTGCAGCAAAAAAATCAAAATCACCAGATGAACTTGTCCGTGAGTTGGTGGAATACGGGTTTTCTTTGTCTGGTGATACCCGTGCTTTTGCAGAAGAAATTTATGCCAGAGCTCCCAGGAAAACCCCTGGTGTCAATGTATGACTCTCCTACTCTTTCTGAGTAGATAAAGAATGTATGATGACATAAACAGAGTCATAATTTGGTTGGTTTTCTTGCTTTTTTCAGCTCTACCAGCAACAGGAAGCAGAGGCAGCCATGCTGTTGAAGAAGCAGAAAACGTTTTCCCTTTTAGAGGCTGATCATGATGAAGATGAAGGCAATGTGGAGAAACAATCTGCTTTGGAAACCGGAAAGTCAGATAAAAGCCGAAAGAGGTTCAGGAAGAAAATTGAGCAATTGGAAGACGACGATGATGATGAGGCAATTTGTTTTCTATTCAATGACAGACTTCCATTTTTTTCTTTATGGTAAGATATAACTTCATAGCTCTTCTAATCATGTCGTATCCTTTCTGACTAAACAACAATGCAGGTAGTGATTGTTAGAGAGGACGAAAGGAATGTTAGGAGAAAGGTTTCCGAAGGCGAGGATGATGGCACTGAGGTATATCTACCTAGTGGCTACCCTTAGGGTGTTTGCATTTCAGCTATGTATTGGATCCTTTGGAAAAACATAGTTATGTGTGGATAATACCTGCTTTTATAATTGATTTTCTGAAAATCTGTTTCAATCATAAATAATTGGCACAGTCTGAAGAGGAAAGATTACGTGACCAAAGGGAGAGAGAAGAACTAGAGCAGCACCTAAGAGAACGAGATACTGCACGGACACGAAAGGTATGTCTTATCTGTTATGTGCACCGAAAAGATCCTGTTTTTAGTAGTTCTTATGTGTTTTCTTTGCATACCTCACAAGGAACAAGCTATCCGTTCTCTTCTTGACATCTTGTTTTGGCCAACCAGCTGTTTAGTTTTGCGGAAATAGTATACAAGATGGACTAGTTATCTCATTCAACTTGCTTTAAGTTAGAAAACAGAACTGCCAAATCTCTGCACTTAATATGCCATTCAATCCTGTATGCTTTAGATGGTTTTTACTAGCTAAAGAAAAGTATGTGAGGATTCATTGATCCATTTAATTATTTGCTATCTCATCTTTTTGTTACTGACCTCTCCCTTTCTTTTCTTTAATGAACAGCTAACAGAGCCAAAAATGTCAAAGAAAGAGCAAGGTACGGCCTATTATAGCTCACATGAAAATGTATAAGCATCTTTGTGTTAAATTATGGGTGAAACCAAATTTTTGTTTCTTCTGCTGGACTCATTTAGAAATTCTTATATTGCAAAACAGAAGAATTTGTTCGAAGAGACAGTGCTGTAGAGAAGGGTGATATTGTATCCTTAAGGTACTTCGTTTCTCTACCTAATCTTTTCTTCCCTGCATCTATGGTCTGTGATGGTTCCTCTTTGAGATAGACATAAAAAGTATGCATCCATATTGATATACAGTAACAGGGCATGATTGACACTGTAAGATACTTGTTGAAATACCATGTAAAGTTGATTTTCAGTTAAGAACTATTGATGTTGTCAACTGTCTCCTCATTAACAATTCTTAACAGTCGTCCTAATGTTTGACAATTATCTCTTTAATGTCTTTTCACTCATTCATTGTTATTGATTATGTTTTGCTGATTCAGGAAATTCTCACGGCAAGAATATGTGAAGAAAAGGGAACAGAAGAAACTGGAAGAGCTGAAGTACATGACTTTTAAGAGTTATTTGGAATTTCTGTACCTATTTTACTGTTGATCCTAAATTGACTTCTCCTTTCTCCTCTTTTCTTACAGGGATGATTTAGAAGATGAACAATACCTTTTTGGAGATGAAAAGCTCACTGAAACAGAAATTCGTGAATTTAGGTAATTTAGACATCTAGTGCACCAAGATGGAGCTTGGTTGCTTTGGTGATTATAAAAAGTCACAGTAGTGGCTTACTTTTGGACTTTTTTGTTACAATCTGAAGCTGTGGTATTATTCTGATTTGCTAGGATTTGTTAATTATTGGCTAATATAATTGAGCATTGGTCGATCTGATATCTTGACAGATACAAGAAAGAAATCTATGAGCTCATAAAGAGAAGTGCACAAGAAGAAGATAATGTAGGAGAGGTTATTGCATCTTACTGAACCCTTCTTAAGTTTTTGGCTCTTTTTTAGAATGCTTCAAATGTTCTTAATGATTTTGGTTTTCCTTCGTCTGAATTATATGTACTTATCTCTTTCTTTCCAACCTCGTTGGAGTACAGTATAGAATGCCGGATGCATATGATCAACAGGGAAGTGTTGATCAGGAGAAGAGATTCGCTGTTTCTGTACAAAGGTACAGGTGAGATGAGAAAGAATGCATAACATTCTACTTTGCTTACACTTTAAAGATCGCTCTTCTTCGTGTTGTAAAAGGCTTACGGATGTTCTAAATTATCTTATTTGATTAGGGACATGGGTTCCGCGGAGAAAATGAACCCCTTTGCAGAGCAAGAAGCTTGGGAGGACCATCAGATTGGTAGTTTTCTGTTTCGCGCTTTTACCATTGACCAATCTTGTTTTAAATGCATGCTCTTTTTAAATGACATCATGTGTGATATTTACTAAATGACATTTTCATGCAGAAAACGCAACATTAAAATTTGGTGCAAAGAATAAGGAGGTCTCAGACAATTACGAGTAAGATTTGTTACTTTTTTGTTCTAGTCGTGTTATATTTTAATTTCAAATTTTACGTTCGACTGATTATCCTTGCTATCTTTTTGACCATGAATATATAATTACTTTTGCAGGTTTGTATTTGAAGACCAAATAGACTTCATAAAGGCATCTGTGTTGGCTGGTGATAATGTATTGACTATGATACCTATTAGGTCTGTAATATTTCTTTTTATGCACTGAGTTTTAGCTGACTACTCGTTTTTTTCATTACAGTATGAAGATGAAATGCATGTTAAACCATCTCAAGATTCTGCTAAGAAATCGGCTTTTCATATGCTTCAGGTTTTCCTCTTTCTCAACGACTGGAGCCCTGTTTAGATGTTTCCTTGCCATATAAACATCTGAATAATTGTATGTTTTCATGTTTGAAGTTTTCCCTGGCAAAAGTTGATAAATTTTCTGACATGTTTTTATGTAATTCGTTAATTAATCAGGAGGATAGAAAAGCTCTGCCAATTTATTCATATCGTGATCGACTTCTTAATGCTGTGAAAGATCATCAGGTGATTCTTCCTTTCATGTCACTTGTTTTTTGTTTAAGTTATTGATTCTTACTCTCAAATTTCTAAGGAAAGTTGTACATTTATAAAATCATTTTGTCACGTACGAGAGAAGCTTTCCCTAGCAGTCCGTACAGACCAAATTTCATCCTGACATAGCATTTGAGTGTATGACATAGAATTAAATAAGAAAAAGTACTTTGACAAGAGAACATGTATGAGAAAAGCTAGCATATCTTCTTGATGTGGATTAAAAAATTTCATTATGAAAATGTGCATATATTTTTTCTTTTATTTGAATAACGATTTCTTCTGTTACATGTATGATTCAAACCCTTTTCCCTCATTTTTAACTGACCAGGTTCTTATCATTGTGGGGGAAACGGGTTCTGGCAAGACTACACAGATACCCCAATATCTTCACGAAGCTGGTTACACAAAGCATGGAAAGGTACACGACCTTAATTGAAGCACATAATCAAATGAATGATTTGCCTTTAAAGCATAAAAGAGGATTTTTTTTTTATTTTTTTTTTCATAAAAGAGGAATTTAAATGTCATCAATAAATTTATGTGTTATTTATTTCGTAGTTGAGAGCTTTAGCATGTCAAAGTTGCCACAAGCAATTATAGCACATTTATTGAAGTTTTCTGCTTTTCAGAACCTAGCTTATTAGAGGTTCACGAGGACTGCCTTTGTGCATAATCTTTGTGGCCAGATGGTTTGGAAAGTATAAAAAACAAAAAAGGCAGACGTTATGTAAAGCATAAACAGTTACTTAGAACCCTAATTATTTTTTGTCATACGGCAGGTTGGTTGTACGCAGCCTCGAAGAGTTGCGGCTATGAGTGTGGCTGCTCGTGTTGCTCAAGAGATGGGTGGTAAACTTGGGCATGAGGTATGTTTTTTGTTTGTTTATATTAAGGTTTTTCCTTGTGGCAATTGTTTGTTACACAATTTCTGCGTATACACTGCAAGAAACTTAAGCTTCGATGGTGCTTGTCACAGGTCGGCTATTCAATTCGATTTGAGGATTGTACGTCTGAGAAAACAATTCTGAAGTATATGACTGATGGAATGCTTTTGCGTGAGTTGCTTGGTGAGCCAGATCTGGGCAGTTACAGGTAATCAACATACCTAGCCAATTTGTGTTAGCATGGGCCATGTGAAATATTATTTGCCTACTAATAGCTGAACCTTTCAGTGTTATCATCGTGGATGAAGCGCATGAAAGAACTTTGCACACTGACATACTATTTGGATTAGTTAAGGCAAGTAGATACCTAGCTATCTTTTTACTTTATTCAGTTAGAGTTAGATCTGTGGATATGTTCTGATTCTCTCTTCTTATGGCAGGATATAGCACGGGCTCGGCCTGATCTGAAGTTATTGATATCCAGTGCAACCATGGATGCAGAGAAGTTTTCTGATTTTTTTGACCAAGCCCCTATCTTCAGTTTCCCAGGAAGAAGGTATCCTGTTGACATTTGCTTTACTACTGCACCTGAAGCTGATTACATGGACGCAGCAATAGCTACTGTGCTTACGATACATGTGAAGGAGCCACTTGGGGATGTTTTGGTCTTCCTCCCAGGTCAAGAGGAAATTGAGGCCGTAGAAGAGAACTTGAAGCACAAGATTAGAGGTTTGGGTACAAAGATCCGCGAACTCATTATATGCCCAATTTACGCTAACCTTCCAAGTGAGCTCCAAGCAAAAATATTTGAACCAACTCCTGAAGGGGCACGAAAAGTGGTGCTAGCGACGAATATTGCTGAAACATCATTGACCATCGATGGTATAAAGTATGTCGTTGATCCAGGCTTTAGCAAGATGAAATCCTATAACCCTAGAACAGGGATGGAATCTTTGCTTGTAACGCCTATCTCTAAGGCTTCAGCGACTCAACGAGCTGGTCGAGCTGGAAGAACCAGTCCAGGGAAGTGTTACCGCTTGTACACAGCGTATAATTACTACAATGACTTGGAGGACAATACCGTACCAGAAATACAAAGGACTAATCTTGCTAGTGTGGTGCTTTCTTTGAAGAGTCTTGGTATTCATAATCTGCTGAACTTTGACTTTATGGACCCTCCGCCCTCTGAAGCTCTTATAAAGTCCTTAGAGCTTCTCTTTGCTCTGGGTGCTCTCAATCAGCTCGGCGAATTGACTAAAGCTGGTAGACGGATGGCAGAGTTTCCCCTTGATCCAATGTTGTCGAAGATGATTGTTGTTTCTGACAAATACAAATGCTCCGATGAGATCATATCAATTGCTGCTATGTTGTCCATCGGGCCTTCTATCTTTTACCGTCCCAAGGACAAGCAGGTTCATGCTGACAATGCAATGATGAATTTTCACGTTGGAAATGTCGGTGATCACATTGCTTTGCTCAAGGTCTGTACATTTCTCCCCTACTCGTTTTTTTCTATTGCAATCTTACTGTTTATTGATATGTTTCTTTGTTTTCTGCAAGATTTACAATTCCTGGAAGGAAACGAACTACTCAACACAATGGTGCTACGAGAACTATATTCAGGTATATATGTATATATATCATCATCCTCTGTTGTTATTATCTGGTTTTAGTTGTAACACTGGTTTTGAATCCTTTGCGTATAGGTTCGGAGTATGAAAAGAGCCAGAGATATCCGTGATCAGTTGGAGGGTCTTCTTGAGAGAGTTGAAATAGATGTTAGCTCAAACGCGAACGAGTTGGATTCAATAAGAAAATCCATAGTAGCTGGTAAATTTCTTAATCTCCAGTTCATAAAAAGCTATATTTGTTGTTGCTAAAGAAGTTGTATACTTATGCTCAGGTTTCTTTCCACACACTGCCAAACTACAGAAGAATGGATCATATCGAACAGTGAAGCATCCCCAAACCGTACACATACATCCAGCCTCTGGCTTATCTCAGGTTTAGTTTAATTCTCACTCATTGAAAACATATAACTAAAAATCGAGAAATCTTCTGATGAATCCTTCTCCGATAATATTGTTAGGTACTGCCGAGATGGGTTGTATATCATCAACTAGTCCTTACCTCTAAGGAATACATGCGACAGGTAAAATTCTGTTTTTTAACTTTGTAAACCACATTTCGATCTTTCTGAACCAAAGCCTTGTTTGGGTTGATTTCTTCTGTTTTCATTCATCGGGTTTTGTTCCTTTACCTTGGAAAATGCAGTTAACAGAGTTAAAACCTGAGTGGTTGATTGAGATAGCGCCACACTATTATCAGCTCAAGGACGTTGAAGATGGTAATACTGTGCTTTCTCTTCATCTAATCATTTCTTGGTTCTTTGAATCATCTAATCGATCTCTAATCTCTAAGACCAAATCATCTCACTGCCTATGTTTCTTTTTGCAGCTACATCCAAGAAAATGCCCAAAACCAGTGGCCGAGCTGTGGTGTAGCAACTTTGATCAAAGGATGATGTGAGAATGATAGATTTTTTTTGCTAAATTGTTGATTTGCATATAACCCTCTCTAATTAACTTAGATATTTGAATTAATAGAAGAGTATTAACAGTTGGATCCTGGTGTGAGTTAAAACAGCATGCCGTTTTCAGTTGGTTAGAAAACAGCATGCTGTCCGGCTCTAGATAAGTTAAACAACATACTTCCTGCATAGTGGAAACGGTATACAAAATTACAAACACACAAGTAAACAAAACTAGATGATGATTTTGAGATTTTTCTACAAAACTCAACTGAGATTTATATGACTTAGAACAATATGATTTTTCGAACATTAGAATTGCATATTCAAGAACTCCTAGCAATATGTGCTTATCTAGTTTTCTAAAAGCAAATAGTCTTATTTTCACTTAAGATATTTATTTTCCTGTATGAATAAAAAATATCAGTTCACAAACCAGTAACTGAAGTTTTTCCTCTTAATAAGTTACATATTACATAATTACTAGTTGTTGCTTATCTCACGTTTAGTCTAATTCTCAGTCACTGAAAACATATAAACTAAAAAAATCGAGGAATCTTGAAATGGTTGATACTGATGAAATGATATATATATAACACATAAAACAAACAAAAATACTTTGACCTTCTAAATTTCACATAATAACGCCTAATTGATCAAATTCCAAACAAAAACAACCAATTTGTATATACATCAAACCATACTTTATATAATAAGATGTTCTAATTATGAGGTTATTTTTTTTATTTCCTTATATTGTTCATAACTTTTTAATTGAATTTTGTAGGATATTGCCGCCCCGTTTGTCTCTGTTAAGATACGAGAGTATCAATTGTAGTCTTGTAATAATAAGTTGTAACAAAACACGATCCGAACGGAATCAGACCGGGTCATCCCATGATTTGCATGTTTTTACACGAACAAATTACCAAAATACCTTATTTTGTTTTAAGTAACTGATGTAAGTGGGCACTTCATGTAATAATGTCCAACTAAAATATTTTTTTACTCCAAAATATTTCCCTTTCAATAGTATAGATATGAGACTTATAGTATATTTTTATATCCCTTAAATGTAAATAAATTTAAAAAGTAATTCAAAAGTTTAAAATTAAAAGAAGCCACGTTGTGATTTGTAATAACCGCACTTTTTTTCTTTCTTTCTTCTCTTGCTCGTCGCAATCGCCGTCTCTCTCAGCCTTTTCTTCCACAAGATGAAACCGGTTTTGTTAAAGAAGAAGGTGAAGGGGAGTCGAAGCGATCGGACGAAGAAGGTGGGAGTGGTGCTCTGCGATTTCTGCGGCAGAAAGAGGTAGACCTCACAATCTAGGGTTCCTCTGTTTTCTAGGGTTAGCTATTTACAGGGCAGTTAGACCTCAGAATCTGACTAAATAGATTATCCTCTAGGTTCTAAGCATGATTCTCCTCTAGTCCTCCAACAGTTTAACCTAAAACATGACTTGTTCGATCTATTTCCAGACACGACCACAAACAAGGACATGATGATGATGATTCACTGGTTTGTATATATCCTCTACTCTTTTTAAGTCGCGAACCTTTTTTATATTTATCTCACATAATTGTTCTTACCCTACCTAGTCTATGGAGAGCGAGCTCAAGATATTACGGCTTTTGAATAGGTATATATATAGCTCATTCATTCACTTGTTGTTTCTTTCCACTGCTTCTCATCATATTAGCTCTGATCCCCTCCCAGGAGAATGAGTGGTAAGGATTTAGAAGGTCTGAGTTTCGCTGAGTTTAAAAAACTGAAAACCCATCTGGAGGAATCCACGCTCGTTGTGGAAGAGGAGATGTCAAAGCGGCAAGTCATTGTGGAAGAGGATATGTCAAAGCGGCCTCACCTGCTCAAAAACAAGAGGGAGGGAGGGGATGTTGAAGCTATGATGACAAGCTCTAGAGAGAAACAGGATGATGCACAGTCGCGACTGCAGGTAGCATACGAGAGGCAAAGAGCTGAATCCCCGCAGAGCGAGTTGGAGAGATTATGGCTGTGGAAGGAGTAATAAAACTTTTCACTTTGGTTGCTCGCTCATGTTTTTTTACTTTATTTGGTTGCTCATGTTTTCCTTTGAATTCTTTCTCACAGGAGAATGAGTTGTAGAGGGCTGGGCGATATGACTTTCTCCGAGCTGTGTCTACTGCAAACTCAAATGTGGCAGGGATTGATTCGAATGATGTCTTTTTCTCCCCTCTGATTAATCCATTTTTAGTTTGACTTCATTTTTTGTTATTGTCTAGTTTCGGACTCAAGTCTCTGTCTCCTTAGTTTGATTATGTCGGATTTTGTTATAATCTTTTCATTTATGGGTAGTTTAACTCTGAACCGTGTAATGTCAATACACACAAGTCAAAATTAATCTGGCTCATCACAAAGTCAATGCTCCGTTGACTTATCTACTCCCTTCTTCTCTTCTTGCTTTCCATGTCTTAACAAATTATGTAAAGTTTTTAAGTCCGGCATGAAATAGAAAGATCTGACAAATGGTTTCTGTTAAAATACAATCATAACGGACATAGCCTAACCGTAAAAAGTTCGTATTGGGATTTGGCTTCTTGAATACAAAGTGAAGTGAACAATAGCACCACAAGCCAACCTTTTTGCCTGGAGGCCAAACTAGTAAAACATTCTTGCAGAACAATGAGCAGGACGCCGAGAAAACTGCAACCCCTTGTGCAAAGAGATATAGTACTATTCAGAACGAACCATTGCCACTGACTAGTAGTATCTGAGTGCAGCACATGCTCAGAGAAGGTATTAAATCTGCAAGGAAAAACAGTATTGCAGAGATATATCCGTTAAGTGTACATGGTGATTTTCCTGATTTGTAGCAGCAAGCCAGCAACATGTGTCATCCTTGAATGAGAACAACGTCTACATAAACCATGTCCATGTGAGTATGTGACAAAGAAAACGGATTTAAAGAGGCGAGAAATGAGAGATTTGATAGTAATGTCATAAAGATACTCAAACCTAAACATAATACACTCTCCTTAACATAATAAGCAAATACACTCTCCTTAACATAATAAGCAAATAGAAGACTCTCTGTCAAGATAGAAGCAAATAGAAGACTCTCTGTCAAGATAGAAGCTGCCAGCCACTTAGTGAGAGACTTTCTCCTTCTTGGCCAAACGAACAGATCTCCTCAGTTCCTTGTTCTCATCAGTAATAGGCTTACCATAAATCTTCACTACATTCTTGCCCTGCTCTGCCTTGCAAAGTTGTTCCTCTAGTGGTCTTGTCATTTGCTCCGATAAACTCATCAAAGCGTAAGTTATCTGAGAATCAAGCTGGACCACGTCATGGTAGCAGCTCATACTCTCGATACCTCTACCGTTCATTCTCCTGTGATGGTGACAAAAAACAAAAATTAAACCCAAATGAAAAAGCATAGACTGTTAGAAGGAATAAGAGCAAGAATTATGCTTATTACTCGTTGTAAATCCTTAATCTCTCGAACTCGCTCTGCAAGGATTCAGATTTTCGTCTCTCGAATTCCCTCTCCATTTTCAGCTGCAAGAATTAATAACAGAATCTGAGGCAAGAAGAAGGAGAGGACCAGAAGAGAGTATAAATTCACGCACCAGTTCTTTATCCTCTCTTTGTTCAGAGCTATATACAGAAGAGAAAGTTCAAATTGGTATAGTGATACAAAAAAAAAGCAAGATATCAATCATAACTGCAGCAAGACAGGTAGAGCACTTTTTGATCTGATTTTGGTTTACAAGTCATAAAACAAGATCGAGGTTTCATATCTGATTTACACAAGCACTAATTCAACAAAAGAAAACCCTCTATTTGTTCGTTTTACCTGCTAGTAGAGGGAACCGGAATACTCGTAGCAACACCCTCAGCTTTATTCTTCTTCTGCAAAATCATGGTAGGTAGACTGGAAAGGGTAAACCTAACTGAACTAGCTAATTTTATGAGTTAAAAAAACTTTACCTGTTTGCTTTCAACTTGGTCTGGTGGCATTATCTTATCCTGGAATAGTCAAACAAAATGTTACAGCATTTTCAATAATAGGAGAAGGAAGTCCCTGAATGAAGTTTCCTCACCATTTGGTCCTCCACAATGCGCTTGACATTCTCGAGATGACTTGTAAGTGCTTGCAGCTCAGTGAAGCTCGCATCGTCGTCTCTACCAGTCATCCTCCTGATCAGGGATCGTAATCTCACAACTTCTTTCCGCAGCTGCAAGCAAGAACATAGAGGCAGGTATATAGAAATTCATATAATTGTTGTGAAAAGAGGATACAAGGAAGGAAGTGAGATATACATACATACCACTGTTTCTTCATTGTCGTCTTGATCCTGTAGACTTTGTTCAAATCCGTATCTGGAAAAAGGTTAAAGACGGTCTTAAGCTTATCCCAATTAGGAGAGTTTAGTCTAAAATCATTCGTGATTATCCTTTCCAGGAACATAAGAATCGAATTTTGTGATTACGGTGAGATCTACCTGCTGCTGGAGAATTCGCAGAAATTGCATGGCACTCTCGTCTTCTTCTTCATGATATCTTTTCCCTTCCTCTTTAGCTTCATCTTAACCCTATCTCTCACCACTATGTAGCCACGTTCTGTAATGTCACTTCCTTTTTGCCTTTTATTTTCTTTTAAATTTGGCCCAAATCCAATTTTTTTACTCATTCAGGCCCAAACACCTTTGCTGAAAGCCTGAAACCCTTCAGTTCGGTTGGGTTTCAGAAATCTCTATACAACAATCAGGCTTACGTAGTTTCCTCCAAATAATGATAAGAATATGAGATGGTTCATATGATTTAATCGAGGAACTGAAAGATATAAGTATAACAATCTACGCTAATGATATAATTATCGTTACATTGAATGTTTTGTGGATTTTTGTGGGTTTCGGACCTGGGATTACGGGTTTTAGCCCAGAACCTCTTAGTATTAAAAAAAAAAAAAAAAAAAAACTTAACCATCTAGCTATTAGCTATAATAATCAAACTACCCTAAACCAAACAAGTACGCTCTCTAATAAAAACACTTCTTTAGTTTCGTTCAAGAGAGAATCTAAAACAATTTCAGAGTAAAAGAAAACAGTACTTGAAGCTGGAAAAGAACCTTCTTAAAAACTGATGAGTAGAGGAGAAGAACAAGACTGACGCTTGGAGGTGAAAATGGATCTGTGGTTTTGGACTAAGGATGAGTATATTTTTTTTGAACATTAGATGAATATTAATGATATATTATTCCAATTTGGAAAGTGTAGTCTTATTTTCACTTAACATATTTATTTTCCTGTATGAATAAATATATCAGTTCACAAAACCAGTAACTGAAGGTTTTCCCCCGATTAAGAATTAAGAAACTTTTGGAACCAAGTTCAACTTGATATAAAAGAAGAACAGTCGGTGAAAAAGAAAGCCACAAAAGAAAAGAATATTTATAAGATTTTTTTTTTCCCCAGGAGGAAAATGTTCTATGTATTACCCTTTTGTCCCCACCCCCCAAATTACATATCCTTTTTTTTTTGTTTTTGTTTTTGGTTTCACCTCTATTCCAATCCCTACCCTATTCAACAAAGAAACAAAATATAAACCCCCCACCTAATCTGACCCAAAATTCCTACAGAAACATGAGAAAAGGAAAATTAAAAGCAAGAGAACTTGGCACCCTTTTGATCTTTTGCTGCATTAAGTCAAAAGAGGCTAATCTATAAGGAGAGTTTTTATCTGTTGTCTTCAAATTGTGCTTTTTGGCCTCAAAGGTACTTTCCTGATGACTTCCAGATCCTACTTCCTCCAAGTGCTATCACTAATACAGTGCAATCGTCGTGATACTTTCTTCTATCTCCTTGCGGGATATCGAGAAGTTCATGAAAATCCATTCCTGTTTTTATTTTAAAACAATCAATCACCAAACCATATCGCACAGATATTCAGTTGTGTATTAAAAAAAAGGAAGTTTTATCTACCAGCTTTCTTGGCTGCACGGACTAAAAGTTCCTGTATAACATGTTGAGCAGGATCTCCATCTGGAAACTTCTCCATGGCAAGAGAAACAACTTCCCTATTGCTCAAGTATTGGTACAATCCATCAGATGAGAGAACCATAAACTGATCATTCTCTGTTAGCCGGTAGTGACGAAGGGAAGGTGTGCATGATATGTATGGATCCGTACCAATGTATTCGTTTCGAAACATTTCCAGCAAAGCATCGTTCAATTTTGGCTGCAAATTCACTTTCTTTATGAGAATTACGGAATTATGGATATTTCGATTATAAGGTGAAGATATTATTGCCTAACCTGCTTTAAGAATCCCGCTCCAAACGCTCTGGTCACCTTAAGCCGTCCTTTCACCCTGTCATTCACTATGCAATGGTTGTCATCCGGGTGCTCGTTTTTTATTCTTGTTACTTCCTGAGTTCATCAATGGAAATTATCATGTAACAAAAACATTGCGAGAAGCAATTATGATCTAACCAAACATTAGCAAAAGGAGCCTGAACTGATCCTAAGTATCCTACAAATGCGGATAAGATGGGGTAATGCAGAAGCAATAATCTTGTCAAGAGCACTCCAAAACTACTTAACAGATTAGACTGTATATTCCTAGATAACCAGAGACCAAGCAACTGCAAAAAAAGATGGAGAGAGTTTCGCAAGGTCAAACTTACATCCTCGATGCTCGTGCTGTGATCTGTTGTTAGCTGCAGAGCAACCAGTTTCGTTTGCGGCAGAGGAGCTTCGTTGTTCACTGTACTATCGCTACTATCCACAACCAAAGGCTCTTTGTTTTCAACGTCTCTGTCTACATCATTGCGTCTTTCTTCTACTCTTTCTGATGTCTCCACATTCGCACCCGTTTCTTCAACCTGATATTGTGCAACAAGAGCCCTACTATCCCCTATGTTCATTATATACACATCATCATCTCTCATCAGTGCAACCAGTAAGCACGAACCCATCAATGCAAGCTCGGGATTGGTGTCAAGAACTTTATCAGTCATTTCTAGGAATGCTTGCTCTGTGGCTTCAAGACCATTTGACATTGCCTTTAGAACCAACTCATGATCAACCGCACCCGCCTTTCGTCTCTTCCTCCTCTTATCAACCCGTTCTTCTACTCCAACATTATCTACCTCCTCATTTTCATTCTCCTCCACACCAGACTTCCATGGGAACAACTTCCTCCCAGAAATTCCTTGTTTCGATAAACCCTGCTTCAATTTTGACAACAGCAACCATCTTTTACTCCCCACAGACGCGGCATTGCCTGCACTGATAGCATCATCCACTGAGAATGCAAACCTATCAGAACCTGATAGATCTAAAGCATCCTCTGCTTGAGCCTCTGCAAGAAGCTCCCATAATCGTTTCCTCTCCTTGACTTCCACCACCTCTAATGAAGAAGAGGTCAATCTCTTTCCCATCTCGTCTTCTTCCTTCTCTGTTGCTGGACAGCTCGAACTTGCCATTTCGTCGACTTGAGCCTCAACTTTACCTCGTTGCCCTAACTCATTAGGAACCGTTGGATTATCATCTTCTTCATCCAATTCCCAGAACAAACCTTGTAACTCACTGTGAACAGCACGGTAGAGATTAGCCATCAAAAACTCCGGCGCGTCGGGTCCGTTGAAACCGTCGTAGATTCCAGCGAAAAGCCATCCTTGCTTCTCAAAAACAGCTAATTGCACTCTGTCCTCTCCTGCCTTCCCCAATGCCCACTGCAAATCGTTCTCTCCGGAAGATGCTGCCATGGCTTCGACGTCGGGTCTCACAATGTTCTCTTTCTTAGCACCGACGACGAAATTCGACACCGGAAGAACCCATGGCCGTTGCTTCTTTTCCCCACCGAAAATCGGATGCCAGGAAAGGCTCTTCTTCTTCTTCTTCCGTCTCTTCTTCGAGTATACACCACCGAGCGGCGCCGAGAAATGCACGCCGGCGGAATTAGATCTCGAAATCGCTCCGGCCGACGGGTCTAAGGGACCTGAAGTGGCTCCTCTTTCGATGGGACCCGACATGAAGAGACCCGACCGATCCGGACCAGGCTGAAGCGGAAGAGCACTAAACGACGACGTTCCCTCAAAGCCATTGGCATTGACAACACTGCTCCGAACGCCGCCGCCGAAGCTGCTCTCAGTGGCATCGTCGTAAATATCTTCAAGCTGAAGGACAGTTTTGGAATTCGAAGTGTTGGCGCTAACAGAAGCACCAGAAATCGCTCTAAACCCGGTGTGAAGCTGCTCGGATGATCCGGAACCTCGGATCCGACCCGGTTCATGCGGAGGAGATAACCGGAAAGAACCAGAAGGAGAAACGAATCGATCGGAAGGAAACGGAGAAATGAAGCGATTAGAAGAAGGAACGTAACAGTAAGAATGGCCTAAAGTCTCATCCAACGGCTCACAGAGAGACTCAATCGGATTGGAATGAGTGGGATTCGCCGTCGATGAGTGACGACGGCGGTTACGGTGACCTTGATTGAAGCAAGGTAAGACGGAGGAGAATCCACTTCCCATCACATTTGATTATCTAACACTCTTTTTTTTTTTTTTTCTTTTGCAGATTGCCGGAGAAAATCTTTCTAAGAGAAGACAAAAAATTTCTCGGCGATTTTGAATTTGGGAGGTGAAAAGAAAAAAAAATTGAAAGAGAGAAAAAGAGAGAGCGAGAGAGACTTTTGTCGTCTTTCTTTGGGATTTAAATATGTTTTCTTTTTAAGCTGAGCGACTTTAGTGGTTTTGAATTAGCAGATACATTGACTCTTTTTTTTAACCTTTTTTTTTTTCTTCGCTTTTTCTTTGCTCGATTACATAAATACCATCAACATTCTCTCTTAATTACAAATTACCCTTGTAATATTCTTAACCCCTTTTTAAACTAAGCCAATTATATTATATGAAATATGTGACAAAATAAAAAGTAATATTTCCATCCCTTATATATTATAAAAAGTCTTAGAGGTTTCTTGTGTTTCAATTTTTCAAAATAATTTTATATCAAATTTAGTTTTAGTTTAATGTTTTGTAAAATTATATTGTGTTTTCACTATTCGTTGAATTTAATTTTTTGATATTTTCGGTAAAATAATTAATTTTTGTGTTCTAATCTGAAATATATATTTTTTTTTAAATGAGAGAAAGAGAGAGATATTTAAAAAAATCAACTTGCTCGCCATATAATCAGTGATATTACAGTAAACTATACAAATATAGACAATAGTGCTCGTTTTCTGTCGATCACAGTTACTTCTAGACTCTTTAGTTTATAAAATCATAAAGTCGAGCTTAGGAATTATTTTTGACTTTAGTAATCAACTTGCTATAATTAGAAATTTAGAATAAACTCGATGTGTTCACATTATTAACTTTTTTATACCACGAGACATCGCGTTAATAAAGTTCTGAACTAATAATTACTTGGATCAATAGAATACAGATTTTATTTTTCTATTATAGAACTAAAAATTAATCTGAAGAAAAGAATCTCTTTTCGAAAAATTATTCATCACTTTTTTTTTTTGGTCATAGAGGAGAAAATAAAAAGGAAAAAGAAAAGGGGAAGGGTCAAAATGGGGAAATCGAGGCTCGGATTTAAAGGATTCTTGTATTAACAAAGCTTTTTGTCATTTGCTTTGTTCGCGCTCATCGGGCTCTGGGACATTGAGAAATGGACATTTATACCCTTCGTGTTTTTTTTTTTCATCTAGCAGAAAATTACAAGATAAATACCCAAAATAATTAAAAGTTATGAAACCAAATACTTACTAACAAACTAGTTAAATAAAATAGAGTTATTAAAAATAATTATCATAATAACAATATGAAAATTTGAACATTATAATTTTAAATACATCAATCTACAATACATGAATGTTTTAGCGTTTTTGATCATATAATTTACCCATACGCTAAGTATTTTGGTAAATCCTTCACGTTACAATATATTCCATCAACTTCTGTCATATTTATCAAAATATTATTTTCAATACACTAAATTATTTCCATTATAATGATGTGTTCTAAAAATACTAAGCCAATTTCAATGAGGGCAATTCCCACAAATAAATTCACCAAAATTAATGTTATTATTTACAATCGTTATTTTAAGGTATAACGCATATGAGTACACATACTTTTATGGCAATTTTCAAACGCAATTCCTTTTTTTATGTCAGTCAGCATACGTTACATTCATTGTTTTTGCATCGAAGTTTTGGTTGTACATCGTTGAATATATCATTGTATATTTGTCATTTTATAAACAAATCACGTTGAAGACCTGAATATATGTTGTTAATAAAAGTTACGTTACTTAGAAAAGAAAAAAAAAAAAAAAAAAAAGACTGACCCATATCACAGACCAAATACTTTTACAACTAATAAAATTGTAATATTGTACTTATAACCGTTACTTTAAGATATAACACATATTTTTACGACAATTATCAAACGAATTTTTTGTTTTGTCGGTCCGCATACGTTACATTGTTTTTTAGCATCCAAATTTTGGTTTTATGTCGTTAAATATATCATTGTATATCTCGTCACTTTTATTAACAAATCATGTTTAAGACATGACATGTTGTTAATAAAAATTATGTTTCTTAGAAAAAGAAAAGGAAGAGATCGATAATATCACAGTCCAAATACATTTACAACTAATAAAATTGTAAATATTGTATTTACAACCGTTACTTTAAGATATCACATACTTTTACGGCAATTGTCAAATGTAATTCACTTTTTCGTGTCAGTCTGCATACGTTACATTTTGTTGTTTAGCATCCAAATTTTGGTTTTACGTCGTTATATATATCATTGTATATCTCGTCACTTTTATTAATGAACAAATCACGTTAAAGACATGACATGTTGTTAATAAAAATTTACGTTTCTTCGGAAAAAAGAGGGAAGAGATTGATAATATCACAGTCCAAATACGTTTACAACTAATAAAATTATAAATACTGTATTTACAACCGTTACTTTAAGATATAGCACATACTTTTATGGCAATTGTCAAACGTAATTCACATTTTTGTGTCAGTCCGCATACGTTACATATTGTTGTTTAGCATCCAAATTTTGGTTTTATATCATTAAATATATCATTGTATATCTCATCACTTTTATTAACAAATCACGTTTAAGACATGACATGTTGTTAATAAAAATTATGTTTCTTAGAAAAAAAGAAAAGAAAAAAAGAGACCAATAATATCATAGTCCAAATACATTTACACCTACTAAATTGTAAATATTGTATTTACAACCGTTACTTTAAGATATAACACATATAAGTACACGTACTTTTATGGCAATTTTTAAACACAATTCATTTTTTGTGTCAACCGACATACGTTACATATTGTTGTTTTGCATCCAAATTTGGTTTTATGTCGCTAAATATATTGTTGTATATCTCGTCATTTTTATTTTAAAATTTGATAAATCGAAGAGAGGGAGAGTAAGAACACAAATGTGTTATGAATAATTATAGTTGATTCTTTCTCATAAAAATAATTGTGAAAGTTACATTCGTTTATATAGAGAGAAAAACTAAACCTAATTTCCTAATTAAGATAAACAAAAGTATAAATAATATTTTTAGAGATAAACTTAAATTTCTTAAACTTAGATATTGATATATTTTACGATATTTTCATAGCTAAATCTAGATCGTAGTTCATAATCTCGGTTGATTTTTAGAAAATCACATTTAAGACATGACATATTGTTAATTTAAATTACGTTAAAAAGAAAAAGAAAAAAGCTATTCCATATCACAATCCAAATTCATTTACAACTAATAAAATAGTAGAAACTTTATTTACTGGTTTTTGGCAAATCTTTAAGAAAAAATAACTCTTTCACAATTTTCTTTTCTAATAGCAATTGTATTTTTGGCATTTAGGATATACTAATCTGGTTTGTAAAATCTTGGTATTTGGAATTGGACATATTAGAATCCTAAGCTTTGTCATTTATTTAGTAGCACGCATAAATATCATAACTAAAAGTCATTATATATTCATTTCACTTTGTCTTTCTCTGAATACAATATTCAAAAAACGTATTAGTTTTTACCGTTGTTTCTCGTTTGCTAAATATAATGCAAAATTTTAACAAATTCACTTCAAACTACAATAATTTCTATTTTCTATTTATTTAATTTTTGTAATTTGAGAGATTTTATTACATCGTTAAGCTTGCCAACCAATACCACATATTGTAATCATTCCACAAGATTAGAGTCAATAACACAGTAAAAAGGAATAAATTTATATAAAAAAAAAAGTTTTACTAAAATATCTGCACAACTGTTGTTTTATCATCTATTAAATCAGAACCGTTACCAAGTTACCTCAATACTTCTCTTATATGATGACAAAGAGTCCAACCAATTTCACAATCGTTCAAATTGAGAACTGTCTAGGTGTTGTTTTTGGTGAGAGTTAAATTGGGAGCTGTCTAGGTGATGTTTTTGGTGAGAGTTAATTACAACAAAATGTCAAAGGATCGCAACCTCTCACTGTCTCACCACTATATTTGGAATTGGAAATTAACCGTGATTTGGATGACTTGATTTTAAAACAAATTATTTTAAATTAGTTTGGATGACCTAGTTCAGATGATCCAAATAGTGACGGAATAACCTGTTTTCTCTATTTTATTAAAAGAATTTTAGTTTAAACCATCACAATACTATTTAGCTCATCATAGATTTAGAATCTGTTTGGCTAAGATTAACTTTGTAACTATTTTCATTTTGACTGGAACAATCAATTAATATACTTTCAAAATAGATTAAGAAAAAAAAAACCAAATAAGTTTTATATAATCTTTTACGGCTGCGACGACTTATAACAATGTTATAAAATCGCAAAAATAGATGTTTGCTCACGAATAAAAGAGTTCCGTGTAATCATGCCAGTCTATGATTATGGAAAGGTCACGGTCTCTGATTTCTCTAAATGAAAACTGTTTTTTAGTTAGATGAAAATTAGTCGTATCAAATGGTGACTTAACTAAGATTAGGCAACGTAGGGTCCACGAGAGGGGAAGATCAAATAAAAAATAGTCAACGAGGTTTTGACAACTGGGACCTACCTCGTAGACTCCTTCGCTGAAACGACGTCATACTTGTCGGATTCCCTTTCCCGCTAAGACTTCTTGTCTTGTCCCCCTTTGCCTTAAATTATTATTTTATGTCTATGGAGTATTACTTTTATACTCTTTTTTTTGTTCATCAAGTAAGATTTCAGGCTTTTGTTTTCGATTTAGGTTACACATATTCAAACTTATCTATATATACATCAGAATCCAAATTAAAGTAATTTGATCATGTTTTTGCTAATGTTGTCATATACCTTTAGACATGTACATATTTCATTGGAAAATTACTGAAATTATTGTTTTGTCTCTCATGCGATAGGAAAACATTTTATCACACTTACCTTTCAAATTATACCCAAAAATATGTCAATTTTATTATATACATTATCTTGTAGATAACCGAGAAGTTTGACATTTCCTTAAAACGTTACGTGCCGTCAAGAATTGGCAAAGCCACTCCCAACTACTCACAAATCACAATCCATAAGTCATAGCCAATATAACCCTTTATGAAATACAAATGTTTATTATTCCGGAAAATGCAGTATTTAAATACTATAATGTCATACCACGAAAATAACTTACTTTCTAGCTATATTTTTTCTTCACCAAATCTGTAAAAAGCAAAAGTGATTTGAATTTAAATCAGAAACGCGTATTATAGATTGTGTATATTTGTAAGTTAAAGGGCATACATACCTTTTTAATGCTATTTTAGTATTAATCTTAATTTCATACTTCATAGACTTTTGAAATAATTTCATTTTTCTTGAATTTATATTTTTAAGGCAGAGAAATTGTCAAACGCAAAAAGCGTAAGCCACCCACTTAACCACTAGGAAAGCAGATTTGGTTACTGAATTTTTTTCACACCTAAGGCTCAATCAAGTTTTGATGGGACCTAAGTTGACCCAGAACGCATTTTCACACCCATAATAATAATACTATGACAATACTTTTAATATCATACACTTTATTTATTTTATATATAAGGGAATCTCAATATTCGAGTACAACACGGACCATTGATCATGGAATCTAAAAGACTAGATCATGTACATCAATAGGAATTTTGGTCTCAAGTACTGTCGTGCTTTGTGTTGTGTCGTCTAAATCAGACAGGACAAAAAACTGATCTTTTGGTTGCTCATTGGGTATAACCGATAAGTATTTTTCATCTGTTGTGTGAATCTGACCAAGCAATGGTTTTGATGATGCAATTCTGAATTATATCTGGCCTGCTCGTATGTCCCGGTCTATACGATCTGCATTATATGTACCCGGGAGCTCTCTAAAATCCTCGTTGAATATGGAATATGCGCTGCGAAAGAAAGCATGAAAAAAGACCCAACTTATTTCATGGCTTAAAACTCAATAATACTCATGAGTCATGAGGACACCACTTTACAGCTAATAAGAATACTAGCAGAATCTTATGCTTCCAGAATCCTAAGACCTTCCTTTTTTCCCACATTTTTCAAGTTACCAAGGATGTTAACGTTTTAGATGAATGTACAGTATATAGTTCTTCAAATAACCAAGACTTTCCTCTTCTTTATTTTTTGAATATGGTATCAGGATTGCAGCAAACATCAACCAGAGTCATGTACAATCACAATCCTAATCCAGTGAGTTGCTTTGTCAGTCGGATCAACGGAGGCTGAAGTATTTTAGAAATGCACATACCTGACATCACCAGGCTGCCGTTTACCAAGATTGAGTAATATGATTGAAAAGCCAGTCCCTAGTATCTGAATCTCGTAATAACGAAGAACCCCATCAAAGGAAGTAAAACAGAAACAACTTGTTAAGAGCAATCAAGATAAGTTATAAAGTCTACAATATCTATGTATACAAGATGTCCCATGAACGCATAGCCAATGGCAATATGGCATTGCGAAAACAGGCGACATTTTCAGGAATCCAAACATTGAAGATGAAGATGACTTACAAATATAGGGCCCAGGTCCCACTGATGTGCAATAGGCGCCAAGATAAACCACAAGGTGATAATAACCCACATCTTTAGACTTAAAGAGAAAAGTCCCATAAGAATGATATCTAGAAGATCATCACACAACCACAGATCAATAAACTATTGTTTCATAAGTTCTTGGAAATTGCAGATGATGTGTGCTAAAGATTAAAGAGCTCTCACCTGGAAGCTTCAACTTGTTACGCAGAAAGTAGTAGAACTTCCTCTTCCACCGGCTTGCTGATGGTGGGAGCTTAAACTTCTGCAATGCCAAAATAACCAAAAGAGATTTTACAAGGACAGAAACTAAAAACCATTCTTTACGACTTATAAAACATAAGATCAAACATCGATAATATTACCAAATCATCATCATCATCATCAAAGGTCTCAGCTCCAGCTGGTGGATTTGGTATTACAGCAACGATCAAGGAATCTACACAATAAAACCAAGACTAGTCCATAATATAAGACACATTCAAGAAATACAGATAAGCAGAGCAGTGATGCTTATAACCTTTCAGCAGAATCTGTTACCTTGTTCCTTGAGCGTAACGTATAAATCATCTCCATCTTCTTCGTCTTGCAATGCCTTTCCACGAAGAATCATCCTCAAATTTGAAACGGGAAATTTACCCATTTCCGCAATTGCATTTCTCAGATCACGAACCTAAAATCAGCCAAAAGATCAACAATCCTCTTCGTACACACAACATCTACCAAGCGAGATAAAGAAGAAGGAAAGTCCCTACTTTGATATGAGACGCCACTCGAATTTGAGACGGCCGAGCTGGGCCGATGGTTTTGTACGTGATCTCGATGGTGCCATTGTTGGTCGAATCAGAGCTCATCTCTTCGATTGAATTTACGATCCCACCACAAATCCGGTGCAATTAAGGAGAAATTGTGGATTAGGGTTTCGAATTTGGGGATTTGAAATACAGAGTTTGTTTGCTCACTCGCCCCTTCTCCGATGACGGAGAGTCGTCGACTTGAGTTTGCAATATTTCATATTTGTCCTTACATATATTTTTTATTCTACTCTAACCCCAAAAGTTTCAAAGAGCATAAAAGCTCCAAAACTTTGATGCCATTGCCCATTAGAGAGTTTATGGTCCAGCACTCCATCATGTGCACAATTTGTGTTCTATTTTGGGTGAAAGGACAAACAAATGACAGTAAATTCAATTTAATTTACCACAATTTACAAAAACAAATCCTTTCAAAATTGTTCAGATTAAAGTTCTAACCACAAACCACATTCAACACCCTAAATCACATTTCAGAGTCCATCTCCAATACATGAAAAGATATATAGGAGTTAACCAAATATATGTTACTAAGAGCCATTACTTTGTCCCTTGGAAAAGCAATAAAAGGAACCCAAAAAAAGTAATTGCAAGAGCTTCTGTGTCAAAAAGAAGGTTTGGGTTACACTTTTCATACAGACCATAGGCATAGGATGAGGCCTTCAATTTCTGCCTTACATATCAAAAGATAGAACACACACTCACAAATAAAGCAAACAAAGAGAATATCTTTGAGATCTCCTCTTTATTTGGAGAAGACAAAACACAGAAAAGGAATTAGAAAGAAGGAAGAGATAGCAAAAATGGCACTAAGAATGTGGGCTTCTTCTACAGCAAATGCTCTCAAGCTTTCTTCTTCTGTTTCCAAGTCTCATCTCTCTCCTTTCTCCATCTCTAGATGCTTCTCCACAGGTGTTTGTAATTGTGGTTGTTGTGTGTTACATATCTTTTTTCTGAAACTGTTGTTGAGTGTCTCTCTTGTTTTTTTTAGTGTTGGAGGGATTGAAGTATGCAAATTCACACGAGTGGGTTAAACATGAAGGCTCTGTTGCCACCATTGGCATCACTGCCCATGCTCAGGTAGCAAAGGCTCTCTTAGGTTCTTATTTTTGTAATCTAAAGTGTTGAAGTAGCTCAGAAACTGGTTAGATGTCTGTCTCTTTGGAGATCGGTTATAAAGATGATGATAGACTTGTAAGATTATTGGCTAAAATAGGAGGAAACATGACATTTTGATGTTGCAGGACCATTTAGGTGAAGTGGTGTTTGTGGAACTGCCAGAGGAAAATACTTCAGTGAGCAAAGAGAAAAGCTTTGGAGCAGTGGAGAGTGTGAAGGCAACAAGTGAGATCTTATCACCGATCTCAGGTGAAATCATTGAGGTTAACAAGAAGCTCACAGAATCACCTGGCTTGGTACGGTTTTAAAGTCTTAAGGAAATTAAGTAAGTTACCTCTCATGTGACAACATAGAAGCAATGATATTTGGCAATTGTGTGTTGTGTAGATTAACTCAAGCCCCTATGAAGATGGCTGGATGATCAAAGTGAAACCGAGTAGCCCCGCGGAGTTGGAATCTTTGATGGGTCCAAAGGAATACACCAAGTTCTGCGAGGAGGAAGACGCCGCTCACTAGAAGGGTTTCTCTCTGTCTTTTATGTTCCAAAATCTATCAATTCTCATGCTTATTTCCTAAATTTGCATACACTCTGTGACCAACATCACAAAATAAGAGTTCAAGAAGATAAAACAGAGATCTAACAAACACATGGAGATTTTTTCCATCATATAACTTCTTGTTATCCTCAAAATGAATCTAACACCTCCGCAAAGCCAGTCCAATAAAAGAGGGTGATCCGGAAAAAAAAAGTATTAATAAAAATTTGGTAACCTTAAAGATATAAGTATAACCATTACTTTAAAATAAATAATTGGTCATAAGAAAAAAGAAATTGGCCATCCAAATATTACAATCTGCTCCATTATATCACGTATTCAAGCTCATAAGGCAAGTTATGTCCCTATTGGTCAATTTAGTTGTATCTACCGTTGACAAAACTGTAACATCCATTGTGGTAAAAATTGGGCATGAAAACATACATAACGACATATGATAACATACAAGGAACATTGATTCAAGAATCACACACATATGTTGATTTATATGCACACAAACACAGATAGAGATGAACAGAAACACATGACATAACTGTCCAATGGAGATCAACCAGAAGAAGCTTTGGCTTTCTTTAATTGTGCTTTATGCAATTACGACATCGGTTTTGGGGGACTTTGGAGGACCATTACTGAAGGGTTTCTACAAAGAGAGTTGCCCATTGGCAGAGGAAATCGTGAAGCACAACGTCGAGGTTGCTGTTCTCAAAGATCCTCGTATGGCGGCTTCTCTTCTTCGTCTTCAGTTCCACGATTGCTTCGTATTGGTTAGAAAATCATCCCTCTCTACTCTTTTTATTTCCTCATTTGTGAGTTTTTGCTTCTGTTCTCTCCGAGATCATAAATTTTTTTCAAGTAGTTTGAGGCTGTGATTCTAGCATACTTCTTGAATGGTATTCGAATTTGCGTGTATGAGAGTGAGATTGTCTTAGTGCGTAGATTTGATGTTCAATTTATCGTGAGTTTAGGGCTGTGATGCGTCTGTGCTCTTGGACACACATGGAGATATGTTGAGTGAGAAACAAGCAACTCCTAATGTGAACTCTTTGCGTGGATTTGAAGTAATCGATTACATTAAGTACCTCCTCGAAGATGCTTGTCCTCTAACCGTCTCCTGTTCTGATATCCTCGCCATGGCCGCTCGTGACTCAGTCTTCCTGGTAATTTTCCCATTTCTCCTTAAATCGAAACCTATGGGGTCAATTTCCTTAACACAAATATTGTTTGGTATCATCAGAGAGGTGGACCATGGTGGGAAGTTTTGCTAGGGAGAAGAGACTCATTAAAGGCAAGCTTTGCAGGCGCAAACCAATTCATTCCAGCACCAAACTCCTCACTCGACAGCCTCATAATCAATTTCAAGCAACAAGGTCTCAGCATTCAAGATCTCATCGCTCTTTCAGGTGCTCATACAATAGGTAAAGCGAGATGCTTGAGCTTCAAGCAACGCATTGTTCAACCAAATATAGAACAAACGTTCTACGTCGATGAGTTCAAGAGACACAGCACATTCCGGCGAGTCCTACGGTCACAATGCAAAGATTCAAGCCGAGACAACGAACTGTCCCCACTGGATATTAAGACACCGGCTTACTTTGATAACCATTACTACATCAATCTGTTAGAAGGGAAAGGGTTGTTGATATCGGATAACGTTCTGGTAACGGAAGATCATGAAGGAGAAATCTTCAGAAAGGTTTGGGAATATGCAGTGGATCAAGATCTCTTCTTTCTAGATTTTGTGGAGTCCATGTTGAAAATGGGTAATATTAATGTACTTACAGGTATTGAAGGTGAAATTAGGGAAAATTGTAGATTTGTCAATGTCTAAATTCAATAACATCAATCATTACAAATCATTAAGCATCCACCAAGAATAATTTCTGGGATTCCATCATTTTCCCCACTTATATTCTGAAATTAATCTTGGCATGTCGTCTAATCTAACAAATGATATCCAATTATTGATGGCTTAGTTGTGTTCCCAAAGCTTATCTTTAAAGTGAGGGTCTAAAGACTTGCGAAATACTAACAATTTCAAAGAGATTTTTGGTCTGGGCATCAGATAATCATTGAAGTTAGCATCACATAGAATCAGACGCAAATTACCCATGAAATATAATTTCATCATCTGCCCAGTAAAAACAATAAGAGAATCAAAAACCAAATTCTTAAAATCAACAAGAAATTAGAATTGTTCAAAAATAAAGAGACTTTGAATCTGAGTATCAGTTCTCCAAGGTGAATAAAACATCAATGTAATTTCAGTCGCAAATAACATCAATATATGAGATTCATCCTATACTCAGATCCAAAAGAAACAAATTATTAAAGATAAAAACGAAATAATCAAAATTGAAAACAAGCTTTAAGGATTTAATTTCAGAGTCGATCAGAACCTGTCGAGAACACAATTACATCACATATATCAGTGGATTGACAGACCTGTGAATTTCTATCGTCACCTCGACTCTCCTTAAATAATCTAAAAAACAGTTTTTTGGTTTCTCAAAATCCGAAAAAAATTGAGGCAGAATATAAAGATATAGAAAAGCTCAGAACTTCTTAGAGGGTTGTGTTATACCGTCAGCGATGAATTAACCATCTCTGGCACACGATTTTTTCCTCACAGCTCTTCTATTAAATCAATTTCAAGGAACAAATCCAAAAAACAAAATCAAAGAAGAAAAAAAACCTAACAGAATAATTAAGGCGGAACACGAAACTATAGAGGCTTGTCTTATAATTTCGATGTGAGTCTTGTATATATACTAGTTGACACTAGACAAATAGAAGAAGCCCTAATTTGACTCAACTTATTCTTTTGGGCCTTTTTTTTTGGGTTGGCCTTGGACTGTACAATACAATGCGTAGATTTGTCTGATTACGAGACCCATTATTAATTTGCACCTTGTTAAAATACAAGACGATATATTAAACTTTTAGAAACTTGTGTATACCATAATCAAAAATCGGTTCATGACCATGGGTGGATCCATATAACTGAAGATGTGGAGCAAATAAGAAAAACCTAAGCTACCAAAAGACAAAAGCAAGCAAATTTGGTGAAGCTTGCCGGTTACAACATAAACCGAGATAGATAAACTTTCTAAACCGACCCTTCACCCGTCTAACAAAACCAAGAATCGTTCAAATGTTGGTTGCAATGAGAGATGTCAAAGGAAAATGCTACTGACGGAACTATCATCATGGACACGCCAAATGGTCTCACCCAGAAGATTAGCCACCGATAATATTGTTAACTGCGGGAAGTAATTCTTTTCTGCGACTGGTAATGTGTTTGTCACTATCACTTCTTGAAGCAAACCCCCTGATAATCGTTCTATCGCTGGCGGGCTTCCATTGATTTATTCGAAACCAAACCAAAACAAAAAAATGCTTCAGAAAGTTAGTGATATTGAGACAATTTAAGAACAAAATGTGGATTACTGGTTTACCTAAAAACAGCGTGTGTGCAGCACGCATATACCTCCCGAGCACCTTCCTGGTGTAACAAAGCTGCTCCTTTTACAATAGTACCTGAAGAAAATTAAAACAGAACAAGAATAGTTCATAGAGGACTCAGCCCGAAAAAGGAGAACAGTTTTTCAGTAATCTTGACTGGGAATAGAGAGATTGAAAGCTTGGCTTGTCCGTAATATGTTCAAGAGTAAGATTTTAGCCAACTCCATGCTGATTTACTAACCAGCGGTATCAATCATATCATCCACCATTACTGCCACCTTCCCTTTTACATCACCAATTAGGTTCATGACCTGAAAGGAAAGTATAACAATGTGAAATTGAGGGGAAGCAAGAAGTGTTGGTGAGAAAACTCTGACTTTGAAAGAAAGAATAAATTACCTCAGCAACATTGTGTCCTGAACGCCTTTTATCGACAATGGCAAGTGGCGCATCTGATAATTTCTTTGCAAAAGCACGTGCCCTGGCTACTCCACCAACATCAGGAGAAACCACTACCAAATCCTCTGAGGAAATTGACTTGCTAGCAAGATAATCAAGTATCACCGGCTGAAATAATTAAGCGCATAACAGGTTAAAAGGTATTATACACTCACATACATAAAGAGGGTATCTATAAGAAAGTGGCTTTAGAAGTGTACCTGGCAGTACACATGGTCGACAGGAATGTCAAAATAACCCATGGACTGTCCAGAATGAAGATCACATGCAAGAACTCGATCTGCACCGGCTTCAGTGATCAGATTAGCAACCAATTTGGCAGCAATGGATTCACGCCCTTGTGTCTGCAAGCAGCAAAAGAAAACACAAAATGAATTTAGTTAAGCAAAGATTACCAAATAGCTTCAAGTTATCGACAACCCTCCATATCAAGTCAAAGTAACTAATCTAGATAAGGCTATAAAACACAATTACCTTCCTATCAGCTCTTGCATATCCAAAATACGGAATCACAGCTGTTACTTTCTTAGCTGAAGCTCTTCGGCAAGCATCTACCATAATCAAAAGCTCCATGAGATTCTCATTAGTGGGAGTGCAAGTAGGCTGCACCAAATAGACGTCGCATCCCCTAACACTCTCTTGTAGCTGAACATAGATCTCTCCATCAGCAAATCTCTTAATATTAACCTTCCCAAGCTCCAAACCCATATACCAAGCAATTTCCTGAGCAAGTGCTGGATTTGCAGTACCAGAGAACAACTTCAACCTGGTACTGGTTCTACTGACTGATTTCTCCATTCGAGCAGATTCCAAGAACTTTGGAAGTGTCCTCTCATTAATAATTGGGATACTTGGATTCCCGTTTCCCACATTCAATGACTCCGGCATGTCACATTTCTAGCAACAACAAGAAGAAGACTTAGTCAGAGATTCATAAAGGTGTCAATTTCATCAAACGTATGTATTCAGACGAAAGGGACAACCTTTTTATAGCTATATTCGCATAAACAAACAAACAAGATTCTAACGAAAGAGACAACCTTTGTAGCTCATGCACCAATTAAAAATCTCAGAAATTCAAAATAGACAAGATGGGTAATCAGCAATTCTATGAATATCGTAACTTAAGGAATTGGTCATAGATTCATGAACACTGCTTACAATAGAAGCGAAGACAGAGTTTCGGGAGCGATACTGAGAGGTTCTGACGGATAGGGAAGAGTTAGAGAAGAAAGTTGAAGACGAAGAGGCTAGATACGTCGGCGTTTTTGCGGCGGGAGGAAACGACAGACCCAAAGACGCCATTGTCAGCAATACCTCACATAAACCACCTCTGTCTCGAGCAGTTTCTCCCACAACGAATTCAGGAAATGAATGGCTTAATGGTTCTCTTCTTCTTCTTCTTCTTCGAGTTTGTGTTAGACTCTTCTTTCTCGAATTTGGATTTTTTCCAGTTTTTATTTTTCCGTTTTGTAAGAAATAAATAGGAAATGGTTTGGTTGGTGTGTGACGACGTCGTAATATCGCATTTTGGATTAATGGATTGGAGACGTCTGGCTGGACTTTTCTTGGAATAACTTTCGGTTTAATTTGAAATCAATTCGAAACTCACTAGTCACTACTACATTTTGTAGAATCAATGGCTAGAAAGCCACTTTCTGAGAAAAAATGTTCTAGTATGCCACCTTCGAATTTGTAATTTCATTTAACATTTTTTTTTAAATCAAAAGCTAAGGAAATGTCCAAAAGCCCTTTTGAGAAATCAACAATTACAAAATCCAACCTAGAATTCACTATCTCAACTACCAAACACTTCCAATCGTCTCCAATTATTCCCCCAAAAACTTCTCCACCACAACCATGTCTACTTCTCTCCGCACAACCACCGCTGCTTCTCGTCTCCTCCGCTCCTCCTCCTCTTCCAGATCCACACTCGCTCTCTCCGCTTCCTCTTCTCCCTCCGCTTCCTCTTCTCTCTCTTTCGCTGTCTCCGCTTCTCTCTCTCGTCTCTTCTCGACTTCTCTATTTTTCATCTCTCAATCAGGTATGCCTCACTCTCTCTTCTAAATCTTATCCTTATTGTTTAATGCAGCTTGTGTGTTCTTTCTTTATGCTTATTGTTTGATGCAGATTCGTGAGTCCATGTTTGGTTTAATGTGAAATCGAGCATAGATTCGTAACAAGTGGTATCAGAGCCTCATGTTTTGAGGAAAGCTTTGAAGTTTGTAAAAGAAAACCAAGAAAGTTTCAAGCTTTGTTGAAGAAACTGCAAAAGCTGATGAATGCGAGAGCTGTGTACCTCGGTGAGGCGGAGCAAGTGCCTACCAAAGACGACAAAGAGCTTGAACTCGAAATCGTTAGAAACTTGAGGAAGAGATGCGTTGAGAGCCAGCGTCAAATATCTGTAGCACTGGAAGCATTCCCTCTCGATTTTCAGGACCAGCTTAATCAATACATGGATAAGAGGTTTGTCTACACATTCTTACTGCAAATTTAAGATTGCCTCGGTACTTTTCGTGATCGTGAATATTGTTTGGTGGCAGGATAAACGGAGATTTAATCCACCTGATCCAATAGCTAGGATAAAGCTTGAGTTTCCCTTAGGATTCTCTAGTTGTAATAGATGTTGGTCTCCATCGGGTTCATGGGAAGTCTGCTGACTTGTAGCTTGAATATCTTCATCATGTGGAAAGCTTTTGAACCAATTCTACTTCTGCGTGATTCCTTGATGAGTTAAGTTTCTGGTATAAGTGGATTTGTAGCTTAATTCCTCTTGGTTAGGTTGATATGCTTCTTGAAAGGAACATATGTATTTGTTACGCTTAGGTTGGTTCTCTCCAAGGGTTTTTAAAACCAAGTCATGTTTTGGTAGCATACGCCGGAGAAATTGAAATCGAATCTTTTTTTATGTATAGTAAAGTGGGTCTTTTGTTTATGTACTTTGGTGATATTTTGGTACAACTGTAATTATTAGGTACAACTATAAATAGAAATTAAAATTATTTAAGGTATACAATTTAAAATGTTTTAAAATCATCCAGTGTGTGGTAAAATGCACCAATGTCCATGGTAACCCATGCCTTATGTTTTCGATTAAGCTTTTCATTTGTTGTTTATTTTCACACAACTACGGATGTAATCTATTTCTCACAAAGCAGATGGATAATTATCATATTGTATGCAATCGTTTATTTAGGTACAACTGATATATTTAGGTACAACTACGTAAAGGTACAACTGGTATATTTAGGTACAACTACGTAAAGGTACAACTGGTATATTTAGGTACAACTACGTAAAGGTACAACTTATAAAAAAGTACAACTAGATCATTTAGTACAACTGAGACAATTAAAAATAACTTTTTAAAAAATAAAAAGTTAATTAAAATTGGTATTAAAAAAATTTAAACGAAGTAAAAAATAAAAATAAATAAAGATGACGTAAGCATGATTTTTGGCGGCGGAATGGTAACACGTGTGGTAAGGTGGGCCAAAGAAAGCATGATATTAATAAAAAATTGTTTTGTTTTAAACATAGTTGTACCTAGTTGTCCAGTTGTACTGTCATATTCATAGTTGGACTTTTGCGAATTTTGTGTATTTCCAGTTGGACTTAAATGAAAATTAGTAATTTCTAGTTGGACACATGATGTTACACTATTAATTATCGTTTAAGAGGTTTTCAGAATACAATGTTCAGAAAAACTTGGATTTCACCTCTTTTGCTTCATATGAGATGATCACTTACTAAATCTTCCTTATATTAGAAGAAGTGTGTTATGTGAAAATGAAAAAAATAGTTACGAAATTGATAAATTCTGGTTCAAATAGTCTATTTTTATATTTGAAGATGTTTTTGGAGAATTTTTCATATAAATCTTAATTTACAATTTATTATAATTTAATAAAAATCATAATACAATAAACGTAGTTGAACTAGTTGAACTAATAGTATATATTAGGAAAATAAGTAATTCGATTTTTATTTATTTAAAATTATTTTATTAGAGTTCAGGATGTTTTTGGAATCTTTATTAACTCTAATTTATCATTTTCATATTTGTTGTATAGAAATACATATACATTTATGGTCTTAGTTGTACTCAGTCGAACCTAATTCCATATTCCTAAAAAGCTCAATCGCTTAAGTGTTTTGGCTTCTTCGACTCTTCTACATCTGACATACAAGTTCAAAAGTACATTGTTGGAATGTAAGTTCGTGTCAAACCCACTTTGATCATAATATATACATAAACTCTCTTACTTACTATCAAAGCACCAAACTTTTCACAAGTAGACAACAAGCTAACGATTGTGAACCCATTAGACTTTATACCCTTAAGTATAAAGCGCCAAAACTTCGTTTAGTTTACCGTTTTCTGCAACACCATTAATCACAAAATTTCAAGCCACAAGATCTCTCTCAAGCATTTTATCAAACACCTTGTATGCATTAGCAGATTGATATCTCTCTTGGGCAATCTGTCGAACAGCTTCTATGCATAAAAGAAAAAAACAAAGGTTAGATTTTTGATTCGTTTCTATGGCGAGTATGGTTCAAAATCTCAACTTTTTGCAGCTCAAATCTCTCAATCTCACAATCAATCGAACAAGAAATCAAACGAAGTAAAAACAAGAGATATAAGAAATTGTTAAACCTAGTTCAATTCGTCGATGTGAAGAGATCTACGTCTAGGGAGAGATTCTATCCAGAAAATCATTATGAAAGATCATTGTTACACTCAAGAGCAACAACGAGAATCAGAGCTTAAGCTTTCACAGGAAGAAGAGAAAGTTTCGGGTCAAAAGAGAAGAAGAAGAAGAAGAGAACTCTCTAAACCAAAAAGAGTCTTTGAATTGTCTTATTCTTCACTCTTTAAACAAACCAGCTGATGTCTTAACCAGACTTAAACCACATATAACCAACTAAGGGTATAATAGTATTATCCACTATATGGATGGCATTGAGACTCTAAAGTGGCAGTCGTGATTCTCATTTCCGGTTTAGTGGCAAACAAGCCTTGGTCTCCATTTTGTAATTGTAAGAAAATAAACCAATCAAATCCAGTTTTAGTCGAATTCAAGTTTTGACTTCAAAGAGAAAAATCATGAGATTCATCATTTTAGTTTTCCATTTGACTGCAATGTGGGATTGGAATTTGTTGGTATACCAAAAATAAATAATATACGGTTTATTCCTCGTGCCATTTACCTTTCCGAACCGAAGTTGGTAGCTCCGGTTCACAATTGATTTATCCCAAAAACCCAAACCGGTTCAGGAAAAAATTATCCTTTTGTTTTCGGTCTAATCCATTTCTCTTCGTGCCAACTGCCAAAGCTAACAATGGCGGTTCTAGAAGCTGTTCTCTCCATTTTCTCCTTCTCTTCTTCTTCTTCTTCCTCAAAACCTTATCTCCTTTGTAAACGGTCTTCTTCCTTAAAACCTACTGCTCTGAGTCTTCGAATTCCTAGTAATGTCTCTCCCGTCTTCTCTCTCAATTTCCCTCTAGTTTCCGGCTGCGATAACTCGCGGCGGCTTGTCTCCGTACTATGTTCCGTCGCGGAAAAAGAAACATCAGCGGATGAAGAAACGTCGCAGGAGGAGAAGACTGAAGAACCCCAGAAATCAAATCTAAAAAGGAAGCTATTTGTATTCAATCTTCCTTGGTCTATGAGTGTAAATGACATCTCCGAGCTCTTCGGACAATGCGGGACTGTGAACAATGTCGAGGTCTTTCTTCTTTCTCAAATTCATTTGAATGTTTGTGTTGGTTATTACTACGAATTGGTTTACCTCAGTTTTAAAGATTTTCCCAGATTATAAGGCAAAAAGATGGGAAGAACAGAGGATTTGCTTTTGTAACTATGGCTTCTGGAGAAGAAGCTCAAGCTGCTATTGATAAGTTCGATACTTCTGTAAGCTCAAATCTTATTCTTCTCTTATGAACTGTGTTCTTAATCCAAAATCCCTTAGATTTTTCTCTGATTGAGTGTTGTTTGTTCAATTTCAAAGCGTGGATAGTTCTAACTACTAAAGCATACATTGTGTTGAGTTGTTAGCTGAGCATTGATGTTCTTCTATGTTGTTTGTTTTCAGCAAGTGTCAGGGAGGATCATAAGCGTAAACTTTGCAAGAAGGTTCAAGAAGCCTACTCCGAAACCACCCAACGATCTTCCTTCTCCCCCCCCTGGAGACACTCGTCACAAACTCTACGTATCTAATCTCGCTTGGAAAGCAAGGTCAACACATCTCCGTGAGCTTTTCACTGCTGCAGATTTCAACCCGGTCTCAGCTCGGGTTGTTTTCGCTGACCCTGAAGGAAGATCTTCCGGCTATGGCTTTGTCTCATTTGCTACTAGAGAAGAAGCTGAGGATGCAATCACCAAACTCAATGGGAAGGTATAAAGTTCTCGTGTTTCATTATTAGAAAGTTTGCTTCTTTAGCTCTTGAGCATGTAAAAGTGTTTCATTACAATTTGGTTTTTCTATAAAAGATAATGGGCAGACCTATCATTCTCAAGTTTAGCTTGAGAAGCGCCAGTGAATCTGAAGATAGTGACACTGTAGAAGACAACACTTCTGAAGATGGAGACACTGTGGTAGACAACAACACTTCTGAAGAAAAAGTTGTGGAGTGACTCTTATTATTTTCTCTGTTATCCAATAGAGAGCATGAGAATCTGACTACAGATCTTATTACAGTTTTGAAATAGCTACTGCTACAAAGAACACAAAAATGAAGATGTAACAGAATTTCACTAAACTAGACTTCAATCCTGCTAATGTGTGATGAATCACCAAACCATCCAGCTCCATCATACCGAGTAAGTTCGTCGAACGAGTCACAGCTTCCTGTTTGGTAATGCCTTCTTTTGGACTTCACATTGACATCCGTAGTCTTAACCATGAAATGTCCAGTAGAATGTGACCTCGAGAATCGCCAAGCCGAGGCTTCCATTAGCCTTTTACTTGAACCAGTGGTAGGAGGATTTTCCTCATCATGGTTTATGTCCGGAATAGTAATTGTGACTGCGTTGTGCATAAATTCATGGCTTCCAGATCCGATCATGCCAGGATCTAGCTCACACCGGCAAACAGGACAAGTCTTGTGTAACTCAAACCAAAGATCAATGCAATTTGAATGAAAGGGATGACGACAAACCGTTATGAGCCTAACTGTGTCTTCATCTGAAAACTCTGACAAGCAGATAGCGCATTCCGTCCCATGATTTTTCATTGTTGCAGATGAATAGAGGAATTCAGGAAAGGACCGGATGATAAATGGGTCGAGGCCAGTATTTTCAGGCGGAGTGGCCACATGGATTAAGTCACCGTAAGGTGTTTGCTGAAGGTTCCAAGTTGAAAATAATCGATTTAGAAGAAATTGCCAGAAGAAAAGAGAGAAGAATCCGGCGAAAATTACAAAGAGAAGAACGCCGGTCAAAATTACGGTAACAGGCATGGGAACACTAGGAAAAACATCAGTAGCTGGTATTGAATCTATTGATGTTGTTGACGACATTTTAAGGTTGATGATCAGAGAAACCCCCAGATTCTAACAGTTGAATTGCTTGGGAAAATAAGAAAGGTTTGTTCTAAGAAATCCTTGGGAGAGAAGGAGTATTGTTCAAGTAAATAGAGAGAAATAAAGAGAAGGAAGTGGCTAATATCTGAGAGATAGAAGTGGCTATATTTGAGAGACAGAAGTGGCTTTGCTTAGCATTTTGAGCGAGTCTTTTGTGACAGTTAAAATCGTTGTCTTAATAAATCATTTTTAATGTTAAAAATAACTTGAAACAAGTCAAAACGAAAAAGCAGTATGAAAAAACTATTATTGACCATGGAAATAAAGAAAAAGGTTTAGATACCAATGATGATCCGGTTTACATGTACGCAACATTATTTAGTTTGGTTTGATCTGCTGCAAGATTAGATTTAGGATTGGCAAGGAAGAGAATAAGATGATACAACAACAAAAAGATGAGTGAGTTTTTGCCTTTGTTGAGTCGAAATCTACAACAACAAAAGAGAGGAAGCTAATATGTCCATAGTTACAACTCTAAAAAAGCTATACCTTGATCAACAAATCAGTGAAAATGCAGTGACTTTATTCAATATCGTCAATCCAATCTCCATAAACCCGACTGATTTTATCTGGTCCTTTCCATTTCCGTTGAGTTCTGACCCCGTTGGGTTTCTGCGTAACAGCACTAGATGTCCGTTGGGATGAGACTCCGGGAGAAACAAGGCTAGTCACTATGTCTACTTGTCCTCTCTGCTTTGTGTCCGGAGTGGCAGATGTTCCGATCTTACATTCTCCTTCAACGAGTCCTCCACCAAATGTATGCAACTCTGCAAAAGATACCATAAAGACTCAAACTTTTAGCTAGCGACTATTGAAACTTTCTGCATTTCCATAGCCATTAGAATAACAAACAGATCAAGAATTTGCTCCTATCAAAAACCAATTGTCATCAGGTAACGGCAATGAACCCCCAGGAAACATTTCAACCATCTCACTCGATCCACTCAAGTCCATTTATAGACATTTTCACCAATCCATTCACGAAGCACCACCATTGATCAAAATTTCTGAAGGGGTATTTTAGCTATGGAAAAGGAAAATAACAGACTAAATGGCACCCACAGTCCATTGAAACAATGAATCCTCGAGGAAACCAGTGCCATATCTAGTTCTAGTGATGCGTATACAATTCAACAGACTTAAGCTAATAAAGCTAGTTCTAGAGTTCAAACATGATCTCTCAGTCCAGAGAATTAGCCTCTAGTGGCACTCTAATCTCACAGTTCATCAAGCAACACCGATTAAGACCCATTTCTAAACCACATTTTTAAGCACATTGGCTTTACTAATAGATGAAAAAGGCCATAACTTTACCTGAAGCTCCATGAGCAAAATGACAGTTAGTACCAAAAGGACAATAGCCAGTAGTCTCCCACTTATTGCAAATCCTTGTCTTCCAATTCGGAGGCTTCAGAGTCTGAGCAACATTGCCACCATCACTAGCAGCACCATAACCACGAGGGCCAAAACTAATCGCAAAGCTTTCTCTGTTTCTTAAAGCCTCTGTCGCAGTCTCCTGCCGATTGGGCGGCGGCGGACGACGGAGATCCTCCACGCTGTGAGCAAAGTGGCAAGAGCTCGCGGGGTAGGGACAAGTTCCGGAGCGGAATTTGAAGCAAAGCTTCGTCTTGAAGAACGATTTCCCGATCTCGGAGGCGGAAGATCGTGTCTTCTTGCTCGGAGACTCTGCGTCATCTGAGACACGGCTGTAATCATCCTCAGTGGCCCAGACGGAACTGTCGCCGGAACTCGGAAATAAATTATCAGGCGGAGGGTCGTTGGTGATTCTCACGTGAACTGCATCACTGCCGTAATCTCGCCGGTAACTCATCACGTCGACTCTAAAACCCTAATTTAGTAAACCCAGGAGGAGCACAAATCTAAAAACTTTTTCGGTTCTTGACAAGAACTATCAAAGGAAAAGCTGAGGAATTTCGTGAGCACCAGAGAGTGATGATCTAGAAATGCATCGGTTAACGACAACAATTCAGAAAATGAAGAACTTTTAAAGAGGAAGGAGAGCAGGAAATGTGGAAAATGAAGTACAATAGAGATAGAGAGAGAAGATGAAGAAGAAAGTAAAGAGCCACTCAAAATAGCATTTTATATCAGGATCAAAAAGTGATTAGCTAAAGTTAATGGTCTCAGATTAAATAAATTGAAGAATGTTCCGAAAGCAAAAACCAACATTTCGTTTAGATAATATTGGTAATTGTTAATTTGGATTGGTTGTAAATTGATTAGAAATTTACAACATTACTGTTTAAATTGGACATATTTGCTGAAATTAAAGACAATGTAAAAATAATAATAAATTTTCCAATTGGTTGACCTAAATAAGAATTAAAGACTCAGTATCGCAAGAACGATCAGAACAAACATATCAAAGGAAGAAAATAATAAGCAAATGTCTCGATTCTCAAAGAAACTCAAAATGCAATGACGCTTCCTCAATTGTCTCTTTGAATTCCCCCATTTGCAGTCACTTGCACAACTCGATACTCCATCATTTATGGGCTTCCGACCATGATTCTATTTTTCTTTTCTTTTTCTAAAAAATTATGGTTAAGCTTTGGTTCTTTCTTCATTGTGTAATGGCTTTTTTCATTTGACAGCTATAATAAATTGTTTCTGATTTTTATATTTAAACGAGTCCGCGTGGTGTTCATCTACTACTATATACTAGTAGTAAAATGTTAAAGTTTTGAGAAAATGATTTTAAGATTCAATCTCGTGCAATGTGCCAGTTATAAAATCACGTACCCATTAAATAACGATCCGGCTTGGGTGGAGATACGCATGTGGATGATGGCAAATTCGTAAAATAGATGAAATTTCTCACACTTCTTCAATCTTCACCTCAATTCCTCTGCTACTTGTATAGAGATACGGATAACTACTACCATATTCATTGTAATCTAAATATACGATTCTAGCATATCCCTTAGTTTTAGGATCTCTCTTGTATAAATATTGGCTCTTGTAAATCAATACAACACACTTTCCATTCTAGCTATTTCAACTTACAATGGCGTCTTTAGCTGAAACAGAGATCATTACCAGATTCCAGAAATACCTTCAAATCGACACCGTGCAGCCAAATCCTGATTACATCGCAGCCGCAGATTTCATAATCTCCGAGGCTAAATCAATCTCTCTCGAATCTCAATCAATCGAATTCGTTCAAGGGAAACCAATCGTTCTCCTGAAATGGATTGGTTCAGATCCTTTGTTACCTGCGATTTTGTTGAACTCGCACGTCGATGTCGTCCCCTTTGAGGAAGACAAGTGGGATCATCCTCCGCTCGGAGCAGAAATCGATGAAGACGGCAAAATATACGCAAGAGGAACTCAAGACATGAAGAGCGTTGGGATGCAGTACTTAGAAGCCATTCGTAAGCTCAGAGCTTCTGGATTTAAGCCACTTCGATCGGTTTATGTCTCATTTGTTCCAGATGAAGAGATCGGTGGCATTGACGGGGTTGGCAAGTTTGTGGAATCGGATATCTTCAAGAGCTTGAACATTTCCATTGTCCTCGACGAAGGTAACATATTTTTTGGCTTTGTTTTTATATTCGCTACTAGATTGCTTGGGGATGAAGAATTTACAAAAGAGGTTTTGAATTTTATATAGGGTTAATTATTATGTTACTTTAATTGTAGGACTAACTTTAACTTTAGTTTAGTATAGGGAAGAATCATATTAAAGTAATAATGAAATGGATTTTGTAGATGAAAAAAAGCGAAAATCTCTTTGAGCACATAATGAATGTTAATGGTGATGAATCCGATATAGGCTTACCATCTCCAACGGAGAGCTACAGGGTTTTCAACGGAGAGAGGATTCCATGGTCGCTTCAGATAAAAGCTGTTGGACAACCTGGCCATGGTTCAAAGCTCTATGATGACTCAGCCATGGAGAATCTCACTAAAAGCATTGAGAGTATAATGAGATTCAGAGCTTCTCAGTTTGATCAGCTCAAACACAAAGAATGTTTGAAGGGTGAAGGCGATGTTATCTCTGTCAACATGGTTTTCCTCAAAGCTGGCACTCCTACTCCAGATGATGTATTCTTCTCTCCTTTTTTTTTTCTTCCAAAATTGATCTCTGTGGTTGAACCTGACACTTTGGACCTCTTTTGATAAAGGGATTTGTAATGAACCTCCAACCATCTGAGGCGGAAGCTGGTTTCGACATTCGTGTCCCACCCGCTGCTGATCCTGAAGCACTAGAAAGACGTTTAGTAGGGGAATGGGCACCTCCTGCCCGAAACATGTCCCTTAAGGTAATATTCTTAGTACTGTGGCTAGAGATTTTAAAAAAGCCATGTATCTAACGAGTTTCCTCGGTATGTCAGCTATGGCGGGGAGACCAGGAGTTAGCAAGAAAGCAGTTTGTTACAGCAACAAATGATTCAAATCCATGGTGGGGACTCTTAGAAAATGCTGTGAAAGAAGCTGGAGGGAATACTAGTAAGCCTGAGATTTTCCCTGCATCAACAGATTCTCGGTATTTCCGAAAAGCAGGCTTGCTTGCCATTGGGTTCTCTCCTATATCAAACACTCCGAGTTTGCTTCATGATCATAATGAGGTACTGTCTCCTTTGGTGGATCATCACCTCCCAGGAGCAATTTCTAACGTCATTCTTTCTTTTCTTCTTTTTGCAGTATCTGAGTCAATCTGAGTACTTGAAGGGCATCAATATGTATGTTTCAATCCTCAAGGCTTACACATCATATGCTTTACCTGAATGAGAGTGTTTCAAGAGATGAGCTTCAATGGTCACTTGATGCTGTATCATCAATAAGAATAAAACTCAATCATGCTACCAAATGAAATTGGTGGCAATCAAACTTGCATTTGTATGTTATTAGAACAAAGGGTTTCCAAAAGTAAACTTGTTATTTCTTGTTTTTCTCAATCATCCAAATGCTAACAGTTGCCGTCACCGCGTTGCACAACCTCCACCATTCAAGTTTCAATGTGAGCTTGAAAAACACATGATAGTCCTTACAATCTCAGAATCTTAATAACCATCTCGGTAAAGTCATCAAGAAGCCAAAAGCCAAAACCAGTTCCCGTTTGGTGTCACAGAGTATATCCTCCAGATAGAAGCTAACCACTTGATCACACGTGGAGATATACGCACGTGGATGATGGCAATTTCGTAAATAAATGAAACTAACTTACACGTACGGGTATAAGTTATAACGGTAGACGTCGACTCTTACTTACTTGTAAAAGAAGCTACTGAGAGAGAAGCTTGATTCTTGAATCTTTTCTTCTTCATCATCAATGGCTTCGTCGGCTGAGATAGAGATCGTTTCCAGGATTCAGAACTACCTTGGAATAAGAACCGTATATCCAAATCCTAATTACATGGCAGCCGTAGAATTCATTATCGGCCAGGCTCATTTCATCTTTCTCGAAACTCATTGTATCGAACTCGTCAAGGGAAAACCAATCGTTCTCCTGAAATGGATTGGTTCAGTTCCTTCGTTACCTGCGATTCTCTTGAACTCGTACTTTGATCCCGCCCCCTTTGAGGTAGACAAGTGGGAACATCCTCTGCTCGGAGCAGAGAGGGAAAAATATGAAAAAATGTACGCAAGAGAAACTCAGTATATGAAGAGCGTTGGGATGCAGTACTTAGAAGCCATTCGCAAGCTCAGATCTTCTGGATTTAAGCCGCTTCGATCCGTCTATGTAACGTTTGTTCCCGGTGGCTTCGATGGGGTCGCCAAGTTGGTGGAATCGCAAATCTTCAAGAACTTGAACATTGCCATCGTCCTCGAGCAAGGTAAAATACTTTTTGGCTTCTTGTATATTCGCCACTAGATTGATTGCTTGCGGATGAAGCATTTGCAAATGTTATTTAGGGATGTTACAGAATATATTAAAAGAGACAGAGCCGTGCCTATTTGGTAGAAATAGAAACACTCGCCTACGGCATACAATTTTTCATAAAATTTACAGGGGCATATTTATTACATATTTAATGTTATGTTGTTTATATGTAAGATGCTTGTTACGATTTTTTGGTTCTTGACCTTAATAGCCCATCATTAACTCAAAATTAAGCCATTTTTCTTTTTAAAATTAAGATCAGTTTATGTTTGTTTTTTCTCATGAGCTTGTTTCTTTGCCCACTACATTAATTCTTCTCTTTTGTGTCTTTACCAACTTCTTTTTTAATCAATTTTTATCAAAGCTAGTTATGTGTATACATGTTTAAAATCTGAAAATATATATTTCTATATTGAATATCTCATTTTATATATCGTTTATATATATTTTTATCAATCACAAAATAATTTATCGTTTTATTTGTACTGTTAACAATTGATCATGCAGTTACTTATAATTCTGTTTGTATTCATTATACAAATATTTAAGCACTAAACAAAAATTTTATATGATATTATATAAAATATTAAACTTTTATTTCGCCTATGTACTTAAAAACTCTTGGCACGGCTCTGAAAAGAGAGTACACATTATTCTTTACATATAAGAAGTTTAGGTTAATTATGTGATTTCAAGTTAAGTAATTATAGGATTAGGATTTCAACTTTAGTTAGTATGGGGAAGAATCATATGTGCAATTACGGTGAAAAAAAGACAGAGAATCATATATCGGTCAAAGTAACAATGAAGGAATCGGATTTTGTGTTTCACTGTGAGCACATAACGAATGTTAATGGTGATGAATCCTATCAGGTTTACCATCTCCAACGAATAGCTACAGGGTGTTCAATGGAGAGAAGATTCAGTGGTCACTCCAGATAAAAGCTGTTGGACAATTTGGCCATGGCGCAAATCTCTATGATAATTCAGCCATGGAGAATCTCACTAAGAGCATCTATATATACATTTTTGGAACACTTTTAGCAAATAAATCCTGGGGTTGGGCAGTATTTACAAAGAATGCCATTGGCTTTAATTCTAAAATTTTGAAAAATTTAATAAAAGATATTACACAACTATTTAGATCCTAAATTATCTCTTAAAACTTATCTTTCCATAACTATACTCACTCATTTGCTAATTGATATTTAAAAAAAAAAAACAATTAATGCTAACGTTGATATGTACATGTTTGGTTTTGTAATTAATTTGTTTTATTGAGATTTATTGAATTGTTAATTTTATTGTCTTCTAATTAATCATTTTTTCTTATTTGTTTCAGAAATTATGATACTGGCATGGTTTCTTAAAAACCAGATAAATAACTTCAAAAATTGCAGTAGAGAAAAAATCAGTTTGACAACAAAATACATCTGTGGCTAAAAAAGGATGGTAGGGATTTGACAAAATGAAGACTTAAACACATTTCTCATGGCTTCTTTTCTACATGTGTAGCTTTATTGATTTTTTTTTTTTTTGATTCTGTCTTTTAAAAAAAAAAAGGAGTTTATGTATAGAAATAATTAAACAAATGATGAAATCTGATTTAATATGACTTGGAACTTTGGCTTCTCATTTAAATCAATTTTTAAAGTAAAAAATAAAACAAATCTTAAAGATTTAAATGTGTATATACGACTCTTTTTCTTCTCACCAAAAAAAAGACTCTATTTGTTCAAAAACTTTATATATAAAACTTACTTGCGTACAATTAAATAAAATTTTCTACTAAATCATATTTTACATTTTTCACATAAAAGACAATGTATCTAGAGTATAAAAATCTTTGAGCACGTAAATATTCTATTGGTGCATTTAAAAGACTTTTTGTTTAATAAACAAAAATAATTATTAAAATTTGATTTTACAATAATAAAAATTCAAAGATAATTTTAATATTCAAATAAAATCTAAAATCATACTATGTAAAAATTTATGATATTGTAGTTTTGTCAATATACAAACCAATTATTTTTAGAACCGTTTATCTATTAAAAGTACATATTTATAAGTACTTGTGTGGGTTAATTAGTATCCACATTTAGACCTATAAACAATATTAAATTCTTAAAATAATTTGTAATATACATAAATTAATCATCAAAACTTAAGTTGTTTTAATTAATATTAGTTTTATTATAAATATTAATTTTTATTAATATTATATTAAAATTATTAGTTATCATAATATCAAATAAAAAATTATTATTTAATATTAATAATAGTTTTTTTTGCTTTAAATATATTTTATAAATAAGAAGAGTGATACCGACAAAAATAAATTAGAAAAAAGGATTTAGTAAAATGGTCGCAAGTCTTGTGAAATCAAGCAGGGGGATGCAGGCATACTATATACTTTTGCGGGTTTGTAGAATGGTTTTTTGCGGGTTAAAAATCTTTAAACCCGTTGTGGGACGGACCTAGCATAGCGGGTTTGAACTATTAAACCAACAATAAACTATTAACGTATTGATTTATATTTTTGATTTGTAATCATGGTGTGGAATTAATTAAGTTACAAATGATATCCATATTTATTATAGAAACTACAATATTTTATACAAACTAACACCTTCTTACTTTTAAAACAACTACTTTTAATTGATAAATTTCTAAACAAAAATATTTAATTTGTATATACATCAAACAAACAAAATACACTAAACTACCATATATCTCTATATTATTCTACAAAACAGAATAGATCTAGAATTTTATATTTTATCAAATAACAAATTTAATATAATAAAATAAAACATTTTAAGTTATAAACTATAAGTATAAAACATAAGAAAAAACATGTGTTTTGTACCACGGGTCCAAACAAAATGATAAATTAATAAGACAAAAAATAAATAATTGAAAATTAAAAGACCAAATATACTGAAATTATTATCTGAAATACAATAACTAAAAGTTTGTCATACAGTGTACTGCCGGTTAAAATTCCATGATTTTGATGGGTCTGATAAAAATCTTATTCTATAAATATGTAGCCATATAAAGCTAAATAATACTATACTTTAACTATAAGAGCTACATCTTATTAAAAAAAATCATACACGATCAATCGGTTTTATATAAAAAAATACACATCAATAATTTTTTTTAAAAATTATAGCCTACACCGCGGGTTCAACTCTAGTTGAGAGTATAATGAGATTCAGAGCTTCTCAGTTTGATCAAGTCAAAGCTGGTTTGAAGGCGGAAGACCATATCATCTCCGTCAACATGGTTTTCCTCAAAGCTGGCACTCCTACTCACGATCATGTATTCTTCTCTCTTTTTTTTTATATTTAATTGATGACCAAACTTTAACTCTGTGAATGAACCTCAGAATTTGGACCTCTTTTGATAAAAGGGCTTTGTAATGAACCTGCAACCATCTGAGGCGGCAGCTGGTTTCGACATTCATGTCCCACCCACTGCTGATCCTGAAGCACTAGAAAGACGTTTGGTGGAGGAATGGGCACCTGCTGCTCGGAACATGTCCTTTAAGGTAATTCTCTTCTGTACATTTTGGCTCAGAGATTAAGAAAGCCATGTGTCTTAAAGAGTTCCCGCGGTATGTCAGCTTTCGAGGACCGACCAGGATCTTGCAGGGAATCAGTTAGTTACAGCAACAAATGCTTCAAATCCATGGTTGGAACTCCTACAAAATGCTGTGGAACAAGCTGGAGGGATGATTAGTGAGCCTGAGATTCTCCTTGTCTCAACAGATTCTTGGTATTTCCGGAAAGCTGGCTTGCCTGCAATTGGATTCTCCCCTATGTCAAACACCTCGGGTTTGCTTCATGATCACAATGAGGTACTCTCCTTTGCAAATATTACATTTCAGTAATTTTGATTAAAACAATGATCGTAAAGCATCCTTCAGTTCTGATTATTCTTTGGTGCCTCCCAAGAGCAATTTCTAATGACTTTCTTTCATCTCGCCTTTTTTGCAGTATCTGAGTCAATCTGAGTACTTGAAGGGCATTGATATCTATGTCTCAATCCTCAAGGCTTACACATCATATGCTTCACCTGAATGAGAGTGTTTCAAGAGATGAGCTACAAGGGTCTGTGTTCCACACAGTTCCTTTTTTGTATCATCAATAAGAATAAAACTCAATCATGTAACCACGTGAATTCTTTGGTACTAACTTGCATTTGTAGGTCATCTGACAAAAGGGTTTCCAGAAACAGCTTTGCATTGCTTGTTCTTGTTTCTCTTGGTTTTTTTTTTCAACTATCAGAATGCTTACAGTAATCACTGCAAGTACAAAACCTCCATCCTTCAAATTTCAATATGAGCTTGAAAACACATGATAGTCCCCACAATCTCAGTTTCTTAATAACCATCCCACTAGGTAAGGTCATCAAGCCAATGCCAAAACCAGTTTCTCCTTTGGTATCACGGAGAATTCTTCATATAATCTGTCACAAAGTCTTGAGGTAACCTAATACTTGCCCTCAAGATACTAGCTAACCAAGGCTTGACAGCCGAGAAGCCAGTTTTATCCTCCCTCTCAGAAAACCCAAACCCTCATAAATGTCCCAGCAAAGCCACCAATGATCAAGTTATAAATTATCACATCACCTCAATGAACACCCTAAGGGGATCCTTGCAGCTCACCCATTGTGGAAGATATTTTCGATCAGAGCACTCCTAATATTAGACATTAACATCCAGGCCCTCCATCATCTCACGATGAATCATTATGATATCAACCAGCATGTTTCAGGGTTTCAACACATAAGAGTTTTGTTGATTAGTAAATTGGTATACATCTAGTTAAGTATCTTCAATGATATAACTTCCATTGCTTGCTTCATTATCTCATCCTCATGCAACCTATTACTTCTCACAAAGTCTCTCAAGGAAGAACCCATTGTCCAGGGAAGAGCTGCATCAGAGTCTTTCCCAGAACCCATTCCTTCTCAGAACTTGACAAGGATGCTTCTTTTGCGATAATAGTCACAGCTTCTTTGGCTTCTTTGTATCCACATTCAAGAACAACAAATGGGAAGTCACTGCAGCAGATGGAAAACAGCCAATCCATATATGATCATGTATTGTTAGTTCATATGGAAGTTTTTTTTTGTGGTTTTAGTCGGGAAAGTGAGGTAAATAAGTATGTTTACCTGCCCCACATGACACGATTTGCCCCAAAATGGGACACAAGTTGAGAAAGGAGAGGCGATAGGTCCTGATATGGGAATCCGGTTCTTGAGATCCTGAATAGAGCACTGAATTTCACATATACCTGCTTGTTTCAATATTGTTTCAATATTCTTCCCTCAGATTCGTATAATATGTGTGCTACTGAGAATTCAAATTTTAAAATTAATGTTTTTCCCTTTTCACCTGTGGGAATCTAGAGAGCTTCATGAGTTGACTATAAGCAAGCTTTGCCTCACCATTTCTGCAGGTTGATGAAACCATGAATATCAGTACTATATTCTATAGGAATTGCAGGGGACTGGATTATTTTTCACAAATAGCAAAGAACAGCTCACTCTGGTACTTTGCAGAATCCAGCGTGATCTAGTAAAACAGTTGTCTTTGGAAATTCTGTGCACAGTTCCTCAATTTCTGCAATGTGAAGATCCAGACCCTGAATAAAGAAAACAATATTTTTAAAGAAAGAACTTCGCGTAAACCATAGAAATTTGAAGACCACAAAGGTCAAAATACTACTAGACCTTCATGCACATGAAGCCAACAGAAACACCAAGCTCCCCTGCTTTAGAGAACAAGGCTTTGCCAACAGGATTTGTCATCTGTGTTGTGAAAATCAATGACAATCAAAAGAGTACGGTGGAAACTTGATCTAAGGTCATTGGAATCATTAAATTGGTACCTTCTGACCGGATGGCCACAAATAGGGATTAAACCGAACAGCACGATAATTACTCTACAATAACAGATTAAAACTCTGAGAAATGTGATGCATATATGATATTTTGAGATGTTTTGAGAAACAGTGAAAGGGAAAAACAGTGAAAGGGAAGACCTCTAAAACAAGATTCTCAAGGTGCGTAATTCCACTGCCATCTTCTGCAGGATTAGCAAGGCAACAACCGACAAACTTCGATGGGTATTTCTTCAGAACACTGTCAATAAGAAACTCAAAAATCATCTTGAAAAGAAACTTGAATTAAATCGCTGACATTGCATGCAATTAAAAGGTGTGACTTGATTGGAGAAACACTGAAAAACTTCGAATTTCACACAGAACCAAGACCAACGTATGCCCCAGTAATGCATCCCATAGTCATATACTCACAAAGAAAAAAAAAAGGCAGCGAGACAGATTTACCATAACCAAAACAAAATGAGAGAAGCATAAATTTTGAAAGAAGTAGAGTATCTTCTTCTGTTAAGAAATACAAAAACATCTTTTTAGAAAAATGCAGATTCAGGTAATAAGACATAGGATGAGACCTTGTTACTAAAGAATGATCAAACTTGTGATTGATGGGTTGCACAATGAGAGCTCCATCTACTCTTGCCTCTTCCATGTTCTAAATAAGACGAACAAACAACATCAAAACAGAGGAATTACACAACAAGCATAAAAAAAGAAACTTTTTCCATTTCTTCTAAAAACCCTTGATAATGTCAGAGCTGAGTTTAAACCTTAAGCAAGAAATCGACATCACCAGTCAAAGTAGGTTCTTGGCCGGGAAAATAAGGATATGTCGCTGCCTGAAAACACGTATATTTGGGGATTCATCAGATCACTTAATCAGTCATTTATCATCTAAGTAGAATCAATCTTAGTATGAGTAAACAATTTCCACAATTTCAGAGCTTAACGCATAAACCCGAGGATTCGAATTCAATTAAGAAAGTGTAAGAGTAGGACCTCTTGAGGAGAAGCCCAAATGTGGAGATGAGAATCGATGACTCTGGAGGTAGACGATGTCGTTTCTGAGTCAGACCCAGCAAAAGTCGTCATTTTTACCGTCCTGAGTGGTGTTGCTATCTTGGTACCGATCCATTTGCTTCCTCGGAACAGTACGGCCGACGTTAAAGGATGACTGGAAAATGCTAAAGAATTCGTTAATCTCACAGTCACTGCCATATCCCCCGACAATACCCAATCACATAAATATCATTAAATGGGTTTTTTTTAATAGTAAAACCACACATATATTTTTGGGTTATCCAAATATTCGGCCCAATAGTCCAATATTCATAAAATTCCAATCGAATTTTTACATTGTAAACAATTCGATTTTTGATAACAACAAACAAATATAAAATCTTCCAAAATTGGTTACACCGTAAAATCAATCCTATATTAAGCTCTCTTTTTTTTTCCAACTTTTGAATTAAACTTTATATTATTACGTTTTAATGTTTGCTTGATAATATCAAAACCAAACACATACACGCTTCTTCCAGGAGTTAGTTAGTTTAGTCTCCTACAAAATCAAGGATTAACCAGATTTAATATTATTGAATCACGAAATATTATTTGTATATATCTACTCTATATATCGACTCTACCTCATCACATAATTCGTTGCCTTGAAATACAATCTATACCTCTCCTCCTTCTCTTTTCAATTCTCTCTGACTCTGCGACAATCTCTGAAACACATGGCGGATAAAAACTACAACCTAAACGGCGCAAATTACGGTCCACCAATCAAGCCACCGGTGAAAACCTACTACAGTCAAGGCCGACGCGGCTCCGACGTAGGTTGCGGTTGCTTCTCCAGCTGTCTCCTTTGCTGCGGAGGTTGTCTCGTAAACATCATCTGCAACATCCTCATCGGTGTAGCTGTTTGCCTCGGAGTCGTTGCTTTGATCCTCTGGTTTATCTTCCGACCAAACGTCGTGAAATTCCAAGTCGTGGAAGCTAATTTAACGCGATTCGAGCTCGATCCACAAAACCATAACCTTCATTACAATCTCTCCTTGAATTTTTTGATTCGTAATCCTAATCAACGTCTTGGGATTCACTATGATCAGTTAGAGGCCAGAGGTTACTACGGTGATCACCGTTTTGCCGCTGTGAATATGACGTCGTTTTATCAGGGACGTAAGAACACGACGGTGGTTGGAACGGAGTTAAACGGACAGAGGATGGTTTTGCTTGGTGCCGGTGGACGGAGAGATTTTAGGGAGGATCGGAAGTCTGGGGTTTACAGGATCGACGTGAAGCTGAGATTTAAGATCAGGTTTAAGTTTGGGTTTTTGAACTCATGGGCCGTTAGGCCCAAGATTAAGTGTCATCTCAAAGTTCCGTTGAGTACTTCTAGTTCAGCTGGAGGATTTCAGTTTCATCCCACCAAGTGCCATGTTGACCTCTGATTTTAGATTTTTTTTTCATTCGTTTTTTCTTTTCTTTTTTCATTCATTTAGTGGTTTTTTCTTTATAGTTTTCAGCGTTGTTTTTTAGTTTATTGCTTTCTTCTCTAGTCTATGTGGTAAAAGGAACCATCTTTTTACTTCAAGTGTTCAAACAATCTTTGGGTTATTGATCATATCTTGCAAACCGTAGTAGTGCCTTGGGGTGTTTTTTTTTTTTTTCTTTACTAAATTTCACTAAAAAGGTAAAACATTGTCAGTAACATTGACCAAATACTTCACATACTATAAGTCGAATAAGTCTCTCATAATGTGAACTACTAGATGTTAACCCGCGGTACACCGCGGGCCTATATTTTTGTTAAATAGAAATTTGAATTTTTATATTAAGATTTTTCTTTTACATATATTCTATTGCTTTTATGATTTAAATGTATATATATAGAGATTTATATATATCTATATATTGTAGGATTAGTATATTTTGAGTTTATTTTTGAAATATAGAGATAGAAAACATTATATAGTTCATTACGCGCGCATAGATGTATAAGACATTAAAATAGGGTGAATTTATTTTCTTGTTTACATAATATATGAGTTTAGATTTAGTTTGTAAATTTTACTCAGGAAAAATATTAAAAATTCCAGTATCTAAATACATGTCTTTTGTGCAAATAAAAAAGTGTTGAATGTGTGTAATTGTGGGTCTTACTCAATTACGGTCCAATGACCTTATTACAAAACACAAGCCCAACTTCTTTTTCTCCTGTTGACTTGCTCCCTTTGTTGTTGACCTGCTTCGTCACGACACTTTCTTCTTCTTCTCCACCTTCTCTTCTTCTTCCATTGAAGCTTCTTCTATTATGCTCTTCTTCTTCATAATCTTCTCACATTTCTCCTCATGTTTCTCTTGTATGGGATTAAACAATTAATCAACTTCCAACACTCCCTCTTGATTCATTTGCTTAATCCCCAAAATTTTGATTTAGGGATTTGATTCCCTTCGCTCTTTGTCAAATTGCCTCTTCTCTGTTAATTCATTTCACGACATCAACAAACTCACATGTAAGTTTGTTCCATCGAAATCCATGTTGCTCTGAAACTTCACGCATAGAATGTTCATACAAGCCTTTCAAATCGGTGAGCTCTCTTACTGCTCGATGCTTTAGTATCCCGTTCTTAATCGATTTGCAATTTCGCATGGATCGATTGCCCACAAAGCATTCAATTTGTTTGTAGAGGTTCCTCTGATCTTTTTTTTATATGTATTTCTCAGAATTTCTTCATGCATTGACTAAGATCGTCGGAACTCTCGGTCCCAAATCTCGATCCGTCGAGGTTCTATCCGGCTGTCTCATAACCGGCATGTCTAGTACTAACCATCGCCCCAAAGTTAACACTTTTCTTTACCGTCTCTCATGTTATTCACTAATCATCCTTTAATTTTGAGAAGTGTGTTCGTCATTGGTTTCAGAATTAAACTTCCCACAATTCATGAAATAATCATGTTATTTTTTAGATTCAATAATCATCTCTCTTATAGAAGTTGTAGCTACTTTACAGAAAAGTTGTAACATATATATTCATGTGTCTTTATTTTACAAAAGTTATACAATCTAACTGATTTATCAACTAATCATTTCATATCAGATTATCTATAGAAGATAAAAGGATTCAAGCTTTATACAACAGTAATCCTATTTCCTTCTTTGATTTTGTGTTATTATCAGTAAAGAAACCGTATTTTGGATACAGAGAAATATCAACAGGATACATATACATTTTTACAGGGGATTTTTGCATAAAGTCTTTTGGATCCGGGTTTTACCCGGTTTTAAGTTGTTCGGATCTAGAATAAGAGATTTTAGGAAGTTTGTAATAAAAACGAAATTAATTCTTTAATTACCCATTTAACTTTGTTTCCTTAACTTATTCCCACATATTAATCGGCATAGCATTTATTATTTAAATTTGCAAAATTTAATAAAGATATTAAGTTAACTAAATCTCGAGTATGTTGCTATATTTTCGAGTGTATATTCTCAATTTAATGTTTCCAATTCTACCTAATCCCAACTAATTAATACTAAATATTGTTGTTTCCTTACCTAAGATCTAATTTTGTTGTGATTTTAGTAGATTTCATTTACAATTTACTATAATTCATTGCTTCAAATATTCGAATAATCAATTATAAATAAAACAATTACTACTCTTCAAACCGAAATCATAGCATATTCCTAAAGTACATAGTATATTTGCTACGCAAATCTTTTTGGTAAGATATTTCTGCAAAAAAAAAAAAAACGATATTAAAATTAAATGCTAACAATAATTGTAATATCGGAATCAAATCTTCGACTTACACATATCCATTGTAATATGCAATTTTTTAAGTAGTACATAGTACCTATTGTGAATAATATTTATCACACAAATTACGGTAATTAGTTTGAATAGTCCCTAATAATGGGGGATCAAATTTCCTTATATGTCAACATATCGAAATTAGAATTTTAAATCTAAAAAATAATTAGAAAAAGGTTCTTAATTCGCCCTAAAGGCTGAATCTATATATATATATGCTTTTTGAGATCTTTTCTCTATATAGGTGCCAAAGTTTTTATCCGTTTCTCCATATTATCTAGGTCTTTTAGGTGTATATCCCTTTGATTATTGCATTGCTTGCTTGATGATTGCTAATCGTTGGTTTGATAGTATAATTCTGGGGTTTCATTAGGATTTTGATGAATGTATGATTTTGACTTGATTAAGTTGTATTGACAGGAGAAACATGGCAGATAGCACCCAAAAGAGGAAAATCGATAGAGTAGAATTCGTCAGTGAGCATGTTGTGGCATTGAAAGTTAAATGGATAACTTGGTTAAGCAAAGAAGAAGAAGGTACACGTCCTGTCCTTTTCTATAATTGTGTAAATAATATATTTACACTAGGCGCATTATATATATTCCCCAAAAACGTTTGTGGAATAAATATATTTTCTTGATCTTTGTTTATATTGTTCATTTTTTTTTTCGTCAGCCAATTATTGATCTTCGGAGGAATCTTCTTAACTTTAATATCATCTCTTCACTTAGAATATTTATTAGGAATAGGATACATAAATTACTACTACATCATACTGATTTTGGGTCCCATTTGTGACAAAACATAAAAAGGTTTTTAGTGCTAATGTTCGAAGTATCAAAAATATACATAATCATAAACCACAATTTCCAAGTTTTTGTATTCTCCTTCTCTTTTTGGTATCAGTTCTTACTAATCAAAGTTCTAATTGAACATTAGTCTCTTACTAATCGGTAAAGAAATGCCAGATTTGACCATATAATGTTTAACAATATGACAATCATAAAACATATTGAAATAATATCCACAATTTATATTTATATATTTTAAATGAATTTTAAACGGTACTTTTCTGTTATTTTTAATTCAAAATACTATATATAAAAAAAGTATTAATCTACGGGTATAAACCTAGACTGAAAATGATCACATCAAATAAAATTATAAATATCTTTATATTATTCTACAAAACTAAACAAATCTAAAATTTTATATTTTATCCAATATAATATTTTTAAGTAAATTATATAAAACATGACAAAAAAACATAAACCCGTTGTATACCGCGGGTCAAATTCCAAATACACATTTTGTTTTTTGTTACATAACAACAATCATATACAATATCGATTTTATTTGTAATGGATACACACATTCAACACTTAAATTTTATTTGCACAAAAGACATATATAGATACTATAATTTTTAATATTTATTTGCTGAATAAAAATTTACAAACAAAATCTAAACTTATGTATTATGTTAACAAGATAATAAACTTTTATTTTCAGCAAATTATCCATTAGTGCGTAATGAACTATTTAATTTGCTCTATCTCTATATTTTCAAAAATGAACTGAAAATTGACTAATCCTACAATATATAGATATATACATATTTGTATATGTATACATTTAAATTAAAAAAACAATATCATATATGTAGAAGAAAAGCTTTAAAATAAAAATACAAAAAATCTATTTAATAAAAGTATAGGCCCGCGGTGTACCGCGGGTTAATTTCTAGATAGTGTACAATGCCATCGTGAAAATAGATAGTGGCATAGTGCCATTGGTTTACTGATACAAACTCGACAACGAATCTCCTAGAAGTCAATGTATACACGTCAACGTCATTTGCATCAGATTTAATGGATAGAACTAAATAATATAATTACAGATCATGCCTAAATATCTCTTAAAAAGCGAATCCTATGACACTATTTGCAAAACTTAGGCTTCAAGTCATAAATCCACTTCAAATAACAACAAATAATAAGAGGGAAACTGCGTCAACAAGATTAAAAAGTGAAAGGTAAATTAATCTAACCAGCAATGACTATTTGACACGTACACATAAACGAAGGAAGAGAGCGTCACGATGATGAATGATGATGGTGGGCTAAAGTGACAGTCGTCATTACGACAGACCGCGTGGCATCATTTATCTCACCAAATGTCCTTTTTCAATCAAATTAATCACAAGTGGACCCTAATTAACACGTTGATATGTCCAACCGGACACATTAACACACTTGCCATTACGTTTTGGATTTGAAACCTTGAGCTTATTTGGTTTTTAGTTCAGCAATTATTTGATCGATTTCGATATATATTGAACCCATCATGGTAATCAAGTACTAGTTTTCGATCAAATCTCCCCTGTTTTACCATTCAAGCTTAATAAGTACTTGTCTAAGTGTAATGTATCATCAGTTTGGTTTTCGGAAAAATCCGGTTAGGTTTTGACTAAATAAAGCAATATTTCTTTTTCATTATGCCAGTGGGATTAATATCTTTCTCCCTAGTTTAGTTTAGATTTTACTCATTTAGAGAATCATTTGATATTAATATAGAATTTTATCAACAAAATAAGATGGATAACTGAAATAAAGTCTGTTCCCTTTCTGTACTAAACAATACATGTGGCTGATTAAAGAATTTGATTCGTAGATAATGGACATATGGAATAATTAAAAATGATTATTGAATAGAGGAGATTGGTCACTTTAACTCCTAGTAATAATTTCACTGAAGTAAATGCGTAATTGCCTAGAGAAACAACGACGACTCTTTCCAGCTGGAATCTTAATCCGAAGCACGAGGCTCTGTAACGGTCCAAAATTCCAGCTGGATTGCATAACTACTCTTATATGCGCACTCTAACCTACTCCTACTTCACTCTACTCTAAACCTACGCCTCCTTTGTCAGCGCATTCTAGCATGACAGTTATTATTCCATCGGCGGCGAGGTTTTATTCGATTTTATCTTCCTATCGATTAGTTTTAACAGAAACGAAATTCGAATTCTTTTAATTGGAATAAAACAAATCGACATGCAATGCGACGACGAAATAATTAGATTGAGATAAGCTAGAAGTCTGCGGTTTTCCGGTGAGAAGTCCGGCGACGGGGAAGTGATTTCGTCGTGAAACTTTCCGTCTCTTGAAGGTTTCGTACGCTACTACGGATGGCTAGTGTATCGGCTCTGATAAATCCAGAGATTTCGTCGCCATTTTCGTCCGATTCTAATGGAGATCAAAACAATCAATCAATCAGAAAATTGAAAGTTCAATGTGTACTAACAGAAATGAAAATGAATTGAATCGAATCTGCAATGTACCTAAATGTTTCGAAGGACGCATGAATCCATTAAACTGAGCCAAATCTGAGCAAAGTTCGAAATCGAATAACCGATCAAAATCAATAAACACGAGAAGATCAATCAATCAAAACCAGTGGATCGTCGGATTTTGAATCGGAGAAACGAACCTGATTGGGACGGAGCGTAAGAAGTGAGGTAGAGGATGATAAAGCAGATGAGAGTGAGAATCGGAATGAAGTGAACAAGCTTCTCTTGCTTCTGATTCGTTGTCGCGAATGGTGATTGCAGCGATGATAACCGTCTCGGCTTAAAGTCTTTGAGCTCGTGATCGTCGTAATCTGCCGCGGACGACGACGAAGAAGGAGAAGAGGAAACTAGTTTCAAGTCATCGATGTCGTCCTTTCGTCCTCCATAGCTATGGAGCTTTGAAGCTGATGAGTCTAACGATAGCCTCTGCATCGCCGACAGAGAGAGAAAGATGAGGGAGGCTAGAGAGAGTGAAGGTTATGGTTCGTATCAAATAAATATTGGTGAGTATATAAAAAAGTAAATATGCACACACATGAGTATTATATAATTATTGTGAGATAATCATATATCCCTATCTAATAACGAGAGTTGTCGTATCCGCTACTCATTTACTTTGGAATCTAGTAAATAACAAAAAAGATTAAGAAGTTGGGATCGATAGAGTGTAGAATAACGGTAACACCGACGGAATTGATTCGGATTAATCTGTTTGCTAAACTTTATACTATTTTAGAGCGAATAATAATTTGTTTGAGACCAAGTTATTTTTTTAGAAAATCAAAATCTTATCGCTTCAAGCAAAACAAATTGTTATTGCTATAAAAAAAAAATCATTGCATACCAAATTTATGATTGGTGAACAAAAAAAAAAAACAAATTATCCATAATGTATTAGCCCGTCTCGTCTATATGGGCATCTTTCAAGGCTACAAAGGTCCAGCCCATTAAAACCTTTAAAATAAAATCTTGACGAACAAGTAAAATGGACGGTCACGATTACATCGCAGATCAAGCAGCCTGGTACTATAAACTAGAAACGGCGATCTGTGATTCCGACGGGAATGAGATTGAAATTTCTGGCGGCTCTTCAAAGGAAAATTGTTGAATATATATTCGAATACGTTGAGGAAGAAGGTGACGAAGAGGAAGACGAAGAAGAAGAAAGTTGTTTAAAAAGTAATGGTGTTGTGGGAGTTAGCTCTAGGAACAGCCTACTTCTTGGGGCTTAGGCGGACTTACCGGCTTGCATTGAAGACCCAGCGTCGGTTAATTAGCCCTAAGCATCCTAGGATCCGAAGTTTTATGCATCGGTGAAGTTTCTTTCATCTTCACACTTTTCTTTTTGGGGATTTCGCGATTTGATTGTCTCTGATTTAGGTTTGACTGGAAATACGTTTCTTTAGATATGAATTGGCCTCTTTGCTTAGTTATTGATGTTTCGTTCTGATTGTTTATGGTTTAGGTTGATTTCGTTTTTTTGTAGTCCCGTTAGTTTTCTTCTACTCTTGTATCACTAGAAAATCGTATAATGTGTGATTTAAGCACTGCAATATGAGAGGTGGGACTTAGAAATTAGAATCAAGAGGTAGGCTAGTCTTATTTAGACGGTTTTGATTGGCTGAAATTACCAAGTAAACCATGTAATGGAGGTTCAGAGATTTCCTAATTCGATATATTGCTTGAACCATTCGATGTGAGATGACACCAAGCTATGATGCAGTTATTCATAGAAGATAGATAGAACATTTGGTGTCTTTTGTATTGAAGTCTTACATTGTGCCCGTTTGGGATTTGTAACTTGTTAGTGTTCTTGTTGCTAGGAAAGGATTTTTCGATGCTAAGGTTATACTGTCAATAGATAATGATATACAGTTAAACCAGTCTTGAGTTGTGTATTTGAGATTTCCTTTATCGACTGAGAGGATTGGTGTGTTAACTTTCTCTCTCTTGCCTTCCTTGTATGCAGGAGGACTCATCAAATCTTTGATATGGCACTTAGGGTCCACAAGAACATACAACAGAGAGACATGGAAATTGGTCGGAGTCTTGGAAACTGGATTCTCCGGGGGCTTGATCGGATGAAGCCATCGGCTCAGGTTCTACTACCAAAACATACAGAGCCAAGCATAGACAAGGCAAGGAGAGTATTACAATCAACCCGTCTCAAACCGCATGTTAACACGCAGACTCCTCAGAACCGTGAGGTCGATAGGAACTTGTTCATGTCCTTGAGGAACTTTCGGTCCAAATACCCCATTGCTTCGATGATGATGATCAAGCCTCCAAGATCCACGGGAACTACCACTCAGTACAGGCCTTACAGTGCTGGTGAATCCAGTCTGATTAAACCAATTTATGCTAGAGGCGAGTTCAACAGCGTCATCAGGAAGGACATTTTGCAGTGGATGGTGCAGAAGAGATAAAGCCGCCAAAATTCATCAAAGGCCCTTCTGTTTCTTATATTACAAGATACTCAGAAGGAAACACTTCTCTCAACTGTTTCACTTTGTACGAGTTTTTTTAATAACCGGTGGATTGATAGGAAAATCTCCTGGAGAACTAAAAGTTGTGACTAGTATTACTTACTTGACTAACACGTCTCTCTGTTCTTCAAATTACAACCAGAAAATGTCTTCTGAGAGATTTTGGGTTCTATAATCAATAACAAAAAAATCAGGTTTACTTTTGGGGTTTTCACTCTCGATTGGATCCAATTGGCCTAAAGACTCGTTGTTTCATATCAGTCCTCCAATTTTGCTGAATCATTCTTTTTAGTTTTTACTACTGACCAAAACTGAATTTATCTAATTTTGTGACAAACAAATGAGTACATATTAAACTTTAAGATTAGGCCCAATAATCTGCATTCAGCATTATTCTGATGATGTCTCTAGTGTAGTGATTATGGTTTTTACATGAAGCCTGCTATATATACCTTCTCAAATATTTCAGAGCTCAAGCAGAGAGCTTCCTTCTCTAGCAAGCACGAAAAGCCCACCATCTCCTCTAGAAATCCTGAGATCTTTGTCGAGATAAGTGGTCAAGAGCCAAGAGCTGCCTCGGTTTCCTGGAAACGGAAGCTTAAGAGGTGGCTGACCAGAGAGTGCCCGTGAAATGTTTGCTGCCACATCTTGTAAAGGGTTCAAAGACTGCTTTAACAACGAAAGACTAATCTGCTGACCAAAGACGCCCACACTCTCTGGGAGATCCACACTTGATTTGATCTCCGGGGGTTTTAACGTACCTTCTTTGAAAGAAACCTGACATTTAACAAACATTTAGACAAAGAGATAGTGAAACCAATAAACTTTCAATCTACAAAGAAACCCTTTTTAACATATTTTTGTTTTAAGGTAGTTTTGATTGACTGGAATGTAATCTAAAGTGAAACTTTTACTGCTTCAGTGACCTTTATACCTCATAATGGTGTTTGTAAGTTTAGTTACCTCAATTCTTGAAGGGCTTCGAACTTCAAATGAAGCAGTAGCACTGAAGGAGAAGTCTGCAAAAGGGCTGGAGAGTGTAGTGGAGTTGTCGATAGTGAGATTGTTTGTGTCTATCGACTGACTTATGCTTTTCACTTTCAACAAAGGAGTCGAGCCCGCAGCTAGTAGAGGAATCAACTCAGAGAAAGCAGTGTACCTGTTTCATAACCCAAGAAGATACACAAAATTGGAACATCAGTATAGTGACAACTCCTGGATCACTATCATCGCTTAGCTTCATCAAAGATTCACGATGTCTCATTCTCAATTAGGAGAATCAGAAACTATTCTCCATTTACAGTGTTGCAATTCTCAATCACAAACACAATTTCAGGTTTTTACGACATGGAAACAAGATTATTGGATAGTGGAACTTACAGCAAAATCCAATTGCCGTCGAGAAGCTCTGGATTCTCTACCGGAGCCGGCGTAGGATTCAGAGCTTCCAATTGATTCACAAGCTCCAACACCTCCGCTCGAACTTCAGACCCAGCGCGGAAACCTAATTCAGTTCCGTACACAGAATCCGCCAAACACCTTTTCAGCTCCCAAGTCGGGTCAGACACCGCACTTCCATTTCCGGCGTCGACTTCAGCTTTTCCTCCAATTTCTCCTCCCCACTCGTCCTCGTTCCTTGGAGGATCCGATTCCGCAAACCGGGTCCCGGATTCCACAGATTCGGGTCCGGATTTCTCACCCCATTCGTCCGTAATCACATTCACGGTCACATTATCTTCTTGAGATTCAGGCTCATTTGCAGCTCCCGGTTTCTCACCCCATTCATCTGTAACTGCAGACGCATCTAGGTCGGATTCGGATTCGGACTCAGAGGGCAGAGAAGATCGGATTTTAGAAAACCGGAGTGGCTTGGGACGATGACCAAAAGAGAAAGAGAGAGAATTGGGTTTAAGGGAGATAGAAGGAGAGAAGCTCTTGCTTGTGTTTACAGAGGAAGCGAAGAGAAGTGAAGAACGAGCGGTGGTGAAGAGCGTAGCCATGGCCGATCTCTGTGAGAAAATTTCGGAAAACAAGATTACTGAAGTCTTACAAATCACACGAATTTTAGCTGACCCCGAAAAACACGGAATTTTCTTAACTCAAAACAAAATGCGTTTATGTATAATGGGCCTGACCAAGGCCCATTATAACGATCGATATTCGTCTCTTTCCCTTATCCGCGTATTTGTCTGAGTGAGTTTGAAATCAATCATCTATGGCTGTTTTTGCTTCTTCTACTGCTTCTGGTTTGGCTACAATCTTCAACTCTCCTTCACTAAACCCTATCAATGCTCAAGCGACCTTCTCTACTCCGAATCGGATTCGTTCCTCGCCTCGCGTTTTCAGGGGATTACATAGCCTCCGACGCCGGTTCTCTCATAATGTTACCGCCGATAGGTTCAATAGCTTCTCGTGTAACTGCTTATCCGCCGTATCCACCAGCACTATCGATTACGAGGTGAATTTTTGTACAAATTCAAATGATTTCTGAATCAATTTGGTTTTACATTTCAACTGCTGCTCTATCAGTCTCAGTGATAAAATGGAGAATTGTGTGTATATGATGCAGTTCACGGATGGTGGCAAAGAGGTGGAATTAAGATTGAGGTTGAAGACAGGTGAGACACTTTCTCCAAAGGATATATCTGTTGATGCAGATGGAACATCGTTAGCCGTTAAAGAAAAGCGTAATGGATTGCTGATTACACTTCTAGAGACGAACCAGTTATTTGAGAAGATTATGCCCTCTGAAACAATATGGTTAGCTACGCGTAAATCTTGCATTATGCGACTAGTTTTTGTACCGTGTGACATTTCCTTGAAGGCTGAAGTTTTTGTTTTGATCCAGAACAGGTACATAGACGAAGATCAGTTGGTTGTTAACATGAAGAAGGTGGATGGGGAATTGAAGTGGCCTGATATTGTTGAGTCCTGGGAATCTTTGACTGCGGGAATGATGCAACTTCTTAAAGGTGCATCAATCTACATTGTGGGAGATTCAACTGAAATCAACCAAAAAGTGTCTCGGGAGCTAGCTGTTGGCCTTGGGTATGAATTCAGATTCTTCTCAGTGGGTGAATTCGATTCCTGCCTTTCGTTCATGAGCTCAGTATGAATAGTATTATGAAAAAAAATTCAGAGTCTTATACACTTGTTATTATCTGCAGGTACAGTCCTTTAGATTCAAAGGAATTGCTGGAAAGCTTTTCCAAGCAAACAATCGATTCTTGTGAGTCTGCTTTTGGATCATGATCATCATCTAACAAAAATTCTGCCTCACTTCTCACGACCCTTTGTTTTTTTCCATTTTAGGGATTCTTGCAGAAGGGCCAGATTCTGTAGCTGAAGCAGAGAGTTCGGTGTTGGAAAGCTTGAGCAGGTAAAATAAAGTCATGTCTAGTGTTCAATCTCTTTTCAGTTGCCAGTCAAGTTTGGCCACCAATCTCCATTGCTTTGCAGCCATGTGCGTACTGTTGTCTCAACTTTGGGAGGTAAACATGGAGCTGCGGGAAGAGCCGATCAGTGGAGACATCTTTACTCCGGATTTACTGTTTGGATATCACAGACTGAAGCCACAGGTCAATTCTCTCGACATCCATTTAAAAGTGAACCTTGTGAACATAAACAAGAATCATTGCTTAAACATCCAAGATTAAACTGAATGCAGATGAAGAATCAGCTAAAGAAGAAGCGAAGAGAAACAAGCAAGAGAGGGAGATTGGGTATTCAAACGCAGACGTGGTGGTGAAGCTCCAAGGTTGGGACCCGACACATGCTAAGAGCGTGGCTCAGGCTTCATTGAGTGCACTTAAGCAACTGATCATCTCAGACAAGGGACTTCCAGGTAATAAATAGAAGAAACTCATTTGTAAATTGATGGTTTAATCTGATAAACGTTTTGGGATTAAATGTGTCTTTTATGATATCGAAGGTAAGAAGAGTTTGTACATACGCTTGGGATGCCGTGGCGATTGGCCCAATATCAAACCGCCGGGATGGGATCCGTCGTCTGACACCGGAGCTCATCCACAATTCACATAAACAGTTTCAAGACATGCTTTTTGCTCTCTCCTAGAAACGATGATCTCAAGAATTTTGTTATTATTGTCATCGCTGTTGGTATTTAAGTGTAAAAGAAGTTATGGATGATTTGAGTTATAACTACCAGCCTGATGTTGATGAATAAAAGACTCTTTGATTCCAAATAAAGAAAAACAGGACAATGAAGACTAGTTTCACCAAGAGTAAATATAACAATACTACTAAGTTCCTATAGACCAAGTCATGTTTGTCGTAATCTAAATTATTAAGGTTTCACGACAGCAAAGAGAAGTCGACACATTACTCTAACCCAAACTCCTTTGAAGGCTTGTTATGGTGGATTTCAGCAGATCATCATCTCCTACAATCACCCTCAGCGTCTTGTAAAATTCCTTTCTCGACACCTTCTTCTCCTGCAACAGCACATAGATTAAGTTAAACAATATGATATAATCTTAACAATCTGGGTAAATGAAATAGTTTATAACTTTACCCTGAGTTCCTGGTAACCAGCAGAAATCAAATCCATGTCTTTCCGGGCAATTTTGGTTGAGATTGCTTTGAACAGCAAAGGGAAAGGCATCATAGGAGATCTGGGCCGTCTACTGCTGGAACTGCCACTAGTCTTTTGGCTCCCTGAACCTCCATTTGATACTCTTCCTGGATCCTGCTTCATACAAACAAGCCACATTACTGGTTTGTGTCCCAATCAAATATTACACAATGACTGCTTGAAAATGAGAACCTCCTCAGGTACAATTAAACTTACATTTGCGGGAGAACCTTTGGGTCCTTCCAAAGTGAGCTCCAAAGTCTCGTGCTTACTCTGAGTAGTAGGAAGAGTATTCACTGCACAAATATTACATGTCATCCAGTTTCAAATACTGCAGAAAACAAATGTGATGATCGAAATACCCAGATATATTAGCCATGAATATCTCACTGGACCCTTGGGATGATGAAGTATGTTTACCACCCCCAGAGGTCACAAGGTGACACATGTGGATCCTTATCTAACTTATAGAGGAAGATTTCGGTATCCAAATAGCTGATCTTCAGCAAGATCTATATGCTGTCTCCCATTCAATGCGTCATCAGTTGATTTTTATGGAAATTACAGGAGAAAGAACAAATTGTAATCACCTTCAGCATTGGGGATAGACAGCTTGAAGCTAACTACAAATTCTGGGTAAATGTGAGTGTTCATATTCATGTTCCAGATAAGATAATGCTTTGGACTCTCGACATCATCAACTCCATTATCATACTCCTCTCCACCACTAAAGAACTGCGTGTTATCACCACGAAGAGGCTCCATATTCCCCATTATTACACGGCACAAAACCATGTGCCGCACACCATTATCGTCAATATCACAGTATCTAGCACTGTAAACAATATCTTTCACCATGTGCTTAGAGAGAACCATAAAACAAATGAACTAAACGTGGAAAAAAAAATACTACATGGCAGGTTAAATGAGAAGGCAACTGGCATACAGGGAGAATAAAAACCTGAAGTAAGAGCAGTTTGCAGCATTTAAGTGAACCCCAACACCATACATAGACTTTTTAACGAATGCTCCACCCACTCCAAGCCCATGCATCATAACGGCAGATAACACTTCCTTCTTCGCAGGAACCCATGCATATCTAATGTTCGAATCTCCTCGGCGTTTCTTAGTGATGTCAGCTTGCTTCTGGAAAAGAGATAGACGAGCTTTGGCAGTCTCGCTTGAAAACTGATACACATCAAGCAACTCTACATGCCCTAGAGTGGCAGTACCCAAAGCAAACATTTGTTTGACAGCATTTTTATCAAGCTCCTCCTCAGCAGGCTTGACACCAGAGAACTGATCAATTTCTGTTTTGTCCCATTTCTTAACAGCATCATCAAGCTCACGGCTGCAGCTATCCTCTGATGCCTCGTCATTTTGCCCATTTGAGGATCTCTGAACAGCTTGAATATCATCCATATTGTCACCAGACTCGTCACTGACCACATTCAAATTCAGCCTTGGTAACTCCCCGCCATTTACATCAATTTCAATGTGCAGCTTGATCTCATGTTGATCATGTTGTTCTGGATCTTCCCCACAGATATGATGGCAGCAGTCCCTTTCGAGGCTGTCAAAAGTTTCGGGGAAAAAGCATTTGCCAGCAATATCAATCCAAGCAAGCTGGGTTTTTACACCTGTTTCCAAGTCTAGTCGATACATGTGCAAGAAATCCAGGAGAAAAGGGCGACCGCACCAATTGAACTCAATTGCAGCTCTCTTTGCTTCAAGATCATTCCTGATGTCGCAAAGAATATGCTCAGGCAAATCAATCCATTCACCATTCTCATGGAACATTACACGCTTTGGCACTCCTGTCTTCTTATAATAGGAAAAGTATCTGACCAGAGACTTCCCAACACGATTCTCAGAAACATTAGCTTTGTTTTCACCATCCAAATTTCTCTTTTTCTCAAGCTTTTGGGTGGAACTGTTCGGTGAGAGCACACATTGAAGCTTTGCATATGACCTTCCAGAATCATATGGAATATAGTTCCCGGGATGCTTTCTCTTCTTCCCAAGTACATCTTTATAACTACTATCCGATACCTTGACGATTTTGGCTTCCATTTTTATCTACTAACAACGCTAAACCTATAACCTTGAATATAAAGTCAACTAAAACACCGAACTCTCTAGCAGTCCTAAGGATGGGAGCTCACCAACAGCATCGAAAAAAACTGCAAGAAGAAAGGTGTGCATCAGATATGAAAAAATGTGCAGTGACTGTATATAAAATAAAATAAAATAAACTATCATCATGCAATAACCCACATAACAAAAAGACACTGCTACAAAAACCATCAGAAAGCAACTATATGAACAGTTATTCAAGAGTTTTCCTGCAAATCATCATGTTTAATTGAAACAACACTCATCAGAAAGCTAGAGACTTACCCGGCTGTAGCACCTGGTAAATACATTTGTCTTCATCTTGGAGAAACAAAAAGTAATCAGAGAAGAAATGTCACAAATGTCAACTCTGTAAGACAAGCCAAAAAAAAAAAAACATTAACCTTCAATGACAGAAACAGATAACAGGCTATCAAAGCTGTCAAGACAAGCGCTCTTATGTTTAGGTGAATCATTACAACAGAAGCTTAGACAAAAGCAAAGCTTCACTCTTGACACATTTTCAAAAGTATAGACTTTTGAACACTAAACAGAAGCAGAAAATTAAAAATAATTAAACAAGTAGAAAATTATGCATTATAGCACTCTGTTTCAGCTTTTTTTGCGAAAACCCTAATAAAATTTGCTTGTAAACCATCAATTGACACTAAAGAATATCACAATTCAAAACAATTTTGACTAAAAGTAACACACCAACCCACAGAATCATAGACTAAATCAATAAAAGACAAATATAGTCAAGAAAAAAAAAAAAACTAACCTTATGAACTCTTTAGATTGATCGTAAGGCAAGAGAAATATAAGAGAAACTGGAAAGGGAGGTAAAGGCGAGAGAAGACTGCTAGAGCAACGAAAACCCTAAACCGGCGACGACGAAGAAGAAGAAATAGTTTGGAAAAAGAGGAGCCATTTATATATGATTCTCTCTTCGGCGAAATAATCTAAGTCGGCGGTCCTGGGGATTTTGTTTTGTCTAGTCTTGGACATAAAGCCAATCGTTTAGGCAAAAGAACAAAGTTACATTATGTTGTGTTCACTTTTTTTTACGTCAAAGCCCAAATCTAACTGGACCGTCACCTATCAATTTGACCCGGTCAAACACGGCCAATTTCACTATCAAGTATCATCAACATTTTTGGTGGATTATATGTTTTTGTGTTGAATATTCGACCTTTTTGGTAAACGACTAAACGACATCGTTTGAAAGTTTAGACTGGTATGGGCTTGGGCCCAAACAATGACAGCCCGTTTTAATCAGCAAATCCTGAAACAACGTCGACTCTGTGAGAGCAACCAGACTCGTGAAGAAGGAGAAGAAGCACGAGAAAAGTTTGCTGTTGGAAGAAATGGCGAGATCGTCGACTAGTAAGGATGCTCAGGATCTCTTCCATTCTCTTCGTTCGGCTTATACCGCTACACCAACGAATCTCAAGGTCTCATTTTGTTCTGATCTTTTATCGATCATCATTGGGTTTGCCGATTTGTTTCGAAATTGAAAAATCCCCTTAATGATCTCGTTTTCGCAGATCATCGACATGTATGTTTGTTTCGCGGTCTTCACAGCTTTGATCCAGGTAGGTACTCTAAGCTCTTTTCCTGATTCAACTTTGGCTCTAGATCCGTGCCTTTTGTTTCGTCTATGTATATGGGGATTTCAGATTTATGAGTTTTTATGTTCATATGTATTGATATGTTGATTCAAAAATGTTATCTATGAACTCGCATTTCAACTAGAAAGACAATCTCAAGTTTGATATACTACTTGATTTGCAATTTTTGGGTTCATTTGTATAGCATCATCCATTACTTTGTTGTTGAAATGTTTGATACATTTAAGAACACAAGCTATTGCAGTCTTTTTAAGGACTATAATATCAAGAAAATTAAACATCTATTGTTGCTTAATTCTTGACTCATGTAAATTCTACAGACTTTCTTGATTGAATTCTCTGTGTTTCTTAAAGAACCTGGTTACTTGGTTTTAGTGTGATTGATTTCTGTGATTGAGCAGGTTGCTTACATGGCTCTTGTTGGATCGTTTCCTTTCAACTCGTTTCTCTCTGGAGTTCTCTCGTGTATCGGGACAGCCGTTCTTGCTGGTGAGCACTTTAATGTGTCTTTTAACATACACAAGTTTCCCTACTATCTGTTTTTTGTACGAAGAGTAGCTTCTGAATGTCTGGATTCTGAAATAACAATCTATTTTTCTGTATAGTCTGCCTCCGGATTCAAGTGAACAAAGAAAACAAGGAATTTAAGGTAACTAACTCTACAGTTTCTTCAACTCCTCAGCAATCATTAGGCTTCCACAATGTTGTCTAACTATCCTTAGAAGACATCTATTCATATTTGCAATTCCTTTTGAATATTGCAGGATTTAGCACCGGAGCGAGCTTTTGCTGATTTTGTCCTCTGCAACTTAGTCCTCCACCTAGTGATCATAAACTTCTTAGGATAACTCCTCTCAAACCTCCTCTTCCGGACTTAATCTCATGAGATGTTTGGACCTAAAATTTCACCGACCCTCTCCTTTTAACATTGAGAACGCAAGGTTGGGATTTACAGCTCTCTTTACGGGTCATTCACAACTCTATTTTGGCCCAATAGCAACTCTAAATGTGAGTCCAGACAGTGTAGAATCATGAATTTCCTTCTGAGCTTGAATATATTCATTAAACATCTTCTATTACAAATCAAGTTTTAGCCAGTTTTAGGATCTACGCAAAAAGTGACAAAGAAGAGATGATTATTAACGTACATGAGTACATCATCAAGATACAGAAATGGTAGGCATAGTCGATTCATTTTGTTAACCTTTCCACACTTGAATTCAATCGCATTCATTGAGTGAAGAAAAAATAAATAGGAAAATCTATTTAAATAGAAGGATAACAATTTTGATACAGATAAGCACATTGCCTCAAATTCGCTTCTGCAAATAGAGAAAAGACAAAGTAAGACAATAAAAGAAGGGAAATTGTTCTCCCAAATATCTAATGTAGTAGTAACTTACACATACACACTGGACCGACAACCCTCAAGAAAGCTAAAGAAACTATTCCAAACCAATTGATCTCTGATGCCTAAAATCCTACAAACCATCTGTTAGCAAAGAACCGCCGAGTGTTGTTGTTGCTGCTGCTGCTACATTTTTTTATACCTGTGTTAGGAATTGGTTTTGCTCTATGTCTCCTCACGTTGTGTCTTTGTAGGAATCAACCTTTCTCTCTGCGTCGCCTGTTTGATTGGTGTCTGGTTCTTGGTGGTCATTGTCCATGCTTATGCCTTCAAGTGGAGGGAATAATGAAAGTTGGTCCTGCAAGAACAAATTATACAGAAGACGAATAGTTTCACTGTCTGTGTCTGATGTAAAGTGACTCTGACCTGGTTACTGTTTCGTTGGTTGGCTCTAAAACTATTTTTGAAAGTTTACTCTTTTTTTTTTTTACCTTGAGAGAGGTGTTCTCGGCGGTGAGTTCTTCGCATTGGCTTTTGAGCTTGTTGATTTCTGCTCTGAGATTAGTGTTTTCTTCGTTTAACACCTCAGCGCGTTGGGCCAGCTCATCACATTCGGCCTAAATCACCAAAAACCTCTTCCGTGTCAATAATTTGCTCACATGGGCGTGCTAGAGGTCATCTAAAGGGATGTTTAGTACCTGTTTACGCAACCTGGATCTTCGAGCAGACTCCCTATTGGACTGCTTCCGTCTCTGTCGCTTAAGTTCTCTATCGTCCTAATTGCAGGACAAACAAATCTGAGTTTGAGGATAAAAGAGATTCAAATTTTACTAAGATTAAGGAAGAAAGGTGGGCACACACCTGTAACCAGGGTTGTGAATGGCCACCATCTCGCGACCCTGGAGCAACAACTCCAGGAACTGGTGTAGATACTTTCCCATGCATTCCAGGGATAGCAGCTGAAGTAGGAGCACCCCAGTAATCCATCCCAATATTTAAATTTGTTGGTGGGCCGGGAACACCTGCAGCTGTCATTGGCATGATTGGTACGGTCTGGCTCACCGGCAGAATAGGTGTACCAGCACTTCCATTTCGCGGACCATTGGCAGAACCACCATTCTCTGATGCTGCTTCAGCTGAATGGAAAAACAAAAAGAACTCCCTAATAAGCAGCTTTCACGGTGTTAGCCACATGATAGTAATGAAAGGAAAAAGACAAGATCGTAAACCAACCATCCTTTCCGTCCAGTCCAGATCCCGAGTCCTACAAGAATTGCAAAGAAAATCAGAATCAGTCATAATTACTGTAGGAACTCCTCACTCCCATAGAAAGAGGGAATGGCTTTAAGACTTTTCGCCCAATGACCCAACAAAAACGTTTGATGATGATGCAACATGTACAACGCAAAGGTTATGTATGCCAGTGTGCACATTCCAACTGCTAGCAACACTCATGAAATTCAAATGAGAAATTCTAAGGAACTGACATATCTGAATAGGTCAATCCAAATTCAGATTCATGCTAGGTTCTTAGCAAACAAATTTTTTAATTACTCAAATAAAAGACTTGCAGAGTCACTAGGTGCTCCCCATGAAACAGTGCCTCCTCACAACATAGTTGCCATAATGAATGCATACCAACAAAGATACAAGTCAAGTGAAAAGGCTGATGATTTGGAAACTTACATTTTGAGAGTTTCCATCACTTCCTTCACTTGAACCATCAGAAGCACTCTCCCCACTGTAACCAAACAATTCTGACAATCTCAGGGAAGTAATAGAATGGATATTATCTAATGAAGCAGCATAAGTCCAAAAGGGGTCCTAGTCCAAACATAATCAAATTCCCAAGATAACAACCATGCATACATGCCACGTCACATAGACCGAATAAAATCAAGCATGTCACTTGCCTTTTGGAGTAAGCTCCATTAGCTGATGCTCCCGAGTTTTTCCCAGGTTCATTGTTCTTTCCTGTAATCATGTTCAAACTTCCCAAGCTTCCTCTTGATCTTTTGATGGGCAATTTTTCCTTCACTTCAGATTGTTTGGCATCACCCTCAGTGCCGCCTGTAGTATTCCCCTGTATAAAATCATCTCTGAATTATGATCCTACAATAAGTAAAGGTAGCAAAGACAATTTGAGAAAGACCGGATGAAACATGATGGGACGCAAACTCACAGAAACTTCAGTCATTCCATTTGGAGAAGGCATAGCATAAGGGCTATATGGATAAGAACCCTGATACAGAATGGAACATATTAAAGATATAATTAACAGCCACCATTTCAATATATGTCCACTGCAATCGAATATCTACAGTTGGCAGTACCGGAGGCATTGAAGGATGCGCGTACATCCCACCTGGGGGATACATTGCAACGTAAGGATGAGGCGGAGTTCCATAAGGAGGCATCATATGCTGCAAAAGTTGATGTCTCATTCAGTAATCAATCAAAGCTATGATGACAAAGAGCTGAACGAATTCGTTATAAGTCAATAAGTAGGTTGCAACTTTCCACCACTCTAAACACTGATATACACATCACAATAAAAAGCGAAAAAGCATAAGCCAGTTTACCTGAACTCCCCACATATAAGGGTGAGGTTGGGGACTTGATGCCACATAACCATGAGGCGGCGGCATAGGAGAATATGCCTGTCAAAAAGAAACCCATAAAGATCAAATGCAACGAGAAAACAGACAACAGATCCATAGATGGAGGAATCTGTCTTAACCTGAAAACCAGACCAATCTGGAGTAGCCATGCCAGCACTCACAGCCGATGAAGGTTCCTACAAACACAGAATATTCCAACTATAGCATATCACTGATAGGGATACAAAATCATAAATAGCTGAAATCTAGAATATATCTATTTCCTTTCTAGTATCTCACTTCTAATCGTGGCTTCTAATAGCTTGAATCATGGGATTTGTTTTCCTTTTCTATATTAGGGTCCTCTTAAAATATTGGAAGCAGAGAAGAGTAAACATTAACCTGTGAAGAGGGAGGAGCAGCAGAAGAAGAAGGAGGTGTTTTAGGTTCCTTCTCTTTACTCGATTTTTCCATCTCATTGCTAGCCATTATCACGTTAACTAATTTCTAAAACAACCCGTAATTGCTTCCTGCAAGACGAACTCAGCTATAAGCTAACTCACGACGAGATCTACTCATGCATAAACTCAATCACATCCAACAATTTTCAACATTTCAGGTAATTAAGATGTTACAGATTTCGTTCCAAACTTCTCCTACTGATCGTTGACCAATACAGCTAAATCCAAAAGCTACAAAAGGTATAGTCTTTTTTCTCAAGATGCAGAAACAGGTAACAATGTCGGAGAGGAGAAACACAATAACAAAAAATCCAGAAGTATAAACAGAAACCCTCGAAAAGCCCTAGAAAACTCAATCGAATTCAGAACAGAAACGCTAAAATCTAACCCCAAAGATACAAACTTGGAGATGTGAACAGAAATACCTAAAGACTGGTAATGTTTGGAAACCCTGAAGCACAATTTGAGATGCGGTGTGAATCTCTGAGCTTGATTTTGCAGAAATTTGAGAGAATCAATGTCTCTTGACCAAAAGATAAATTAAATTGGCTGATTGTTTTGTGTTTTCTGACGGAGAAGAAAGAGGGCCGCGTGGAGTTCACGAGGAATAAAAATTGCTTCTTTGCCTAAATTAAGTGTTTTTATTAAAACTCCTTCTTTATAACTTATTTATGAAATTTATCCATATAAAGCCTTACAATAGATTTGTAACCCACCCAAAATGTCAAAATTTGAAAAGGAAGATCTTTAAAACCAAAATTGACAGTTGTTGTTAGACATAAATACATTGGAAAAAGTGGCTTTGCAAAGTATTTATCAACTGTTATGAACACATAAGTTTATGTATAGAATACACACAACACATTGATAGAAAAATAATGTCATTGGTATGTTACATGTCATTATCATTGTACATAAACTATAAATGATTTTATGCCAAAATAGTTAAGAATACGATTTTATGTATGTGGTTGTTACTTCACTTGTATTGATATAATTTCCCGTAATTTAGGAGATAAGAGTATGTGAATTCACTTATAAAAAAGTATTAGGCACAAGAGAGATTCTTAAGAAATGAGAGGGTGAGAAAGAAAAATAATAAAAGACTAGGGTGAGAAAAATAATTCAAGGAAGAGAAAACGCAGAGCTCTCTCTTTAGCCCCTCTCTTTCAAAGTTGAAGTTTTTGACGGCGTCTCCGGCTCTACACAGCAATGGCGTCTGGATCAGACTCAGAAGTAGAAAAGGAAGCAATACACCACAAAGCACTAGCGGAATCGAGTTTCAATTCCGGGGACTTGATCTCGGCTCTGAATCACGCGCGGAAAGCTCTCAGCTTCTCTCCGAACACGGAAGGTTTATCCGCCATGGTTACCGCTTTCGAGATCATCAGCTCCGCCGCAACAGTCGCCGGAGGTTTGCCGGAATGGTACAAGGTTCTAAAGGTAGAGCCTTTTTCTCATATCAATACCATTAAACAACAATATAGGAAGCTAGCTTTGGTGTTGCATCCTGATAAGAACCCATACGTGGGATGCGAGGAGGGGTTCAAGCTTTTGAATGAGGCTTTTAAGGTTTTCTCTGATAAGGTTAGGAGGACTGAGTATGATATGAAGTTGAGGATTAGAATTCAGGGAGAAATTGTAAGTGGTGGTTGTGGTGATGATGAAACGTCGACGTTTTCGACGGTTTGCTCGGGTTGTAGGTCGGTGCATAAGTTTGATAGAAAGTATTTAGGACAAAATTTGATGTGCTCTAGTTGCAAAAAGAGTTTTGAGGCAAAGGAAGTTGAGAAAGAAGAAGAGGGTAGAGACGGAAGTGAAAATGGAGCTTGTACTTCCAAGATCATAACATATAGTAGGAGGAAGAGGCCTGTTGGTAGTGATGGTGAAAGTCTGAGAAGAGAAGTTGAGACAGGGGAGATGAGTGAGGAAGGAGCAGAAGCTGTTAATGTATCTGAGAGGTTGGATGAAGAAGATGAAGGGATGATGACTTTGGCAGAAATGCAATCGGTGATAAAGAGAAACAAATCGAAGGTGAAGCCGAAGATCACTGAGAAAGATAGCATAGGAGAAGAAAACATGGGAAGGGAAACGCAGAAGAGATCTTTAGCTGATGTCTCCATGACTGAAACGTTAAGGGAGATGAGTACTAACAAGGTGAATAATAAACGAGAAGCTTTAAAGAATAGTAAGAATATAAAGAAGAAGAAGATGACGAACCACAAGAATTTAACTGAGATTGTGGATTTAGAATACGTGCCACGGGTTGATAGGAAGAGGGATCGTGGTAAGTTGAGCCAAGAAATCTATATGGAAGACGAGGATTTTGAACTGTATGATTTTGATAAGGACAGGATGCCGAGGAGCTTCAAGAAAGGGCAGATTTGGGCGATATATGATGGTGGTGATGACAAAATGCCTCGGAGTTACTGTTTGGTTAGTGAAGTAGTCTCTTTGAACCCTTTTAAGGTATGGATCAGCTGGTTGGATTTTGAGAGCGAGAAACTAATCTCTTGGATGAAGATTAGTTCTTCTCATATGCCTTGTGGTAGATTCCGGGTTGCAGAGAAAGCTTTGATCGAACAAGTGAAACCATTCTCTCACCTTGTCAACTGCGAAAGGGCTGCACGAGAAGTATACCAAATATATCCCAGGAAAGGCTCGGTTTGGGCAGTCTACTCAGAGACAAATTCAGGTCTTCAGAGAAGAAAGACCAGACGCTATGAGATTGTCGTGTGCTTGACGATGTATACTGACGCATATGGCTTGAGTGTAGCATATTTGGAGAAGGTAAACGACTGTAGCAACTTGTTCAAGAGACGGGATTATGGGTATAATGCAGTCAGGTGGGTAGAGAAAGACGATGTTGCAGCCTTGCTCTCTCATCAGATTCCGGCCAAGAAGCTGCCTGAAAATGAATCTGGAGCTGATCTGAAAGAGTCTTGGGTGCTTGATCTAGCTTCTGTTCCTCCTGACTTGGTTTCTGCCACTTAGTTAACATAGAAAATTCTTGCTTTCGTTTATGTTTTTGTTTGTCATCATCATGACAAAGAGAAACAAACACTTCATGTCAATATTTGTCTAATTTAATCATTTTAGTTTAGATCAACCAAGTTATTTAGTTGTAAAAATTCATTCATATGCCAAATTTTACTATCTAAACCAAATGTTGATACTTATACACCAAATGTCACATGAGCCCAAAGGCTTTCCCACAAGTTTTTAAATTGCAGAGATAAGTTGAAATCGTGTTATATTACCAAATTTTAATGGCAAAAAAACAAAATTTCAGAATTTGATTACAGAATTTTATATTGTTAGTTGATAAAATCAAATGTCTAGTTATTAGATATCAATATTTTTTAGATTTTTTAGATATGAATATGCATAAATTTCGCGTTGGGCAAAAAGAAACGGATTATAAATATCAGTGAGCCCTAGAAATTCTCATGGCCTAAAAGAGAGAATTAATTAATTCGTCCACCAAAACAAAAGGTCACACGCTTGAGAGAGAAAGAGTGCGCAGAGTGAGCGAGCATAGCGGTGGAGTGTCGTCACTGCTAACTCTGACGATTTCTCTTGTTTACGTAGCCGAAAAGATCACTCTCTGTTGGTGTCGACTCTGTTTCTGGGTATGATTCTTTTGGAACCCTAATAGTAGTCAGAGGTTTTGATTTTGCATGGTTTATGGTTGCGAGTTAAGGTTTTCCGGTTATGGGTCTTGATTTTCTTTCGTAAAGTCTTCTGGGTTTGTCAATTATCACTCAAACAATCTTGAAAGATCAAATCTTTTCCTCTACGTATGTAGTCTTTAAGCTTTAGATTGTGTAATGTGTTCTGATTATCTGGGTTTCAATGATATAGGTTGTGTGCATATCAGATTCTGTCTTGTAAAACGTTTGTCTTTTGATTGTAAACTGTTACTGGAAAAAAACTGTAGATTATGTTCTCTGTAATATCCCAATTAAGGCATTGTATAGACTATGTACTATAGAGCTAGTAGAGTGTTTTTTTTTTATAGTTCTCTTGCTTCTGGATTTGTGTGTTTCTTTATAATGTTAGTTTCAGTTGTTGATTCAAAATGTTGGCTTATCTGATCTGCTTTTGAAATGATGCAGGAGCCGCGACGTGAAGGTTTGATCTTTCCACTGAAACTAGCTATCAAGATGAATTCATTTCCTTCACAAAACTTGATGCTATCTGCTACAAACGCAAACAAGGGCGCAGGCTTGCGTACGTCTAATGCTCATTGGTTACATTCCTGTATCGCCGTTCCAAAGACCACAGGCATTGATCTTTCTCAAGCAAATCCTGCTGAAGGTGTGATGGTGCCTCAATCTCATTTGTTTCCTCCTCCTACTAGAGATTCCAGAAATGATATGGAAACTGTGAAACAGAAGTCTGTAAATCAGTCTCCTTTGAAGTCTTTGAAGCCAAACCCGCCAAGGAAGAAACGCTCTGCATCCAACAAGTCAAAGAAAACACCGAGCATACCAGAAACAAAACGCGAGAAAAAGAATCTGGACATCAACATTGACATCTCAAGCTTTGATACTTCTGGGGTTCCTCCTCCTGTTTGTTCATGTACAGGCGTTTCAAGGGTTTGCTACAAATGGGGCATGGGCGGTTGGCAATCCTCATGCTGTACCATCAGCATATCGACATACCCACTACCCATGAGCACCACAAGACCCAGGGTTCGTCTTGCTGGAAGAAAAATGAGCAATGGTGCTTATGTCAAGCTCCTTGCTAGGCTTGCTGGCGAAGGTTATAACCTCTCTCACCCTGTTGATCTCAAGAACCATTGGGCCAGACACGGTACTAACAAGTTTGTGACCATCAAGTAGTCGTTTCATTAGTTGGGTTTGGTTTTAGATTTTAGCTTTTGTGGTTTCCATGTAAGTCATATTTACACTTTTGGCATCTTTGTATATATGTTTCGTAGTTGCTTTAACATCATATAGGACGACACTTATTTTCCTTTAGGAGGAATGTTTGGTACTGCAACAATGGATCAATTAAGTTTCTTTCATTCTGCTAATTGTTATATCTTTGCTCATTCCGGCTTTTTTCGCCATGGAAGATAATAGCAAAGATGTTTTATCAATGCATTTGGCCATCGGTCTACATCATCACACTCCAACACAGATACATTGGAAACGTAATCTCTCTACTGATTTACCCCCAAAATGTTGAATCATTAACATAATAGGACACATATATCTTTTGCCACTACAACTACTAACAGCACAACACAACACACCAGAGAGTTTATTGCAGACGATGGTAATTACATTAGTAGTAAAGATGGTATAATCAAACCTTCTAAGAGGGCGTCAGGGCGGTATTTTGAGAGTACTGTATTTGCTGTAGTATATGCATTGTATCCTTTTACTTGTTTCCCCTGAAGTAGAGGTATATTTTCTGAAAAAATCCCAGCAGTGGTGGAAACACATTAAGGCATGAACTTGGGTAATATGTAGATATATAGAAGAAAGCGAGTAGACTAGTATCATTTTACCTGGAGAACCCACAGACTCAAAAGTTCTCATTCTGAGTAAATGAAATGATGTTTCCAAATGATGGCTAGTCGAAACACAGATTCTTAGCTTTTATAGTTCTCATTCTACTAATAATTAGTTATTTTGTAGCAGAACAACTTACAACTTTCCAAGTGAAACCCTTGTTAAACTACCATACATGAAGCATTGGTTGGAAAACTTACGTTAATGATTGTCCATGGAAAACGATCGGAGGAGCAATGGCGGCGAATATGCAGAAGCCAATCATTGGCTGCCAATGTGAAACTGTCAAGAGCTAAGTTCAATTACACAGTTACAAGTCTCAACCAAATCCACTCGAGACTTCATAATATAGTTTCCATACGAGACACAAAACTATACCTGAATATTCAAATTTAAACAGTAACAAGTACAGCAGTTCACTGCTGGGGACTTTATACAGTTCATAAACAGAACAGCAGATGAAATAAATAAAACCTACCCAACCAACTAGCAAATGCCAAGTACTGCAGTTTTTGTTCATGAACTGGTATTTCGTTAGCAATGTCGTGGTGTTCCATTAGTAACAAACCAGCACAACATTCAAAAAATTGTTTGCAATATTGCAATAATAGGGTGTCATGAAAGTCCTTTTGGCTTACACTTAGCAATAGCATCTTCTCTTCGTTTAATATCACAAAGAGATAACGAGTTACATGAAATCATTCAACAAGCAAAAAACAAAGAAACAGAGTTAAAACGAAGAGAAGACAACAACCATTTATCTCTTCCTAAGTAGTGCTTCCCAATCGGAAAGCTCTCTCTGTTTCTTTGAAGAATCCTGCACCAATCACACACAAATTTCAGAGAAATTCAAGTGAGAATTTTCCATGAGTGTTACAATGCTAATGTTCTTACATTCACCGTATCCAATGGAATATCGACTGTACCATCAAGGTTACTGCCAAACCCAACTGGCCTAATTAGATGACGCGGGAACCCTTCCAGCATCTTTCATAGCCTCCAAGAAACTTCAACAGAAATTTTTTTAAAAAAAAACAAAAGGTTATTATGCTTCTAATATACTAGCCTTCCTTAGCCATACAATAGAAAACCAAGAACTGATTCCAACAATCTAACCATTTCGAAAGACACTACACTATAAAGTAGTTCTAATCACTCTGGACCGGATTACTCACACGCAATACAGCTTTCTGGCCAAATTCATGCCTGGTATGTCTAGAAACAATAAAAATTTCAATCAGAAATGAGAGTGTCAATAAGAAAAACAAGGTTCCAGAGACTCCGTTTCGGCTATTATTTCCAGTTCCAGGAACTAAAATCACTAATGAACTAAGATTCTTAAACTCTAGAAATACTTAAAAACTCAAAATGGCCAAATAAATTCGATATAAGCCGAGACTAGGGAACTGGAAATTATACCCGAAACGGAGTCTCTGGAACTTTGTTTTAAAGAGGCAAAAGAACCATTGTAGTTCAAGAATTTTCGATCGAGATTCAATATTTTTCCCCATATTTTTCTTCCTAGATTCTTAATATAAAATGTTTGAAAAACCTAGTTTCTATAGTCATCATATTAGGCCAAACAATAAAAATCATTAAAAAGAGATAAATCTTTAAAAAAAGATAAAGTCAATTTCACTACTTTTAACTCAAGTGATGCATGGAATCAAATACGTCAAGAAAGTCATAAAAAATTTTTTCCAAAAGTCCCGAGACTTTGGACATCAAATTAATGCTTAGAAGGATCCATGACTTGACCAAGGAACAAAACCAGTCCACTTCTGTATTCTTTGACGATGAAGAGAAAAGGATGATCAGCCACGAAGTCATACTTCTTTGGCGGAGGACGACAGCCAATTCTTCTTAATGCGGCAGCAGCTGCAGCTTTCGATCCCACTTCATCTACCTCAATGCAAGACTTGTGGATGATCGTGGACAATGGCACCTTCAAACCCAAACCCTTGAGAGCTTTCGAGGCTTCGAAAGCAAAATCAAATTTAAACCTTGGAATCTTGAGTTCTTTGATATCCGCCGAGTGGCTAGGAAGGACCTCGTTGTCCTTCAAGAACCCAGGAGTAGAAGCTAATCTCTCCAGCATTGAAGGCAACCCATCTTTCTCATCAGGGAGATAGATTTGCATTGAGAAAATACGACTGTCTTCTTTGTAATTGCGTCCTCCTCTGTATGGTAGCTCGAGGACTTTGAAACCTTCGTAAACATAGAGTGTGTATTTGCAGGAGGCACCAGTCATGAAGGGCACACGTACTTTGGTTCCATCAAGAAGGTGAAAGTCGGAATCTTTTGTTAGAGATGGATCGAATTCCGCATCCCATCTTCCGTTGAAGAACAAGGCATTAGCAAATATGAGATCAGTCAAAGGAGATGCAGAGTTTGGTGGAAGAAGATTAGTGATGAGTCCTTTTGTCTGCTTTTCAACCCATGAATTCACCTCTTTATTCACTTCATCGGCCTTTCAAAAACAAACAAACCAAAGAAGCTATCATCAACGTTTGTGATTTGATTTCACAAAAGCCTTGTGTATACTTCATAAAGCACAACATGTTAGTATAATCCCTAGTATTTAGCTAAGTTATTATACACCGAATGATGTTCATATAAGTGAGACTGAATGAAATATTTGGAGAGGTTTAAGGAAATTAGGTTACACAAACTTCTATGACTTGATTTTCTCACAGAAGTCTTGTCTAAATCAGATTATGTCATTCTATGTTACATCTAAGCATGTTAATATTCGTATAATATAATACCTAGTAAATTTATGTAGGAGTTAGGTTTATTTGGATCAAAGAGAGTACCTTGGTGCGGAAGTCAACTTGGTTGAAAGCAGCTTTATACGAATTCTCCAAGAGATCCTTGAAAGAAGGTTCCACAGAGAGAGTCTTTTCGATCCAGAAGCCATTCGCTGCCGATATCGTTGGGCCGCCAGTCGCGGTGCTGTCGGCTAGGACTGTGGTGACGATCCCGGAGGAGACGGCGTTAAGCTTATCGGTGGAAGAAGCCTGGAGTAAAGAAACAATCTGGTTTGCGGTGGCTCCGGGAGATCTGGCGGCGATAAAACTGAGGATGACGTTGATTAACGCCGGCGAGAAGACGAGGTTGGAGGTTTTCCCGGAGGTAGTGGCGATCACGTGCTGAGTCAACCTCAGAACAATGTCGTTTTGATTCCCTACTGATTCTTTCAGGTCCATCATGACGTTATATTGATTCTCTATTGATTCTTCCAGGTCCATCTTTCTTTTTCTGGTAGTGTCCAGTTCCATCTTTCTTACGGCGAGGTAAGTTGGATTTTTTTGGATTCTCTTAGCCGATTTCTTTCTTCTACTTCTCTTCTTTTCTTTTTATGTTTTGAACAAACCTCTTAACACAATAACCCTAATTATATATAGAGTTATCATAATTATATATTCTAAACAAAACTAATAAATTTTTATTTTCATAATTTCCTAAATACGCTCGCTTCTATTTTATTTATTTCCTTTTCTTTTAGTTAACTTTCTTAAATCCAAAGTTGTGCTGTTTTCTGGTTTCTTTCTTTTATTTCCCTTTAATATATTCCAATACTTCAGTTAGCTTATTCGTTTGCTAGCTAATTAATTGTTTGAGATTTAACAAAGCAAAAACTTCTCATAGATGGAAATGATCGATCAGAGCCACAGATGGAAATGAGATATGTGTCACAACCGCTGCAACTCATGTGATCGAAGTAGCAACAGAGTTTAAACCGGTGGATCACCCGATGGAGCCCTTAGACAACGATCAACCGATCCAATGTCCACTCCCCGAGGCCCGAGCCATCCATTCTGTATGTATTCTTGAAAAGATCCAAGAAAATAAAAAACATGGTTTCTCACTTTCTCTATAATGAAATATTAGGAGAACAAAATCGACTCTCTCAGAGATAATGGTCTAAAAATATAGAAATCATGACGATCAAGAAGGATCTAGAAAATCATGATATTTACCAATATCTTAGTTTAAGAATATTAATCAATGTCTTAGTTTAAGAATATTTACATTTATATGTAAAAGTATTATTTACATTTATCTTTATCTTAAATTCTTAATTTAGGAATTATCTCTATATATATCGATGTATATTGCAACATTAATCTCATGAGAGTATATTTTAATTTTTAACATTTTTGTGATTTTTTAGACAGTTGCCACAGTACCTTGCCTCACACCACACAAGTTTCCTTCAATTTATAGTTCCGTTTCCTTCATCATTACATTTGGTGTACAAAAGTTATGAGCAGAGCCTTGGTTTAAAGGCTTGAAGCCAAAGCAGAACTAGACGATGATTCAAGAGGGTTTTGCAACTACTCTGTGTGTGTTTGTTACAGTTAAACATATGGATCGGATAAAAGGAACACACAACACAACAGAATTTTATCGCGAGAAATTATGTAAAGTAGACACTTTTTCTACAAATAATTTGTAAAGTAGGTAGTTTTTTTAGAAATTAGGAGAATAGACACTTTTCTCTTTCCTCTCTAATACAACTTTCTCTCTAATTGAGCCTTTTAGTAAATGACTTATATATCCTTTTGTTGTTTTGTTATGTAGTAAGATAAAGACAAAACTAATTAAAAGTCAAACTATTATTTTTCTCTTTCTTCTTTTTACTTAAATACTTTTACTTTGTTTTGATTTGTTAAAAAATTTTCATAAAAAATTACTACATAAACATATTAATCTTTAAAATTTTTAAGTGAATCTAAAAAGTCCAATTTTGCTATATTTCGAATATACGTTATATTTTTTTTATTTAATCCCAACCCGTCGGTGTACACAATAATGTAAAACGTGGTGTACAAATTATAGTGTACGGTGATGATATAAAAATTAATGTATATTATTAATGTAAAAGTGGTATACAATATGTAAACAGTGTACAAGGTGGTGTACAAACGACAATTGATAGTGGTGTACACCTATATAATACGATGGTGTACGGAGATGATGTAAAATATGGTGTACATGTAACGATGATATAGTATGTCCCCACCATATACCACCTTGTGTGTAGTCTACAATAACGTACACCCACCTATTTTGTATTTGTACACCACATACAAAGAAAGAAACATTTTTGTCAAGTGATAATGTACAAAACAATATATACACAATAGTGTACGAGATTGGTGTACAGAGGAGTGTACAAACGTTAGTGTACACACATTATTTCAATTTAATGGTATACACCATCATATTCATTGGTGTACATGATGTACACCATTATATTTAGTATAACCTATGGTTTTATTACCATGATCTTGTTTGTATTAATATTATAAACAATAATTACTTTAATTTACAAATATGAGACAAATCGATGTATTTAATGACTTGGTGTACAAGTTAGTGTACAAAACTATGTTTAAAATGCCGGTGTACGAGATTGGTAGCAAAATATATACAAGTCATCTTATTTTTGTTTAAAAAAGATTTTTTTTAAAAAGAAAACCAAAAAGATTAAGAAAAAAAAAACAATGATGTAATATAATTTGATCCAATAACATAAAAAATTAGGATCCACACAAAAAGCTAACTCACAAAAGATAAAGGGTAAAATGGTATTTGACTTCTTTCTTGTCTTTTAGTCTATTACACACAACTTCTATCTCACAAAAGAAATAAAAAGTGTCTATTTCACAAATTTCTAAAAAAACTACCTATTTCTCAAATTACTTTCATAAAAGTGTCTACTTTTCTAAAAAGCCATTTTATCGCAGACAATGACACAATGGTAATTACATTAGTAATAAGATGGTATAATCAAACCTTCTAAGAGAACGGTACTTTGGGGGTACTTTATTGCTCTAGTATTTGCATTCTATCCTTTTACCTGTTTACTCTGAAGTAGATGTATGTTTTCTGCAAAAATCCCAACAGTGGTGGAAACACATTAAGGCATGAACTTGGGTATATGTTGGCTAGGTAACAGTTAGCAGATATATAGAAGAAAACGGGTAGACTAGTATCAATTTACCTGGAGAACCCACAGACTCAGAAGCAACTCCATGCAGAAGAGACCAAAGCCGACAAAGTAGAATATCTGCAGTAAGATACTAAGTTAGCTAGGTATCAGCCAGGTGTTATGGTTAATAGGAACTAAATTAGTAACTAACAACTGATCCGTAATAAATATAGAAAAGAGGTCATGGTTCGTACCCCGGCTAATAAACTGGCAGAGATTACATCTATTGCTGCCAGTACACCCCTGTAGATTTGAAGACATTGAAAAATCACTTGTTGCAACACACGCAGTTAAGTATATACAGAGACACATAATCTTGAACGAGGCTTCATGACCCGAAGAGTTTAGTTTGACGGTTGGTGAAGTTTTCTATGTCGTAAATGAAATGATGTTTCCACATGATGGCTAGTCGAAACACAGAGTTAAGATTCTTAGCTTTCTAGTTCTTATTCTACTCATAATTTGTTATTTCTAGCAGAACAACTTACAACTTGCCAAGTGATCACCTTAAACCCTTGTCAAACTAACCATACATGATGCATTGCAAAGCTTAAGAACAAGATTAATTAACTAAAACAGCAATGATTGGACTACTTACGTTAATGATTGTCCATGGAAAATGATAGGAGGAGCAATGGCGGCTAATGTGCAGAAGCCAATGTGAATCTGTCAAGAACCACGTTCAGTAATACAGGAAATAGAAAGTGTACATGCGTAGAGTGAAGATAAACTGTGAATCTAAAGATGACAGCTTTTTTAACAACTCACCAGGTAAAAGAAAAAGAACCAACCGAACTTCAAAGCACTGTCAGTCCTGCAAGGTGATAAGACAGTTATAGGCACAGTACCAATATGACCTAGTCTATTAAAAGTCAGATAATCGGAGCATTACCTCATTGCTAGGTAGAGAGGCTTGTACCATAAGACATATGAAACTGGACATCCAAGTGACGCATAGATTGTGGCAAGAAAAAAGATTTTAACACCTATCATTCATATATAAACTAGCATTAGCTCAACCAAATCCACTCAAAACTTCATAACATAGTTTTCTTCAAATGGTGAATTTGTTATAATATAAAAGCTCACCTCCGCCTTCAATCCAGCAGACTATTACTGCGATGACATTGAATATGAGACAGAAAACTAGACCTGAAAATTCAAATCAAACAGTAACAAGTTCATCAGTTCACTGCAGATGACTTTATAGTTTATACAGTTCATAAATAGAATGGCATATGAAATCAATAAAACCTACCTAACCAACTAGCAAAAGCCAGGTACTGCAGTTTTTGTGCATGAAGTGGTATCTCGTTGTGGTGTATAATTGGGAAAAAGGACGGCCAATTTTTATCGTTTATCTGCAAGCCAGCTGTGACACAATTTGATGTGTTTCGTTAGTAACAAACAAACCAGCACAAGATTCAAACAATGTTTTTTTGCAAAAATAATGTGTCATGAAGGTCCTGTTGGCTTACACTTGGCAATAGCATCTTCTCTTCGTTTAACATCCTGGGTGAATCAGAGATAAAGAGTTACATGAAATAATCCAACCAGCAACAAGCCAAGAAACTGAGTGAATAGGTAGAGAAGACAATAACCATTTCTCTGTTCCTAAGTTGTGCCTCCCAATCAGAAAGCTCTATCTGTTTAGAGTCCTGCACCAATCACACACAAAATCTCAGAGAAATTCAAGTGAGAATTTGCATGAGTGCTACAATAATAATGTTCTTACATTCACCCTATCCAATGGAATATCGACGGTATAATAAAGGTTACTGCCAAATCCAACTGGCCTAGATGACGCAGGAACCCTTCCAACCTCACCAGCTCCTTTCTGCAATAAAAAAATATATTAAGACCACATACACTTAGCCTGCAATAAATTTCAATGAATCTGAAAGGAAAGTGAGCCAGAAATAGAAAGCCGCATGTTAAAAGCATTTACCAAGAAGGGATTGACAATTTCTTCTTCTTCTTCCTCGTTGAAGGGATTGGGATCGTGGTGGCGACTCATTGTTCACTTTTCAGATCTTAATAGTTTTTGACAATACCGGCTGAGAGATCCGGGGAGAGTTAAGAAACAAAGAGAGACAGAGAAATGAAACAAACGACGACGACTTCTTTACCCTCTTATTTGGTTCATGTATATGAAGATATAATATATAAGGAACTACGTTGACCAAATCAACATATTATATATATGAAGTCAAATTCAACAAAACCATACCTCGAGGTTAACGACTATATAATAAAGGGTTTAAGAAGATAGATATGAAGGAAAATTAAAAAAAAAGCTCGAGGACTAAGTCAAGTTATTTATTAGTTTCAACTTTCAAGTGGTCCATGGAACAATACTTGAAGAATGCATAAGACTTTGGCCATAAAAAATTAATGCTTAGAAGGATCCATGACTTGACCAAGGAACAAAACCAGTCCACTTCTGTATTCTTTGACGATGAAGAGAAAAGGATGATCAGCCACGAAGTCATACTCCTTCTCCGCAGGACCAGCACAGCCAACACCTATTACAGCAGCAGCAGCTGCAGCTTTCGATCCCACTTCATCTACTTCGATGCAAGACTTGTGGACGATCGTGGACAACGGCACCTCCAAACCCAAACCCTTGAGAGCTTCAGAGGCTTCGAAATCAAAATCAAATTTAAACCTTGGAATCTTGAGTTCTCCTATATCTGCCCAGTAGCTAGAAATGTCCTCTCTGTCATTCAAGAATCCACGAGTAGAAGCTAATCTCTCCAACATTGCAGGCAACCCATCTTTCTCATCAGGGAGATAGATTTCCATTGAGAAACTACGGCCGTCTTCTTCGTAATCCCGCCCTTCTCTGTACGGTAGAGCGAGGACTTTGAAACCTTCGTAAACATCGAGATGGAATGTGAAGGAGTCATGGGTCATGAAGGGCACACGTACTTTGGTTCCATCAAGAAGGTGAAAGTCAGAGTCTTCTGTTAGCGATGGATCGAATTCCGCATCCCATCTTCCGTTGAAGAACAAGGCATTAGCAAATATGAGATCAGTCAAAGCATCTACAGAGTTTGGTGAAAGAAGATCAGTGATGAGTCCATTTGTCTGCTTTTCAACCCATGAATTCACCTCTTCAGTCACTTCATCAGCCTTTCAAAAACCAACAAAAATCAGGAAAGTTATCAACATCTAGGGTATACTTACTTAAGCACACATCTAAGCATGTTAATGTTAGTATAATGCCTAGTAAATTTATAAAGAAGTTAGGTTTATTTGGATCAGAGAGAGTACCTTGGTGCGGAAGTCAACTTGGTTGAAAGCAGCTTTATACGAATTCAGCAAGAGATCCTTGAAAGAAGGTTCCACAGAGAGAGTCTTTTCGATCCAGACGCCATTCGCTGCCGATATCGTCGGACCGCCACTCGTGGTGCTGTCGGCAAGGACGGTGGTGACTATCTTGGAGGAGACGGCGTTTAGCTCATCGGTCGAAGAAGCCTGAAGTAAAGAGAGAATCTGGTCTGCGGTGGCTCCGGGAGATCTTGCGGCGATGAAACTGAGGATGACGTTGATTAACGCCGGCGAGAAGACGAGGTTGGAGGTTTTCCCGGCGGTGCTGGCGATCACGTGCTGAGTGAACCTTAGGACGATGTCGTTTTGGTTCCCTATTGGTTCTCGAAGGCTGCGTAGTAGGTCCATCTTTTTTACGGCGAGTTAAGTTGAATCTTTTTGGATTCTTATTTTACTTCTTCTCTTTTCTTTATAATGTTTTAATTTTTAAACAAAGTCTCAACACAATAACCCTATTTATAGAGAGAGACAAGAGAGTTATTATAGTTCTAAACAAAATTAACAAATATTTTTTTTCCAAATTCACTTTTATTTTCTTTATTTCCTTTTCTTCTTGTGTTTCTTTTTATCTAATTTCATCTTTTTTTTATTTTTTTTTCCTAATTTCCTTTGATCTAATCTACTATTGATGGATTTTATATTTTTTTATCTAATTGTTTTGTTGTTTGATTTCTTTCTTATTTATTTTTTCCTTCTTAACATAAAAACAAATCTCTATTCCAATACTTCATTTAGATTTGTTTGCAGAGCCGGACCAACAAAATTGGGGGCCCCAAACGATTTTAAAAAAAATAATATCAAAATTTTCATTAAAAAAAAAACTAAATTAAAAATAATTTGTTAAAGCAAATTACTCTTAATTGTTTTAGAATTTCTTTAAATAAAATATTTTCTCTTATTAGATGGAAAATCTTGTGGTTGTAGAGAAAAAATAACTTACTAATTTTTTTTATCAATCAATTATATATAATAATTATATCTATTTTTAGGCACACACAATATTTTAAGATCTATATATAATAAATGATATACATATATATATATATAACAAAAAGTAATTTTGTGGGGCCCTCTAAAATGGGGGCCCCATTGCAATGTTTCATACCAATGTCCTCCGGTCCGGCTCTGTTTGTTTGCCAATAAACTGTTTGAGATTACAAAGCACAAATTTCACATTCAAATGACACATGTAGATGGAAATAAGATGATATTCAACTCTCTGAATTGGATTCCAGCCAGTAAACTCTATGGCTTAGTGTGTATTGTATAAGGTACATGGCACTTTTGTCACTGGTGGCGCTGATGGTGCTTTCAATTCCTGGGACAAGGATAGTAAACATAGACTCGAGATATTTTCATTTGTAAAGTCATCTGGATAGAGATTCTCAACTAATCAATAACTTCACAATTAACTACGAGAGCCAAAAGATTAGGCGAGATTAGGTAAGGTGTAGACATAGTGTAATAAATCTGGATTTGACTACTTAACGTAGTACGTAGCATTAGCTGATTAGAATATTTTTGTATACTATTTCCTTGAAAAAGAAAAACGACAACGAGTTCACGTCGAATCGCCTCTGTTTTCGCCAGAAAATTGAAAACTCGACAAAGAGAGAGAGGGTGGAAGAGAAAAATCAATTCTCACGTGAATTGTTTTTTTTTCTTTTATATTTTAACTCTGTTTATTGTAGGCTTGACACTTGTCATGTCTCTTAGCCCAAATTTTGGCTCTTAACTAAGAGTCATTTCTTAGCAATTTGTTGATTAAAATCTTTAATTTTAATTTCTTTTAACCTAAGAACTAACTTAAGAACCTTAGTACCTCTCGCCTGTCCTGTACAACATACTTTAATAACACTTGAGTTCTTGAGTTGGTTCAAATAGCTTAATTATTGTAGTCAAATTAAATAATCCGTCTAGTTGATTTGTAGCTTTCTCGATGTGAATTGAATGAATACTTTATTCTCTCAGGAACAATATAGCTGAACCAGAAAAAAATTGTCATTTTCCAATAAGGGAATTATTTCATTTTTATAATGCGATGAATCATCAATTAATACTAATTTTCAAAGCCAAGAAAAGTTGTTGAAGGATAAAATTAGAGGAGACCAAAAGAAAGAAGCCATAACAGTAACAGAGAATCTGTTCAAGCCAAGCAAAGCTTAAAGCTTAAAGCTGAGAAAGCGTTTATTATCTCTCAGTCCACTGCAATATTCTGAAGATTTGTTTGTGGCTCTGCTTTTGTTCTTGTGCTTTGGTGCTTTTGAGAGAATCTATACTCTTCGTGACAAGTTTCTTTTCTTCTACTGTTTCTTTTGTGTCTTTTAGCTTGAGATATTTCGAAGTCAAGATCAAGAAATTCGTCTTTTCCAAGAAAATTGTGTAATCGAATTCTATAGCATGGTTGGTATTTTCTCCAGATTTTCTGTTGTTAGAGGCGGCCATAGGAGAACACAGAGTGCCATCGTAAGCTCTCTTTTCTATTTGCTTGTCTGATTCCAGTAGAGGTTATATGGAACAGGAGATTTTGTTCTGTTAGATTTGTGCTTGAGCTTTATGTTCATAGTGATTCCTTTTTAGTATGATACTTCTCCAGTATATTTGTTTAATTGTTGGACAGATTCTTTGCTCTTATCATCTTGAGATGCTAACTAGGCTCAAAGAGTTGATGATTAGATTGGGATTTGGGAGATGTTTAGTGCTTCTTGTGTTCTTTTGAGTTCCTTTCATAATTTCATTGGTTCAAGATTCTCTCTGTTCTTGTAATCTGTGTACCACTAATAGATAAGCTATAGTTGAAACTGAGATTCTTTATTTCTTGGTTTCAGGCTCCACTTAACATGAATCTTTTCTTATGATCAGGATGGCAGGGAAGTATTGTCCCCAAGCTCTGATCTTGCACCTTCAGCTAACACCACAACCGCTGCAACTCATGGGATCGAAGTAGCAACAGAGTTTAAACCGGTGGACCATCCGATGGAGCCTTTGGACAACGATCAACCGATCCAATGTCCACTCCCGGAGCCATCCATTCTCAACTGTATGATTCTTGAAAAAGTTCCAAGAAATGAAAATATTAGGTGTCTTTATTGTGAAAACTGCAAAGATAGGACTGTTTGTAGAAAGCTTCACTCGTTTTTATGATAACAGGATGGGAGACTCTGGAAAGATAGAGTGTCGGCTTCTTCGATGAGGAGACGAGGTGATTTGGCGAATGTCCAAGATGGGATGGATGAAGAATCTGATGTTTCTGTGACCATTTCATCACGGACTAGCCAATGCAATACCAATCGTCCGATCTTGCCTTCACTCAGTGCTCCCGAACACGACTTGCTTAATCTACTAGAAGAATGCAAAGTATCTGGTAGTATCTAAGAACCTGCAGGGATGGTCTAGACTCTTTTTACAATTTATGTGTAAGAACAAAACCAACTCATAGTGAATGTTCTTATATTTAACTAAAATCAGCCACTTGATCATGCCCTGTGAACATAAAAGAGACATTGTATATCCAATGTTTTCCCAATTAAGAGCGTTTCGTTTCATCAGTAGGCTGATGCCACAGTAACTTGCATCACACGCAACACAACTTTTATTCAAAACACCGAGAACTAGCTAACTAAAAATCTCAAAATCAAATTTCCTTCCAAATTTAAAACCAGTGGGCATAAAAGTTCAACTACGTCAAGAAAGTCATAAAATTTATCCCAAAGTACCGAAACTTTGGACATCAAATTAATGCTTAGAAGGATCCATGACATGACCAAGAAACAAAACTAGTCCGGTTCGGTACTCTTTGACGATGAAGAGAAAGGGATGATCAGCCACGAAGTCATATTTCTTTGGCGGAATATAACAACCTCCAGCACCTCTTAATGCGGCAGCAGCTGCAGCTTTCGATCCCACTTCATCTACCTCGATACAAGACTTGTGGACGATCGTAGACAATGGCACCTCCAAACCCAAACCCTTGAGAGCTTCCGAGGCTTCGAAATCAAAAGCAAATTTAAACCTTGGAATCTTGAGTTCTTTGACACGCGCCCGCTCGCTAGGAAGGACCTCGTTGTCCTTCAAGAATCCACGAGTAGAAGCTAAGCTCTCTAGCATTGAAGGCAACCCATCTTTCTCATCAGGGAGATAGATTTGCATTGAGAAACTACGACAGTCATTGCGTCCTCCTCTGTACGGTAGATTGAGGACTTTGAAACCTTCGTAAACATAGAGACTGTTTTTGTGGGCACCAGTCATGAAGGGGACTCGAGCTTTGGTTCCATCAAGAAGGTGAAAATCGCAGTCTTCAGTTAGCGATGGATTGAATTGACTATCCCATCTTCCGTTGAAGAACAAGGCATTAGCAAATATGTAATCAGTTAAAGCAGAAGCAGAGTTTGGTGGAAGAAGATTAGTGATGAGTCCATTTGTCTGCTCTTCAACCCATGAATTCACCTCTTTAGTCACTTCATCAGCCTTTCCAAAACAAACAAACAAACAAAAGCTATCAACGTCTATGATTTGGTAGAAGAAGATTAGTGATGAACCCAGTATTTAGCTAAGTAATTCACCGAATGATGTTCATATAAGTGAGACTGAAGGAAATATTTGGAGAAGGTTTAAGGGAACTAGGTTACACTAACATCTGTGCATGATTTGATTTTCACACAAAAGCCTTGTCTAATTATGATTAAACACACAACTAAGTCTAAGTGTCTAAGCATGTTACTATGTTCATGTTACTATGTTACATACATAAAGCATGTTAATGTTAGTATAAGCCCTAGTAAATTAATGTAGAAGTTAGGTTTATTTGGATCAAAGAGAGTACCTTGGTGAGGAAGTCAACTTGGTTGAAAGCAGCTTTATACGAATTCAGCAAGAGATCCTTGAAAGAAGGTTCCACAGAGAGAGTCTTTTCGATCCAGACGCCATTCGCTGCAGATATCGTCGGGCCGCCACTCGCGGTGCTGTCGGCGAGGATGGTGGTGACGATCCCGGAGGAGACAGCGTTAAGCTCATCGGTTGAAGAAGCCTGAAGTAAAGAGACAATCTGGTTTGCGGTGGCTCCGGGAGATCTGGCGGCGATAAAACTGAGGATGACGTTGATTAACGCCGGGGAGAAGACGAGGTTGGAGGTTTTTCCGGAGGTAGTGGCGATCACGTGCTGAGTCAACCTCAGAACAATGTCGTTTTGATTCCCAACTGATCCTTCCAGGTTCATCAGGATGTCATATTGTTTCTTTTTTGAGTCTTTCAGGTCCATCTTTCTTACGGCGAGGTTAAGTTGGAGTTTTTTGGATCTCTTTGACGACTTGTTTCTTTTACTTATCTTCTTTTCTTTTATGTTTTGAACAAAAAAACTCTTAACACAATAAACCCTATTTATAGAGTTATTATAATCATAGTCCTATGAGAAATTAATAAATTTTTATTTTCATATTTTCCCAAATACGCTCACTTCTAATATATATTTATTTCCTTTTCTTTTAGTTAACTTTTTTTTAATCCAAAGTTGTTCTGTTTTTTTTTTGGTAATGTCCAAAGTTGTTCTGTTTTTCTATTTCTTTCTTTTATTTCCCTCTAAACATAAAAGGGAATATATATTCCAATACTTCAGTTAGATTATTCGTTTGCTAACTAATTAAGGAGGTGTTATTGGTTCCTAATTTACAAAGAATTTTAATGATTTTAATAAAATCATTAAAAGTAAATAAATGAAAGATTCTAAACTATTGCTAGAGAGTTTTCTATAATCTTGTTGATTAGTTTTTTCATAATTTTGTAAAGTTTCTAAAACAATCTCTCTATTTTGATGATATTTTCATGACTTTATTTTGTGAAGAAAAGTGTACAAAGTCATAAACCAATAACATAATAATTTAATTCATTAAGAATCATAGATTCTCTGGATTCTTTTGTTTTAATTGAATCACACAAAACTTTTAATGATTTTATAAAAGTAAGAATCCAATAACTCCAGATTTATGAAGATTTTTAGATTACTTTTTACAAAACTTAAATTAATAACACCAAACTTTAACAAACTTTAAAATAATCTTGATTGAATAACTATAGATTCTACATACTAACATTTAAGGTACTAAAACTCTATTTAAATCACAAACCAATAACATCCCCTTACTGTTTGAGATTTAACAAAGCAATGCTGGTCCGGTAAAATCCACGGCCTAATACAGAAAAAAAATTCATCCACTTCATGCTCTGTGAAAAAATAAAAGAGACATTGTATATCCAATGTTTTCCCAATTAAGATCAATAGGCTGATGAAGCAGTTGCCACAGTACCTTGCATCCCACACCACACAAGTTCCTTCAATTTCTAGTTTCTTTTTCTGCATCGATTACATTTCGATCTCCCATTTCGTTTAGGAAAATTATGAGCAGAGCCTTGGCTAAAGGCTTAAAGTAGAAGCGGAACTAGACGATGATTCGGGATGGTTTTGCAACTACATGTTTGTTACACTTGAAATCTTTTGATATTTGTCAAAAACAAAGTTCTTTTTTCTTATGGGGTCTCCATTTGAAGATTTTAGTAGATTATGTGACAGCGAAGTTCGCTTGATACTATATATGCTACTAACAAACAAATTGATAATAACTTATCCACTTGAAGCATGAATAAAATGAACCAATAAATGAAGGCATAAAGCTCATCTCATCGTCGGGAAAATTACATAGCTATCAAAACGCCGAGAACTAGCTAACTACAAATCTCTAAAAAATCAAATTTTTTCATTTTGTGTTCATATCACATTCTGATTTTCTTCCAAATTTAACAAAATTCTGATTTTTGTGTATACCTTTGTTGTGTTAAAGAAGATTAAATATTGGTCTCTTTTTTGTCCTCTTAGAGATATTGGGTTTGTATTCTATCTCTATTCTGCTCCCACCATGTCTTGGCATGCACTTCCCCAAACCGTTCCCGACTGCAAACACCCGGTTCGAAGGTTTACGGTTAACCGCCAAATAAATTAGGATATAAAATGCTGAAAAAACCGGTTCTCTGGTTTACCTGAACCTGACGCGGCGTAGTTCTCTGGTTCCATCTGGTAACTGTCTGATGGTAATGTAGACACCAGGCTCGTCCTCTTCAACCCACTCAGCTTGCATTTCACTAGCATTACTCATGGAAGGCGGATCGTCCCTCGATGAGGTGGTGATTCTTGCTGCGTCCATTGGAGGTCCATAAAAGTGATGTGGGACACTGCCTCCTGGTGGTCTGAAGTTGTTGTCTCTTTGTGTCCAGTCTCTGCTTTCTCTTGCTGAATCAATTCTCGTGTAAGTTGAATCTCTCTGCGACTGTTAGAAGAAACAAACAGAAGTTGAAAGATACGATTACTCATAAACCTTCTCTTATAATCTAAAGAGTGATGTTTCCTACCTGGTCCTCGGATCTACCAGGAGTTTGAAGAGCTTGTCGGTTAAATCTTTGAACATTGTAAAGCTCAACAATTCTGTCGTAGTTCTCACCCCACCATCTCTGAGCCTGCCACTTGTCAAAAACCTCCCGGCTTCAACAAAGATAGAAAGAAGTTAATGTTAGCTTGTCCTTAAGTGAAATGTATTCTTGAAGATGTTATGGAGAGAATGAATTTAAAATACCTGAAACGTATCCGTTTAAGATCATTTCCTCCAGTGGGAAGTGAGACGAATGTGATATGAACACCGGGCTCTACTTGAGCCATCCACTCCTTTGGCTCGTCATCCTCTAGTACCACATCACACGACTGAGCAGAGATGGATTCACGTTCACCGCCATACATTGATGTAAATCTTGAGTCTGGCCGTCCAGATTGATGGTATGAGGATCTTGGTAAGTCCCAAGCCGGAGTGGAACTCGTGCTTCCACCCGGATAAGGGTATGGAACACTTTCTGATGCAGTGTCAAAATCCGGAAACTTCCTCAAGTTGCTGCTCGAAGAGCCCGGAGTTGGCTTGCTTTGTTTATGAGTACCTGAGAATTTCGACGCCATGTCTTTGATCTGCATACCATCCGTACCAAAGAAGCTGATTAAAGTATAATCTTAAAACACAACACAGTACTAGGTGATCATTGGACATCAACATAATGTTGGATAGAACAGGGTAAACAAACAGTAAGTAAGCAATAAAGTCTTCTGCCATGAAACAAACGAGTCAAGAAATGGATGATTTTTCTTTTATCCCAACTAGGAAAAAGGAGTCTAGTATCATCATTCATAAAGAGCATGAATAAAGCTAGAAGATCTGATATAATTTGAAACATAAAATATAGTTCATCTTTTTTTTTTTTTTATATAAAAATATAGTTCATCTTGTCTTCTCCGTGAATAGAACATAATCATAACTTCTTTTTTTGCTTCTTTTGATTTACTATATAATCTATATAGTTGCCCCACCACAGATTCTTCTTTTTTTTTTTTGCTCCTAATCTAAATAAGAATCCACTAGGGACTTATTCTAGGGAAGTATATACAGTAGATCAATCTTCAATAACAAGCAAAAATCATGTTCAACAAGGCGTGACTCCATTAACCTTTTTCCACACAAATCATCAGCCACTAACATTGGTAATCCTAAAATTCAACGTGAAACATATAATTATTTTACTAATTGTTGCTAGATTTTTATGTCTAGTCACATAGAGGGGAGAAAAAATAAACACTGACACATAACCTATTAAAGAGAGATTTGTAATAGATTCCAGAGAAGTGATGTTGCATCACAATAGGATCTTGTCTAAAGATCCGAATTTTGTTTGTTTGTAACCTGCAGCCTTAACTACAGTAACCTCTATGTTTTTTTTTTTTTTTTTTTACCTCTATGCTTTTGTACTTGACAGACGAATTTCAAAACCTTTAACATAAAAACTGTTTTATTTTATTTTTCACCATAATTGTTAAACAGTTTAAGAGGACCATTTTCTCAATTTGGGTTATGTGGGTTTGTTTGTTTCACGACCAAGGCAATTAGGAAAAAAGCAACAAAGTAAAGTGAAAAAGAGTCTAAGGATCAACAAAGATCTTTAGGGAGAGAAAGAGACCTGTGTAGTTAGGCTTTTAACGGCTTCTTTAGTGTTGGGAGTGGTGCTCCCACGCGCTTCGTCTTCTTCATCCTCACCTCTGTCTGCCATCTTTGTACAATTTATGCAAGTAAACATCTTTGCACTCTTTTTTATGTTCCTCTGCCTTTTAAACCCTATAAGCCACAAAAATACAGAAACAGAGTGTATTAAACATCACAACTAAAGATTAGCTATATAAAAGAAAAAATAAAGCTATGAAAATGTTGGGTGATGCTAGAGATTAATTTAATTCGTTAGATAAGTAACTCAACTAATGAAAAGTTAGTGAAACCCCAATAATAAAGGAAACAAATTTCTTGGGAAGGATGAGATAATCCTAGATGAAGCAAACGTTTTGAATCCAACTATGAGTTGAGACAGCTGATTTATGTAGTGTAAACCCATAAAGATTAAAGAATCATATCCCTAAAAATACTTCATGAAATTAAGGAACTAATGAAATAAAGTAGAGAGGGATACAAGTTTTTAATGTATTAAAATAAAATAAGCTATGAAGGTTCATAATTAGGGGCAATAATCTTGAGAAAGACAAAAGTGTTCAAAGATTTAACTTGGGGATCAGAGAAGAGAGGACCACAGAGAAAATATATTTTGAAAGGATTGTCGAGGCACCTGAATGGATCAAATTATAACCTTTGGAACAATAAAAATATTTGAAATATGATCATGATAGAGACAAGCGATGGTATTAAAACAAAATTGTGCTTTATGTAAGAAAGTGGGTCTGAATAGAGAAGCGAAACTGAGTGTGTAAATGCTTTGTTGAGCAGCAATACCAAGTAAAGACCCCATCTCCTCGTCACACACATAAATCAAAAGTTTCAAAGAATATTTATTTCTCCGGCAAGCCGAAGTTTCTGACATTTAAATATAGGATATATATTTAGTAGACAGCATAAGAAAAATATATAATTCGATATAAGTGCTAAAAAAATGTGTTTCTTCTGATCCCTCGTGTCCAATTAAACTATAAAACTGTAAATATGAAGACACTCGAATTTATTGCAGCCAGAGGCAAAGAAAAGAACTTAGCAACAAAATGGAATCTTTGACAGTCACGTGTATGAAAAAAAAGAGCTAAAACCAAGACAGAATTAAAGAAAGAGTTGGGTTCTTAATGCATGTCGAAAAATAAATGTACACAAATGAATTGTTTCCATTGAGAAAAAAAAATAAGAGGTATTGAATGGAATTAAATTGAAGTATGGGTTTAGTTTCTTTTACCTTGTATCGAAAAGTCTGCAGGTTAAGCGTGTATATTTGTTGACAAAAAAAAAAAAAGCGTGGATATCTGAAACTTAAGGATTGCCTATAATAGACCCATCAAAGCTGCAGAGATTTAGCAGCGTTACAGGCGCAGTGTAGTAATATGAAGTAAATGCGGTGTACCAAAGGACGACGTAATTGATTATTTATGATCAATGGCTCTTTATTTTTTTATTGGAGAAACACAATTTCTTCTCTCTTTTTTTGTCGAGTAAAAAGCAAAAGTAAAGTAGCAAACAGTAGTCTAGTCAAATATTACTAAGGAAACTTTTGAATGTGGTAATTATTTTTTTCCAGGAAAAAAACTTGAGTAGTAGAAAATCTGATTCTCCTTTTCGCCAGGAATGATCTAATCAGTAAAAAATGTATATGTTTGAGTAATGTATGTGTTCGTAATTAATCAGCAAAAATGGAAAAGAAGAAACAAAACATGTTGAAAGATGATTTTTAAATCAGTATATGGATAATGAAGGAGAATGCAACAGTACTTAGAGAAATTATCTGATTGGTTTCTAATTTATTTTGTAAAGGTTAGAAACTAGTGACCAATTTTTAAAAATGGAGGATTATTCGGAGTCGTACCTGAATCACAACGTCTTCTTGGAGTGAATTCAAATCAAAATCTGAAGATAGTCTCTGTTCTGCTCTGTCGGAGCAAAATTACTCCGGTAAAGATCGAAAAGTCCCAGAGATAGCACAAGTATTCCTCTTCCTCGAGAGGAGCTTTTAAATACGAGAATAGCCGGAAAAGTTTTCAAAATTCCGGGGCAAGAATCTGGGTAATTGGGTCACCCGGTATCTGTTACGGAGCTCCGGGTTTTGTTTAGAGAAGAAGGATGACGGAGAGAAAGAGAGAAGACATTTGGAGGACCGACCGTGAGTAATTTATAAGGTGGAGGAAAATATAGATATTAACGGCGTTAGATACTTACGACGTGAGTTGACGGAGATACCCTTTTTTCTCTTTGAGTAAACGATGAAATTTGGTCTCGAGAAGAGACGGCAACGAGGGCCCATTTGGTGTTTGCCGGTGACGGAGATAAAGAGAGGTTCTATTACGTGTGCAGGAAGTAGGCTACGTGGCTGTCTTTGATTGGCTGACGGTAGTTCAAACGGGTCGGGTTACGGTCGCAGTCACAACGTTTTTCAGTTGTTGTTGGTCTCTTTATCATAGTTTTTGCTTTAAATCGTTTTAGATAGAATCATATGTTTTGCCCAAAAAAAGATAGAATCATGTGTATCAAATACTTCAAATTTGTTATTGTTGAGAAAATTTGTATATTTTTGATCGGATCCTAATGCGCTTGATTGGATGACATGATCGACCGATGAGTGCATTGCTTTATCTTCCTCGACATTAATAGGCTTGGTCATCAAATAAATCCAAAACGGCCCATTATCTTGTTATAGAAGGCCCAAAACAGGCCCAAACTAAGAAGTGGTAAACCACACCTTCCTTCATTCATTTACAAGGGCAGTCAGAGAAAGAGAGAGAGACTGGGAACGTTTCAGCTTTCAAAGTCTGTGGTTTGATCTAGGGTTTTAGACACAGAGCTCTCTCTCCTTCCAAATTCAAAAATGGCGACAGTTTCTAGGGTTTTTGGAGCTTGCAGGGTACTGATGGCGAAGGCCGCTTCTTCCTCCGCCGCTAAAAATGGTAGACAAGGTACTGGTATTCTTAAGGTGGTTCCCGTTTCTAAGCCGCTCGCTACCTTTATTGGGGAAAACGAAGTCTCTCGCACAACCGCCGTCAAGAAAATCTGGGAATACATCAAGCTTAACAATCTTCAGGTTAGGGTTTGGTTTTTCTTCTCGAAATTTCTGGGTCATCTCTTTGCAAGTTCTACTGGATTTTGTCTTTTGATTAAGCTCTCTTTACTTGGAATAACCTGTTTACGCTACTTGGGTGATTGATTGATCTGGGTTTTGGCGGATTCGTAGAAACTTTGAGCCTTCGTGTTTTTCAAAATGGTAAATTAAAGTGTTGTGATTAGCATTTAATTAATTGAGTTTAGCTAGAACTAATCTGCTTATGATCTTGATATTTTGGGTATCTGATTTGTTCATGAGTCAACATTTCAAAGCCTAGCTTTTGTAGCTTGATGTTCTTTTATTTTCTTGCTCATGTTGAGTGAAGAAATCACTGCTTTTGGGGAAATGCATTACGAGCTAACACAAGTTACTTTGATCGTGTTAGCCTTTAGCTGGTCTTTGAATTTCTCTCTTTTTCTCACATCTGTTTTGAAAGATTCTGATTTCTTACACACACATTACATTGTTTTTTTAATGTAGAATCCGGAGAACAAAAGGGAGATACTATGCGATGAGCAACTGAAGACGATCTTCAGTGGGAAAGACACTGTCGGCTTCCTCGAGATTTCGAAACTTCTGTCTCAACATTTTCCTAAGTCTGCTTGATTCTCACTTTGCATTATCCTTAAAGACAGTTTAGCTTATTTTACTCTATCATCCAAGAAATGGTTCTTCTTTTTTTGTATCTTCTTATGGGTGATCTTTATTGGTTATATATAGACTGCCAACCAGTTCCCATCTGTCTGACGTTTTATGTATGGATGATGATCCAAGGTCAATTTAATTAATGGTTTGTGGTCTTGGAGCTTGTTTATCTCTACTATAATCTTCTTCGATCTCAATGTGACATGGACTCCTTCACATCTCAATACCTCTCAATAGGATATTTCTTTATATGACTTGCAAGTTCGACAGAACATGACTACGTAATATTTGAAGTTTGTAAACAACTAAATAAGCCATTTATTGATAAAAAAAATCTACAGAGAAATTATATGAAAAGAAGAAACAATTTTCTCTGTGTCCAAACCTATTGTTATAACATGATACATTGAGTAAGACAGAGAAAAGAAAGATACAGTTTCACAGTAGTAAAAAATTTCCGTATGAAAAAAAACTCCCTAAGTCTCCTTGTGACCCAAGAAATCGAGTGTAAGCTTTCTTGGAGTCTTCTTTTCGGTTATGTTATCAGAGATGAGGATGATCTTCTTCTGGTGTCTGTGGAGGAACCGGTTTCCAACCCGGTTTCTCGTCCCAATACATATCGTAGTAAATGTGTCCCGGAGTCTTGTTCTCCTCACAACACCATATTCCCACATATCTCTTTACCCGTCTTCTAAATCTCTCTTCTCGCTCCTGCTTGCAAACCAGATTAGGTCAGGTCAGATTTACATTTTGTATCAACATGTCTAAATGTTTCACGGTTTAAAGATCTACTTGCCTTGTCAGAGAATCCGATGAAAGCATCTTCAATTGAAGAAAACTTGATCACTTTGACATTTTCGAAGGAAGAAAATATCGCCTTGAACTGCAGTGAGCACGAAACAAAGCGCTTAAGCTAAGCCGGAGATTTTTTTTGACATATCTAGTAAAGACTAAAGAGTGATGTTAGACAGGTAAGAAATCTTAGTTACCGTATCTTCATTGCTCCGCTTTGGGAACTTAAGAACCTGAGAGGGGCTTGTGTTATTCGATGGCTCACATCCTTCTTTTCCTTCTTGACAAAGCTGAACATCAAGCCATGACTCTTTTACCTGAAAAAATAGCTTTATTCCTGAGATTTTCTTACGAAATGATTAATTAGAACAACAAAAATATCTTAGCAGCTTCAATTACTTGTTTCGGCAATGCTGGGTTATCTAGAAAAGAATATTCTCTGATACCAATCCCAGGGCCAAACTCTTCCTCTGGTAGCTCCTTTAGCATGATATTGACCTGTAATTGAAATGATTCAGCTGTCATGAGGCATTTGCAGAGAAAGAATCAGATGTTGACATGCTTCAACATCATTACAAATACTACCTCAAAGACATGATCAAGCGGGCAGATGAAAGGTTGTTGGGTCATAGATCCCTGAAGAGTACCGGGATGTCCAAACCAAAGCCTATCTAACCTGCACCATATTGGTGGCATCACCTGAAAAGATTGTCGGACCAACCAGCTATATGTAAGAATCAATCATTATACCCAGGAAATATGCATATAAGCTGTTAAGTAGACTCACCAGTGTACGATTAAGAAGAGACGCAATGGCTAGAGCTGATCTGATCTGTTTGATCTGTAAAGTGGACCAAAGGTGGATGTAAAATTAGAAAGGTGGTCAAGTTAACCTATAGTTCCTAGGGACCATGTTAGGTTAGTAGAACGTTACTTGGTGATTAACGAGGATAAAATGCGATTCAATGGTATGCTTCCCGTCAAGTAACAAGCTCTTTGGAATAGATGGTTTAAACGCAATGAAACCTCCTGCGTTGTGTTAAAGTTTACACTATTGATTTTGGATTTTCCCATCAACAAGATCAATGTTGAAGAATCTTAACATAAAGAATATTACCTGGTGAATCATAATATTCTGGTGGGTCATAGAAAACCATCCCCTCTCGAAGCCTGTGGCGTTTTCCTTCGGTACCTGCATATTGGAATGTTGTATGCACGGCATATGGTTCTAGCCTGAGCTGTTGATACATAGCCTGCCATAGAAAATAGAAGTTACCTGTTAGGCCATTCCTAAACACAAAAGAAGACGATAAAAAACGCAAACATAGGAAGCAATGAAGAAAAGTACCTGAACAAAATAAGTATGGCCGCTGCAAAATATGCTAGCGGGCAAAATTCCAACCTTGAGATTTCCATCATAAGCATAGAAAAGTCCACTATCCCCATCCACAGATGGACCTAGCTGTCTCCTAACAATCTCATTGAACCCATTTTGATCCCAAACCTTATCGTCCGCTAAGAGAATTTCTTTCCATTCTTTTGCCAACTTTTTGGCAGATTCTGTCGGCCGCCAATGGAAAATTCCTATGTTGTAGGCAGCACCAACTTTCAAAGTCCAAGAAAAGAACGGTAGAGAAAACAGTTAGTAAAATAAATCATAAACTCAAAACACCTTTGCCAGAGAGATAAACGTTCTCAAATGGGAACAGGGGGAAATGCATATCTTTAGCTAAAATTTACCTTGTTGCCATATGTCCAAACTGTCATCTATGACGGTAGGCACAACTTGATCGCTTGATGTCAAAACATCAGCATCTGGGTATCGAGCCAAATAAGGCATAGGGTTCTGTCACATAAATATTATCAGAAAGAAGTCTATTAAGGAAGATAACGTGATGAATAACAGTGATTATATTGTGTCGAATTAGCACCTTAAGCCACACCATGTCAGTGTCACACATTAGTAGCTCGTAACCATAAGGCAAGACAGAATCTATGAGAAGAACTTTTTCTCTTCCCATTTTGTGGAATGTTGGAGAACCCCACCCGACATCCACTGTGCTCATATGGCTTCCCATATCAAAAACCGGAACGCCTTTCCAGTACAAAGCCTCTAATAACTTTGTATCCATCGCACCTATAAAAAGCCCCATAACATAAAGTTACCAACTTACAAATGGACAATAAGACATAGATATTAGAAGTGACAACTCACCAACAAGAATATTGGAGAGATCTAAATCAGTCAAGTGTTTAACCCAAGTCAAGATGAAATCCATAAAAGCATAGTTCCCAAAGGTCACTATAATGACATTGTCCTTCACTCTTTCCCCAAACAATTCTTTGGTCAGTTTAAAGGTTTCAAGTGATGGCATCTTCTTGTCTCGAGGAGGAGACACCCAAATTTTACCCAATGATTTTCCTTGAGCCTCCTCTAGAACTGGCGGTGGCAGTGCCTGTTGTGGTGGTGGTGGTGGTGGAGCAACAGGTAACTCTAAGGTTGCATTATCTTGTGGAAGACGGTGAATTCGGCCAGCAGCTACAGAAAAACTCATGAATAAATCTCACATAATGAAAAAAGAAACATTATTTAAGCTTCCACTGTTTAGTAAGAGTGATGTATACTCAAGCAAGCTCAATTAGCCTGATACCATGAAACGTAAAATCCAATTGACAAAACTGAAATGTAGTGTCGGAGAGTAACACTAGACTTTTGAAAAATCAAAACTTTCAGACACCTCAAGCAGATCCAAGTACATTAGTTAATCACTTGATCGGATTCAAAAGCTGAGCTTAAGATCAACTAAAGTGATTCAAAGTCAAAATCCATCTCAGATTATAGCAAATCCATAGCTTCCAAACAATAAAGAAGTGATTTTTCAAACGAATACTGAGATTTAAGGTCAACGGTGAGCTCGAATTAGAATCAGAACAAACGGATTAAAGAACTTAACCTCCCAAAATCTCACATAATGATTACACATTAATTCGTTTACGAAATCAAACTCAGAACGTAAATCCAAACTCTTAAGCAATGTGAAGCAGATATAACCAAACGATTCGTCAGCACAATACATGAATAGAGTGAGAGTGAGAGAGAGGTTACTGGATAGAGGAGGAAAAGAGAGAAAGGAGGAGGAGCCATTGGTGGGAGAGTAAATGGCGGAGAAGACATAGAAAGAGGAGACGAGAACGCCAATGATCACCGTCGCGTAGATCGTCACGAACAGAGGTTTCGAATTCGTAGCCTCGCGAAACCCATTTCTCCAACCCTCCACCATTATTTTCAATTTCAATCTCTTCTTCCTCAAATCTCCATTACAAAAGTTTTATTCTTTTGGCGGATTTTTCTTTTGTTTGGGGTTTTTGTCTTGTTGTTCCTCTTGTCCGATCGATTTGATCGTTTGGTGGGTCTGGTCAACTTCGTTTTCGGCGTCTTCTCTTCAGCAGCTTCGCTCATTATCAATTTTACTTTGAAATTCTTTATTAAATTGTTTTTGGGTTACATTATTAATTTGTTTCTTTATTCAACAATGATTCCCCAACTCTCAAGTAATGCAAAATAGTGGCATTTAAAACCATTAAAAAAAAATATTGTTATTGTGGCAATATTTTGTTGTTGTGTATCAAATTCAAATGATTCAAATTCACAGCAATATTTTTATTTTTATTTTTTTTAAGTTGGAGATCATGAATCGAGGCTGAATTAGCTAAGCCATAATTGAAATCACAATTGGAAGATTATTACTTTAAACTTTTTTTTTATAATATGGATAAGATATGAATAAAGGTAATATTTTTTTATCAGAAATGTATATGTACATTTTATGAAGGAATGGATTGGAAAAACAAAAATTATATACGCAAAGACAGAGAGATCTTAATGCAATGCTTGCTTTGACTTTGTTTTCCGGTTTCCACAATCCCATGATGTCCGAACATGTTAACTCTCAATACTTTTCAGGAAATTATTTGTTGATATAATTTGTCAACAAAGCTAGATTGTAAATACTATAATCCAAACTGAAGTTTAATAACCATCAAAAAAAATAAAATAAAAATAATCTAGTAAAGTATATTTTAGTAGAGTTAGGCGACTTCTTGCAGAATTCGGTAGACTTCTCTTCTTCTTCTTCTTTTCTCTTTTACATTATAGATTTAAATATAGTTTAGGAGTTGGATAAAAAAATAGTTTAGGAATCATAAACAAAAATTAGACCAGAATCCAAACTAAATATTAGAATATACATTTTTCCGAAACCTTAGAATCTTAAGATATCAAATGAGTTTGTGATGATTATGAATGATGTGGTGTATCAAAAGTCCACAAACTAATCTTTAATCGCAGATGGTCATACCTTATGATGGAATCAAACCGGTCCTCAACTCTAATTTGACTCACAATAAAAATTCACAGAAACGTTCTTTAGTTGAATAGGCAATGAAAACGTTGCACAACATCAAACAATGAGGAGCTTTGAAAGTAAACTTGTTGACAAATTCCTCTAAACATTGAATCAACGACCAAGACATTCATAATATATTCCAGTAGACATTGATCAACACTGTTGCAATCAATTCACCTCTCTCTAGCCTCTCTACCAAGGTCAAGAGACGAGAAATTTTACAGGTGTAGAAGAATATCAACGAGAAAATGAAACAAAGTCCACCAATTCGAATCATTCGCCCAAAAAAAAAAAACACCAAATAGGGCCTTAATAAAAAAAGCCTACAGAGCCCAATTACAAAAACCCATGAAAACTAAAAACGAGAATGTACTATATTATACTTCGATAGCATTTCTCTTCCCTTCGAAAAGGCCCTTTCACCAATTTGGAAATCGAAGAGCAACATAAGACTGAGATTATTAGTCTCGTCAACTCTTTTTTTAGGTTTTAGCTATATCATAGACTCTTTAACTAATTTGCTCAAGAGAGTTAAACTTTTTTTTTTTTGTCAAAGCAAGAGAGTTAAACTTCCACCTTAATTTGAAACCTAAAACCACACGAATTTTTATAACGAAACCTAAATACAAATGATCGTTTAATCTTAACAACTTTGTTTTGCTTTCGTCTGAATGATTCTATTATATTATACGAAGGTAGAATACGGTTTTGAAATACAAGATCGACAAGAGTCGAAACTCTTTAGGAAACTAAATATACATTTTAAAAATGTTATGTGATTTAATATCCAATAAATTAGTTGAAGAAGACAATAGTTTGTTTGAATCCGTATTCAATTCGTGCCCCTGTTTTCTTTATTCTTGAATATTGTAGTCTCTTCCATTGAAAAGCCGAAAACACATCTCCACTTATCTGCTGCAAATAATAAAGAACCAGCGCACAACTGCACAGGAGATATTAATCTTTTTACAACTCGAATATTAACCTAAAAAGTTTGTCGGAATCTTAATATTTGATAGTCCTACTGAATAATATATTGATATAGACATATAGTCGTTTTACTGCTAATTAAAATATTATATAGTTTGGCACCAACTTGTTAACCTAGTACAAGTTCCATATTTGTATCTCATCATCATTACTATACCTTTTCCTAAATCCATCTTCAAAAAAAAAGCGTTAGGTATAACGTCCACCTCCACGATCGTTAACCTCAATATAGTTTATTGGTTCCAAATCTAAATTATATCTTCCATTTCCTGTATTTGAACAGAAGGTACCATACTAAGAAGTTACTCCCTCTATTTTGTTTTGTTTCACAATGTAATTAAGATGTTTAAAAAAAAATCAAGTTTATTAGACTTTGGTTTATATTGGTTTATTCATTTGTATATACCTAACCGGTTTGTCCCGGGTTTAATAGGTTAGATAAGGAAAGTGTATATAAGGCTTGTATCCTCACATTAATGAAAGCAACAGAAACATTTTCTACTTTCGGCTCCTTGCTTCTCCATCTCTAAGATCTTCTTCGATCTCAGTTTCTTCTTGCTTTGAGCTCTCTTTCTGTTCACTTCTACTTCTAGTATGGTATCAGAGCTATACGCTTAGCTCGTTTCTTTCTCTGATTTTGTTTTACCTTCGATTTGGTCTCTCAAAATCTGAAAATGGTTAAAGCTATGGTTCGTCGCAGCACTCGTCGTCCGGGAAGCTCTTCACGCGCAGGTAGCGCTACTCGAGCAGGAAGTCTAACTCATGTTCCGGAAGCATCGATCGCTCCGTTTGGCTCCTCTATCGTGATGAACCCTGACAGTGTTCACTCTCCTCTGTTTCTTCACCACGCCGACCACCCAGGGATATCGATCGTCTCTGAGCAGTTGGATGGGTCGAACTACAACCAGTGGCACTCTGCGATGAAGATAGCTCTGGATGCGAAGAACAAAATCGCATTTGTTGATGGGTCTTGTCCTCGCCCTGAAGAAGGTAACCCTCTCTTTCGAAACTGGTCTAGGTGTAATAGTATGGTCAAGTCCTGGATCCTTAACTCGGTAAATAGGGAAATCTATGGTAGTGTCTTGTCCTTTGATGATGCTGCTCAGATCTGGAACGATTTACACAATCGTTTCCATATGACAAACCTCCCTAGAACCTTTCAACTCATTCAACAGATTCAGGATCTCAGACAAGGTTCCATGAACCTCTCTACCTATTACACAACCCTTAAGACCCTTTGGGATAATCTGGATGGAGCAGAGGCTAGTGAACCCTGCCCCTGTTGCAAGAAATCAAACTGCGTTGGTCAACTTTCTGCGAAAGCTAAGGTAAGCAGAGGAAGGATTATCAAGTTCCTTGCTGGTTTGAATGAGAAGTACTCAATCATCCGTGGACAGATAATCATGAAGAAGCCTCTCCCTGACTTAGCAGAAGTCTATAACATCTTGGATCAAGATGACAGCCAAAGACAGTTTAATAACACTGTTACTCCTGCTGCTTTTCAAGTCAGCCAGGACGCTAATCAACCTGGTGTGTTGACTTCTTCTCAGAACATGAATCAGCCTGGAGTGTTGAATGCTGTTCAGCGAAAAGATTCCAAACCAATATGTTCTCACTGTGGATACACAGGACATACTTCAGAGCGATGCTACAAACTCCATGGATATCCTATTGGTTGGAAGAAAGGAAAGTCCTTTTATGAGAAATCACAACAGTCTTCTAAGCCAAGCTCTGCTGTCACTGCACAAGTAACAGGAACCAGTCAGCCCTCTCCTGCAGGTTTGGACTCTCTCATTGGAAACTTAAGTAAAGATCAGATTCAGAGCTTCATTGCTGGCCTAACTCAACACCCAAAAGCTAGCTCCAGATTATGCTCATTTGAAAACTTTCGGATGTCTCTGTTATGCCAGCACATCTCCTAAGCAGCGTCACAAGTTTGAAAGCAGAGCCCGTGCTTGCGCATTTCTTGGTTACCCATCTGGCTACAAGGGATACAAACTTCTTGATCTTGAAAGCCACACTACCTTTATCTCAAGAAATGTGGTCTTTTATGAGGATTTGTTCCCTTTCAGAAACAGGACTCAAGAGACTGAAGAATCTTCTGCCTTCTTTCCACATATACACACTGACAGAGAAAGCAGTTCTTCTTCTGCTACCTTGCCAGTTCAAGAGAAAATCCCAGAACCTGTAACTGAAGCCAGACAGAATAAAAGGGTACCCAAGCCGCCAGCATATCTCCAAGATTACCACTGCAACTCCATTCAATCGTCTACAGATCATCCCATCTCAGAGGTCCTCTCTTACTCCTCTTTGTCAGATCCTTACATGATCTTTATAAATGCTGTGAATAAGATCCCTGAACCTCACACTTATGCTCAAGCTCAACACATAAAAGAGTGGTGTGATGCTATGGGAATTGAGATCACAGCTCTTGAAGACAATGGTACATGGGTCATTTGTTCTCTTCCAGTGGGTAAGAAAGCTGTAGGGTGTAAATGGGTCTATAAAATCAAGTTGAATGCAGATGGTACCCTGGAACGGTACAAAGCTAGGTTGGTGGCCAAGGGATACACTCAGACTGAAGGGTTGGACTATGTTGACACTTTTTCACCTGTGGCTAAACTTACCACTGTGAAATTATTAATAGCAGTTGCAGCTGCAAAAGGATGGTCTCTCAGTCAATTAGATATCTCCAATGCCTTCCTGAATGGTGATTTAGAGGAGGAAATCTACATGACTTTACCACCTGGATACTCACCAAAACAGGGGGACAGTTTTCCACCAAATGCAGTCTGTAAGCTCAAGAAGTCTCTCTATGGCCTTAAACAAGCGTCTCGTCAGTGGTATTTGAAGTTTTCAGAGTCTCTCAAGGAACTAGGGTTCACTCAATCCTCAGGTGATCATACTCTTTTTACCAGAAACTCTG